GCTTCTTTCCGTGTTCTGAATGTGAATCATCTGGCATCTGATTCGTTGATGAAAATCTATGGTATTAATCTGATCTCATTACCAACATTCTTAATGCTAAGTGATTCTTCCAGTTCTCTCTCGGTGAGTAACGTGCAATTCATGATCTTTTTTTCTCTTGCCATTTCTATCAGCTTCAAATGATTCATCTTGACAACAGGTTCTCTTTTTCAAACAATGAGATCAGTGAAGTCACTCTTTCTCAAATTTGAGCAATACCTTGGTCCTTTTTGCGTTGCAATGAAGCGCAATTCGAATAATTCCTTCATCTTCAAATCAGCTTCTTCGAGGCTTGCCGCTCCTCGGCCTGCCCCTTCAGGGCTTGCTTCTTCGAGACTTGCAGGGGAATCGTTTGTCAATTAAAAAAAATTTGCTCCATTTTTAGTAAAACGTTATTTTAAACAAAAATCACCTTTCTTTTTGTTTTTACGAAAGCCCACTCAAAGACGACAAAGTTGTTATGGGAACTTTTTAATGCGATGCCATTGAAGTATTTAATAACCGTTTGCGGGTTATTAAATACTTAGCTGGGTTGAATTTGTATATCTCAAGAATGTTTCTAAATATCACCGTACAATTTGTCAAGAGAGCAAGCAGAGAGCCTAACTTTCTCTGAAACAATTTTTTCATCTCCCCTCAGAGAGTTGCATCACCAACTTTCTCTACAGCATTTCGTGAATTGTTTTGTCTGAGCTGGGCTTTCAAATCATAACATTGCTCGACTTCATTCATTATAGAAGCAAACTCAGAATCTGATATCGAAGCGTCTTGCAAAGCCTTTGAGATGAGTCTGCTGAATGAACGATGTTTCGCTTCAGCTAGAGAAACGGTTCTCTCATGTGTATTAGTCTCTTTGGTGAGCTTTTTGCTCGCCACAGTTACTGCGCAGACACGAAGCCGAGCAGACAAGCGACACCTTCAAGAGGAACACTAACAACAATTCCTACTCCGCTCAGTGTACCTGCAAAACTATCTGTCGACAGAAGAGCTGTCGTGACTAGAGTGATTGAAGATGTCGTGTGACAGACATTCTTCACTCACTCGTATTTGATTTGCGACCTGCTGGTAATGAGAAATCTCATTCTTAAGTTGCTTCTGGCAATCACAAATCTTTTTCAACTTGAAATCCCCGGTGTCTGCCAGGAGAGAATGAGAAAGGCTCTTCGAGCCAGGGGCCACGAGGCGGTCCAGCGGTGGTGCGCTTGGCCAAAGGCCCGCCCCCTCGGGAGTTGGGTCGCAAAGAGGCCCCTTGCTCGAAGTGCTTGGCAAAATATTTTCAGAAGACATTTTTTATCATTAAACTATTTCCAACTCAAATCTCAGGGGAAGGCCACTGAAATTGATGATCTCCATATTCTCATCAGTCACGAAAATTCCCATACATGTGATGTAATTCCTCGGTGATACTTTTCGTTTGGTTGGGATTTCATAATGATAGTTCACCCTGTCAAAGGGTTGCCCCAAGAACGCTTGAGGACTCTCCATTGAATACGTTTTCATTCTTATCCATAAGATCACAGTGGACAAGGTAGCTGATGAATGATTTAAACCTTTTGGATAGGTTGATGTTTTAAAAACGTCGTTTAATTCCAAGTAAATCAGTCAGATCATTGTCAAGAAGGATATGCTTATTTTAACGATTGTGGATATCCAAAGCTTCTTTCGAAGTATTAATTTCAACCGTCACTCCTTCACTCTATAATAAATCTTGAATAGCTTCGCCTAAGTGAATAATTACTTTCAGGAATTTTCTTTACAGTTGGATTGCCCTGAGAATCGAATATAGAGATTTCTCCAGTTCGCTTCAAATTATACAAGTGTTGAAGAAGAACAGCTCACGAGCCTGATATGTTGATTTTTTTTTCGCTGCCGTTCCTGAGAGGTTCACTGAAGTGAATCGTGTGATCATCTAAATCTGCCATAATTGTCAAGGAAACAATTCTGATCATAAAAGCGATAAAAAATGTGTTCGTGGCTAAACTCAACTCCTCTAGCAATAAACCTCAGGCCTCGTGTCAATGTGCTCACAATCACTCCAATCATTGTCCGACTGCAAGGACAACAGCTGAGACTGTGAAACCATATTTGATGAATATATTTCTCACTCTCTCTCTTAGTGAAGTGCTTCCTTCAAGTTCTTCTCTCTGATTCTCAAGAGCATCAATACGCTCTTGATTTTCCGTTATCATTTCTCTTACTCTTTCTCTTATAGCCTGGTCTTCATTCTAGTCATCGGCAATCTTCTGATCCTCCTGAATAGACTTCTGCAACTCTTGCCCTGGGCCAAGTGAGATCCTTATTTATTTTTCCCATCTCCAAAGCTTAATGACAAAGTTTTCCTTGTGCCGGGATCTCTTTCACTCATCTTTGACTTGAAAGTTAGTGGCCACGTAAACAATTATATCGTGAACAATGTCCTAGGAGCTATTGATGACTGTGAAATTCGCGGGAGAAATCGTGCAGGACGCTAATGGTTATGATCTATTCAAGCTATACGAGGACCTCTTCTGACTGAGAATGAGAGGGCCAGCATGCTCAGGAAAGGTATTCAGTCTGTTGACCATTCGAAGATCAGATGCAGTGCTGGGGATAAGAAGAAATCAGGAGTTGACAAGGAGAATAAGCTCCACGATGTTTATCAGAACAAATATAAAAATTCCATCGGATCATGAGATTCTGAAGGATCGTGGAGTCTTTTTCCCAAGAGATCTTTTTGGATGAGCTTCTTTTCGAGGTCAAGCTTGCACCCTGCCAGTATTGTTGTGATAGGATCGATAGGAAGAACTCGCTGATGAGGTCTTTTCTAACTACAAAAATGGAAAGACATTCATGTACGAGCACGTTACTCATGTCAAGACAATCTCAGTAGATAAGGGATTAGACTCGATCATCAATGAGAGCGTCAATGTTCTAAGGAGGTCAATGAAGGGACTTCTTCTTTTTTACGAGCCATATGTCGCTGGTGCGAGAGATAGTGAGAAGACATTCAATCCTGACATCACTGAAAGTGAAGGTGATTTGTCAATGGAATCCCAAATAAGGTTTACAGTCAAGGAATAGAGACAAGAAATATGTGAGAAGAGGCCCTCAGAAGATTTGGAAAGGGAAACAGCGTGGTGAGTGCGACAGACCTTAATGCTGGTGACAGATTCGCTCTATTCATCGATCTCAGGAGTATGAGAGACTATGGTCTTCATGAAATTGGATTGAGATTGGACAATACGAAAGAAGGAGTCCAGTTAGCAGTTAACAGGAAGGCATCGGGCTCAGGAAATGTGAAATGTTACATCTTTATCCTCTCAGATGCACAGCTCAACTCATAAGTTGTGTGCATAAAAGCGTGACTTATTAATGAGATAATTAAAAAGACACTCTTTTTGACAAAAGAACAAATCAAGACAAGCCCTGAAGGGGCCGGGTGCGGAGCGGCACACAACGACTTTTTCATAAGAAGATACAACATTGCTGCTAATCCTTTTGCATGATTAAATTCTTTTTGATACTGAAGATTGATAAGATAATATGTCATAATTTTGTGGAAAAAATTATGCTACGAGATTGCCGTGTTTGCCTCAGTGGTAGTAGATATATAATGACACGTTCTGGCTCAGTACAAAACCAAGGCTATACATTATTTTGGGCTAAGATCTACTCAGTTTTCTCTATCATTTTCAACTCGCATTTGGAAAGAGATATTCTAAAGCACAAGCTATCGCAGAAATAGTGAATAACCTAAGAGTGTCTCTGGAACTTGATATGTAGAGATTTAAGGTTTTTTATGACTTTTCAAACGCCCTCGATACTGTCAATCACAACATCCTACTGAAGAAAGGGAAAACATGGAACGGTATGAGGTGGGGTGAAAGCCTCTTGAGCTTTGCACTAATTACCCGACAGGAATCCATGTACTGCCATAGAGACTACTATGATAAACAAAAGTATTTCTTCCTCCTTTCTTGGATGATAAATCTCCATTACAGTATTTTAATCTTCGCTATATTAACATGGGGAGGTGTATAAATATTTGAAGAAAATTCACACTAAACAGAACCTCGCTGTAAAGCTTATATTTGTTTGAAGTACCAAACACAGGGTCTACCCTTTCCTTGGCCCTCTGGATGTTCTGATTATAAATTATATGCATCGAGTTCGTTCCAATAAGAACCACACACATTTGGCACAAAAGCTTCCTAAAATATTTAGGAATAACTTATTTCCCGACATCAATTTCCTACACCGAAAATAGATATTAAAAAAATAAAAATGAAATACCCCGGTGGCTGAAAAGGAAAAAACAAAAGCGACAAAAAAATTTTAGAAATAAACGTCTTGAGAAGCAAGCTACATGTAACTCAAGCAGCTGACTCAGTTTGTACCGTATATTTTTCATCCATCGCTGTAGAAGAAATCTGGTTGAAAACTTTGATCTTCGCGAAGCTCAGTGGTGCTTGCTTGCCACGCTCTTTTGACGCTTACACACCATTTCAGAGTCCGCTCGGGATAAAATGTGTCCCCCTTCTATTGTAACCTATTGTAAACAGAGTTACCAGCACGCCACTTCTTTCAGAATATTTTACGACTGGGAAAGTCCTCTGTTTAGAAAAAAAGACGTACCAAATTCTATCAGGTGGAAGCTTGGCTTAAATAATTATTGCTGGAGTTGTTCTATCTACACAACGACAATCTCCACTTTACTCTTCTTGAATTTGAAGCTCCCAAAGACCTTAAAAATGCGCTGCATTTCTTTTTCATGCCATGTAGTAATTTGTCTGATTTTTTGGTCGGGATCCAGTTTCCACCATAGACACGTGAACTACGAACTGAAGATAAAATACGAGTCTCTGGAAGCGCGACTCTCGCTTCGTCTTATTAAACATGAATATAATTTGTTTAGTATTATTGATGTACACGGCTCGCTTTAGTTTCTGGCCAGAAGTCTTGCTTCCATCATGAAGCTGCATCACAAACTCCTCCCGGCCGGCGCGACAGCCAGTTACAATCGGTTCTATCAAGATAACTACACTACTGACTCAGTGGAGTCCACCTGTTCCTCACTTGCCAAAGGATGATGAAAAAAACTTGACTTAGCAAGAAAATTTCCCTCCGAGGTAACTTTCTTAAAGGTTTCTCCCAAAGAGTCTCCACCGTTAGTTTCTTCTCGGTTACGAAGTTCAAAACATGTCATGATCATTGACCAGGAGGCACAACATATAATTACACACAAAGCGACACCGAAAATGCCAAGTACAATGATCGCAATCATTCCACCTCCGCTGAGTTTAGCCATGCCAAAGCCTGCCTCAGTGCCGGCGTTACCGGCAGATTGCCCATTTTCACTCCGTACTCTCTTCGTCTGAGTCAGAAAACAGATAAGAAGCAACAAAGCTTTGATGTGATATGTCCTCATGTTTCAACTACGAGTTCCATGACGCCGTGATGTACTAGGAAAATAGGCCCTTGCAATTCCTTCTGATGCGGAGGCCACCGATCTTAACCTTACTATGGAATGTTCGATTTGGCGATTTTTCTTATGTACAGTCAAAATCAGACTGCATAAGATCGTTCGTCGAGTTTAAATGTTTCATAAGTCAAAACTGTCGGCTTTACGGAAAACTTACTTTGAATGTCGTGTCCCTGATTCCTAAACGTATGGAAATAAGGACGACTTAAATTTTTTATTAAAAGAACTCCTCCTTTTGAATTAGAAAGCGGGCCAATATTTTAGGAGATGCTAATGTACCTGCATAAAACAAATTACATTAGTCTAACTTGAAGAAGTTCAGAGTTGCTTTCGAAATTTCTAGTAGGTTCAATGATAGGACAGACATATAGTTAATGTTCTTGACACAATTAAACAGCAGTTCAGTTTAATGACCATGTTCGCGCATTGTCTCCTGTAAATGCCCTCGTAGACGTTAACAAACTCAAGCATTATACTAAATGGATCACTTTCATTATTTGTTACCGTCTCGTCATGCCTAGAGAAGGTCCGTTAAATCTCTCGGGAAAAATCCAAACAATAATGAACACACTGGTCCCGAGTTTCGCGAGAATGACAGGCTTGGTTTCAAGGCAGCAAGGAGTATAAAAACCGGCTTCAAGCCGATGGGAATTTTTTTAAACCAATGAATATTCCATCACACCGCATTTACAAGACATATTTAACTTTTTTTGTCCATTTGTATAATTTCAACATTTTTAAACCCATAAAGTTGTTTTTCACCTCACACCTGCATGCACTCGAAACATGACCTCCCTCTTCATACTTTTTGGTCTCTTCATCTAATAACTTCGGCATCAGCGGTATAGATAGGAAGGAGAAAGCTGCCTTGAAGTTCTAGCTGCTGGCAAATAGAGCACGACACTTTGATTAAAACCCAATGATCTCAAGGATTTCGGAATATTCCTTCCCAATACAGAAAAAGAAAGAGAAAATTCGCTGCGGCAAATTCACTCCCACTTTTAAAGTGATAAAGCCCATCTCTTAACCTATACCTATAAAATAGCTTGATACTTTGGTTGGTCAGAGGCTCGAATTTTTAAAGAACATTTGTTATTTGTTTTTTTTATTATCGTGAAAGAAGGGTTTGTTGTACCTTTGGGCATTGTTTCAGTAATTGAAAAAATCAGTAAGCGGACAAAAAAATCTTGCCAAAGAGAAGATTGATAAAGCAAGTAATTTTTTACTAAAATTGTTTTACTCTTTCTATAGGGGGCGTGAATTTTTGGCTTGTTACGGTGAAGCACTGGGAAAATTTTTTTTAAGAACGGAGTTTTTTTTCTATCGTTTTTTTTAGACAGAAACTTCTCGATCAATATTCTCTTTCTAACCGAATGTACTTTTAGTAAGTTATTATCAGAGAAAGTTACGATAATATGATCTTAAAACTTCGCAACCAATGTTATCACTATGTTAATTAACAACATTCTTCTTTATAAAATAATTTATCCAATTACTCTAATTGAAGAATAAAATCTCTTACTCAGTTACACAACATAACAACTTCTCCTTGTCTTAACGCAATCAGGAGCATTTGCATAAATCATATGCCCGTAATTTATGTCTTTTTGAATAGTTGGAAGGGCAACTGCAACAGACATTGATGAGAATGCGAGGCGACAGGAGACTTCTGTAAACGACTGAAATTGTCGGGGAAAGGTGGTGACAATCAATATTTACTTAAGAGAAAAAGAATAAGCTGGGACATTAGTACATTGTCTTATTGCTCGTTGAAATAGAATATGGTAACATGGTTCTGTTAATGTACACTCCTTGTTATCTCCACAGTCGGCATGTGTTGTCTTTGCTACCTGTAGAAACCCAACGAGATGGTATTGAGAATAAGAATCAAAACTGATCTATAACACTGTAACTAATCCATTTAAGCCGGAAATGACGGGATCACTTCCTCTTTAACGTGAATTTCTGTGAAAGTCGGTGAATGGAAATGGAAAAGAAAAAGGAAACTTAACCCGTGGCAATGTAGACTACTCTCTCTATGATCATTTGCAAATCGTTTTTCGCATTAATTGAAATTGATATTTCAAACACATTGGTTTGATAACAAACAAGCTTGTCTAATCTTAGGACAACCTTATACTCCTCTCGGAAAACTATGAACCGATTACTTTTAAAATCTCAATCTTAATTGCACCTTTCTTGAATAAACTAAGAAGTATGAATGGCGTTTAGCTGCTACAAAATGGTATTGCCCTGTCACCCGACTAATCCAGTGGTGCAGTGTGTCAGTAACCGACTGCACCACTGTAAGAAAGGATCTAGTATTAGAATACACAAGATAAATCATATATCAAATGAATTAAAAGGTGAACTTCATCTATTTCTTCATTCATTTATTTTGCTTACTTTTTACAGTGTTAAAAAGCTGTGTTCAACATCATCCGCATAGAAAATAGGCTACAGCTTTACACTGGCCTCACTAAACTAAAAAATATGTGTAAGAGGAGTAAACCCAATAAACACTATAAGATTACTATTACCTGTTACTATTATGTTTCCTTCATAATTAAAAGCACAGCTGAAGATCTCGTCATTATGCCCTTCAAGAACCTTATGAAGAAAATAAAGTAATTCAATGAAAATTTCGCCGACTAAAAAGTGAAATTGCTTGTGATAAACGTATTGCTGAAAACCAACATTTATCATGTTCATGGTGACGAGTGGAACAAGTAGTACCGCCATCACACGTGAGATATAAGGAAGACAATTTCTAACTTAATCACAATTTCTCACAGACAGACTGAGACAGCCATTAAAACGTTGCAATTCCCACCTCCTTAGTCACTATCTATTTGTCACTAGTAACTATACATTTCTCAGGTTTCCATTTTGTACCTGTATACATTTCCCTGAAAATGGGTCCCAAAGCCTTCCTGTCTTATCACTACTTGCTGTTAAGCACCTTGTGCCTTGAGGACTAAAAGTTATCTAGACACAACAAAAATATAAAACCCAACGGCGTTAAAAGTCGTAATGCAGAGAATACAGAAACAAACGGCAGTGACAACATTGGCGGTAATACTAACGACAACAACAACAGAAACAACAAAAAGAATAATAACACGTATAATAACAATGATTATAGTAATAAAAATAATGAAACAATGTCATTCGAGTCAAGGATGTGCGGCTCACTCATTAACATTTGACGAAAAAATCAAGTAACACTCACATCTGTACGAAATCACAAGAGATCTCTTAGGTCTCATAGGAAAGCCTTTCCTCCTTAAATTTTAAAGGACCATAAAATTTATATCGGTGCAAATCTCGACCATCATCTGCTTATGAATGTTTCCCTGTGACTCATAGTAGCGTTATAAAAATAAAAAACTCGTAGTTATAAATATAAAAATTTCACCGTCACTTGATCAACGTTTTTGACCGTATCCAATCATTCTCTCTTTCAGTCGAAAACGTCCGAAACTGCCTTACAATAAAAAAAAGCAAACTGCCTTACAATAAAACCAGTAAAGACTACTACACCTTCGAAATTTCTCCTTCGTGCCCCTCTAGTTTTGAGACACAATGATGAGTAAGGGCATTATACACTCTTCCAGTTCCTGAATAACGAGTAATTTGAAATGCGAACAAATTAACCAACAACCGGGAACCTAGATTGTTAACATGGAAATGACACTAGATTTACTGTTGCAATGTAAAATAGATAGCGCTTTGTTTCTGGACGGCAAGCGGTGTAGTGTAAGCTGTGATAAAAGTGTTTTAGTTATAACAATATGGACATTAACTTATCTCAATCTTACTAATATTGACACCAGTGCTATAATAACAATAATAATGTATATGAAAATATTACGTGCATCTGACTGGCCGAAAACGAGAGCATTCATTATGTAAAACGAGTAAAAAGTTGTAACACGAGTGCAAATTACAATATAGCGCGCGCTGTCAAATTTCGTCTGTTTTGACTTTCTGTGATCCTTTTTCCATGTAAATTATTAATAATTACATGATTACTCGTGCAATTTGGTGTTAATAAGCACTTGTAAATTTTTCAAATACTGCAAAGACTGAACTTATTTATTCCCGCACCAATTACAACATTTCGGGCACAAATCCCGCGCGAGCTGCTCGGAGGAGTTGACGAGCAATCAGAGCGCTTTTTACACTATCCAACTGTTTTAGTTCATAATAATGTTGAATAATTCTCGAGACGAGGTCGCGTAGATAAATCAAGACTATTTGCCTATCCTGAGGCGAATAAATGTCTTAGTACGATGTTCTAGTGATCATCACAGCGAAAATGTAAACTCTGTTTCATTTCTTTACTTCAAACTTGTCATGCATCTAAGAACTCAGACACGGAGTCTAGCGCGTACATCACATGGTCAACATGTACACTGCGTATGATTGAAGTAAAATAAGCAATGAAAAGAGTCGTGTTCACGTTCACTTGTAAGACTTGTAATAAAGCTTTAAAAGTGAACAAAAAACCAATTGTGGTCAGTTTTATCCAGAAAGTTCAACGCTCCAGCTATGATGACCTCGCGCAGGGTCCTACACCTTACGATACCATGTAGACGTACCATCTGCAGAAGCTGTGGCTATGTACTGACCAGTCAAATCAAAGCACACATCTAACACCTCATCATCGTGGCCTCTGCATAACAAACGAAGAAAAAAATTCGCAACGTCAAAACTTTCCAGATTTCTTGACGGAACAGGTATCGCAATCTGACGTATTTATGTCCGCTTTATAGTGGAGACTCGCTAACTCGTACTTTCCGTTAACTCAATCAAAATCTGACTTCCTGTGGATTTGAACCTATTTTTTCATTCACTTACCCTTAGCTAACTCGAAATAATTTTACTTTCCCTTAGCTCAAATTTACCCTAATAACTCGAACTCTACATAAAAACGTCGGTTAATAAACGTCAAAGTCTCAGAACATAGCTTGTTAACACTTCCCAATCTTTAATCGCGATTTATACGAACGTGATAACATTTATGAAAACGTAATTGAATCCTACGGAAATACAATAATCATCTTGTTATTTCTGGTATAGCAGGATAGTGGGGGTAGTCATGTAAGGTATGATAAGTTGAGATTTTAAAATCTGTACTTATAGCGCGAGATCTCGACTTATGTCATACCATACATGACTCTTTTGGGCCACAGTAATTCGTGTGAAGACTATTCGAGATGATCTTGGAGGGAGGTTTTTGAGGAGACATATCACCATATCCCAATCAGACAAGTCAATCAGGTTCATGGGGGTTTCGCCCCTGCGCAAGCTAGTGCCTCTAAAACCTTTGTGAGTCCGCTCCCACAATTAGAAATTCGCCCTCCCAATGTTTCAACGCGTCACTTACGGCAGAAGATATTTCTTTTCTACCGAACTCATTATATTTCAATCGATATGCAATTTCTTTGCGACACCATAACAGGTCATAACGAAGTTAGATCAACATGCACATTCTTAAGCGTGACGCAGTAAGGCTAAGCCCCTTTATCACTCCGTTCTTTATTTCACTGGTTTGACCGTAATTTACGCCCATCTTCGCAGTAAATTTCTAAAATTACTTTTGAGAAAAAACTTCCACAAGACAGACAAAATTATTCTAAAGTAGTGACCAACGTAGATATTTCGTAGTTCAGTATTACTCGCACTCGATCAAATTATATCGTAATGTCAACATAAAAGGAATATGTTCTGCCGTAAGGAAACGGAAACGAATTTAAAGATTTGGGGCGAACTGGTTAAGGTGGGGAACAAACTTGCTTTAATCCAGTGGGAAAACTCGCGAAGTTCCAATGGGTTCCTCTATCAAGTTGATACTTTACAAATATCACAATAACTTGATAAATATGCTTTTACGATCTTACCTTAAGGTTCCTATACATTGCCCTGTCCTTGAGTCCCAAAGTTTGCATGTCTTGTCCTATTATAAAACAGAGACCACTGTAACACGTTAAGGGGAATATGAAAAAATCCAAACTAAAAAAACAAAAATTTCAAAAGCATATAGATAATGACAACAAGGGGGGAGAAGAGGGTGTTAGAGCTGGTTAAAATACAAATTACCATTGATCCAGTTACTATCAAAGAGTTATCAAAGTTGAACTGAGCATTGGAAATTTCTCCTCGATGGCCAATCAGTGTATGTAACCGCCTGAAAGAGAAATAATAGTATCTTGCAGATGATAGACTCAGCCAGAAATCTCGGTTTAAAAACTTCTCTGTCAGCCCGTCACGGACCCTTTGAAAATCTAACCCTGGCAATGAAAGTATATATGATTATTAATGAGTTACTCTATGCAAATTTACATCCTTTGAAATTTTGAGGGATGTCATAGAATTTCACCAAAGATTAGGAATGATGTTTACTAGTTTTAAATAGATGCAATAGTTTCTGAAATATTCAACAAAAATTTGAAATATATGCATTTTCCAATCCTAACTTGATTGAATTTCTACTGATTCAGTCAAATACAAAATACTGATTCAGTCAAATACACACACTGAAAAAAACTGAAGAGATGCAAATCTCATCTGAATAGCACTTTAATATAAATACCTGTATTCATTTATTGTGACATTAACTATAATAATAATTAATCTGTTTGCCAGGGAACTGGGCAAAAATGATCTGATGGGTTATTTCAGGTAATAACCTCAACATGATAGTAGTACAGAGCAGGATATTACAAGCCATGGATATGATTAAAATTAAGAGGTAAGCTAAGAAGACAGTTGCTCAGGAAGCAAACATCAAAACTTAAGGCTCAAGTCACTCAAATGACTCTGGTTGCCTCATAAATTGATGTAGTGCTATCTAAAAACTGTGGGTAAATTGGTAGTCCTTCGCAAAAAGTAACTCAGAGAGTAAAAATCAACTAAACTACCACAAATTAAAAACACATTTTCATTTAGTCAGAGAGATTTAATTGCAATTTATGGTTTTTTATGATCTATCAGTGGTATATATGTAATAAAAAGACATGCCTACAGAACAAACCTTCCAGTTACTGTATCCCAAACACTCACAGTGTGATCAAATGAGCCTGTGAGCAGTTGATCTCCTGTTGTGTTAAATGAACAGGAAATAATTTCTGCTGAATGACCCTGGGGATAAACAAATAAATTCATTATAAAGGTACTACTAAAAAAAGGAGCTTTGTTAACTTTTAATCCTACATTTACATTCAAAGCCAAGAATACCTGGTAATGTAAGTGAGCAAAACAACAGTTTAGTGCCAAAAAACCATGCACATCCTATAAACTGATATATCATACTATGTGCCCTACACTTGACTATTCGATATAATTATTGCTTTTCATATGGAAATATAAAGTGTACTCACAGACAATGTGGATATCTCTGCTCCTTTTTGTACATCCCACAACTTGGCTGTTGTATCCATACTTCCAGTGGCCACAACTGTACTTTGTGGATTAAATGCCACACACACCTAACAAAATAACACCATGCAAGACTTGTACTTTTCTTTGAAATCATGTTATCAAATATTTGCTGGACTTCAATCATTCTCAATTTGAAAAATGACGAATTTGTTTGACTTCAATCATTCTCAACTTGAGAAATGACAAAAGGCTTTCTAGGAGGGAAGAAAAAAAACATCACAAGGTACTTAAAAACTGATCTTGATGTCCCAGAAATCCCTACTTTGAGAGGAAGAGAGAATTGTGAAGGAGTGTGGTACTTAGCAGTTCTGGTACATTTAAATAGTGCCTAAATAGGAGGCATGCTTCTCTTATTAACCATCTACCTTTTACCTACACAGTATGTACTAACCATAAAAAAATTGTTTTTTAGTGCACCAAACCTTTTTTTTTTTACTATGGATTCCACCATTTTGAATTAAGAACAACCCCTATATTAACCTAGACACACATGCAAACAACCACAATGTGTCATTCACCAACAACTTCTGCTGTGCTGATGTGTAGTGATGCCAAAAGACAAAATAGATCGAAGTAAATCAATAGTACCTTTTGTGTATCTGCAAATTTTTCAAACAGATCACCAAGATATAGAAAGGGAGGATACAGACTTTGTTACCTCACAGTTTAGCTGGCAAGTTGCTCTGCAATACTCAAAATGGTGGCATTCTTCAATGCATTATTTGGAAATTGAAAAAAAATGTTAGAAAGGTAAGATTACTCTTTCCAATATCAAACCACAAGCAGTTTCATAATTTCATGGACATTGTTTTAAGGAATGGATAAAGATTACAGAGTTTCTGAAGCATACTCTTTAAATAGAACCTCAACATAATTTACACTTTCACCACATCATAATTTACAATTTCTGCAGTATGTCCCTTGTAGGTATGGAAGCACTTCCCAGATTCTGCACTCCATAGCTATCAAAACAAGCAATGATATGATCAGTCCTAGCATAACTACAACATTACTGCAGTTAATATACTCAAAGATTATGATTTTTAAATATGAGAAAAACAGGCAAATGTAATATCATTAAAAAGTCAAAATAATGAACTGTCAGAATAAGTTAGATAATGCAACTATTTTGTATAAAGAAAGAGTTGCAGGTGTTGATACAACTGGCGCACATGTTTTACTTTTTTTCTAGTCTATAATCTTCTTTTTACACAGTCACCATTTTCTCTACTCCGACTCATCCCCAGCTGTGAAACAATTTACCTTGCATGTCTTGTCAAATGATCCAGTTGCTATTTTGTCCCTGTAAGGGAAGAAAAAAGAGCAATGCTGATTAAATTATGGTAAAATTATTAGTTAAAACCTTCTGAATAAATACCCAGTTACCTGGCACCAATTTAGTAATTGATGATGCATATACAGAGAGGGAGAGCTAGACAGGTTGTGTGTGTGGGTGTGTGTGTATTTCTAGGAAATCCTTGACAAGCAACTTTCATTCCTTTTTTAGAGACCAATTGATTCTCGTTTCATAAGAGTCAGCAAACAAAACAATATCCTGGCATAACTGACTACCTACCCATAGGGATTGTTGAATGCAATTGCATAGACAACATTTTTGTGTCCCTCCAGTACATGCAGCTCTTCTCCTGAGGCTGTATCCCACACTTTACAAGTTCTATCATAGCTTCCTGTTATGAAACTAAAGGAAAGGCAAATTCACAATGTATGTCAACAAAATACTTTATCTGATTACTCCTCAAAAGCATTGCTTATGCAGTTAACTAAAACAAGCCCTCAATGATCATTTTTGTGTAATAACAGGTCATGGTTATAGGGTGGCAATGCTTATGAAGAGGTTGATTAAAAATAAGTTACATTTTAAATTGGAATCTTGCAAATCACCTTTAAATCATTTTCAATTTTACACATTTCAAGTACAAAAGAATGGAAGTGTAGATAATATTCCTTTTCCAAAACTGACATTCTTTTAATTTCTTATTGTGCTGTTCACCCCAAATAAAGAAGTAGTAAGTTGCAGTGGTGCCTCTTTTAGAAGTTAACATTTGAAGGAATGTTATCAAATTGAAGTCTAGTGATGTACTTTATATCTAAAACCAAAATACTATTAAAAAATTACCTTGTTCCAGACTTGTTGAAAGCCACATTGGTCAGTGGAAGGATATGAGCTCTTAAAACCTTCACAGAAACAAATGGAAGGCATGAAAAGGGAAACTATTTAGGGTAAAAAAGGAGTAACTTGCACTTTAAGTTAGTTGAGACTTTGACTACACCTCATCGCCTAAATTGTTGTTTAAAACACATATATAAATTAGTTTTAATTTCCAGAGTACTCCTGCAAAACAAAATTTTAAATTTGATTTAATCCTCAATTTTTCAGATATTTTTGAAGATATTCTTTAAATCTGTCACATCTATTGGAGAACCATGAATTCTGCAACCCCCTGAACATCTCTTTATACACCTGTGTTTTACAACCAGAACAGTAAGTGTCTTTATCAGAAGAAGAATTCAAGTCTAAGGTTTAGAAAGTTAGTTAAGTTTTCCTTTTTCTTAGCCTGGCTTGGATTATACCAAAATGGTGTAATGTTTGGCAAGATTTTCAGCTGCTCAAAAGTTCTTTGAGGAGTTATATGTAACCTAACACATTTTTTTTTTCCACAGGAATACTGATACTCCACAAAATGAATTTCTTCAATGCCAACTAGAAAGAAATTCAACAGCTAAGTGCGATTTACAGATAGAGTTATAGATCAGAGGAATGTTCTTTTGTACCTACATACTTAACAGTAGTTTGGAAACATACCAGTTTCAGGAGGCACTGTTTCAGAACAATGCAAAATGTTGAATACTAGAAAAATCCTTTACCCCTACAATACTTCAAGATATACAGTGGGCAGTATATTACAGTATTTAGAATCATTACATTTTAAGCTAAGTACATAACTCAAATGTTCTACATTTGGGTTTGTTCCCCTCTCCAATATGCTCCCTATCTAAAAGCCCTGACGAGTGATAAACCCGCTAGGAACAATTCCTCAAAAAGATGAAATCAGTAACAGTATATCTGAATACCAGTACCTTGAAAAGATAGAAATGGTGATCCACACTTTCTTCTTGTTTTTCTTTCAGCCCTGTTGAATTATTACTAAAGGAAAACAACCAAAAGAAGCAGGAAAAATTGAGATTTTTAAATGTAGATTAAATGAATCACAACAACAGTGGAACCTCTGACTTTAAAATACTACACTAAAAAGTGACATATATTATATCGTGTAAGTTGCTACTGGCAAGAAAGCTAAACCACACAAATAATTATAAATAGCAGGTTTATGCAGAAGGCAAATGGTTATTATCTGTATCTTATTAATATCATAGAGTGGTCCATTCACATTTACTTAGTAACAAAAAACATTGGCCCAAAGAAGTGAAAAATAATTGATCCTTACTTTAAAGGCTTTACTAAATTATTTGAATGGTGTTTTCTTTTATTTACTCCTTTTTGTTTTCCTCCTGTTAAGAGGTATTTAAATTATGCAAGTGATGATATGATGCAACATTTATCTTCAGACATTGGTGCACTGTTCTTAAGAAGAGATGTGAACTCAAGAGACCACTCAAGGTTTATGTCAGTTCTGCTGCTAGGAAGTTAGTGTAAACATTAATCATTTATCATGTTTTTAGATTTCAGATATCAACCAAACTGTTCCAAAAATGTATTTTTCAAATAGAAAAAAAACTTTAACTGCAAATTCTACCAATTTGAAGAAAAACTCAGTAACCTAGTTGTAAACTCGTAAAATGGAAAGAAAAACAAGGAGTGGTTTAAAAAAAGCCACTGCTCTATTTATCCCTAAAAAAATTCACTCCTCAAGGCAGGTTGCCAGGATACTAAAAAAAAGAGGCAAGACATTGATGCACCCCAAGTAAACCACCAAGGTACCAAACAAGACTTAATATTCAACATTATTGAAAACAGTTCTCAAACGTATAGGTTACTCTTTGAAATCTAAAGGAAGTTTGTTGTAACAATCAAAATGTGCTTTTTGGAGATATGGATGAAAAAATTATTATGGTGCCTGGAGGACATGTTTTTTTAAAGACAGTATGTCACAGTTTGAACCATTTCTATCCATGTCTACATTTTTTTCCTTCAAGACCAGCTCTTATGAAAATTGACATTTACAACTTTTATCTATAGATACTACTTGTGTATTATACAGGTTCCAAATGGATATATTTGGTTAAATGTTAACAGTACAGACCAATGGAGCTACAAGTACTGCCTTAATAAAATTTTGGACACCTGTCACAGTCACTATACACAGTCATTTGAATATTCATTTTCTATTTAATATCCCAAATACATCCAATGTATTTTTTTGTGTAGCTTCTTCTGTATCTTTTGGGCTTGGGTCATGAGTTGTGTGAGTTACCCACATGTTATTCATGATGTTCTGTTTGTGGGCTTGTTCATGAGTTTGTAATGGCATGTTGAGACACAGGAAATTTTATGTTTCCCAGATTCTGGGCTCTCATTCAATCATCTTTAGTCAAAAACTTTGCATCAGGGCAAAGCAAACACATTTGCTTTACAAACAGAGGAAAATAGAAAGATACGTCCTGCTTTAGGTATCAAAATTTATGTTCAAGTCTGTTAGTTAAATCTATTGATGTAAAAAGAGTTTTTTGGTTCCCTCACTATCAAAGGACAAACAAGTTACAAATAGTTCCTTTGATTTTTGAGCTGCCCAGTCACAATTGGATGTTTGTGTTAATCATCATTTTAAAGACAGAGAGCACATGCTCAAGTCAGCCATGAAATTATGGATCATGTTGGTTGGACATCTTCTGAGACAGCTTTACAATGCGTTAAATTAAAACAAGTTTTGAATCTACCCAGCCACCACTCTACAGATTACCTTTGCATACGAAAACCCTCATGCAGGAACCTATACTGCTTATCCTTTACAAAGAAGGAAATACTTTTGATGTTTTGAAATTCTTAAGTTAGGTCTGTGCAATATATTAAAAACTCAATATTTACAAAAAAGGATACTGAGAATCAGTTTTCTCACTTGCTCCATCTTTGAGGGTGTAATAAGGGGTTCCTTTGCAATAATGTCATCAAGTAGCAAATCAACATCAGATCTAAAACAAAAACCCCCTAGGGTGTTATTCCATTACACATGTATTTTGATTGTGTATTGTTGTTGTAAGATGAGCATCATCATTAAAACCCTCCTTAAAAATTTGTGTGCTCAAACAATAGTGTAATAATTCCAAAAAGGAAACTGTGTATCAATAGTTTGATGAAATGATTTTGGAAAACAATACTGTAAGTAATGATTAGAACTGTACAAATATCATGTGAGCACAAATATGCATGTTGCATTTACATAACTACTTGCAATAATTACCTGTAACAATTAAAGTAGTACTTTAAATGATGACAAAAAAGTTTTTGAGTAGGCTAGAAATAATCCGCTTCAAAAAGTAAAAGGACCAGCTAAAAATTCATTTCAACTTTGTTCATTAATTGACACAATACAATTCAAACTAATTACATATTATAATACTTGTAATTTTAATTCTTCATCTGCAAGAAAAGGAGATAGTAATAAATTACAAATCTAAATGATGATTACATGTGTTACTTCTCAAAAAAATATGTACTCACGTGGGTTTTAAATCCAACAGATCTATAGATTTTGACTTCATCATGCCAGATTGTTCATACTCCAGAATTATGCCTAAAAACCAAAGGTTTAAACACAAAAATGAGACTTCAAAACCAGCCTGAAATGCAAAGTAACTTCTCACTGCCCTCTCAACTCACATGCACTTAGTAACTCACTTAAATGATTTCAATCAAGTCTTTATAGATTCAAAGTAAAGGAAAGGTGTTTAGAAGTCTAGGGTACAATTCAGAGATGCATGCCCTACACCCCTCTACCATCACCAAGGAATCAGGCAAGCACATCTGACATTCAAGAAGAGCAAACCATGTATTCTGTAACAGCAGATCTAATATTCAAGAAAACTCGGATTCAGACACTATTTAATTAGTATTTCAGAATACAACGAACAAGCTATAAGTGAATTTGACCTGATCATGTGATATCCACAGCTTTATAAGAGCAATTGAAATTTCTCTGTCACTCACTTATTACAAAAACTTCACCTCTCATGTCAAACAAATATTATATTTTGTGGCATTAAGTGGGCACATTTTCTTTTATGTGGAATACCCTATTAAGGTATCACAGAAGGAAAATTAGCATTTTCATTAAAACTGAGATAGCATGAGAACTATGTGCGCAATCTCCAAATTTCACAAATATTGACCAAATATCAGCTGGGAATAGACTCTTCAGAGATCACAGCTCAAGCCAAAACACTTTACTACAAAAATCTACTTGAAATTTTTTCAGGGCCTCAGTGATGTTGACATTAGTGTGTTTCCACTTCATGCCTTTGAAGGCTGTGATATAATCTCACTGGAAGATGCCATTTGATACTGAAGCATGCTAGAAAGCAAAGAGCAGACTCAACTGGTAAGGAGTTATACGTAGGTTGAGAAGGTGTGAATGACTAGCTGTTTATGTCAACATGGAAGGTGCTTAAACCAGCATAAAAGAGAATGAAAGAGGTCATGCAAAGGATGGAGAGCCATACTGGAAACAGAACATAGATTTTCAACAATTGATGCTTGATGTGCGATGCTAGGCAAAAAGATGGACTGTCTGCAATTTTTTTTGCAAACCAGCACCCATAGCAACTTCGATAGAAGAGCGTAACTCTTTGCTAGCATTCCAAATCCACTAAAGAGCTGTTTGATTGAAAGCTCTTTGACTTAGTTTTATACGCAATTCTAAAAATTACACAAGTGTATCATAATTATCCTCACCTGGTGGATAATAACGCAACAAGAATTTTTTCAGACGCATATTTCCGCTACAACTTTAGTAAAGGGGCTTCAACAAACATTCCCACACATTGATGAAAGACTGGGTAGGAGTGCTGATATTTGGTCAGCGGTCAATAGTTATTTTCTCATAGGTGTGTCGTGTATGGGGAATTATTATGGACATTACTGTATGAATGAAGAGTGTAATGCATAATATTTATTGAGTAGATAATAATTCCCCATACATGACGTACCTAGGCTATTCGTATATACCGCATTACACCTTTTACGGAATGTACTTCATCCTCTTGCATTATAGGACACGACAAAGGACATATTATAACAGTAAATCAGACAGTAAAATTACCACAAGGAGGCCCCAAGAGGAAGTAACATTTTTGTACGACTAGTTACGAGTGTTGAATCATCTTATAGGCCAAGAATGGGATTCATTGCTAGTTACAAACGTTTGCCACGGAGATCAAGACTAATTTTAGGGTTAGTCGGAATTGCTGTCGGTCTTGCTGGTCCATACCTTGTGCCTTCGTTCCCGGCAGCGGAGAAACCCGAAGAACAAATTTCGATGAGCAACGAGATGCAAAAAGCACGTCCATAATGATAGAAGACTTTATTCATGAAAATTTTTCAGACTCTTCTCCCTTGGACATGGATCAAATGAACGTTAACTGCTCAGGAACCGGCAGACGAACAAAATCTATAAGGGTTATGAACAAAGCCCTGGAAACTGCATATCTAAATTGAATCTCGGTCTGAATATCTTAGTAAAGTTAAATGAAATGTCAATCAATGCATTTGGGATATTTGTTAGCCCTTATGGGCCGTTTGAAGGGTCTTTTTACAAAATCGCTTTCGGCCAGAGGCCAATAAGAGAAGAAAGGAAGTCTTCTTTTCTTCTCTTAATGAAGGCGAAAAAATACCACAAATGAGTTAACATTTTATATAACGTTAGTGGGATATTCAGACCAAGCTGTAATTTAGATATGCAATTTTCAGAGCTTGTTCATAACCCTCATAGATTTTGTCTCATGTCAACAATTATTAACCACAAACACATAGTATGGTCTGGTTGTATCTACAGTAACATGAATTGGATACCATTGTTCATAAACTTACAGCACCAGCACCTCCACGAGTTTCTTCTTCTTCGATTGTATCTTGAATGGAATTGGAATTTTGAGTATTTGATTTGCTTGAGGGAAGAAACCAAAAGCCAAAAACAAAGTCAAACTACATGAGATGGCTTGGTGCAGGAATAAACCTGAGGGACAGATGGGAGGGGAATACCATTGGTACTCCAACCCCCCACTCCTATTTAACAGTTAGAGTGTTGGCTCGAGCTCTTAAGCTCTTTTTAGCATGATATTTGATAAGAGTGATACAGATTTTTCAATTTCAATCTTTTACTATAGAGTATGGTTATCATCTTCTAATCCTCCTATTGAAAAGTTTAAGGGTCAGCTTGAGCTGTTTTTAGCATTATAGTTGATCAGAACAATAAAACAAGAGGGACAGTTTAATTAAGAGTATTTAGGTTGTGTAACTTGGAACTTTAGTTAAATTACAATCCCAAATGTACACATCTTATCCCCTATCCTGTCTTTGAAACAGAGCATATCCTGGTTTTGCCCTCCTATTTTCATTCCTCTTTCAAAATTTCTCATATTCCACATCTTGTTGCAATTTTAAGCCTCATCTTGCATCCCTGTAGACAGCAGGCCACTATAGGCCTGTCCTCTTCATCTTCCCTATACTGGCTAGCAGGGAATGTTAAAGAACCCATGCACTTCTCACAAAGGGTAGGGACACAGATCCCAATGCTGTGGTCTGGCCTTGTTTCTAAAATGTCCTTTCAAAAAATGGAAAAATTGCTAAATGCAGTGTGACCTAAGTCTTCTGCAAAGTATTGTAAAGCACTTCAAAGCATATTCATGCATCATTACTCAAATGGGAATGTGATTTTACCACTGGGAAGTGGCCTAGGTATCCCCCTTCTTCAGGATCCTCTAAGGAAAGAACTTAAGTAGAATTTAATGATTAATGTTTCATGGCAATGTATATTATGTAAGAAATGATCCTTTTGGTAAACCTTGAATATTAATGGTTTATGGTGGTTTCAACCCACAGTAAGTACCCTACCACCTTTGCAAGTTCACTCCCTAGTGTAAAACAAGTTCCACATCACCTTTACCAGTTCACCCCCAAATCTCTCAACTTGTTTCCTTTACCACAGAATCTATTCATTTCCTGTCAAAACCATGATATATTCCCACTAATGAGCAATTTCACCACAAAACCATAACAAAATTTGATCAACATGAAATTGCCTAGCCATGTTAGCTAAAGCACAAGTAATGCAAGGTCGCTACATTATTACAGTCTTAATCTGAAGGGTTTGACACAACTTTGTACTTTTGGTAGAAGCAATTTCTAAGAACTAGTTAACTCGTTTGATTTAGAGAAAAAAAACACGATTTCGAAGGAAAAGGAATATGTTCTGTCATACTCAACGAGTTGAATGATTTGGGGGCGAACTGATGAAGACTGGAACGAACTCCTTTTACACTAGGGGGCAAACTTGCCTTAGGGAAAGATTACTAGTAACCAAATTAACGAGATACGTTCTTTGGCGAAAATGCACTCTCTCCTTGACCAATTATATCTTTAGGCAATCCAGTAACAGTGAAAAACTTTCCATCGAAAATCTTACAATGTCGAAAATTCAAAAGATAGCTTTCCTTGCGATTGTCTTTACAACCATAAACCTCTAATGTATGAAAAAAATTATTTAAGTCTATTCCTGAGTCACTAATTGGAACAAAGCTCTCAAGATGGAAGGTTCTGTTGCGACGATTTCCCCAAAACGTCAGACTTGAAATTGTTACTTGTTGAGTGGCTTCGTGGAAAGAAAGTTCACCAATAATTCGACGAAAAAAATAGCTCAAAGCAACAAAACCAGCTGTTGTACCAGTAGCTCCGGTAACAGCACAAATGAAGGAGTTAAGTGATATGTCTCCACATAAGTACCAGTAGGTTATTGGGCAAGTGAAACTTGTCATTAAAGCCACGTGTAAGATTTTCAATCTAGATATGAAACGAATGTGTTTCATCCATTTAAAACGATAGAGTACTTGATTGTCATTTGGAGTGATGTTCTGTGGAGACACATAATGTTTTCCCTCTGGCTGGCAAAAGCGATTGACGGCCGATGACGTTGAAATAAATATCTTTCTCAAAAAGAGAACGTTAGTGCTGTAATGTAGAGGAATCCTTCTCCAGAGGAAGTAACCTTTGCAAAACCGAAGGGTTGAAGAAGAAAATGAAGACATGATTCCTAGCGACATAGCAGTGATACTTGGAAACCCTCTCTGCTCATTGAGTGAGCGGAGTCTGGAAACGAGTTGCAATCACAATCTCCAAGATGGCTGTAGTAGGATTTCGTGAGAAGAGGAAGTTGGCACAAAGAGCAGACATTTTTGTTAGATTTGAGGCTAAAGAACGATATAACAATATTAGACAAATTTTAAAGAAAGATCCTTCACTGAGAAATGACGAAGAGATCCAAATGATGGCAAACTCCCAAGAAATAGTCCAAGAAATCGAGAAGAGATCTTGGCGACAAGAGCAAGCCAAGCGTCGAGTTGAAGAGGTGAGCTTTGTATCGAAGAGTTTGTTCATCCTTTTTCTTTCCTAAGATTTATTTTTAATTTTTTACTTTCGTTTGACCTTGGAAAATAGGTGCTAGATCCTCCAGATGTATTGGATCAAAAAACAACTGAACTTGCCGAAGCGATTATTAAGGCAAAATGTCTTGTTGTTTACACTGGTGCTGGAGTGAGTACGGTAGGTTCCACTGATGGTGAATCGTTCTTTGCATTCAATTTTTCTCTTTTTCAATTTTTTTTCGTCAAAAGAATTAAACGAGACTTTTCCTTTTTCTCCCAGGCAGCTTCGATCCCTGATTACAGGTTGGTGAATGCTATGTCGGAATAACACCGTTTTAATATCGTTGTAGATCCTCTAAATGCCTTAGTTATAGTATTTTATGATATTTATATGATATCTCCTATTTTGATTTACATGTTAGCTTACATTTAATTTGTATAACAACTATAGGGGCCCTGACGGAGTCTGGACTCGTCTTTCACGAGGAGAAAATATAGGGTAAAACACGATGGAGTTTTTATTAAATAGTATATGTTATTATTAATTAATTAATGCGAACGGGTTTCTCATTTAGCTAATTTAGCAGGTAATTCGAAATTTCAACTTATTAGGAATGTTGATTTGAAAAAAATGGATTGTTTAATTTTCTCTTCATCCCCTTGGACCTTGGAAAATTCTTTGACAAAGAGAAGTAATTATCATGAAACTGTTTACATCTAATGAAATTACTACAGTTATTTTAATAGTTAAAGAGAATTTAGTCATTTCTTGTGATGCATACAGTTCCATGGATTTCTAGCTTTAAAATCACTAAAAGAAAAGTTTAATTTGTGAAATTGTCTAGCCCAGGCATGGTTTCCATCTGAGTGGATTAGTCCTGAAGAGGGGGGTACCAACTCCATTCCATAACCCATTATTTCCAAATCTCACTAACAAGTGGTCAACTCCCATTTTCATCAGCAGAATTCAGAAAATGTCACTGTTTCTCTTGTTAGCCCTTTTCTTGTGAAATCTAGAATTACCACTTTAACCTCTTCCTCTTGGCACATGCATAGCAATTTACTTAGCCCCATTTAAGTCACGTTTCCCATAATATATTTCCTCATACAGGGATCTGCTCTGTATTGCATGATCATTGCAAGTCTCCTCTAAGGACTCCAAGGATTTTTTTTTGTAAATTATTTAGCCTGCATATTTTTTTCAGCTCTTATAATCTGACAGATGCTGATCCGACGTTAACTCATATGAGCATTATAAAGCTTTATCAAGAAGGGCTGGTTAGTGTGTAGCTTATCTTCCAATTGCAAGCAAAAATGATAGAAGTGAACATTTTTCTTGTACCTCAGTTAACCCTTTCACTCCCACAAGTGATCAAGACAGAATTTCTCCTTACAATATCAATACAATATCAAGCAGGCAAGTGATGAGAATAGAGAGGAATGTCTATCATGGGATGATAAGTTGATCCAATACCAAATTCTCTGAACTAACATCATAAGAATTGTATGGCAGATAGTAAGGAGAATTACTAATTAGATCTTGGGAGTGAAAGGGTTAAAAACAAGTCATTTGAAAGCATGACCCCATTTTTGCATGACTCAGGAAACGTGGTTGAGTTTAAGCATTATGTTTAGGGTGATGAAAAACAATAAAAATTCACCGTAATTGTAATTTAATGCAAGTAATTTAATCCTTGTGGTGCACAAACTACTGGAAGGAGATTGTGAATGGTTCAACTTTAACCCAGAGCCTTAGTTGTCATTCATAACCTCTCTTTAGACTTTTGTAGCAGGGAATACACTGAAATTCACCCTCTTCTTCTGTTTTGCTGAACTAGCTTTGAACAATGGTGCTATAACCAGTTCAAAATTTTTGGAACACCTTGAGCAAAAAAATTAAAGTGCTGCCCCCCTTCTCAAAAAAAATTAAATGCTGCCCCACTTCCTCAATTCAATGTTGTTTATCTAAGTTTTGTACATGGTAATACTTAGCTACCAATATTGCAAAAGGGTTAGTGGATGATATATTATACAGGATCACTTTGTGAACAAGCCACACCATGCACAATTGGCATATGATACTGGTATAGGCCATTTATATACATCACACAGTTTAGAAAACCCTCCTAAATTAATTGGTAAACATTTTTTTTTTACACCTCAAAGAAGGATGTTTTCGCTACATGTGTGCAAAGAGTATTTCAGAAATCTTGAAAGTGAAATGTGAACTAGGGAAAAAAAAGAAGAAACATGGTTTCTGAATGATTTTCAACCCAAAAAACTATACAAACTGAGCAAAAGTAAGAAAATGAACCAAAATTTGACTCTGGTTTATTATGCTCTTAGCCTTGCAAGAATTGATGTCTTTCAGCCTGGTGATAAATTAGCATTAACATTAAAAAAAAAATCAGAAAAAAAGAAGGGATTTTCCAGAAGTGGCTTCTAGAAGAGGATTGTAAAAACAAAATAAGTAAATTTCTTTTGGTATATGGCTGATGCAGATGAAATGAGTGGTAAAGAATTCAGTTTTGCATGTGGTGATATCAATACCATAGGACAATGTTCTTGCATTTTATTCGGTTGTCCTGCAGATTTAGTACTTTCATGAATGTAAAACTTTTGAGTTCAAAAGAGGAATTCTTCCATGTGGCCATTTCATTTTATTTTTCAGGTGAAACATGTGGTGTCACAGAATTGTGATGGCCTGCATGTCAGAAGTGGTCTTCCACCGGAAGCTTTGTCTGAGATCCATGGGAACATGTTTGTTGAGGTGTGATTGATCATCTTATTACCATGCTGAATAGTGTTTCTATGAAATGATGACTGATAGGCTCTAAACACAACAAATGGATCATAATGGTTCTACTTGTAGGCAACAGTGCTTAATAGTAACCATGCACAATATTTGTTTAAAGCTGTTATAGATGACAATTCAGCTTTTGTATTTTGGAAAAGATAATATCACACATTAGTTAAATGAAATATTATATTGCCCTGGGAGGACACTTGTCACAGGGTTGGAGCATTCTGATTGTTTTAGTTTCTGAACAAGTAAATAACAATACTATCATTCATTTTTACTGCAGGTGTGCACAGAATGTGAAGAGAAGGACAGAACTTACTATCGTCTATTTGATGTGACAGAAAATACAAGACTGAGGAGGCATCAAACAAATCGATATTGTTGTGAATGTGGCTCACAGCTAAGAGATACCATAGTTCATTTCGGTGAAAAGGGTAACCTGCATTGGCCTTTAAACTGGCAAGGAGCATTAGAGAAGGCCAAAATTGCAGATTGTATTCTTTGTCTGGGATCCAGCTTAAAGGTATTTATGGAAAGATGAACTTTTGGTTTTTTTTGTACTATATTTTAATGTACAAGAGGAGGTGCATTATTGGGAGCCTGAGCCAGATATTCAACAAGCAAAAACATTCATCATATTAACAAGACTCATACTGAAGTTTCCACCATAATCTTGCTACCTTTGCCCAAATATCTTATTTTAAAATACTTCACCATTCATTTTTTGTTTCCATGGTTTGAATGAAATGTAAAGATACTGTGAACTAGCTTTCTTTTCCACTGTCCACACTCCAGTATCTCCATATAGTTTCTTGGAGGCTGAGATGTGTTGTTCCTGAAGGAGATGAACTCTACCTAAAGTACATAGTCTGGTCATTAATAATTGAAATTAAAAAGACTCAGCAAATCAATTGAATTAACTTGCAATAGAGGCATCCCAAGCCCACATCTTGCAAACAGGGAAAAGTAATCATCTGTTCTCTCATTAAGTGTTCCACATTGTAAAATTTTGTCAGAAGGCGCTGCATGACATCCCAAAAAATGGTTGGGTTTAGTCTGCATGACATCAGTCATTTCATATGGTGATCTCTACAGAAAATATATAATAAACTCAATGATCGTTAACTTTTAATACCCTAAATCCACCCATTGGTAGGCAGATATAAAAGGTGTAATTACCCCTAGTTCTCTTTGTTGTCTCAAGCAATTTGGTAAGCTTTGGGATGGATGATCCCCTCTTATCAGCAGCAAACCCCTAGGAGGAACTGGCCATTGTAAATAAAATAACTAACTTCATGTTACCCCAAACCCAAAGGCATTCCTGCCTGTGGTGCAGGCATGAAAAATGAAAAAAAGAGAGATTGTGTAGGTCAGTCTGTGCTATGGCACCATAGGAATGTTCAATTTGCACAGGATGAACCTTGTTCACCAACATGGTCACCATTTTATCATTTCTAATGCCTGTGATGCTATTTGGAAACAATCTCCAGAAAACCAAAATTCTGAAACAGGCTAGTTGTAAGTTAGTTTTAACAATAAAGCCTTCACTTTCTTAATGTGTTTTTGACTTTATTTTTCCAAAGGTGCTAAAGAGGTACCATGCTTTATGGGGGATGAGTAGAGTGAAGACAAGGAGACCCAGCCTTTATATTGTTAACCTACAGGTAATGTAGCATTATGACTGGTAACTTGATGACTTGATAGTGTGACAGTACAGTGAAAATAGTGCCATTTCTCTAAGGTTCACCAAACTTAAAGACATTTTGGATCATCGGGTTTACCAACAAACCAAAGTGGTCTGGGTGACAAATTTTCAGAAGAAATATGAAAATACAAACTCTTTCTGTTTGATTTCCTAAAATTTTCTTTCTTATAGCAGCTTTGGCCATATGTGTACTTCCAGATGTAATTTGTCTCTAGGTTCTGGCTAAAAGTCAGTTCTTAAATTGTGTGTATGCTGGGGAATGGGGGATGACTCATTTAATTTTTGTATTTTCCTTATTTTTTAATATTCTCTCCATGGCTTTCCATATATGTACAATTACATATGGAGATATTTGTTTATCTAGTTGTTTGTTTTTTATTTATTTATTATTTATTTAAGCAATAGAACTCATATTCCAGGGTTTTATATGTTAGGAGAACACAAGGAGAGCTTCGAGAGTGTTCTTCCAACATCCAAAGTGGATTTATAATGTTTTAAGAAGTATTCTGTTGCTTGTAGTTGCTGGTTTTCATTAAAGCCCATTACAAAGCATGAGAAACCAATCACCTTGCCCAAAAGAAAATGAAAAACTTACAATGACTGAATTTATGAATGAAATCTTACCAAGGATCTGAGTAGAAATTAAAATAAAATGGCAGAAAAAAAATGTTATAAATTAAAATGAAGGCAAAAATTTATAGAAAAAAAAATTTTTGCCAAAGAACTCCTAAATCTTGACAAGGAAAATGGAAAAAAATCCAAGGGAGAGCTCTACATGAAAAATGAGTAATACAGTAGTTTCAGTAGGAATTATATAACAAGTTATCTTGTCTATTCAATATTTAAATTTAGTGGCTTCAGTTACTTTGATGAATAATCCAAAAAGGCACGGAGTTACTGAAGCCAAAACAAAAATTTTTCAGACTGCTTTTGCCACTAAATGCTGCCTCATACTCACTATGAGCTGTTTTTCATAAGTACATGTATTTGTCAACTTATTTATTGTCTAAAATTATGTCAAGTAAATGTTTTGATGACACTATGATGTAGAGAATATCTCCTAAGAGGAACTTAGCACATCAGCAAATAAACATCTCAACAATTTGCCAAGTGTAGAAGAAAGATTTTTGTCACATAAACTACAGTGATATACAAAGATTTCCAGCCCTAAGAAAAGCCCTAACAACACACGTGAAAAAATACTATATTTTTTTCATGTGTGTTTGATATTGCCAATCAGCTGCTGACATGTCACTTGCCTTTTGCATCAATTGGTCAGGTTGATGAATGAAAGGCAAAGCCTTCACCATTCTCTGTTCATGGATGTTTGTCAGAATTTCCTTGTAGTATGGCTGCTAAATCATTGAAAATGGCTTACAGACAGTAATGTTCAAACTTTCCTAGAAGAGAAAGAAAACCACAATTTGAAAAGAAAACTGAAAGTTATGTATTCATTGACTTGTGTAATGGCATTTCTCGTGGCTGAGAACGAAAATTGACAACTGGAAGATTTGCCACAGGTCGATTTTAGCTTTGTCATGGAAAGATTTCTATATGTAATGAAAAAGTCAACAACTGACAATTTTGTTTATTGAAAATTATGTCCATTGTTGTTTTGTAGTGATGCAGTGCTTTTTTTTTTCATATTGAGCTTTATCACCGATGCACTTTATGATTTTTTTTTGGGGATTGTCGATCCTTTTTTCATTTGTAAATAAAGTCAACTTTCCTCATCAGTTTAGGGCTATTGTGTTTATTTGATAAACAAAATAATACATGGTTACTTGTAGATATGGAATATCTCTTCTCATGTTCAACTCGACATCTCACGTGTTTGCTGTGCTCACTTGTAAGCTATCGAGTTGAACACTGGAAGAGAAATTCCATATCTACATGCACTTATGTATTATTCACTATACAAGCCACAGTCAAAATCTTATTTAAACAGTATATTACCAAATAGCCCTTAAATTTACATGGACAGAAACACCTTGAACTACTTTCTCCTACATTGTATAGTGTCCCTTCAGTCTTTGATTTTGAAAGCAATTGAGTGTATGAAATACAGGTTTCATTTTAGTAATTGTTTGCTACATTTGCATTGAGGTGGATGTAACATGCACCATTTGATGTGGAACTGTATCTATTGCTTTCATCACTATCTGCTTTCAAGGCCACAATCGATACCGTCAGAGTATCAGTATATAAATCTATCAATTTATGTGGTTTGGAGTGATTAAATAATTTTACACATGATGCATGCAATTTAATTAAATTTCTGTGAATTTTTAAGTGCTTCCTGTTTTGATCAAAATTGAATCTTTCACAAATCATATTTTTACACTTCAGTGGACTCCAAAGGACGACCTTGCGGCACTAAAGATCAGTGGTGAGTTTCACACATCAACAAAATGTTGATGAGTTGTATTACTTATATTGTAAAATATTATTACATGGCTTCTCATAGAGAATATGTCTGTCAAAATTTCATCGCCATCAAGTGATCATTGCCTGGAGGTGCCAACCTCTGAAAATCTAGTTTATGGAGATGTATGATTTGCAATTGCGTTTTCCTTCACAAACAACTAAGGGTAGTAAAAATAACCCTTTCACTAATCACCCATATGCTGGTAATCGGGTAGCAAATTTATGTCTCCATAAAGAAATGGCCTCAATACTCACAACCTGTTTCTTAGGTCGCTGTGATGATGTAATGGAGAGAGTTATGGCTAAACTTGGACTTGGTATTCCCGAGTATAAAAGGTTTGTTTGGCTCTGTACTTTTGTTTATTTTACTCTAAATGTCCTTGATCTAAGTGAACTGCTAACAGGAGTTGTGGATGGCCATTTTTGTACAAGTATACAGAATACTTTGTCATATTTTGAACAGTTTGTCTTGACAGCTTATTCACCATGTTTTCTGATACTTGTAGAGGAGTGTTAATGTCAGATTTTTGCATATTTTTGCTCTTGTTCTCTTTTCATTCGCAAAGTGAACATTTTTTATGAAAGCAGGAGTATGGTTATATTAGTTTTCCTTTTTTAGCTCATTTCAATGTCTCCTGGTGATTACTTTGACCTCCCTTTACCACTACTTCTAGAAAAACATGCTTATTTAAGTTGTTTTTCAGTTTTATTTCCTTGGTTTCCTATTTACATTGTGGCTTAAGGAAAAATAAATTGTTTCTTGTAGTATCTTTTGGGGTGACATATTGATGAAGAATGTGCCAGTGCCTTCCAATGAATTGCATGAATTATGTGAAAATTATTAATTTTTTAATGTGTTAAGTACCCCATTTACCCTCAGATAGGACACAGTTTAAACCAGAAAAGTAAGATAAAAGTTAGGGTGCTTCTTAAATGGAGGTGAAAGTGTTTTGACACCTCGTTATTATACATGATAGCTCAAAGTTTTGTCTTACACTTTAATTGTTGTATATTCATTGTAAGGCAACAGTCTTTGTATACAGAGGTTTCTCCTTCTTGGAGTTGATAACAAACTTCTTAGTCTCCAGCCTTAAAACGATATATTTCGGAATATTCTATTTGTGACTGCAGCTTTCCTTTTTGTTACTGAGTGAAATTAAAGATAGGCAGCAGTCAATTCCGTGGATTTTAAAAAGCATACGATTATTCTGGTCTGTTTAAGTGTTTAAAAATAGCTTATACTAATCGATCCAAACGTTAACGTCAACTCAAAATAATTGAACCAAACCAATCAGCCAATTACCCTCAACTGTTTCCACGGCTCATGTTTCATATCAGATCATAAACAATCGCAATTGTTCAAAATAGTGTTGGGTTTGCGCCTAAACTTGAATTTTTTTTGTTCAACGGTGCCTAGAATAAACTCTGAAAAGAAGTTTTATGATGAAAATTTGCCTATTAAAGGTGAGAAGCAATTGAAAGAACTAAAGTAAATCCTGATTGCTCCAGAAGCTTCTAAAACGCATGGAATCACTCAATGCCATTACTTGTTTTCTTTTTACTCCATTACTCGTTACTGAGTTACTCTGTTTAACAACATCCCAATTATAGAGGGAAGCCCGAGTGAAGGCCACTGTCGCCTTTCGTTCATTTTATTCTAAGCTGGCTTTATAAATTTTACAACTGTTCTTTGTCAGTGGGTTTCATTACGACAGCTGCATGATTTCTGATCACAATTTACTAATTATCTTTTCAAAGTTTGGGGGTGTGGCTTATACACGGATGCCACCTATTCGCGGGTGAATTCGGTACATATGTGATTGTAGTTCACCTATAGCCCATAAAAAGCCAAAGATGACAGTTACAAAATGTCATACACTCAAAAATTCAAAACAGATGATGTATTTTTAAACTCTTTAAATAGATGAACTGGTTTTTTGTAATATTCATTACAATTCCTCTGCAAGATTCTTTACAATTCTTAAAAAAATAGCTCTTTGTTTTGCAGAAAATACATGGTCGTTGTGAGATGAACTGACCTATGTTTTTTTTTTGGTTGTCTTGTAGATGTAAAGACTCTCTTTTTACTCTCTCAACGCCACTGAGGACCCATGAATTGGACACTTTTAGCACCAAATGCTTAACTGTTACAGTCCAGCAATGTAACCAGTCCCTTGAATATGTCAAAACTGACACTGTGGTAACTGAAGGACTAGAATGTAATAACTGTGAGGACAATAACTCGTCTTGTTGTAAAACTGAGAAAGGTGTTCTCTCAAATCCTAAACATCCAGGTTGGTTTGGTAAAGGGTTCGCAAAGGTCAAGAAACCCAGAAAGAAAAGGAGGCTGAGATGATGAATACTCGTGAGCACTTAATTGTGGAATCATGCAGTTAGTATTTCCACAGATGAATTTGGTCTTTCGAGAAAAACCTGTTTCATTGCGATGTTTTTTGTCGTCGTCTAATGAGAAGGCTTCTAATGTACACATATTACAAACATAACAAGAATGGAAAATATAGCACAGTGGTCAAACATCTAGACATAGGCGAGCGTTTTAATGGCTTTGAGGCTGTCTTAGCAAAGCTGTCTCCTAGGAGATACGAAAAACCGCACAAGCCAGTTAGTCACAGTGTTTTTTAAACCAATAAAGCTTAAAACAACATGATAAATCATCAGAATATCTGTAATTGAGTGAGCTTTGTGTTCAAAAAGTCTCCGGGTTTCCTTTTCTCTCTTTTTTTTTTTGCTTTACCAATCTCTATGAACGTTTGAGTTTTTCTTAATTTCTTATGACGGCAGTTGTTTCTTACATTTTCCTTTGAAATTTTGGCGCGGGAAAGTTTAGCGTGGCCAGCCACTTGCGCAATCACTTGTGCCTGCCCAACGTTTTACCGTCGTGACAAAACTTGAAAAGTACTGATTGAGCACCAATAATTACAATGCTCTAGCGCCTAAAGAAACGGTCGACATGGAGGAAGTCTCGTAAATGAATTGACAAGGATGGCCGAGTTCAAGTAATGCATGAGAAACTATTAGGCAAGTATGGTTGTCAGTTTGAACTGTCCATTCCACCGTTTTATTGTCCCTTACAGAGGAAAGATGAGGTTTCAATGGTTTCCAAATGGTTTTGTGGAAGTAAAAATATTAGAGTTTCATTTCCAAATACTTAAAGAAATCTGTAATAGAAAATTTTGTACTTCGGTGAATTTGTCGTGCCACCAACCTTAATAAGAAAGGAAAAGGTTGTGGAGCCAACGAGCTTAAGCCTTGGAGTGTTCGGCAAGGGCTTAAGTCAGAGGAAAATGCTTAAAGTTCAACTCGATTATAGTTGATGTTGCATTAGGCCTCTTACCAGTTTAAGCCTACTGAAATGCTCCTGTTGGAAGAAAAGGGTGAAACAGAAAGTGAAGGATGAAATACTACCTAAATGCAAAGCAAGCTCATTGGAGAAACAGTTGCTCAACATTGGCTCGCTTTTGGTTTGAGAACATGAAATTTTGGCTGCCTAGAACATTATCCATGGAAAATATTAAACTTTCTTTAGGTTTATGCATTTGACTGTTGCTCCATGTGTTAAAAATGTATAGACAACAACTTTCTTTTTTCATGGGACTTACTGGCGTCATGTTCCACAAGTAACGCTGATATAAAATTCCACTGAAAATAATCAAGCAATTCATCATCAACCATTTTAGCTAATTTGACCATTTTCATTGGTAGAACCATTTTATCTAGTTTGGTGTTGGACCATTTTACATGCTTGACCATTTGGATTGGTTAGTTCATTTAAACCAGTTGGACCATTTTGTCTAGTTAAAGTATTTATATAATTGGAGCGTTTTGTTTGGTTAAAACTAATAGGACTATTTTAACTAGTTGAAGCATTTATTCAAGTTAGACTATTTTATGTGGTTGGAGCATTTTATATGGTTAAACCGTTTTAACTGATGTGACCATTTTAACAAATTGGGCTATTTCTACCAGTTTGATCATTTTATCAATCTAACCAATTCGACCATTTGAACCGGCTGAACAGTTTTATCTCTTAAGACCATTTTAAAAGGTAGTACCATGTCAGCCTGTTGGAGCTAAATATCCACTTACCCCATTTTAACCAACTGGACCATTTCAAACAGTAAAACCATTTTATCTAGTTAGACCATTTAATGTAGTTGTATCACCTTAACTAGTTCGACCACTTTAAGCTGTTGGAATTTTTTTCTAGCTAAATTATTTTACGCAGTTGCACCATTTTTAACTGGTTTCTCCATTTTAATAAATTGAGCCGTTTAAACAAATTTCACCGTTTTATATAGTTGGGTCATTTTAATCAGTTGGCCCATTTGAACAAGATGTCCCATTTTATTTACTAAGACTATTTAGAACGGCTGAACCATTTTATCTGTTAAGATAATTTTTAATTGATTGGACTTCCTTAACCAGTTGGACCATATCATCTAGTTAGAAGGACGCATTATTACCACTAGTTGGAACCTCTTACTAGTTTGGCCATTTCAAGCGGTTGGATTATTTCAGCTTGTTACCACACTTTAATCAATTGCAGCATTTTAACGAGTTGGATCAGTTCGTCGCGTTGAAAAATTTTATGTGGTCGGACCATTTTATCCAGTTATGGTTCAACCATTATAACAAATTGGATTCTTTAAACAATTTCGATTATTTTATCTAGTTACATTTGAATGGACCGGACCGTTTCAACAAGTTGAACCATTTAATTTTTTTTAACCAGTTGGAACATTTTAATTGGTTTTTTGTATTTCAGCTGGTTGGATCTGTTTATATCTTTACATCATTCAATGCGATTGCATCATTATATTTAGCTAAACCGTTTTATCTAGTTAGACCAGACCATTTCTACCACTAGTTGGACCATTTTAATTGTTAAATCTCAATACAGGAATCTTTAAGCTCTATGAAGACCTTTTCTTGACTTAAAGTGAGAGAGCAAACAGGGTGAGTGAAGGTATTCAATCTTAAGATCTTTTAAGAATCAGATGCATTGCTGGAGACAAGAAAACTTCAGCTGGAGGAGTCCTCAAGGAGAACAAGCTCAATTATATTTATGAGATAAGTTTAGAATTACAATAGATCATGAAATTTTGAAAGATCATGGAGTCCTCTTTCTAAGAGTACTTCCTGATGAACTTGTTTTTGAGCTCAGGCTTGCACCCGCGCCAATATTGTAATATGAAGTTATTCAAGGCCCATAACTTATCGAGGAAGCGAGATAAAATTACTTGAATAGAAGGGAGTTCAGGTATGAGCATGTAACTCGCAACAAGACACTCTCAGTATCGAAAGGATCTGACACGATCATCGACAAAAGTATCAATGCTCCGAGGAGATCAATGAAAAGGCTCCCCCTATTCTATGAGACATGCGCAGTTGGTGAGAGAAAGAGAGTGAAAAGACATTGAATCTTGACGTCACTGAAGTGAACATGGTTGTGAATGGAATTCCAAATAAGGTATTCAGTCAAGGAACGAAAGGGAGGGATCTTTGGAAAGAAGTCTATAGAAGAATTGAGAAGGAAAACAGCGCTCAGTCTCGGAAGCATGAAAGACAGTGACCTTCACGATTCAGGATTGAGACTGGTAAATACGAAAGAGGGAGTTCAGCTTAGTAGGAAGGGGTCAGTTTCAGGGAATGTGAAATGCCACATCTTTATCCTCTCAGTCACTCAGTTCATCGTCGCGAACAGAGAACTGAAGAGTGTTACTTAATAAAACATGAGATGAAAAATAATTGAATCCTGAGAATATACCATTAAATGCATTGATAGTTGGACCGGCAAATTCAGGAAAGACGAGACACTTGGTAAATTTACTAACCACTACATTTCCGCCTATGGAAATTATGGTGGGTGAGACATGGGGTAACCTAGCGACACTTGACAGTTAGAAGTATAAAGTTTTCATAGTGAGTGACCTGGGAAAATTAAAGACGAGCCAGTAACCCCAATTTTTTACCTATCCCCATAAACCCCATAAACTCACCGCTGCAAAAGAACAACCACTGTAGCGAGATAAATTTGTTTTTATCCAAAATTAGATCAACTTTTCAGGTCGAGATTGCGAGTGTTTATTCCTTATATTTCGCCTACTGTACAACGTAAACGAATTTCTATATTTGGGGCGGCTTACTGTGCGAGCCTGGGTTACCTGTGGGGATATCCAAAGCACGAATGATTTTCATTTCATCTGTGTTGTCACTGGACCTTGGACTCACGCATGAATGGAAAACAAACCAACACAAGAAAATTACTTTTAATTAGTATTGGCCACAATACAATTTCACTTTCTCCCATCAACGAAGACCTCCTCGCCATTCGTGAAATATTAAAGTTACCCATTTTGTTTCGTAAATTGTTGACTTAATCTAAAAACTTTGAATCATCTCTAGTTTTTAGGAGTCTGCCATCTTCACCAGTAAATATGACTGAACACAAGCAAAAATGAATTTAAAGTGAAAAATTTTGATTTGTACGACTCGCATAACACCAAGGAAAATTTGAGCCCTGAAACAAAATATCCTGATTACTAAAGCAGAGTTAAGAATCTTGGAGCCCATATGAAAAACTCGGGCTTCATCGCTGTATTCATACACTTAAAAACCTCAATGCGGTTCGCCTACGGCCTCGTGCTTTCATTGTTTTCTCTGTGTCTAGATCTGTGTTGTCACAGGACCTTGGACTCACGCACTCGTTGTTGAAAAATTACATCAAGGATGGTGTAGATTAACGAGTTATGCCGTAGTTGTTATTTTTCTAATTTTTTCTGTTAGAATCCTCTCGAAAACACTGTCTTCTTCTGATCGGGAGCAGAATTTATTGCAGGACCACGTATAATCGAGTAAAACGATAACTAGCTTGGAAGAACAAAGAACAAAGACTCATGTGAAAAATAGCTAGTATTTGAAAGTAGGAATTCTTCTTCTAAGGTGTTGGAATAACTGGTCACGTTCCAAGCTTTATTATACCTTGCTCTCAACACTATTTATATTATCCAATGCATCCCGCAGGCGTTCCGTTTCAACGCACAGAAATTGTTCAGCAGAGTCGAAGATGTAGGTGTCTCCGTGTAGGTCACTCCATTTTTCCCTAGCTGCATCTTTTGACGACTTGTTAAGTTGGTACCGGAAATGAGGTCTCTCTTCAAGTATGATTTCCCGTATAAGTTCAGTCACTCTGCGTAAATCAAAGTTTTTCACAGACCTTTGTCTCCTCATTTTCGCTGAACATGAATCTTGATACTTTTTGGTGTGGTCATCAGCATTTTCCATTTTAGACCGGATAGAAACTTGTATGGTTTGGGCCGTCTTCTCTTCACCTTTTATCATACTTGTTTCAACAATTGAGCAACTACAACGATGAATTGATGCAAAATCAATAATCAAGTATATCAGTGAAAGGGAATGTCAACACAACAAGCGAAATAATTGAGTTTCCATTCCAGCTTTAGAAGGGTCAATACTTCTAATATATATATTATGAAATAGATATGTAAATAGATACACATCTATTCAACATATATATCGCGTATCTATTGCTCAAAAAAGAATGTGTCACGTCTTCTAAGAGAGAGACATGGTGGTACCTTTAGAAAACCCGAAAGGCTAACGCTGTACAAAGTGAAAGAAGAACGGAACAAGTGTACACAATACAAAAGGCGATTCTCGTTGAACACCAGGGTCTAAAACTGGGAAATAAGTACATTTTAATTAAGTTGATTGCTTTTTCGTGGCCTTTATTAAATTCAGTGTTTTCACTGAATTCAGATTATTTGAAGAAACAAACAATCATCCATTTCGCAAAAGGGGTTCCTTGGGCTACAAGCTAGGAAATTTCGGTTACTTTCATATCAATGATTAAAGGAAAACACGCAAAGCACGCAAAAGCGATGACACTTCTTCTCGAGCAAGCAAAGATTTGCCATGGTTTGAAGAGGTGTCTAATAGTTTCGCTCCAACGGAACCGTTTCGTCACAGGTTATTTTGGTACAAAACGTAGTCGATTCGCTTTAAATCAAAAGTCGTTTCCTTACAAACTCATTTGCTTGTTTTCGTATATCTCGAGATATGGGAGTAGCATCGAAATGAAGGCATCAGAAACTTATCACAATTCAATTAATCCCTATATCTCCAAGGTGTATTAGTTTGGGGTAGTGTGTATAAGCCACAAACAAAGAAAATTGAGGTAAACCAAAACCATGTTGGAAGGTAAATATATTTGCTAAAATAAAGACAGCTAAACAAAATCTTTACAAGCCCGGAGTTAGAGCTGATGTGGGTTTGCCTTTTCGTAACAAACAAAACGTTATCTACCGTCAAAACAAAGAAGAAAGTAATTCCTCTCAACGTTTAACACGGCATCATATTACATGACGTTGTAGTTACTGGTATTCTTTCTCTTTCCCTTGTTTTTTTCCCGTTGTATTTTAGATCTCAAACTGTGCGGAAAGCTAACAAAGAAACCAACTGGTTCACTTAACTTTCCAGCTTGCACTGTAATTTCATTTCTAATTTCAATGCTTAAGTGTAACTACAAAAAACTTATATAGGAGGTTAGCATTAACTTAAATTAGTGTCAAACACATTTAAGACAGCAGGCTGAATAACATTGTGGTGTTGGCAGGGTACGCCGAATGCACAACGCTTGGTACGTTTCGTTTGAATGCAACCTTCACAGATTGCATGAGTTTCAGACACAACCAGATGTTTAGGTGCGTGACAGGAAAGAACAAAAGTTTGTTTTGAATAAGTTTAAGTTCGAATCACGTAAGTTTGCAGTAAAACAACTTTTTCATTCGTAGCGAATCGAGTTCGATTCGTAGAAAAACAACTTACAGCATTGTGCCAAAACACATACCAACTTCATCATACTCTTCGGTGAGTTTCTATAACCTTATTTCTGTGACTTTAAAATACCTGGTATTCCCCTGACAGATGTACAGATCAGCCTCTCAACATATTAAGATTTATGATTTTATTTCTACTCTTTTCAACACTGCTCTGCTCCATTCATGGCATTTGCGGTTAAGCCATGAACTTACTAATCAAAGAGCTTCTATAAACTTACCGGATGTTGAATGCAAGACATTCTGGAGCAATACTTTCCATGAACCCTTCAAGGGCAAATTTCGAGGCACAGTAGAGACCGTGAAAAGGGATACCAAGCACTCCTGCTTGATTGCTTACAATGATGAGTCGACCATCTCGCTGCTTTTTCATCATCGGAAGAACGGCCTTTATAATGCTGATCACAAAAAACGTATTCACATCAAATATTGTCTTGGCCTGGTCAGTAGTATGTGTCTCTATTTGACCGCTTAGAAGGACGTTTGACGTAATGACTGAAAGTAAAGCCGGATACAATTTTCAGTTTGCTATCAAAGAAAGCCTGTCGATCGATATAGCACTGTTTCTCACCATCCATAAACAAAACAAAACTTTAAATTGATTGTTTATTTACTGTTTTCGGGCCTATTTGCCTCTAATCATTTGGGATATATCATCCTGTTTCCGAGTTAATACTTAGCCTGAATATTGGCCCGATTCATTTGCGAAATTCAATAGCTTGATTACCGCGCTGGAGAAAAAGAAAGACAAAGAGAGAACAATGGATTTGACCGTTCTCTTGGGAAATTTCCTACCCAGGTTTTCCAAGATCTCGCTAACCAAAGAAAAAAGTGGTGAGGCGAGATCTCGAAAACCGACCCAACTCGGCTCTCAGGGTGTTGAGTTGTATTAAGTTTCGCGAATGTATTTGGAACTACAATTTTCTCTTCTAAATACCTGAAATCTTTGCTTCAACTTATTTGTGACGTCCACGTTTCAGAAAACTAAATCTAAGATTCCTAAATATGATGACTCAACTTTTACGATTAGATCCATTAACGACTAAAGGAACTTAGGGAAAGTGCTGAAGAAAACAAAGCATCCAAAAGTTTTAAAAAATTGGACTAATTAACAGTGAGTTTCGGCAAACCTTCTTAGCTAACCTTAATCTCAATTTAATCATAGTAACATATACGCCCATCAACTGATAGATATCATTCATGTATTTACATCTTTTACTCACTGTAGTATTATTAAATAATATCACTTTATTATTCCACTACTACGCCTTTTTACCATACCAGGGCAACGGAAAGCGCAAAGCCACCCCCTGAAATTAATTAAATTGATTCATTACTTGACTGAGTAATGCATGTTTCCTTTGTTCATGAACGCGTAACGCGCGCCAAACGTGTTTCGAGACCCGCTTGACGTGGACAACGGGGACACGTTAGTGGACTCAGCTCGTTATGGGAGTTGCGTTCAGCTTTTGAAACTTTTTAGTAGCAAATTTATTGCTTGTTTTCCTTAGGAATTTATGACTTTTCGCAGGCTTTGTTCACAGCCAAATGTTGTACTTGATTTGATGCATTTATTACATCTTTATCAACGGAATTTAGATTCTAGTGCCTTCATCGGACAAGAATTTTCTTCCAGGGATAGATGAAACATAATTTACTTGATAAGCAACCGTCATCAGTTGGGGAAATTTTGAATACAATGTACTTGGTTTGCTTGGCTTTGTCCAACAGGGCGCATAGTTTCAAATAAATCAAAACATCCTAAAATCACGAAGGAAATCCACTGAGACGCACGCAAACATTTAATAGAAAATAGGCCTATCATGGCTCTCCCACCTGACTGAGGGGGTGACAACACAGACTTACTAGGTCTATTAGTAATAATAGAAGTAATAGTAAATCATAATAATAATAGGCCTCGAAGCCATCCCTCATCGAGAAAGGACAGAAACAACTCCTAAACAGATTCGAAAGATCGTCTGACTCGGAAGTTGTCCGAGAATCGACTAACCTTTCAGAAACTGTTTAGAACAAGGACAGGTCTCGACACAAATAGCCGCTGAAGATCCACCCTATGGTGATTATAGTATTCTGCTTACATCTTATATGGTAACTCGGACTAACTTAGTTCACTTCGTATCCACCATAAGCAGCGACACGATCCAAGACAACGAGGTCATAGTGTCTCTCGACACAGAGTCTATCTGGAAATAACTGAAAGATCATTTCATCGCAATAATCCAATTACAGCCTTGGAAAACCAACCTAGAGCATTGAAAATCGGGCTTTAATAATCGTCACAATTGAAAGAACGGACCCATCTCTTGACTCATGAAATGTGTTTAACTTCCCGCGAGATAATTCCAACATGTTAATCCACGACCTCATGACTAGGTGACTCAGCCGATAAACAGCACTGATTAGTTACTAAGTTTTATACAATACTTTCTCATGGGAAAAGCGATTGAATTTGACACACAGTTCTAGGACACCACTTTCGTCCGATGTTTTAGAAAGAGTCAAAGAAGTGACTGCCCGAGGATTCCACAAATTGATAACAGACTTCTCAATAATGAAACGCGTGATCTCTGGAGACAATTTTACAACCGGAAATGTGAGAATGCCACATTTTTTTCAGTTACACCGAAAACCCACAAAAGCTTTTCAAGTAGGTGGGAAATATATTTACAAAAAGAAAAACACTCTGTCGACAGAACTGGTGAGTTTGCTGCAGCTCGAATACACGCACAGCTGTATCAAATTGTCACGTAAGGTCTCCTCATTGCACACAGAAAAATGTGTAACGACTCGCAAACCATTGACAGCGGAATAACGTGAAAGAATGATAACAAAGATTCGCACGTTCTTCTAACTATGCAGATTGTAGCATAATCAAAATAAGAAAAGTATGCGCGATTTACCACCAGTAAACACCATTTACACTCACCGACAGCATCAATAAATCCATCATTATCCATGATCTCTCGAAGGACTCCTTTGATCGATTCCTCCGACTCGAAATCCATTGGGAGGACAAACAGCGTCTTATTGAGCACATTCAATACCCGTGGATCTTCTAAATATTCACTACTTGAGAGAGATGGTATTGTGACCAAAACTTTGAAACTCGAAAGCGGATCTTCAGCCAACGGCAGAGCAATCGCTAGATTCATTCTGTGTGAGTGTCCTGTAAAGAGAACAATTTTTGGAGCAGCAGCCTCTTGTTCAATTTGAACACTCTTCCTGATCGATGCATGCTTTCTTTTAAATACCATTCTACTCTTGGTAGCCCCCATCGTTTTTGAAGCACTCCAGATTTTGTTTGTTTCTTGTCAATCGGAACTGAGTGGAGGAACAAAGGAAAATAAAAAGGACAAGGTTACATACCCCCTGCAGCGGGTGTTGAGGCGTTGGTCCGGCGTCCAGATAGAATCACGTTCGTTACAAACATTTCAGTCATTCCCTAAACTTTAAATTTTCAAACCAATGTTTCAGCTAGCAATACTTTATGCTACGAACACAGAAAAGGCTCGATATCTTAGACCCCTGTCTCTCTTACTTTTATTAGAGAAGAGTCCTGTATGAGCTGAGAGGATGTTTTGGGTACGCAGGCAGACCCCATCAAAACAGTTCGTGCTTTAAAGTGACATGTACCCAGACCTCTGCAATTCGGAGCACGCTAACGAAACGGGGCATATTCCTTTTTGGAGCAAACCTTATGTCTCTGTCGTGTTCTTTTACCCTTTCTCGCATTGAAAAGCACGCTAACGAAACGGGGCATATTCCTATTTGGAGCAGGGTTAAGTTTATTGATCATGACCCCCCTGATTCACACATAAGGTCAAAGAGGCTATCCATATAAGACTTCATCCCAACAACATCAATAGAGATAGCGGAATCAACATTCCAGAAACTTGGATACCCACCATCAAACAACACAACAGCCAATTTATGAGGACCTATGAGGGAACACCATCTAACAACCAGAATAATAGTGAGGATCAAAATGCACCAATAGCAGCATACCAACATGCTAAATAGCGACAAGTAAACAATCAACCTCATCACCTAATGAAGACTAGCAGTATTGCAGTTGAAATGTTGTGATCAACATCAAAAGTGACTTTATCATGAAACAAATGAAAAAAGTTTATCTCCTACCCAATAGCAACCTACTTATTTTAGAAAATAATATTCAGCTCTTGTGGAGACAGCAGGAAAGGCCAAGCTCTTCCTCAATAATAAAAATTTTCAGTAAATTTTAGCTTATTTTGTTTTGAAAATTTTGTTTTCACTTGAATCTGTATGGACTGAAATCTTTAATTCCAGATTATACATCTAGTAGTTGTAGGAGGCTAAATCAAGTTGAGCTGTTGTAACTTTGTGGACCATGAAAAAACAGACAGCTGCATTAAGAGCCAACCGTCTTAGTTACACAAAACATACTTCAAAAAGAGATAGTGAGATTTACACAAGGTTGACCATCTAAGTTTATTATGCCACAACAAAGTGGTTATCATTGATCTTTACTTCCTGTTTTACTTAAATGTTTCACTACATCTACCCAGTTCCATCCTCTCTCTCTTTCTCCTTTAAAATTAGTCCTATCAGCCTGGCGGCGTTTCTGTGCTTTTGTTAATATTTCTCTCTTGTCTTTTTTCTTTGATTGGGTGTTTGAATCTTCTTTTGGTATTTGTTTTCCTCTCCTTTCCTCTTCCTGTCCAAATAAATAACCACTTAATCTATCAAATATTTTTGCTTGCAAACAATTGGTAAAAATGCATTACATGATTGAATATGCCAGGTCTAAAATTGGGGGATATGTGACAATGATGTTCCCCAATTTTTAAACCTTGCCTCTACTGCAATAATAGGCTTTGGTTTAATTCTTTTAGCTTTAAGTTGATTTTTGCACATCAGACAATTGGCCTTGCTACCATTTTCCTATATTTTACACATACTTAGTGCCGGATTTACTGCATTTCAAGGTTTTACAGATTTCACTCAGTTGATTTACCATGTTTTGAAGTTTTACAGATTTCATTGGATTTAAACTTTCTTTTGCCATGCAATTTCCTGGTGAGCTATTTTACTCCAAGTTTGGCTGTGTGGGCACAGGTTGAATTTTCAGCATCAATTTAACCATCATTCAAATTCCCTAATTTACTTTTTGGCTGTCAATTCATCTGACCTTTTTCAAAAGTTGGCTTGAAACCTCATCTTGTGCCTGTTGTTGTTATTACACAAATGGTTTATTTAAGTTCTGTCTAATGCGTTTAAATTAAATAGTTTTGATTAAGTCATTTAAGGATACATCATGTGATATTCAAAGGAGATGGCAAAGGGTTAAAGTTCTCACTATTTAATTGATTAATTAAGAAATACCACGAGGTGGCTCCAAAGAACCTTTGATTTTGACTTTTGAAGTGCATTAATAATAAACTAGTAATAATCTGCTTTAAACAACATCATATTTTGTAATGTGTAACGATTAATGTTGTAGTAATCAGCTTCATGTGGCATCAATAATTTACTTCACTTGGCACACCATACTGACTAGAACAGTATGCAGTACTGGCTTCGTATGCTCTCCATAGGAAGGAAAAGAAGGTTGGCTTTTGGTAAGAAACTGATGGATTAGGTAAGGGTCAAGTTATTTGTCTCCGAACATAAAATATCCCATAGGTACTCATCCACAAAATTGGCTACTGGAAAACGCTTTAGTTACACTCTTGGTTTTTTTTAACATTTGATGGGCATTACAAGTGATACATACAATTCAACAATAGAACTTGGGGTACTTACCTGTTCTTGATTATCTTCCAAAAGCTCATGCAAGTGTTCCTTAGCCCAATCAAATATCGAGTATGTCATAGCAGTTCCGAGGCACATTTCACACTGTTCTTTGATTCGGTAGGTTATAGTTTCTTTCACCTTAGAGGTGATATGTTTGTTATAAAATGCATCTAAGTTAATATTTGGTAGACATGTCGGATAATCCAAGGGCCACGAGATTTCCAACAGGAACGATTGAGTGTGCCCATCTTCCCCAAACTTGTATTGGAAGGTTGTGCTGTTAACCTCTATAAAATTTTCATCTGCGTCAAAGATAGAACGAAGAACTTCTCGCTCATCCTCCTGATCACTGCTGCAGCTCATGCTTTGGATGCTTCTTGAATTTCATTCTCGAGCCTAGGTTCATTTTGGCTCCTTGTCAGCGGTATGATCACCGAATTCATGTAATGGACACATAATGACATACGGTGACCATACCGCTGACAAAGAACCAGTATTGTTTCTATCAAAAGTGCGCATGCGTCAGTCTAGAGATCAATAAATAAGGTAAAAACAATGAGTTTGAAGACAAAGTTGAAACATTAGTCAAAATATTCTGAAGAAGAGCTTCTTTTGAAGCATTTTAGCTAACCCTCAGTTGATTGTTTATAAAAATGAACAAGTTCGAAGCGTAAGTAAACGTTTTTTTACTGTTAGAAAATGACTTTGTGCTAGTTCAGGTGGCTTTTCGTTACCCACAAAATTATTGATCCTTTTTTGGCCAAAAACAGTCTTAAGTTTGACGATTCAAATAATGGCGATAGTACTGATGACAAGGAGGACGACGAATTCGAACCAAGAAACATGAAGGTAAGCTTTTTGTGCGTAAGTGTGTTGGAAACTTTGTGGGTTTGGTGAATAATATGATTGAATGTCATCAGTTAGTATGATGATCAGGGGCTGGATGTTCGTGTAGAAGTCCTTGTCAGCGCTTGTTCCCGTGGGGTTTTATCTAAGTGCAAGGTAGAACTGATCGTAACGTAAAAGTAGACCATGGTACGTAAACTCATTGCGGTAGGCTCAAACTGATGATCAATAGAGGAATGATGTTACGATCATGGTACCATACAATATACTTTTGCACTTTTCCACTGACAGTGAGACAACTATTGAAGGGGTTATTGAAAAATTTCCACCAAGGGATCCTATTGCCAATTACATGTTTTAGTTCAAATCACTAATTAAAATCTGAATTGAGAAGCATGTCTGGTTTGGCTTTTAAAACTTTGCAAAGCTACCCAAGGTTTTGCTGAGAGTTTGGAATACAGTTTGCATTAATTAGGGTATTAATGAAGAGTTTGTTATGTTATGTGCTTGAAAATGGTTTCAAAACAGTTTTGTGTTGATGATCTGCTTAGCTTATCATGATTGTAGTGATTTTGTACAATGTCATTACGAAACAAGAGAACGTGCTATTAAGATTGACATTTTTAAAGGCGTGTCACCTAGATGTGATTTTCGTTAAGTACTCTGACAGATATAGGTTTATATTATATGTAAAGAGAAATAAATCGAGAAAAAGGTTTAAGCGAACTGTTCTTCAGTTGATACGGAAGAAGTAACCCAGGCCAAACAACAGTTGGGAGCCCCATGAGGAACCATGTCAAAAATACTTGATCTTTCTTGGAACAAGGAACGAGACACAGTCTGTGTAAAAGTCCTATCTGAACAAGTGAAGTTGACAAAGCAAGGAATCCTAGTCAAACTGGCAACAATTTATGATCCCCCGGGACTCATCTCACCAAAAACACTTTGTGGCAAGCTCATTTATCGGTCTGTTTGTAATAAAAAGAGAGCATGGGACACAGAACTATCACGCGACATGGCGAAGGCCTGGGTGAAGTGGGAGGGCAGTTTGCCACAAAGCTTTGAAGTGCCAAGATCGCTTGCCCTTCATTGAAAAGAGATTGAGGGGGTTAAGCTACATTCCTTTGGAGGTGCCAGTGCAAATGGAGTTGCAGCCTGTGTTTATGCTGTCATTCATCAGGCAGCCAGGATAAACCAAGGTCTGATTGCTTTAAGGTTAAGACTCTCCAAACAAGGCCTGACTATTCTGCAGCTTGACCTCATAGCCATATAGCCATGAACCTGATAACCAACATAAAGAGGCTCTTGAAGGATTACCCTTAACAAGCATGCACTGTTGGCTGGACAGTTCAGTTGCCTTGTATTGGATTAGGGGGCAAGGGGAGCACAAGCAGTTTGTGTTGAAATTGTGTCCAGGAGATAAACGGTCATCATGGTGTCAAATGGTGTTATGTCCCTACCGCAGAGAACCCAGCTGATCTCAGAAGTTGTGGAGGCTGTCTAGAAGAAGCAGATCAGTGGTGGCACAGGCCCAACAGGCTTGCAAACTAAGAGAATTTGTCAGCCAAAGCTAAATTTGTTTGGAAAGTCCTGGCAGTGGCAGTTGACGAAGAGGATGAGGTCAAGAATGTATTATGCAGATGTCATATATGGAAAGCTGTATGTGTGTGTGCGTGGATGAGAAGATTCGCACTCAACACTCTTTGCAGTTGAGGAAGAATGTACATTAAGGAACCACTGACAACTAAAGAAACAAACCAGCTGAGACTTCATTGGGAAAGGCAGGCTCAAAAGAGTGGTGAAGTTGAAAAGGATAGAGAGGTGTTGAACTTGTACTTAAATCAGGAAGGCCTATTGGAGTCTCAGGGCCGATTGCAAGGAGATTACCCAGTGTATTTACCAGAAACCAGTCTATATTCCCAGCGAATTGTTAAAGCCCACCTTCAAACCTTGCATGGGGGAGTGGGGCTAATGATGATCAAAGCTCGAAACTGATACTGGATCCCTAAGTTGAGGAAGCTGGTGAAGAAAGTTTGCCCAAAGTGCCATGGATGCAAAAGATTTCAAGCAATGGCAAAGGCTACCCCACCACCTGGATGCCTTCCAACCACCCATTCTGAAGGCATTAACCCATTCCAAGTGATAGGAGTCAACTATGCTGGTCCACTGCAACATCGCATATCAAGACAAGGAGAAAGAAAGGCTTATGTTCTGTTATATGCCTGCAGTGTTATGTGGGGGGTCTACTTGGATATCTTGCCAAGTTTGGAAACAGAAGAGTGCTTGAGGAGTTTGAAAAAGTTCATTGGGAGGCAAGGGAGACCAGAGCAAATCTATTCTGGCAATGGCAGAACATTTGTTGGTGCTGCGAAGTGGGTCAGGGAATAGTAATGTACTGCTCACTGTATTGATACAGCTGACCTTTGCAAACAAGCCAAGCACTTGTTTAAGTGTAAGGAGGCAGTGTGGTGACGTTTGTCAAAAGAGTAAGTGTACAGCCTTTGCAAGAAACACTGTGCTTAAGCAACTGCTCAAGGAAATACACCGAGAAGGGATGCGGCTGTTGCAGTGTGCCTACACATACAGAACATTGTTCAAGATGAAGAGTGATCTGAAGCTGATAACTATTTCAGCTGGACTGAACTTTCATATGATATCAAGAACTGTTACAAGTTTCATTAAGAAGCTAGGGGGTAACTATATAACTTTTGAGGCATTTCTTTACTGTATTGCTAAATTAACAGACTGCATACATGTACTTTGTATTCAACAGACCAGGAGTGATGAAAGCATCAATGGAGAAGGGATTAGCGAGGAGGAAGAGAGAAGAATTAAATTGCAAGCTGAGGTATTTTTAAATAGAAACACACTCGACCAAGGCTTGAAATAAATTTTTCTTTCCACTGCTTCTTTGCTCCTAAAAAATTTAACACTGGTGGTTGGTTGTAAAGAAGTTGTTTAAGCTAGAATTAATTTTTTTTAAGAGAAGAAAAAAACTTTTTACCTTTCATTTTAATATAATTTTTATAGACCCTTAGAACTCTGAATTTTCACTGTAATTTTTCAAGGAAATTTATCATATTTTCAAGAATTTCATTTATGATTCGTTTTGCTAAAGACCACTTCAATAACATTTTAAGTCATTTGGCCCATGTCAAAGTCTAGGGGGAATTAAGTTGTTTCAATTTTTGGTTTCTCTTGTACCTATGTACTGTAGTACAGCATTTAATTAGTTGCTTCTTCATAATTTCCTTCTCTGTTAAGTAAATTGAAAAGTCACGAGTAGTGTCTGACCAATCAATTAACAATTGACGGTTCATTTGACTCATGCCAGTAAAATGAATGGAAAGTAAGTAAAAAGTTTCATGTTTAATTGTCCAGGTAAGCTCTGTAAAGTGACAATTTGTGTCATCTCTCTTTCTGTCCTCAATTCGGGCAAGAAATTTTTAATTTGTAGATTTGGGGCAATATGACTTTGTTGAGGAACAATGTGATTATATTTGTTAATGTTCTGACTAAAACTTGGAACTAACTGATGTGACAGAAGTGATGGAAAATCTAGTGAACTGGTTGTTAGTGAAATGAGTTGTAGGCAAAACCACCGCAATTCAAGAGGAGACCCACAGTTGAACCTGTATTAAGTAGCACTTTATTAAGTAGTCATCCTGTACTGAGTTCAATTGGCCTGTTTCCATTGTTCTCCAACTGTATTGAATAGTCACTTCAAGCAGGTTGGTCTCCTGCATCAATGTTAGTGGTATTTTTGAACAAGTCCAGTAAATTAGGGCTTAAAATGCGGTGTTATTGTTTTTTGTAATACCCCTATTCTGTGGAACCTGTATTGACTGGTCAACTTGTATTTAGCGGTCATCCTGCTATTCCCAGTGGGTGACCACTTTATGCAGGTGCAACTGTATAGCGTAAATTATTCAAATTAGTTGATTTTATTTAACCAACTTGAAACTTGGTTTACCAGGTTTTGAAGGAGGAAGATCACTCAGTCAATGTTGTACAACAACCATTTTTTATGTGAAAGAATGGTATATTTGTAGATTGAATAAGAGAGATGGTTAGTTTTGAGCTTGGTAAAGGAACAGAGAAAGATCTTCTTTGTCTTGTCACGAGCATAGGACAAAGAAAAACTTCTGAGTCCCCTGAGGAATTGAACCTCAGGCCTTCGGATTCCGCGCTCTAATGCTCTACCACTGAGCTATAAAGACTATGTTGAGCAAGGGTTTGTAGGATGAAGATCACTTAGTCAATGTTGTTCAACAGCCATATTTAATATTTAAGAACAGTATCTTTGTAAATCCTCACAGAAGGTAAGTCAGCCTTAAACAGAGTTATTATTTCCTAGCTTGAGAACAAAATTGTGACTGTTGGTGAAGGAGAGCATCCCCTGCAGTGTCCTCATGCTTTTTGGTTTTCACGAAGAGCACCAGGAAAACTTCAGTCTTCTGCTAATTATGCTGACAATATAAAGTTGGTTGGAAAGTTTGCATCTGTAAGTTTTCTATTTCCTACCATTAGGTTATAAAAATATGTGACAAAATTTGAAATGAAATTAATTATTAATATTTGCTTTACTTGTTTGGGAATGTAGCATTAATGTTATCAGTATGGGTTCGGAAAGGAAATGCTATTGTCTGCTCTTCATGAATTATGAACATTACAAGGAATTGGATATCCATATAACAGTTATTGTTAGCTACATGTACCTTGGATAATTACACAATTTTATGAACATTAAATTCTTGTGATAACAGATCCCATATTAGTCTTAACTATGATCTTGTGGTTGTCTAAATATTTTTGCAGATATGAGATGAAACAGATACAAAACCCAATCATATAGTACATGTAATTATTATACACTAATTTACAGTTAAAAAAGTAGGCATTGACTGTGTAATTTTTGTCATATTGTTTACCTCAGAAATGTACCATCAAAATGTTTAATACCTTCATTTTTATCCACAGGTTGAACAGTTTTGGAGATTTTATAGCTACTTAGTAAGGCCTGGGGATTTATCTGGTCATAGTGATATTCACCTTTTTAAGGATGGCATTAAACCAATGTGGGAGGTAAGTCCATCAGATTTAACATTTGGTGAAATTTATTTGCTGTTTTTTCCACAAAGTTAATGATATTTCTTTTCCTTTACATGTGAAAATTATCTCAGCCATTGCAGCTTTGATTGACAGGAATTTAAGAGATGTTCTCAAGTACCACAATTTTAATTGATCAGATGTAAATGCAAACAAGAACATATTTCCCTTAAGATTATTCCCCTTTTTCTCTGGAAGGTTCACTGCAATGTAACAGCTGAGAATAGCAAAAAAATGAAAATACAGCAGATTTCTATTCATTACCAACAAGGGGGTTTTGGTCCAAATATGATTCCAAAATTTTCAAATCAACAGCAAGACTACATTTTAGGAATAGATAAACAAAGAAAATTATGAAAATAGGTTTGTTTTGGATGTCTTCTTAATGATAGACAATATTGTAATGCTTATTTCCTTGAGGTGTTGAGGGACATTGAGATAGACAACTATCGGGCAGTGTTTTGAAGGAATCAAATGTTGGATAAGTGTTAGTGGATAAAGCTAAGATTTGTCACCTTGTTAAAGAATACAAAAACTCAAGGCCTTGTTCACTGCAGTTTACTCTTTGGTTATGACATAATAGGCTTTTATGATGAAAATTAAAATACACCCATACAAGTTACTGTATATTGTGTGTCATTATACATCTGATTACTTGCTGTTCGAACAGTTTCCTATTTTCCTAAAGTTTAGAACAGTACGTTGTATAACACTGGATCTGAATTTGTTAAGATGTGGCAATGTGAATGTTTATCGGAATTTGTGTTTATAACCTACACGTACCACAACTCATGATAAGAATGACAAGTGATTATAACACAGATAATTTACTTTGAGTAAGTCTTAGTAAAAGTGGGTTTTAGTTCATTTTTTCTAAATTTCTTTTTGCAAACTGTAAACAGGTAAATAACAAATTACTATGAATAAAATTATATAACACTTGGTAAGTGTGAGCATAATATGACCCCTTCCCTTTAGATATTGCACATTAAATGTTTTTCCAGGTACATGTGATGAAACACAATGCTCCTTCAAGGGAAATGGAGGCCAAAGTAATGGCAAGGGTGAAAAAAAATTATGCATGAAGTACTTGTCAGACAAGTGTGTTAATCATTTTGTTGACAGTGTTGATGTCCTTTTTGCAGGATGAAGCTAACAAATATGGAGGAAAGTGGATAGTTAGACTGAGGAAAGGACTAGCTTCAAGATGCTGGGAGAATCTTGTAGGTTAAGTTCACTTTTTTTAAAATTTTTCTGCACTTCTTAAATCATTATCATAAAAATTTAACTCTTAAAACCAACTTTGCTTCTCCACACATACAACACCTCTTAAGTTTGAGTTAAAACATTTCTTCAAGTTATTCAATCTGTATAAATTCTCTAAACTAATTTTTTTATATTTTGATGGTACAACATATGGAAACTGGCAAAACCAGTTTTTAATTGTTACCATTTTGCTAGTAGTCAAGTTTTCTCACTGAAAGAACTAATAGTAATTGTTTAATAGAAAAATGTTATAATTGTAGATTCTGGCTATGCTTGGGGAGCAGTTTATGGTTGGAAGTGAAGTTTGTGGAGCAGTGATATCTGTACGATTTCAGGTACTGGCATTGACTGATAATGATGACATTAATGATGACCCTGTGTGTTACAAGTCAATTTGTGATTTCAGATGAAATTGTAATTTTGCTCTTTATTAATATAGTCAATAGCACTTTATTCATCTGATACATCCCTTACTATATGTCATAATTACTTTTCATAACATATTGAAACATAGCTCAACTTAAAATTCACAGGTACAATACACTACTTATGTTACTGAAAATGTGTTTAACATTTACACCACCAAAAAAACTACTTGAACACCTGTAGATTTGGCACAGAAATACACATGGACCATCACCTGATATTTTTTCTTAGTACCATAGATGAAAATTGCATAGTCATTCTCGCATCACTGCCATTAGCCTCTGTTTCTTTGTATTCACTCTTTTAATTCTGGCCAAAAAAAAATTGAAATAATTCACTTGTTGATCTGCAAGTCTGAGGTTGGGCATGACAATATTATTTGTTGTTATATGAAAATTATTGAAATTGTTTCGACCTTCTGTAGGAAGATATAATCTCAATATGGAACCGAAATGCAGCTGATCAAGCTACAACTACTCGAATAAGGTAACATTGGATATAGAGTGTTTTTTGTGTTTGAGTTCATTTCAGAAAGTAAAGTGCAAGTGAGAAAATATATATCATAACAAACATTTGCAAGTTGGAATCGTGTCTCCAAAACATTTCAAGGAAACTTTTTGGGTGCAAAAAGTTAATTATACCTGACAGCTGAGACAGGAGACGCTGTTGTGTCAGCAACCGGCAAGCGCTTTTTCCGGAACTGCCTACGTCACGTCGAATTGTTTTTAAAATTGTATTATTGACCAGTCCAGCTACATACATGTGGTTTCTAGATGTAGGTGACGTAGTCTCTTCGCACGGTCGCCCCAAACTCTATCGTCCCTCAAGTGAAGTTCCGTTACCCCTTAGTATGGTTGCGTCGCACCCAAGTTTATAGCTAAGTTTAAACGTATTTTTACACAAGTTTTGAAGCTTGGAAAACCTTAAACCAACAATCGTTACAGAAGAAGATCAGAAGATTAAGTCAGTTTAACTTAGGAACTTAGCAGTTGCAGCGTTACGATCTTTGGTTGAAGGTTTTGATACACGGGCCGACGAAACTCCAAGCTTTTGCAAGTGGCAAAATGCGTTTAAAACCCTCAAGTTGGGTAAGAAGCAAAATACTTCGGGGCGACGTAGTAGTAGTAAGGGTTACATTTGTAATATAACGCCCCCGAGAATATGTCGTTCTTATTTGAACGAGGAGAAGGAGAAACCAAACAGGAATAGGCGCTCATCTTCTCGGTTTCGTTCCTTTCGAGAATGGGCCATAAGCATGGGGTGTTTATGAAAAAGATGCATAAAATGCGTGAAATGTAATTTGGTAAGAAATTTATCTTAGATTTTGGCAGTACATTTGAAGGTTAACTGATAACATAACGTTGTTTCTCTATTGTGCACTGAATAAGGTGAATGTTTGCGTTATTGTAGGGACACACTCAAGAGGGTTTTGAATCTGCCACAAAACACAATCATGGAGTACAAGGCCCATCAAAGCAGTTTGAAGTAAGGCGTTATCACTACTTATCCTCCACCAACACAACCGGCAAGAACTAAATAAGCATCATGAACACCTTCACGCATAAAGTATACCCGTAATATGAATTTTAATTCAAACACCACCTTAAAGCTTTAGTTAATAAGGTGTGAGCAAGTGACGAAAATGTGGAGACATGCAATTGTCAACTTGATGGCCTCTGTAGAGCCTTCCCGTCCCCTCAGTTGGCCTCTGTAGAGCCTTCCCGTCCCCTCAGTTGGCCTCTGTAGAGCCTTCCCGTCCCCTCAGTTGGCCTCTGTAGAGCCTTCCCGTCCCCTCAGTTGGCCTCTGTAGAGCCTTCCCGTCCCCTCAGTTGGCCTCTGTAGAGCCTTCCCGTCCCCTCAGTTGGCCTCTGTAGAGCCTTCCCGTCCCCTCGGTTGGCCTCTGTAGAGCCTTCCCGTCCCCTCGGTTGGCCTCTGTAGAGCCTTCCCGTCCCCTCGGTTGGCCTCTGTAGAGCCTTCCCGTCCCCTCGGTTGGCCTCTGTAGAGCCTTCCCGTCCCCTCGGTTGGCCTCTGTAGAGCCTTCCCGTCCCCTCGGTTGGCCTCTGTAGAGCCTTCCCGTCCCCTCGGTTGGCCTCTGTAGAGCCTTCCCGTCCCCTCGGTTGGCCTCTGTAGAGCCTTCCCGTCCCCTCGGTTGGCCTCTGTAGAGCCTTCCCGTCCCCTCGGTTGGCCTTTGTAGAACCTTCCCGTCCCCGGCCTCAGTCATGTCCATGCTTAATTTTCTTCCCTTTCATTAGTCAACACCCCTCCACGTGACCTGCCACTAACTTCATAAGGTCCTGCCTGTAAACATAAGTTTGCTCAGGTGGAGTGCCGTCTAAATGAATTTTGTTGCAAATAGGATTGTGCCCGTGCATTGTGCGTAGCGGCTGGGGCTAAAATGTGCCTGAGCCGGGCCCCGAACATAATTTTGCCGGCGAACATAAACTTGATTATTTTATCAACCATAGTCTTCATATCAGGAACTGCTTTGGTTTCTTTTGAGATATATTGAACGTCATTTTCAGCAGTATTCAGTGACTTTCCTTCAAAACGTAGCGTGCGGCATTATTTCCAATATTGTTGCACAACTTGATGTCCTAGCTTTTTACATAATCTTATCTTTAGTAATCTCCCCAACCGTTTTTCTCTTTTTGAATAAAATTGGATTCACGAATTATTTTGAATCAATTACTCAAATGAATTCTTCAAATGATGTTGTGAAGTACTTAATTAACTCCCTAATCTCAATTTTGTTTATTTCTAGGGATAACTCAAGTTTTAGAAATACAGATGTCTTTATGAGATGAATTTCTACAGCCTACATGTTTGAAAAATAAAATATTCCTTGATGAATTGCAAATGAGTACGTTCCTGTTCGGAGTTATGGCTAAAAAAAGAAAAGATTAAATAGAAATCAGTCTCCAGTGAGTGAAGTGATTCGAGTGTGCATTACCGATCCACTTTCTTTCCTATCCATTGCCTTAAGTTTCAAAACCCCATAATCCTTTTTCTAAACACTATCTTTCCTAAGTATCATTTTCTATCAGTGATTTTGGCTTTGTGTTTTGCGTCCTACAAGGTTTTTCATAAGCTCCTGTTTCCATGCCAGGGCGTGAAATTGCGCCTAATATAGGCGCCAATGCGCCTAAATTTTTCACTTTGGCGACCAAATCCTGAAAGTTAGTCGCCAAATTGGCGACTAGAACGTTTCATCATAACCTTACCAAGAGATATAGTGAATTAAAAAGATTTGCAAAGATAAATCCGCAGCAAACTTCCTCGTTAAGTTTGTTTCCAAAACGTAGCATCTCGATCGATAACTAGACGCCATCTTGGATTTAGATGAGCCTGAAAGTTGTATATCATCCATCCTAGTGTCCACTTTGTAGCACGTTAAAGATCTTTTCCCTGAGTTAATTTTGGAGGGTCTATCTGGAACGCTGACAGTGTAAAGAAAGATTTTGTTTGTCTTTGAAAATGGCGACCAACTTTTTTTGAATTGGCTACCACTTTGAAGAATTTAGGAGCCAAGTGGCTATCAGAAAAAAAAGTTAATTTCACGCCCTGCATGCGCACAAAAATCGGCACTTACCGGGCTAGACTAAACTTAGACTGATCAAATTTGTTTGTTTGTATTGTCAAGTGATACGCTCTTTCTGCACTAGCGTTTCAAATGATTGGCAAAGATATACCAAAACTACCAAGTGCACCGTTTCAATCATCCACACAAACAAAGGATTTCTGGAAACTGCATCGATTAGATAAACTGCAGCGACAACACCAACACGCAAGACACACCAAAAACAGAAGAACCTCCAATTTTTCGAATGACAGCAAATACCGCAACAGAAAGAAACCAGGAAAAGCGTACCAATTCCATTAACTAAACCAAACATTCCAAAAAGGACGCACTTTACATGATTGAGACGAGCAGGGTAGGGGAAATCAGCGGTGCCATCGGTACCCTCGATCAATTCAGTTTTAGACATTTCCGTGATTGCCCACCCAGTATATAATCCACTAGCTAGACGTATACATAAACAAACATTAGTATAGAATTCAGTTCGATATTAAGCTTTTCTTTTCAATATGGTAAATTTCAGAAATATGTGTTTCAGCAAAAACAACATGGGTAGGACTCGTAACTCGTACCAATGCTTTTAAAGATCAAGCATTTTTCGGAGAACCCTTTATTGTCGCTTCATTGAGAAATCGATGGCACGAATTCAAAGACACTGTTTTCCGAAATATTTGACACTGATTCCTTGATGCCAGCAATTTGTTCATGACGTTCGAACAGGCGACCGATCAACCGAGAAATTGCCCTACGTTTTCCCTTACCTGCAAATAACATGTCTCCATTTTCTGTAGCAGAGAAACGAGCAAATCGCTGGTGTCGAGGGGAAGACGGCGGCAATTCCAGGGAATGGCTTCGATTTCCACTCATCTGAATCAAAATCAAACTCTGACGATGCCAAGGTTTGAAGGGACCATCGCCCAACTAAGATTAATCTAGATAACCTAAAAAAAAAGCCAATGTTCTTTGAAAGAAATAAAACCATACCGCCTTTGTAAAGCGGAAGATGGTAGTAAATTTAAGAGGATGGACTAGATATCAAGTGATTTAGGACAAGAAACCTCCCATGAACGTCACCGTTTGGATGGCAAACTTGTGCCCAATCTCGCACTGCATCACCCTAAGGCGACGATGAAGGAGCGCTCATGGTCAGAAGCCAAAAGAGGGATGAATTTTTCATGATCGAGACAAACGGGAGAGAGCTGGTCAAATGTTCCATTGAAACTCTCCAAGGGGTGTCAAAGTCGGACTGAAAACATTGGCTTTTGACGATGGTGAAATATTGTAAATAAAAATATAACATGTACGCGGTCCTGGACTGTGTAAAGGCCTTGCACGTTACTTTTACTGCTCCGTGTTAAAGTCGTTACAACGACTTTAACAATTAATTAAAATTAATGACGCAAGTAGCTTTTCATATGGTGTAGATAGAAGTTTCAAAATGATAGTTCACCACGGACTGGATTAGGAAGCAACGACAAGCTACAGAGGTGGTCTACCTGTTCCAGAGAAGCAGTTTGAAGACCGTGGTTCTAACACAGACGTTAGATTGGCGCACTTGATTGTGAGCAGTCTAAGAGACAAGATAGAGGAACTTACACAATTCCTGTGTATATTTGAAATTCTTGAAATCACGGAAACATATCTTGACAAAGAAATATCTGACGTGGATATAGATATTCCCGGAATAAAGTTCATAAGATTAGCTGATACGAAGGACCGAAAAGATGGAGGATATATACTGCATCAGCACGCAGAGCATTTACAAGTAATACGTCGTAAAAGATTTATTTATACGAGACTTGTAACGGGTGATATGGTAGTAATTTCAAAGGATAAACTGGATGACCAGTGAGTTAAGACAAGAAACCTCTCACAAACGCCATGATCTTAGTTTTACGTTGATAGCAAACTTGGGCCAAGTCTTGCACTGCTGTCATTATCATTCCCTTTCCCCAAGGCCACGATGAAGGCGCGCCCATTGGCCTGAAGCAAAAAGCACGAAGTTTACACTTTTGAGATGAACGGGCCAGTTAGGCTGACTATATGTTCTATTTCTACACTCCTTGGGGTATCAAAAGTCGTACTGAATACAATGATTGTTAACGATAGTGAAAAGTCATCTGTTTTCACCGATCAAATATCAAAATAGATGACGTATGTGTTCCTGGACTGTGAAAAGGTCTTACAAGTTACTTTTCCGGTTCTACGTTTTAGTGGAGAAAAACTATCTTCATGTCATCGAATGATTTTGGTCATACTTAAACTTAATGAAAATCACATTTAGACGTCTCACTAAATCTTTCTAAAGTCGTGTTTTACAAGGTACCAACGTAAGTTGATAAAAGACGATAAATCGCCAGCTGAAACGAGAACACACCACAAACAACAGTCATGACCACCAAATCAAATCACCATTACACGGAATATCACCCCTCTTGACCTATCCTGATGACTCACAAAGAAACTCCCTCACACGAATAAAGAAAGTGGGTGCGACAATACGGTATTTTGCTGCCGTTATCACACCTTTTTTTTTTGTTCAGTCATACAGGCAGAAAGGGAGGAGAGTTGTGAATAGAGTGATCCTGTTAAAATTACTCGTGTGGCTGGTACACACAATTATGATAACGGGGTTTGAAAATGTTAGATTTAGACTGACTGTCGCAAGATGCAGCCCCACACCGACAAAAGTTTTAGTGCTAGCCATCTCAAACGTCGAGATGACTTAGTCTGTACCAAACCTGACGAAGGATCTGGTGTTATTATAATGGATAAGACTAAACGGGTGGGAGACCAAAAAACACTATCGCCCTTTATTGGAAAATAAAGAATGACCTTCACACCTAACATCTTGCCTAAACCACTTGCAGATACTCTCTGCCCCAAACAGGTTTTTTGAAAGTTCTTCACTGTAATACGGAATGAGTCTCCGATACTGTCTTAACATTAATTCTGGCTTGTCGATCTGGCGGAATTATTTGCAACACAATTTGACCCACAGGCGTTTTCTGAAAACTATTTATTCTTCTCGTCTCAAAAGCACGTTAACATACAAAAGAAAGTCGGAAACAAGAAATCATCACAACGTTCAGTATCTGCAGAAAATCAAACCGCACACACATCATCGATGTGCTGACTGCCAGTGGGGTAGCTTGCTGTTTTCTCATGGAGTACAACATGTAAAGTGGGGAATTCAATAATAGTCTTCTTGTTCAAACAACTTTTCAAAGTCTGTGAAATATCTAGCTGGTGATACCTGGAAAGGAATCAGAATAAAGTAACCTTTACTCCAAAATAGCGAAAAGCCAATATGGAGACCTGGAACGCTATTTGTGACCAATCAAGGAAACGTGGACATGGTCTCCAGTACAAATGAAAAGTTGTGGTAGGATTTCTCTCGGTGCCTTGTGGGCAAGTAGATACAGTTAGAAATAAGGTCTCACTTTGCCTATTATTTTTAACAACAGTTACTGTGGATCTTCGCGCGGTGATAATGGACACAACGGTCATTAATTACATGATAGGAAAAAATGCTATCTTATTGATGTTAATTTGCTGCAGTGGCTTTTTTATGGACGCGCCGGACTGTTCTCACACAAATCAAACTTGTCAGTTTAAATTTGAGGTCTTTCACTACTGAAGAAAGGATCAATGCAAAGTCATATAATCGGATTTTTCTTTCAAATGACCGAGAATGAGGTGAGACCGACTGTTGTTCTTTGTTGAGAACTGAATGACCTGGCGCGAACCGGAATGAAAAAACCAAAATTGTATGCGTGCGCGAGATGAAGAGTTTCCAGTTAAAGGAAACTGAGTAATATACAAGATACAAAATTCTTGTTTGTTCTAATCTTGGCTAAAAGGGTTTCTCTAAGGTGCCAAGGTCTCCTATATCTGAAGACCATTTTCAGGGCGAGAATATGCTAATAAAATCACGATGAAAAGTCATGCTTAAAGCTAAACTAGACTTAAAAAAAAAACAATTGAAAAAAAAACTTAACTCTTTTTTGTTAAGCTACAATCCTTTTACCCCTTTTCCTTTCGTCAATATTGGCAATTATAAAATTGGAATACGTTGAGTACACTCACCATTTAGAAGGAAGCAGTGAGATTCGAGAAAAGTCGATAAGGGTTGTACTTTGATCAGAGATTAAAATTAGAAATAAATGATTAAAATTGATATCCTTGACTATTACATTTTATGATTGTGTCAATAACAAAAAGCTTGAATGTGACTGGAAAGGAACTTAAACATGAAACTTAACTTTACCTCATTTCTCTTCCAGGAACAAGCTCATTTTTTAAAAACACACATACTCCTTGGGTTCCAACTTCACAATACTTCTTTAAACTATTAAAATAAAACATTAGAGTGATGGCAATGAAATTGCTTACTATAATTATAACACTTGTATACTAATCTTTGGACTTTTTTGTGATTTACAATCAGGTGGCCATATCTCAGTGTGAAATAGCTGAATGAATAAACATACTTATAAGCTTCTTCTAGTACTTGGTTTATTGGAAGATAATCCCTGAGGCTAAGGATTGTGCAAAATATGAACTGCAAGTCAAGATATCTTTCAGCCAAAAGCATAAATCTGTTGACCTTTCAGAAGACCAGTTCTGATTCATCTATAAAAAACATTGTTTCAGAGCTATGTGTAAGTGGGGTAGTAAGTTGCACATTATATACTTTCTTTTGGCCAACTACAGTACACTACCTTTGTTTGTACACAGCATCTGCTTTCTCAAGGTCTATATACTTTCTAAGGGCATCTCCTAAACTTTCTTGCTCTGAAACACTGCAATCCATTTGTATCACCAAAAAAGAAAGCAACAAGAGAGGAGTACCTCATGAGACTGCTTTTGATGGGAAAAATTATAATGATATACAAGCAAATCTGGAAAGTATAATTCATATAACATAGAAAGTTCATGACATTAGATGTTTTGAAAGTAAAACACATCTCTAAGAGTCCAACCATTTGTCAGTATATTCCACTCCAACTTCAGGGAATAACCACTGAATTCTCCACTTTATGCACTTTTCTCTACATAGGAAGAGAGAGAAAGAATTCTTAAATTTCAAAGTTGCTGATGAGTGATTAGCTGCTATGAGACCATAGAAATGAGGTGGAGGGTGGAGCAGTTTAAACCTAAAAAATTATAGCAGAGCTTGCAGCACATGGAAGCATGCATGCAGTGCGGCCCTATATACCACCATATTCACAACTGACAGCTTATCTGTAGTGAATGGTCAAATGTGAAAACTAGGAACTATAAATTATTAACAATCTGTCAGTAAATAGCAATCCTCTCCAGTGAGCTGTTGCAAGTAAAGAAATTGCCTGTAATGTATATTACTTAGTTACTTACTTTCTGTTAAAATTTGTTGTATTCTCCTTCCTCCTAGACATTCCATTTGGCAAGATCTTTAAATCCACACCACGTTGCTTTGCTACAAGACAAAGCTGCCTAACCTAAACAATTTAGAGTAATCAGACAAATAGGAAGAGTGATGGGATTGATTTTGCTTAACTTTGTTCTCTGATTCTTGATCTCTCTCAACCAATCAGATGCAAAACAAAACCCTATCATGACTTGGTTACCTACATTTCCCTGTGTTTTTGGCAGTTAGCTTGTTTTCAATTTGAGTTTTCATAAGCTCTTTAGGATATTTTCCTTTGTCACGATTGGTTGTTGTGATTATTATGATACTCAATTGAAAAGCACTCTATTATTAACAGAAAATGGTTTGGGGATCATAACTTGTTGATGTTGAGAGGGAAACTGCTCCTGCATAAGTTGATACTAAACAATAACAGGTGGCTGCACACATTGAATCACTTTTCTAGTCTCATTAAATCTAGATCTGTTTGACTAAATAAAGTTTTACTCAAATTTTTTACATTGAATGCCCTAGGGAAGTAAAATTATGATCATAGACAGCCAAACATAAGGAATTTAGAATGAGACACAGTCTAAGGACACTCTTATGACTTTCAAAAGTTTGCACATTTTTCAGTATTTTTCTCTGTTTTTAAGTCAGTTCTATCAAAATGAAAACCTCCTTTTTAACTGCTGTATGATGTAATCATTGAAGTCTACCAGTCAGTAGCTTGTAAAGGGCATGCTGTGGAGGTCAGTATTTATAATTTCTTGTTAAATTGCACTTTTTTTGTTTTTTTTTACGGGTTTAAGTGTTAAGAAAAATACTAAATGATCATTATTGTGTAGTTAACTACAAAATTAGGTAGACAAACCAGTTTTCATTTGAATCTGAAACCAACCTTCACTCAAGTTGTCAAAAGGCCAGTTATTGTTACTAACGATAAACATAGGCATGCCTAGCACGCTAAAGTTATTTTTTCAGCTGGGTGAGTTGAGTGGGACAGTTTCTGTACTTAACATTTTCATTTTGTTGCTGAAAAGAGCATAACTTTCAAAAAATGAAAATATCACTGAAAGACATAAGAAACCTAATTTATCTGAACTCACACAGATATTATGTGATCTACTGTCTCTATTGTTTACTGTTGTCTCCTTCGCAGCTGTTGTTTGGTCTTGTAACACCATGCCCTCTATTTCCCGTTTGAGAGAGAGCATGTTCTGTGACGAGACCAAATACTGTTTGCAAAAGAGACTACGTTTATTGCTGTTCCTCCAACAGAGAGAAAATCAAAATTATTCATCTATGGTTAGTTACTTCAAAAATATAATTCCATGTAATTTTACTATGAAAAGCAAACTGACACTTTGTTGTACCTCTAATAGACCCTTGATTTGTTGTTGTCTATCTGGACTTTACCCTCTGTGTGTGAATTATGTGATAAAATGGACCTTGTTTTAGATGGAATTAACACAGAATTGGGTAAAGTCCAAGGTAACTTAAAGTGACTCTAAATTGTGGAAAAAGTTAAATGTGGGAGGATTGCATGGAAAACACAATATCAATAGCATTTAATTCTATGTGAATTTTTTTCAGTGGGGTTGGACAATGCACTTAGAATACGTGATAAAATGCAGGTTGTTTACAAGAAAATGACACGTGATTGAGCAAAGTCCTATGTGGCAAAATGGAATTTGATTGGTGGAATACAATTCAAGCATGTGAAAAATTGCCCAATGTTCATGCAGTGCAATGATTGGGTATGTTCTGATTGGACTTTGAATGCTGTTTTCATGGTATGTGATGAAATGCAAGTTGTTTGGCCTATGCATATGGACTCTGAAGTATTATTTTTTGCATACTTGACACCAATCTCAGTGAAGTCCTGGTATCATCAGCACAGCAAGGAAACTTCACTTAACTTTCAAACACAAAACTACACCCACCTGGAAGTTCTGATGTCTTCTGTTAAACTTGCTTTGACTATGATGTGCTGTAGAGTTCACAAGTCTGTCCATGTCCTCCAAAAACACAAGGTCTATAAAGCAGAAGCAATTTGTTAGCAATTTCTGGGAATCACATATATACAACATGCAATCTACAAACTGGACAGTCAGAGGCATCTGGTCGCAAGGGTAGATTATCTATTTTACTTTTACTTCCCTTCTCTAATTTATCAACCACTCATACCCCTGTGTTTACCGTACTCATTTCTCCAAATGAAAGTGGTTCAGGGTTTGTATTTCACTGTTTATTGACCCTAACATTAGATACTTACCGGTAATTACGATAATAGAAATGATCATAAAGGGTGATAAGTTGTTTAACTTATTTTTGTTTTCATGACATGCTAACTTGAAAGTTTTGATTGATTCAAAAACAAACCTTGTTGTACCTTGTTAAGTCTTAAGATTACTTAAAATCCATGAAGAGCAATTGTTTTTGGTATAGTTCTCAATGACCATGGAAGCCCATCTGGAACTATTTGTAACGTGAATATTCACCACAACCATTTTGTGATATCAAGCGATTTTCATACACATGTAATTAAAATAATTTTAAAATTTCACCTATCACTAAGATTTTGTGACAAAGAAGGTTACTCACCCGATTGTAAGTTACTGCATTTGAAGTTGTCAAGTGATATAAACTTGGTCTTACAACGTACTCCTGAACACTGAAATTTCATCTTGTGACTCTTCACACATCTTAGACTAGAAGTTAATCACAACAAATAACTGGTTGCACTTAAAGTTAACTATTAAAGTATTTGTGGAGTAAAAACCGTGATTCTACAAATATCACAGAATAAGGTCAGCAATTTTTTTATCTATTTATTGACAAATTCAGTTTCTAGCCGAAAAAATAACAAATCCTTCCTCGTGTAAGTTTCTTTACATTCAGACGGATCTTACTCATTTCTTGTCTTGAAACAAGCTAGTATACATGCATGTATCCCTAACAGATCGTAATTTTACAAAATCCGTTACCTGCATGTCTTTTTGGCACATGTGGGACAGCAATATCTCGCAGTGTCCTCACAACACATCGCACACTTCGTGTTTGATAAACTGTCCGCCATACTCTGGCCCACGTGTAACCGTATCCTCCCCTGCAAGGAGAGACATAGCGGAGGGAGAGTGTGGGGTAAAGCGTCGGCTATTTTTAAACTCGTACCTAGGGGCCTCTCGGTTAGTTTTTTTTTATGGACGACTCGGTAAGAGGCTGAGCCGGCTGAGATGCGGTCAGTTGAGTTCTGGGTTTGGCTATGCGTTGGAGGCAAGCAAAGTTAGACATTGTATGAGATACTGATGGCGGACTTTCGCTGCCGGTGAAGACTTCACGTTTCATTAAGATCGTTCAAACAACCGCAATGTCCTCTAAGAGTACAGATTCGAGGCAGAGGTATTACAAAAACAAAGACAAAGATCAATCGGTGAGTAATATATTTTCTGATGTTTCACTGTTGGCGGGTGAATTTGAATGAGTGTCGGCATGCGACAGCTGCATCGTGCAGCATGTGTTCACTCACGACAAGTTGTAACTTTAGCCATGAGAGTTATACCCCATCAAAGATGGTTTTTCGATTTACTGGACATAACTGATCATTACTACCTTACGAGAAGTAGGAGTTCTCAGCCCGTTCACGTTCTTGTTTTTTGTACTGAGTGGTGTGTACCTCATTGCACAGATTTTTCCTACAAATAGTTAAAAGTTTTCATGAGGTCTCCTGTGAAATTTTTTTCGTATGTTTTTCATTCACTAAGTACTTTCATTTTATTTGATAAGGTTTGTTTGCTTCCATTAGTGAAAATTTGTGTTTGTGAAAATTCTGTTTTGTCTCATGGTTTTGGCAGCGTTCCCAAAATTTGTGGCTAGCCTGATGTGTAAGTCTGTAGTTGTTTCTTTCGCTAAAATTTTTTGGTATGCCAGGTTGGTCTCTCTACATTTTCCCTTTTGTAAGTATTGTTTTTTCTTTCTGTGGTTGCTTGTGTTTGCTGGTTTTGTCCAAGTGCTGTATGTTTTGATTCTATGATGCAGTCATGGCTTTCCTATGAAGGATGCACAAGTAGCTGATTGTCAGATTGTGTCTGGTATAGATCTTGTATGGTGCATAGTCTTTCAGGAAGCGTTTGTTGACTATGAATTGGAACTTTTATCCAGTGTTAGTTTTTACCTTTAAATGCACCAAAGGGTTGTGCCATGTGATGTTCCTTTTCCTGTTCTTGTTCTTTTCTTTTGGTTGCTCTGTTTTGGTTTAAAACCAACCTGCACTATTAGCCACTCTTATCTGGCACCTTTTGGTAAGGGGCAATGGCTTTCATAAAGACTTCTACGCTGAATAGATTGTTGGTTAGTTGTTTTTTTGATGTCTTGTGGGATATTTCCTATCCTATTACTGGAAAATGGTTATTGTACTAGCAGATATACAACAGTTTGTTTTTAATTTCATACATTACTAGTAGCATCAGCTTGAAGGGTTGAAAGCCATAGCTCTGTCAAACAAATCTGTCATGATGTGGAATGTACTGTTAAAGTTTTGGTTTGTCCATGATGAATCTTTGATGCAGCAGGATTAATTTGGTTGTATTGCAAGGTTATGTTAATTTGCAAAAATAAGCACAATTCATGAAATTCTCAGTTATTGACCTTTTCCTTATATACAGAAGAAATCTTTTCAGGTACATAGTCAAAATCCGCCCGTGGCAAATCTTCCAGTTGTTTATTTTATTCTCAGCCATGAAAATGCCATTACCAAAGCCACTGAGTATAAAACTTTCTGTGTTTCCTTTTGTATTTTTATTTCCTTCTTCTTCCAAGAAATTTTTAAGGTCACTGTCTGTAAGTGATACCAATTTTTAAGTGTTTAAGCAGCCATAATCCAAGAAAATTTAGACATACAACCTTGGATAATGAATGGCAAATGCTTTGCCATTCATTCTTCAACATGACAGAGTGGTATGACAGGCAAGTGTTGTGCCAGCAGCTGATTGGCAGTATCAAGTGCATGAAAAATTATTTTATTTTTCACATTTGTTGTCAGGCTTTTCTCAGGGTTGGGAATCCTTCTATAACACTGCAGTTTACATGATAAAAGATTTTACTAATTTGAAGTGTCAACAAGATAGTTCTTGTGAAGACCACTGTAGGACAGCAAGTGTATCGTGATGTTTATATTGTTTTCAGGAAAAACTGCCTTAGAATTATAACTTTCCAAGGTCACAACTTGGAGCCATTCAGTTTTCTGGATTTAAATTTTCACATACAAATATCTTTAAGGATGATGTACAGTAGAAAATACACTGTACATGGTACACTCTGTTTACTGTACTATCATTGTTGATTCTGTGATTTGTTCTTTTTTGCGAAGAAAGGGAGTTTGCACCAGTCTGTGGCAGGCTGGAAGCTAAGTTGAATGGAAGGAGTGCAATTTGTTATTAGTTTGTATTGTCAAGTAATAAATTTCTCATTTCGTAGTGAGGTATAGCTTGCACAAGGAGTTCTTAACATGACATGCCTTTCTTCTTCTTTTTTTTTTTCAGGCACTAAGACAAAGGAGGAATGAAGTCACAATAGAGCTAAGAAAGGTTTCTTGTTGTATTTGTTTTTAAGGGCATTCACTTTCTCTCTTTGTTGCTTCATGCTCTTGCCAATGTAAAGAGTAATTTCACTTCCAGTTTTCATATTTTGCACATTTACAGTGGGGTAGGGGGTAATACCTACAAGTACAACAAAATGTTTTTGTTTTTCTTTTATTTATTTTTACTCACATTCTAAATCTAGACTATTTTGATACTGAAATGTCTTAAATCAAGCATGAAGTAAGAGCTGCGACTGTAACAAAGAGTCGTAGGAAAACTTTAACAGGATTGCATATATTTTCTCGAACACTCTTACAAATTTTTCTTACAAAATATTTGGCTTGAGTTCCCATCTTTGAAGAGTTTATTCTTGGCTGATATTCTCAGTTTGATTGAAAATGCTAATTTTCCCTCTATGATTCCTTAAATTAACTAATACTTAATCTTAATTTACTGGTTAATTTGTATCAATAACAGGCCAAAAGAGATGACTGTGTTCAAAAGAAGAGAAATGTCCCACAGGATATTGTGGATGATAAAGAGGATCACCTACAGGTTATTACATAGCTCTTAATGTGGATATTTATTATGTCCAGGCTTTAGACAGAATATGCAGGGTGAAAGGAAAAATTTATGGAGGAAAAGTCTAATTGAAAAATTCAACTTTGTTAATCATCTTCTGACCATGGATCCTCTATTGCAAATGGCCATAAATTTCTCAGTCAGACAGGAGTTGCAGTTTAAAAGTAGTTTGTGAGCTGTTGTAGCGTGGGCATGTCTGTATTATCCATCTTTCTCTCCATCCATTTGTCCATCCTTTTATCCATCAGTCTTTCTGTCTTTGTAATATTTTTTTGTATTTTAACAGGGAAAGAGTCTGCAGAGTATTGTTGTGGTAAGTTTTTGTTGCTTACTGGGAACAAAAATAGTGTAATGTACTTCAACTGGCCTGTTTGTCGATTACTGATTTTGGCTTAAATAACACTAATATGTAAAATAAAACAGTATTGATGGTTTTTTGTGTGATTATCAGAGCAATTTTCAATCAAGTGTAAAACTTGATTGAAAATTCACCACATGATTGATTTGCCTCTGATTAAGTTTGGAGATTCTCTTTACCTCTTCACACCCACATTATACAGAGTAGCTTGCATTTCTTTGTTAAATAAAAACTGTAATGTTGTTATATGATAATGTTTTCAGTAAGTAAGTAACAACTTTATTTAAAGAGGGTGGCACTGACAAGTTATCAGGAGATAATGAAAGACAACTTAAGCTATATATTACATGTAGGCATGCATTTTCCATTCTTGATGTAACTGGCCAGTCTGGATCACTATGTTTGAGTAAATTAGTCACATGTAACTTTATCGTGTCTAGAATGCAAGTAGTCAAGACCCCAAAGAGCAACTTGGTGCTGTACAAGCAGCAAGGTACATATGTTATCTAGTGTACTGTGTCTTGTTAGAGGTCCCAGCAGCTTTGATTTCAAGAGCAGCCTGGAAAATTTACAATACTGCAAACTTCAAATGGGTTTGGTATCTGAAATATTTTTATAAGTTGTTTTGGCAGAATTTTGGTGATTTTAAATCTATTACTGCCAACAAAAGATTGGTTGCATCAATCACTGAGCACTGTTGTTAATTCTTTTGAGTAACTATGTTTGTGTCTGCCTCCAATGTTCTGTAGGACTGCATTGTGAAGCTTGGATTTTTAAATTTAAGCTTTGTTTAAATACCTTTTCAAATTTTTTGCTAGGAAACTACTTTCTAAAGATCGCAATCCTCCCATTGATGAACTGATAGAGTAAGTTTAAATATATTTTGTTTTAGTTATTATCAAACCTGAAAATCCAATGTTAGGAAAATTAATTATATGTTCAAAGCACAGCAATATAAATGAATATTAGCCTTAAGATATTGAGAGGGCATTGTAACTAAGGTATACTCACACTGGTGAGAGTTGGGACATGCTCCAGTAGTTAGAAGTTACCACCATAAGGATGATTGGTTTTATTTTTAAAATGAGAGTGAAAGCATGTTCTGGATACTGGGACAAAGAAGTAGCATTTTTACAGGTATTTTAAAGAGGTTGGCTTTTAGTGAAGGTTGAATGGTATGCTGACAAAGTGGGCATAAATGTTCCTACAGTACATAATTAGTGGTGTTACAGAATGATGTAATTTCATTGGTTAATACATCACCAGTATTTGAAATGTGTCAATTCAATGTTCAATTCATTTTCATTTCTACACTCTACATTTAGGTCTGGCATTCTCCCAGTTCTTGTAAAATGCCTTGAAAGAGATGACAAGTAAGTTGATCGTATGTGTAAACAAAAAATAAATTGTTAACTCATCAAATAATGTAAGGGATTTACCATTCCCCCATTTATTTCACCTCAATTTTGAAGTTTTGGGTTCTACTTTTCGAAATGCATGCTACAACCTTATCTGAGTATCATATAAGTGTTCTTTATGACCAACAAATATTCCGATGACCTCAAAATTTTTTGGTTTTGTGGGCTTGCTGTCTGTATTTTTCCCCTGTTCAACATTGTACTAAATAGAGGATATTGCATGGTGGCAAGAAGATGAATTTTATGTTTGACATAAAATTCATATCTTTAAGCTAATGTGTAATTTTCTTTTTATTGTATATGGACAATAAATAGACATGATAGAGACTTAAAAGTTGGCTCTATGAAAATACTGGGTATCACTTGAAACAAAATACCTGTTGCCTAAATTATAAGAAGGTTTTCATGTAGCACTGTCAGCTAGACCAAAATATTTGTGAGCTGGTTTTATCTGCCCAGTGAAAATTCAGTTACTGATTCTGACATGAATCATTGCATACTATTATTTACAAACCTTTGAAGGCTGTTCAGCACAAACAGAACAAAAATTTACCTTTGTTTGTCTCTTTCACTGTAGTGAGCAGACACTTTTGACTATTCCTTATTACTACAACTACGTAAATACATGTACCTTTAAATGCGTACAATAATAAGGGTGCTTTTGATTTTTGTGGTGTTGGGAAGGTTATCTCTCATTGATTTAATTTTCTGATTATTATTAGGGGTTTCAATGAGCTAGCAGAAGTCTGCCACTGCATAAAGAACTCTTGCCATTTTCTGTTTTGATTCTATTTTTATAAGTTTGTATGACTCATGTCAAGGTCACAGCCATTTGTTTGGCAGTTGGAAGCCCCTGGATAAAAAGGTTACTTAAACCCTGTGGTTGATTTTCTTCTTCCCTCTCTTCCACTTCTCAGCCCTTCTCTTCAGTTTGAAGCTGCTTGGGCTTTAACCAACATAGCATCAGGTACATCAGAACAAACAAAGGCTGTAGTGAAAGCTGGTGAGTATGAACAGTAATACTACAACTTCTGTTGCTGGGTGCATTCATCAACTTGTTTACTGTTTTATTTTTTAGGTAACCTAACCCAGCTTAACTTAACTAAACTATTAGAAGATAATATAATGATTGAAAAATTGACAGTTTTAAAATCACTCTATTTGGTTCTAGATGCTGTTAAGTACTTCATGAAGTTACTTGGTTCTCCACATCAGAATGTGTGTGAGCAAGCAGTTTGGGCACTAGGGAACATTATTGGTAAGAGTTAATAGATGTTTATTCAAGATACCTTGAGGGTCATGATTGTTAAATATCCTATTGTTTATTTCACTAGTAAACTTATAGAAAATTGAAATATTCTGTGTTCTGATTTCAGTTTAATTTAGAAAAGTAATGGACCACACTTTCTATCAGTTTCCTAGGGTATTAACCAACTTGGGATGTTGGGAGAACACTCGAAAAGTTTGTAAATCACTTGCCTTGAGCTGGTGACTAACAACCTTTGCCTTTGTTCTTCCAGCATCCCAAGTGAGTTATTTCACCTGTAATTTTGGCAAAAAAAATCGTTGAAAGTGCATTGTTGAGAGTTTGAATTAACATTTCCCAAAGTTCCTTGGGACCCAAGATAAACTTTGGTCAGAATACTGAACACTTGTCCAATAAGTGATAGAGGTTAAAAGTAATTAAATTCTTGTAAGAGTTACATAAAAGGTTTATCTATAGTTCGTGCTCCTGGATTGATACAGTGCTTGTGTTATGCTTATTGATGTAAGACAAAGGAAAATTAGAAATTAAACTTGCATGGAAAAGAAATGTAAAACTTTTAACCACAACATAAATTTATGGACTTTGTTCCTTTGATCTGGGTCACTTGGTTTTACATGTTTTTTTTTTCCAGGTGATGGTCCCAATTTAAGAGATTTTGTCATTAACCATGGAGTAGTGGCTCCACTGCTGAAGTTTGTTAACCCAAATGTTCCTGTAAGATTTTAATTTTTAAAAAGAAGTTGCAGTATCATTTGGCCACTGAGCTGAAATTTAGTTCTTGTTATATTTTGATATGTGAAAACTTTTCTTTGCATTTTAAGAAATTCAAAGAAATGAAGTTGTAGTTTTTCTTTGTGTCAACCTCTGTATTGCTTTGTTCCTCTTCTTATCATTTAATATCTTTCGAATTTACAGATCAGTTTCTTGAGAAATGTGACATGGGTGATTGTTAATCTGTGTAGAAACAAAGAACCACCACCCCCAATGGAAACAATTCAAGAGGTAACTTAATCCTGTGCAGTGGTAAGAAAACCTTCCTGCAGGATGGATTTTGTAAGGATAGCTCCCTTAACATTCCAATGTAATTGGATTAGTGTGACGTTAGCTTACGTTAGAGTCTCCCAGCTTAGTTATGAGTTATCAATTGTCTTTATAGATAGCCCTTTTTTTTTTTGTATTAACTTTACTATAATGCTGAACGTGAATTGTTGTACTTGTTATTTGTAGGTTCTTCCTGCACTAGCTCTCCTCATTCATCACCCAGATCTAAATGTGAGTAGGGAGGTTTTTTGTTAAAATGACTTCATGGTTCTAACCTTAAACTTGCAGAAGTGATAAACATGTAACTCTTCCTTTAATATTCACACCTTATCCCGCAAACAGTTGATAAGAATACTCAACTTATCAGGTAGAAGTTATCTTGATCTAACATCAAATTCTTGTAATTAATTTACAAGGTAATATTTGGCAGGTTGAAGGGAAAATTATGAATTTCATCTTGGTAGTTAAAGGGTTCATTATGGATATAGTCTGCTGAAATGCGTGAAATGCCTGCCAGTTTTGTTCAGTTTTGTTTAGAGTTTATTTTAGGGTGGACTCGAGATGTTTAAGTCACTTGGTGCTTTATTCTAGAGATATCAATATCTCATGACAAAATGGCTTTAATACCATTCTCCATCATAGCCAGGATTATAATGATGGACCCTGGTTAGAAGTTGGATAATTTACCAGTATTTTCCAAGTAGGTAGTCATCATCAATAACGAGGGTTTTGTGCTCAAGGCAGGTGTGGGCATTTATTGTTTATGGTTGGGGTGCAATTAGGTCAGGCCAGTTGGATATCACAACCAGCCTTTTAAAATATAAACACTTAAATTCGGCTCACGCAGGTAGCACACGTAGATAACACTCTGTAAGGTGTGTCATGTCACTGTTCCGTTGGTGTGGTCCGTCCCAGCTGGCAAATGTCTTCTTAAGTCTTTTGATTTTTCCTGTTTGAAATCCTAATCTACCATCGTCAACAAGTTTCTTGACTTTTCTGCCCAATTGTATTTCAGATCTTAGTTGACACAGTCTGGGCATTGTCTTATCTCACAGATGGCGGTAATCACCAAATTCAGGTATTAATGGTGAATGTAGTCAACGTTGTGGAAATGGTTACAACGCTATTAACAAAAGATAACAGTGAAAGTTTGTAAGAAGAGGAAAAATAAATTAATAACAGATTCAGGTTCGTGTCATAAGCTGCTGAAGGAGAAAAACACATTTCATGCGTGCACTGGTTAAGGTTTCGTTTCCGTTCACTCTCGACCTGCATTTAATTTTGATACTCGCGGTCTTTAGTTTAGTCAATCAATAAACAGGTAGGAAACTAATATTTTCTTAAAAGTCGTTTCGTACCCACGGACGTTTCGCACCCAGTCGATTCTTACCCAGCCAGAACCATTCGTATCCAGTCAGCTGATTCGTTTCGCACCCATACTAATAAGGATTATTTTTCACGTTAAATAAATTAAGTATTTGAGTAAATGTTAAAAGTAAAGTCGATTTCTCATGTTCAGTAGCAATATATTCTGCGCGAAACAAGTTCTGTTTATGTGGCGTCCATTTGCGGCCAGCATTCGTGGGGGGTTTTGTCAATTTGGCAGCCAACGCTCTTTAATAATCATTGATTGAGAAAGAAAGACGGATAATCGCTTGCACGTGGTCCTGCTTTGACTTGTCGATTTTTTTTCTCTTAACCACGGATATTTTCTGGCTCTAAATGCAGTGCAGATGACAATCAACGCTCGTACATTCAGTTTATTCATCAGTCTTCTGAAAGGTGTAAACTTACGCCCTCCCCTCCCTCCCCCCTTCTGATAAAACACCAGAGTAGACATATTTACGGAAGCATATATCCAAAAAACGTTGGAGGTTTCCATAGTTAAAAGGCAATTTTTCCAACTATATTTTGGGAAGTTATGAGAAGTGCGATCTAGTTTGACGTAGGGATTTACTAAACTGCCTTTGGTTAACTTTTAGGAAGTTATTGATAATGGAGTTGTTCCATCCCTTATACCCCTATTGAGCCATGGTGAAATAAAACTACAGGTAAGTAAAAGCCTTATCAATCGTGTACATGGAAACCACATGGAAACGACATGGCAATAGCTGAAGCATCAGTTTGCAGCAAATTAATATCAAAGCATATTTGTTTTAAGAACATTAAAAAAAATCGCAAGTATTTGAGTCGTTTTCTCCAGTCAATCGTTAAAATTAGTGCTATTAGAGGTTAAGGATTTTACTGAGCCTTGCTGTTGACTTTATTTGTTGTCCACTCTCTGTAACCCAGACTGCAGCATTACGAGCAGTGGGAAACATTGTCACTGGGACCGATGAACAGACTCAAGTAAGTTGTAAGTTGTAAGTTTAGACCTAGACACCATGTAAGCAATGTTGGTTTATGTAATCCGTTACATATTTAAGCTCGCGCCCGATGGTTTCATCGGATTACGTGACTGAAAATGTCATAGTTGATATTCTCTAGATGTTATTCCTCAAATTGCAAACCTCGGTTCTCATCCGAATAAAGTTCCTGTCCGAGATGTGATTCGTGATGGTAAAGGGATTTTTTTTGTTACAAAAGTATACACAAACTTTTTGGATCGTTGAGTTTTACGTAAGAACACCGAAACATCAACGTCTTACTCGTTAAAAGTTTGCCTGTACGCTATTGGTAAAATTTTATTGAACGCTGTGCAAAGATGTATGCTTTTTAGCATCAAGTGGCGGAGCTGTGAAACGAGCGGCGAAGCCCCGAGAGGCATGAGACGGGAAAATCGTATGAAAAAATTGCTGATTCTCCGCTGGTCGTTTTCGCGGCTCCGCCTCCCTTTTGTTTCATCGAACGACCAAAACACCGCTAATTAAGCAAGATAAGTGTTTGAAGGATAGAAAACATATTGGTCTCTATTTGGTTAAAAAATATCTTCATATTTATGTCATATCTGTTTCCTGAAGCTGTCCTATTTCTTTTACCTTCGCTCTCGGAAAACTGTTCGCTTCTCGGAACAGATAATGTTTGCGATCAGATGTCTAAGCATATTTTTGCACTCAATGGAGGCTTCTGTTTCTAAACTTACTTTTTTATTCCTTTTTCTTCAGGTTGTCCTAAACCATGACGCCCTGAGCCACTTCCCAGCGTTACTTAATCACCACAAGGAGAAAGTAAAAAAGGTCAGAAAGCTTAAATACAAACTTAATACAGGATGTATGGCTTGTGTGCGCAGAAAACGGCGAACTATAGTTGCGCAAAAGTATACTAACAGAACAAAAACCTGCAGTGACCTTGATTATGATAACCTCCATATTGTACTCAAGTTTACGATTGACTTCTTTAAAATATTAGTTTTATCTTTACTCGGAATTAACTGTAAATACATTAACTCTATTTTCGCTGATATAAACTGAGGAACAATTCTAGACATACTCCTGGTATGAACTTGCGATTAGCTTATTTGAGCAATAGAGACTTTTCCGTGCTTTCACACCCCTTACCCAAACACTGGAGTGTAGGAAGTCAATCATGCAAACCAGAGACGCAATTAAGGGTTCGCTTTTCTGTAAGGAAGTCCTCCACCCCTTCCCTCCGCCCCTGGTAATTTAAAGCTGTCTTACTTTTAAGAAGTATTCCTCAAAAAAAACGCGCCATTGTTTAACGTCATAGCCTTGTTTACATACTTTTATCCAAAGAAACCTCACGATCATTCGTTGTATTGAATAGGAGGCAGTTTGGTTTTTGTCCAACATAACAGCTGGCAATCAGACGCAAGTTCAGGTAAATGACCCCTGCCGACTATTCATGTAGTAATCCATTAGAGAGGATCAGTCAAAAAAACTACTTAAGAATTACGGAACCTTTTTTTGATTGGGTGGAAACGGAAAACGCCGACGAAGCAAGCTGATAAAAAATTGCTAGGCTGAACAAGCAGCGGTTTGGGTCGTAATGTAGTGTATACATGTGTTGTAAGTCAGTCCGACTTACACCACACGAGTATTATAGTCAATAACATCACGGGTAAACTGATCAACCAGTTTACGCGAACCAGACGTAAAATACTCTGTCACTTATAACACTGATGACGACTTCCACTTTGGTTGTCGAAACGTCAGTCAACAATATTTCAACAGTCCTTCTCAGGACTACCCGGACGATCAGATTACTTGTTTTACATGAAATGTAAGGAAAAAAATTCGTCTATTTTGTTGATCAATGTGATATTTTAGTGGCTTAATTAACGTGCTCTTTTGAATTTTAGGAAATTATTAATGCAGGGCTTGTACCACTGATTATTCAAACTTTGGAAACGGTAACTATAATATTAGATTGGTGATAGATTCAATGACATAGCCTTTTTAAAACTAGAAATACAATTTAGCTCTGTTTTTACTATTACCTTAACATTCCATGGGTATTCCATCCATTAAGGATAATTTGTGGAAGTAACTGATATCCAATTTTCTCGTTTTTTCTTTAATTTTTAGGGCGAATTTCTGACGCAGAAGGAGGCGGCATGGGCGATTAGTAATTTTACAGTGAGCGGCAACCCTCAACAGGTGAACATTTGCTACCTTTACAAATTCGCATAGTTGTGCCCATGACACAGGTAGCCCAAGCCTCTGCACACATGCTAACAGCTTGTGATCCGCAGCTGTAACAGTATTTCCATATTTACAGAGGCTCAAAGTGCGAGCCTGGGCTTCTTGTGGACACATGGAAAGTAAGGCTGGTTTTCCCTATTGTCCTCGTTCCGGAGGTTTGGAAGTGGTAAACATTCTAGGGTATGTCTAATGTATTTTCAAATACCACTTGGATGGTGAAGGACGAAATCTTACGAAATCAATGGAAGATTAATTGGATGATAGTGTCTTGTGTTATTCTGTTTGAGTCTAGGTAGCAGTCCTAGTAAACTGTGGTGCGATTCCTCCATTCTGCAAGTTGTTGGATTGCATGGATACCCAGGTAAAAGTTGTAGACATGTTGGCGCCCGCGCTTTGCGGCGAATGGTGTGCATGCTTTGCCATCGAAACGTGGGGGCTTGTTGTTATGACTCATTAGCGCATAAAGCTTGCCCATATTCTCTTTGTGTGTCTGGATTCTTGCTGTGGCTTATCTTGTAGCTCGGAATGGGTAACTGACTCCTTAGAAGTAACGCGTTTCAAAGTGAGATCTGAGATCAGCAAAATTAACTGACAATGATGCAAACTCTTAAGGAAAAGTAGGTGCTGCTGCCACGGAGTGTAGTTTTTTAACAGCTATTTTTGTTAGAAACCTGGACAACACAACATCACTTTGCAAAATCTTTTGGTTCTTTCTCGTGGTCTAGGCTGAATGGAAGCTGTTTTCGACAGCCACATCATTTCTGCCTTCAATCTTTATTTGTATCACGACTAACCACAAGGGTCCTTTGATGCAGAAAGATATATGTGTGTGTGGTTTTTTTTCCGTAGTTGAACCACTGTATCGATGAATAAGACATTACCGCTTGTGAATTTATATTAATGGTGACACGCTTTACATAACAGGTCGTCCAGATTGTGTTGGATGGTTTAAATAATATCTTAAAGGTGAGAAACTTCTCTCTGTCACACTTCACAGCAGACACACAGTTATTGACTCGGACACGCTGTAAGCTTTTGGTTTATACTCTGCTGATTCAATTTTCAATCAAGAATTGTCACAACTAACTTTTAGGGGTTTAAACTTGAAAAGGTTTTGAAACATGTTAAGTAACGTTGTCTTGATGACCGAAATTGTGTTCTTCCGCCATCGTAACCTGTGTATTGAAGGATAATGGATACGTGAGTAGGTAGGCTGGCAGGACAAGGCCAGCTAAAAAGGTAAGAAAAAGAGTTTTGTTTTGAGTAATCTTTGAACTAAATCTTTTGGTATGTTGTTGCAGATGGCAGGGGACAGGTCTGATGCTATCGCAACCATTATAGAAGAAGCTGGAGGTTGGTATATACATGTATAGCTTAGTTACAAATTACAATAACTAACAACAATTCAAGACAGAAGTAAGGTTTGTAGTTTTACGTTAAAACTTCTCAATCCTAAGACTGATCTAAAATAATTTCTCCTCACTGCACTGTCTCACCATACATTTCTTCCCCAGTGATTAAAATTGTATTGATATCATGACTACAGATTCAATTTTGGTGTCTCCTGGACTTGGAAAGGACAAAAACAGTTGGCGACCCAAATTTGATCTGTATTGGAGGTTAAATACTGAAATGATTTCAAAACATTAGTTGTTGTCCTAATGCAAGTACATGCATTCCTCTATACTTCTTAGCGCAGACTGGCAGGAATAAGGCATGCAAACAAACGTATACTTAGAGTGCCTTATAAACAAAAATTACTTTAATATCTTGGTATTTGCACTTATTATTGCGACTTCGAGAGATTGGAACAGGGTCTAATTTTTAAGCATGAAGCAGGCATTTATGAACAGTTTGGGTCTCAGGCGGAATTGTCGTTGACAGAATGGACTAGATCTGTGTTCCTAGATGACGAGATCACTAGTTTGAAATACCTTGTTTTGTTAGACGTGGCTGAATGTTACAGTTTTAAAAAGTTTTGTCTCTTTTTTTCAATCGGTCCTGTCTTATAAGAAGATAAACAGTTAGCTTTTAAGGAACATACGTAACTCAATTTTGCTTGATTTCGCGAAGTAAAATTGAAGGTCCTCACAGAGTAATTCACCGCCTCGCGTAATAGCAGCCACCGTTTTCACGTAGTTTAGTGTTTGAAAATTAGTAGCAATACGTTAGAAGACCTCTTACTCAGCAGTCTTGACGAAGAATTTCTTTCCTTCTTTTCTTGCTTTAAGTTATTTAAAACGGAGCTTCACGTTGAATTCGCTTTTCATCGTGAATGTAGCCGAGAAGAGGGTCTTGTTAGGCGTCTAAGGGAATACAGTCGCTGTCGCTTCATCCAGTTTGAAAATTAGTTTCTAGTCCAAAGGAAGGATTTGAACAGCCAAACCTGTTAGTGAGGCTGTTGCAGGCACCTAGTTTGTGGGGACGGGCGAAAAAGTGGGCGAGTGGGTGGAAAAATGTGTGGGACTAAGGAGAGCGACGACCCCGTCGATTCACGCTACCCACTTTTTCACTCATCCTTACTGAGCATGGTAGAGGAGAGAAAAGGAGCGATTATTGCAAGGTGCCATGCGCTATTCATGGTAGTACAGGGACCAAGATAGCGCTATATGGAAGTCGGACTTTAACTCAGCAACCGTATCGCGGCCTCAGAATAATTTGATCTGTCCTATTCCAGGTTTGGATAAGATTGAATTCCTCCAGCAACACGAAAATGAAGAAATCTACAAACTCGCTTTTGGAATAATAGATCAGTACTTTTCTAATGAGGTATGTTCTCTGTTATTTTAATGAGGCTCTGTTTGTTATGGTGTAGCACGAAATAAACCAGACGCGAAGCTGCTGTAGTAATTGTACTCTCTGTAATTTTTCGCCATAGACTCAGTCATACTTGTTCATCCTATATGAGTGTCACTGGGATTTTTTTCGATCTCTTCGGGCCGTGAAAATAGTAAAAAAGGAAGGGTGGCAGTGCTTATGCCCTCATATGATAGTTATTTGTCAGTCTTGACCGTGTCAAAACAGGTCTAAAACTGAAGCAAAGCTCTTTGAAACCCCGATACAGCGGGAACACAAGCGGAATAGTGTCTTTTCTGGTTCTGTTGACTTGTTAAGGCTTGTTTGTCGAGCTGCAAGGTTGTCTATACATTTACGTACCCGTGCACGAAACTAGGCAAAAAAAATGAGTTGATATGATCTTACACATGCCCATGATCAAGGAAATGTAACAACTCATTAGAAACGGGAAAGTCTGATTTCCCGCAAATTTAAAAATGCTCCGAAGTAAGAGTTCCGTTAATTTCTCACATTTTTCTATCTTCACTGTGTTTGCGGTTCAGTGAAGCCCTGTCATTGTAATACGCTTGACAGAACAAACGCGGATTGAATGTAAAGCTCATAGCGTCAGATTTGATTTGCTCTGTGGTCCTTAGCATGTGGTTGATTGTTTTGCCTTGTGACTTCTAGACCTTGCTTGCTCGCTTTCACTGATTGAATTGACTCGCTATGCATAAGCAATGACAATACCGGTGGGATTCCGGTAAATTTTTATAGTGTTAAAGCACCGTGAAACAACCGTGTAGATATTAGATGTACTTGAAAGTACTGTGCGTAATTTCTCTCGATTGATAAGATGTTGTAACTTGTATACCTTAAGCCGTTTTCAGTCCTACTTCTTTAGTTTGAATTCCATTTTAATCATAAGCTGTCATTCCCAGTTACCTACCTTCAGGTTGTCAATACAGTGCCTTGCTGCTTGTGTCACTGATTTTAAACGCTTTTAACGCTTTCTTTGTTAACACTCTTTTTTTAGCTGCACGTTGTCTGTCTACTTGTACAAAATCTTTTCTGCTGCTGTTTTTATCTGCACAGGGTGACAACGGTGACGAAGATTTAGCTCCAACAGAAGTGGATGGCCAGTTCGAGTTTCAAGCTAAAGATAATCTTCCTCCCGGTGGCTTCAAATTCTGCTAGGCGGCGATTTCCAACCTTCTACTCGAAATCTTCCCAAAGAATGAAGTCGTGGGGGCGTGCGTGGAGGCATGCGTGCGTGTGAGCGAGCGTGCGAGACGACGCGCGAGAGTGCGAGCGAGAAAACGCGCGAGAGTGCGAGAGAACAAATCATGACAGAGAGAGATCACTTTCGAAATAAGAGAATGAACGGAGAGGGCTTGTGAGGGAGTGCGTGAAATATGGAATTGTCTTCTGCAGTAACTCTGTCGCCTAATCACAAGCGAGGAGACCGTTTCACCAAAGTAATTTAATTAGAAGAATTTCATCTTATCAGCATATGGCGGTAATTACTGGCCGCCACCGCTTGACTTTCCCACCGGGTCCAAGCAACAGGATGATGCTCCATTGGAATGTGTTGGAATCATAGGCGGGTGATATTACTCGTACTGCCTTGCTAATAGTAAAAGGAGGCAGAGTAAATAAGGCTAACCAGAGGATTTTTTAAAGAATTACATCCATATGTATTTAGTGCGAGGATCAAGAGTCCCACGCTAACAAGTGAGAAGAGAAGAGGTGTTAAGAAAAGAATCATCCTGTCTAGGATTAGTTTCTTTCTTGTTTAGCCATGGAAGGAACAAACTGAATGTTACGGTGGACAATCATTTTGCCCGAACTTTTAAAATTTTTCGTTTGATTTGTTTTGTATAGATTTGGAGATGCCAAAATGCTATTATGTTTAACCACCGTTGTTTTGTAATTTTGTGCGGTTTTAGAGGAAGAAATTTTCTCCTTTCCTTTCTGTCTTTTATCTCATTCTTATGATAAATTACTGGAATATGTTTTGTAATTCTACGAAAGATGGATCATTGTATAGTACCGAATTTTATTAGTAAATTTTACCATTTTTCCCACACGTTGAGTTTTGTTTCTTTCTTAAGCAACTTGCTGTGACAGAGACCCTGAAAGACAACAATAGATAACCGTCAAAACTTACTCGAGTGGTGATAGCGGATATTGAAATCCTCACAGGTGAAGTGTTTGTTTGAAATCTTTTTCTTGCACTTGAGTGTAGACAAATAAACTTTGTTGTGTCATTTTCACGAAGCAAGATTCCCCTCCTAAACCATCTTTATCGAGTTAGTTTTTTTAGTTAGGACTCTGATGTCGTTAACAGTGTTTCTCAGGGAATAAAGTAATGTGGAAAGTTCACACTAAGCCGGTTTTCTTTCCTGCTGGCCCGTCATTTGTGAAACTTGTATGGAGTGACACTGCTTTTAATTTACATCTGAGCTTTCCTAGTTGATATAACCTGGTCAATTCACTTACATTTAGAGAAAATGGGTGATTATCTTTGCAATAACATCGTTTTCGGTTCGTTTTAAAAAGGAAATAAAAACCCCTCCTGTACAATTCCTTATTTATAAACTCGATTAATTTCGTGCGAACGCTTGGTCTGACAAAATATAGTTATTACATTATCACTGTTGATTCCGATCGTTTTGCACAATTATGCTATTAATATTCACTACCGTATTGTTCACGTATTTGCTTTTTCTCGTGGTGTTTACGCGCACATGAACAACAAACTTAATTGTTGAAAAAGCACTTGCGGAAATCATTGCTGGAGACTTCAACATTTACACCGCGAAGGAAAAACGACTTTTAATCCTCGCGATTGCACGAACGCTCTTTTGCTAAGGAATCCCACTCACTAGAGGATTTAGGTTGTGGCCACATTCATTTTGCGGGCTTATTAGTTTAATTAAATTGGAATGAGTTGGTGATAAAAGGACGTTTTATTGTTATTATAATAACGCATACCGCGCACCGAATTGTGGCACAAGGTAAACATGTAATAACACCTATGTGATAATGTGTAATTCTCGGCAGCGGCACATCTCGAACGCTTCAATGGGCAAGCTTTGTGATTGGTTCACTGCGAAGCTTGTATCGACTCAAGATAAACGGTATTAATTAATTAATTACGGGGACAAATGGTGATTAATTAACCCAATCAAAATGTTGAGATGGATGCAAGTTTTCAATATTCTTTTCTTACCGGGTCATTGTTCAGGGCAGCTGGTGATATCAGCTGTTAAACCTATTTACAGTTGAATGTGGTTTTAATTTATATTTATTGGAACAGAATATTTGAAGATTACGCCTCAAAGCGTGCGATAGAATTCATAACACACATTTTGTCGCTAACAAATATTCTAACGACGGAACACAAGTCACAAGAGGTCTGTCATAACCGGTGAACGGCAACATTTGTTCGGATCTTGACCCCGTAGATGATTCGAAGCGGGGGAAAAGTCTCGCTGGCGTATCATCAATACTTTGTAAGTGGCTCAAGAGAGAGAGAGAGAGAGAAAGAGAGAGAGCAGTAGCGAATAAACAACCCAGTACCGGTGAGTCAACATGGTTATTTCACACACTTAACCTCGTAACTCGAACCGTGAAGTTTCTTGAAGATCATGCCTCCATCAGAATAGTTCGCGTGAAAACTGTCGTATGAAAGGAATCGTTTTGTCACACACTTAATGAGGAATCTGTCATTTTCACGTTGTTGTCGGCTATTTGATCAAATGAGATTAAACTAATTGCAAATGTAAAGAATATGCGCTGAGTATCATGACGTCCCCTAATGAACTTTCGTAGTTTTATTAATTTTATTATCGGCTGAGAATTTCATTGCTTTTACACCAATAGAATTACTCGTGCGGTCGATGTGTCCACAGGGTTTTATTAAAACACTTGGAAGACTTGACGCATTCCATTTACCAGAGTTCGTCCACCAAACATGAGTACTAAGGCCATACCCAGCTCTTACACTATTGATGGATTGTTGGGACTCAACCGAGACGATGAACACAAACAGCGTACAAAACTGGAACGTGTTTTCGACGAAGCAGTAGACCGTAAGCTGGGTCACAGCACAGAAGAGAGAAAACAAGGTAGCGAATAAGCGGCCTCACTTGTTAGCTCACACAGCTCTTTAAATCTTTCGATGTCGTCTACAAATAAGCTGGAAATTAAATTGGGTGTATAACGCCTTTTCACATGCCAGAATTTTCCTTTCAATACTGGTGGCATTTTGCTGTCGTTAACTGGGGCGGACTACATCAATATCTCGTCACTTTAATTATTTTTATATGTAACTTTAAAATCTTTGTGATTCAATTGGGAAAAGAGAGCTTTAACCACATTGTTCGCTTCATAAAGGCGAAATGGTTTCAAGGCAAAATGATTCTTCCAAATGATTTCATTATGGTGTTCAAGATTAGTTCTAATTGTCATACTAGCATTAGACACAAATCGTCTTAATTTTTTTAATCTAATAATCACCCTTTTTTCTTCGTTGAAAACAGCAGACCACAATCTATCCGGGTTTTTTTCCTTAGAGAACGATGCGGAAGCAAATTCAGCGGATCAGAAACACGATGATACTAAAAGTGGAGATGAACTTAAAGTGAAAAGCGACGATGAAGAAGATCAGGAGAGTAATTGTTCACCAGGAAAACTTAGGAAACAGCGTCGATACCGTACAACCTTCACAAGCTATCAACTGGAAGAGTTAGAAAGGGCTTTCTCTAAGACTCATTATCCAGATGTGTTCACAAGAGAGGCACTGGCCATAAAAATTGATTTGACTGAAGCGCGTGTTCAGGTATGAATATCTCAAATGTTTCCTTGACGTGCCATATACACAGCCGGCCGGCTGATGGGCTAAGTAGCAGTCAACAGTATTGTTCAAATCACTAGAGCAATTTATGAGCTGATTTGTTCTTTGGCTAATTAAATAGTCCAATTTAGTTGCGGACGCAAACCTCCTTATTGGCAGAGATAAAAAGTGGAAACGAATTAAACTCCACAAATGAGAGGCATTTGTCAGTGATGGGTGATAAGGAGGACTATCACTAAACTATTACAACAAGGAAATTAATATACATGGCAATTTTCCAAAGCACTTGAAATACAATTGCCAATGGCGATTATTCAAATAAAGGCGTCGATAGATTTTGTGATGTTTAAGGTGTATCACGAATCAGTTTATTCAGTGTTGTTGATTGCACAGCACTGCGGTAGTTAGTAGATCTTAAGGCGTCTTGCTGCGGCCGAATTAGTGTGAATGTATCGAAAACTCTGTGAGAAGTCACACTTCATTGATTCAAAACTGCTATGGATAATTTTTGTTTCTACTTTAAATTAAAAAAGCTAAGTGCCTTACTATATTGCCAATTTATTAAATTTCTCGTTTTCAAAACAATGATTAACGACATTCTCGTGGTTATGCAAAATTGATGTTAATTTTAGATTTGTCTTTGGTTGTAGGACAAGAATAACATTTATTGAGACAAAATCTGATGAAAAAGGGTCGATCGTTTTTTTGGGCTCTTCAGTATTGTTTCTCGTGCAATATAAAGGCGATGAATACTGTTAACTTTTTCAAAACAGGTTTGGTTTCAGAACCGACGAGCGAAATGGCGTAAGCGTGAGAAGGCTCAAGGTGTCCGCCTCCATGCTCCACTTGGACTGGGTAACACTTTAGTTCCTCCTCCACTGTCAGCTTACACCTCAGAACTAACGGCTGCTAGCAGGAACCATGATCAAGAATGGGATTGTGGTTTTTCCTCCGCAATGCCGCCTCACCCGCCGCCTTCTTTTCCGGCCCTCCGACTTCCCTTACACCCCGCGGCTTGCCCACAGTCAGGTAGTATGGCCCACTTTTATTCACCGTATTACACCCACCACTCGGAGTACTTTTCGGCGGCGGCCATACTGAGCGGCGGCAATGGCAGCAGCTCACTTCTAACGGCAACCTCCGTGCCCTATAAGTCACCAGTGTTTAAACTCTCTCCCGTTGTGTCATGTGGTTCATCTCCTCGAAGCGTTTCACCGGTAGAGCCAGACAGAAGAACAACCAGTATCGCGGCACTTAGACTGAAAGCACGAGAACACGCCGCCTCCTTGAGCTGTGTCTCTTCCACTGAATGATTTGCTTTTGATCATATTTCACACGTGCTGCTTACGTCTGAGTAAATTTTAGGAAAGAAAATAGACACTACTTGTGAACTCGTTCTTTCAGCATAAATTTTTAATTAGTTTCTCAAAGGATCACCCCTTCATTTCTTCCTCTATTGTAAAGTATATATCGACAGAAAAACAGGTATCTGGTAAAGATTTGTACGTTGTCTCGAACTGTTCGCGAATTCTATCGAATGTCTTGGACTTCAAGAGTTGTTAATTTGTTTGGGGCGCGACTCCCACTACAACCACCCGGTCAATAATTTAATAAACGTCTTTGTTTGCGTTACTTGTACACGAGTTCTTAACACGGGATCACTCAAATCACGCTGAGATGGGGACCATTAACGAGAGCAGAAGACCCGCCGCTGTCGGCCGCTTTGTTCGCGTCATCAAAAAATATTGCTCTTCTAATAGGATAGCGGGAAGGAGTGCGACGCTGAGATTATCAAGGAATTAGTCGCATTAGGCAATCTATCAATGAGATAATTGGTGAATCAATTACAGAAAACTTTCCATTTGATATTACAAGCTTGCCTTATTTGGAGGGGACACCGGATAGCACCTGCCCCAGCGCTGTGTTGGGTGAAGCTGACAGACGCACATGCAGTCGTGTTTACTAGGTTCGGCTTGAGTGCAAAATTTACTCCTCACTTTGGACGAATTTAATTAGGCCTACAAAGCACGGTACTATTAACTTATGACAACAGTCGAATTCTTGTTTTATAGAAACAACAAATTTGAATAATTTAATTACGTTTCAGGCAAAAACAGTGATATGTAATCAACGACTTTTAATTACCGGAGTGAGATTCGATTAGTATTGTGACTTGTGATTGGCTTTGCAAAGGCCTTCATGTAAACCGTGTTTCCTCATGATAAATTGAACTTCCCTGTAAAATGACTTGGTTATTAGCGCATGTAAATGGCGACGCTCTTAACTCTGGACGGCTTTCTTTCTAGTTGTCAAATGAGATTTACAAAGGATTACAGATTAGCTATCGTTACGCGTTTCGCGGAGGCGACGAACATTACTGTGTAACATGTATCAGATGACAACCGTTCCTTTCTGTTTGAAGTCGTTCCATTTAAATAAATTTCATTAGCTCTGAAAAGCGGTAAGCGTCATTTTTGCCCAATTTAGTGGTTGCGGCTTTTTGAGGAAAGATTTATCTTTCAATTAATTGTTTATTACAAGATTCAGAGTCTAACGATATGAACATTTGAAGAGCTTTGAACAACATTTCTACGAACTAACCGAAATCCTTTTAATCAAACCGGCTCGTTCATTTGTCGAACTTTCCAATTCATTTTGATTACTTGAAGCTAAGTAATGTGATATTTCAAGAAGGTTGCGCTGAAGCTCGACTGACTTCGTCTTCGTATTACATACACTTTTTCTCTATTTTGGGTAATTAGACATCCATCGCAAAAAAAAAGATGGATAGGTCTATGTCAGTTGAAATGGCTCTTGAATTTGTTCAAAAACTAAATGAATACAAAAAAAAACAAACAAACAAACAAACAAAAAAAGCGTGAAAACCAGAACGTAGGTAAAATTTTATCAGTGCAACTCTGAAGAGTGCTTTTGGTTTCTCCGATGAGATCAGCTAAAAACAACCAGTTTGCCTACGGCTGTTTCAATTCAATTTTATATCAAACAGAATAACTTTAATTTAAAATTGACCGCTGGTTAAATGCGAAAAAGAGTTTTCGATTCTTTTAGAATTCCACAACTAAGATTTTTACATTTTCATAAGCAATTGTTTTCCTTTTTTTCTCAAGCATTTGAAAGTTTTGCCAGCAGTCAATTAAACTTTAGAAAAACAATATTACCCTCTGGAAGGAATTTATCAGCGTCAGCGTAAGGCGAGTTAATGGTGGTCGCTCGGGAATATGTAATAAGCTTTAATGGACTAGAAGTGTTTCTGCTTCCCGGCCCCAATAGGATGTTAGTCCATGGAAGGCTAATAGTCCCCATCTCCCACCTCCAGAATTTTGTCTCTTTTTCCTGGCAGTTCGCTGATTCTCTACTATACTTCAACCTCGATTCCAGCTCCGTCTTCTTCCATTTCCAAAAACCCAAGACGTCGACCTCGGTCAGAGGATCGAACCCAGACCCATCAGTCTGTGTCCACGGACAAGGATGACGACCGGAAAATAGAGCAACAGCCATTTGTCGATCACCTAGCCTGTGACAGGCTTTCGGTCAGTGCAAACTATTTAAAAAGCGAACACGCTAAAAGTGGTGGGATCAGGCAGGTTTTACCTGCTCTTTAGCTCGTCTTCACCGACCGAGAGCCTGCAACAGATTGTCGCTTCCCTTTTTTTCTTTTAATTCATCCTCGGTGGTTGAGCGACAGCTCAGAACAGTCAGAACAGACGGTCGATCCAGGGACTATGGCGTCTTCTTGCAGGTTTATACCCTACTTTCTCAAGAAATTTTGATCCAAAGAAGTCCTAAGGGCTGAAGTAACCATTAACTCAAGATCTAAGCCATTGAGAATAAATTGGTCCCAGCTCCACCGCTAGTGAAAGGTTGAAGGTTTGCCTCCTCTGAAGACAACGTTGGCTTCCTGTTCACAGTAAGAGTTATACTTTTGGTGAAATAAAAAGACATCGATAAGGAAAATATTCACCCAAACACGCTCTCCTTATTCAGCGCTTATTTCCGCTAATCTTAAGTCCAACAAAAAGTAGAGAAGAAAATCGCGTTGGAAACTGAGATGGACAGCTTCTAGTAAATGACAAGTTTAAATAGGAAACGAGGGAGGCATATGGCTTAAAAGCATGAAGGTATGTCCGAACACTGAGATTTATTAGAACGCGTGACTAGCCAATTGGAATTAATTTACACATACATTATATATTCGGGATTTTGGGCGATTAGACTAAAACTCTTCGGCAACATAACCCTATTTTCAGGCGACATAGCTTCGGGCGAGAATAGCCTCATTCTCTTGGGGGAACTGTCTTGATTTAGCCATCTAACACTTGGCTTTCTGTTTTCTTCTTAAATTTCTTCTGTTCAAATTCCGTCCTCCTCTCCTAATCTTCCTATTTCTTCTGATCATACAGCCGGATCACTTCAACTCTTTTGTGACTGCAATGTTCTCATTTTGACCATTTTCTAGAGCATAAAATCTGGCTGCCTTCTTAACAGTACACACACCTGTGATTGTTACTCTGGTGACCACTCTTGCCTTTTTCATACTCAGCATTTGTTTGGTCCAATACAAATTAAGATTTGATCACTAGGGGCAAAGACTGATGTCGACGCAGCATTCAAGTAGTGATCAATCTGCTTGATAGTATTAATTTCGGATGCCCCTCGATCTACTCGTGGCAGTTTCTACTCGTCCAGTGCATCCAGCTGCGGTCAAAGTTTTCTAGCAAGATTCTGGATCAAGGTATCTGCACATTTTTAATCCCTTTTGAGGGAGTTGGGCAGCCCAGGTCTCTAACAAACTTGTTGGCAAAGCGTGGAATACGTGCCTATGGAAAGAGCTCAAATGCCAAGGAAAGTCAACTTCTGATTTGCAGGTTTTAAACATGCTAGGGCCTTTCTGGTTTAATCGTTGCCGGGAAATAGAACTTGGCACTGCAGCAGATTTGCTTACAAGGGCTGTGGCTTCAAGAACATTCTCATTACTCTAAGAGGGGTTAGGCACATGCTGTTCTAAAGAAAAATGCATGGTTTGAATGAGGTCTCAGTGAATAGTCTTCAGTCAGTCGTTGCATAATACCAAAAGCTTTAAGGTGTGAAGAAAATCCATCAGATTTCAAACTGACGAAAGGTATCAGTTTTTTCGATAATGTTATCTCATAAAAATCTGTCCGTGTTCCGAGTGAAACTCTAAAAAGAATAGAAAAATTGGAGGAAGTAGAAAGCTTGCCAAAAAATGGGAATATGAACTTGACACCTTGTTGGTGAAAAGATCGGTAACCGTCGTACGCAAGTGCTGTTATTTATCTTTGATGTAGATAGATAGATATGTTTATTAAAGTAATACTTTGCAGCTAAATTGCGTGAATACAAAAAGGGTGTGATAAATATGGATTAAAGTTGCAATCTGAAAAAAAAAAAAGAAATATATACACGTTTTGTGACACTTTTTGATGAGAAAATAAAAGATTGTACATTTCAATCATAGTTTCAAATTGCATCGTTTCTGAAAAAATACATTACATCTGCGAGTCTGTTGAAAAATGCAGACTATAATTCACGTGTCAGGATTAGTTAAGAACTCCAACTAAAGACGGTACAAACGTGTTCACAGATCTACAAGTCTTCGCTCTAGGAGGGACAAAGACTCGAGGCAGTCGAAGGTTATAGCGTGGGGTGTGTCTTGCTGGTAGAAGATTTCCACGGTTGTTAGTTGGTGTTATAACAATGTCATTAAATAGTTTATTGCATACTTCTAAACGCCTGTCGCTTAGCTTTAAAATTTCACTGTGGCACAAACTGTCCGCGATGTCGACGCTAGGGTAGATAATTGCCAAAACACGCTTCTGACACACAAAACACGCTTATGGCATCTGATAAGTAGTGCAAAATGGAAAACCTGACAGATGTACTCCAAAACTGGTAAGACCTGATATTCTAGCATTCTTAACTACTTCAAGCTGCTCAGGGTCGATGTTTAAGCTTGGAAGGATGTCCACAGCTTTTGAGAAACAGATGACGAGTTCCTTGCTCTTAGCGATAGTAAGCTGCAGTCTTACTGCAGTTGACCGGGGTTTGAACGCTCTCGACAGCATCTTAGATGTTAGTAGCGGAGTCTTCAGGCGCGAGAAGAGGTGGTGTCGTCAATACGTTTCAAAGTTTGTACTAGGTGACTGAAGATCCTTTATCACGAAAAGGAATTATCACGAGCCTTATTTGGTCACCTGCGGAACACCGGATGAGACGTCAGCCTATTCGGAGAGGCAGACTTAAGCTAACTTCACTCACTGTTGTATCTTCATGAGAAAGACGATCGCCCAGTGCTTGATTAAGACTCGCACAGTTAAAAATGAGACCTTCTTTGCCAGGATATGATGGTCTATGAGGTTGGAAGCCTTGTAGTAATCAAATAGGGCAACTCAGACAGTACTTCCTGCTCTATCGGTTGTTTTGGCCAAAGAGTGAACCATCGAGATAAGCGCATGGGTCTCGGACGAAAGAGGGATGCCACTAAATTGAGATAGGTCGATTGTCTTTAAACTGCAGGAGGCGATGAATTTTTCAAACATGAAGTCTTCAGCCAGTTTTTATAAAACAGGAGTAAGCAAAATTGGTCTTAAATGTTTGCTGTTGCCGGTGACTGGTTTCTCCCTTGGGACTGATGCTACGACCTGTTTCCACGCTCAGGGTAGCATCTACTCTTTATGGGGGTTAATAAGTGGGAGCCTGACTGAACAAGACTGAACTTTGCAAGAAAAGTGTTTTACGAGTTTAGCGTATAGATTGTAGATATTCCTGGCTTTTCAGTTTTTGCTATTTTTTTCTTTTTTACTTTTCAGTTTTTGCAAGTCTGTACTTCTGTTATATATACTTTAAGAAGTACCTCTATAGACATTTTCAGTATTTTTTTAAGCGATTCAGTCCGTAGCTGTAATGTTTAGTTATCAACGTATATCAACGACAAAAACAAACAACTTTCGTTTAACGATACCGAAAGTTTTCTTAATTTGGAGAAAAAGTTGAAATTTAAACTAGATTATCACTCTGGAATAATGTAAAACAGAAGATTGTTTGTTTACTCCCCGAAACATTTTGTCAAAAAGCTCAATTCCAAGTTGTTACTCAACTTAGCTTTAAAGGGGTGTGACTACATCCATATTTTGGATACGAAATGATGCATCTTTGCTCTTTGATTATCCTATCGATTTGAAGATATCTTATTACTCAACCCTTACTAATATGTGTAACACATTATTTAAGGGAGATTCCAAGTTAGGTCTCCATAACGTTCCATTTCCCCATTACCGACGACCTCCCGTACTGGATCTGGAAAGACTGTGCTGAGCTACTCACACCAATCGTCACTCACGTTTGGAATCTGTCGCTGTCTACTCATACATGGCCAGACTCCTGGAAAAGGGCAAATGTTAACCCTCTCCCCAAAGTGAACATGCCTATAGAGGACTCGGACTACCGTGGTATTAATGTTACTCCCGTTATTGCCCGGTTGTTTGAGAAGGTCGTGTATCGTACACAAGCACAGTCAGTCATTGAGAGCAACCTGAGCCACACCCAATTTGCATATAGACAGGCGGGTAGTTGCACAAATGCCTTGCTCGCTATCCAGCACCAGACATACAAGTATTTAGATAGTAGTGACTATAGCGCAGTGCGAATTTTTACCATGGACTTCAGTAAGGCTTTCGATTTTGTGAACCATGCTATTTTGTCTGCCAAACTGAAACAGCTACCTCTAAATCCGTACATTATCAATTGGTATCATAGTTTCCTCTATGCAAGACAACAGCGTGTTGTTAGTTATAATTTTTTAGGACAGTGGAAACTTGTCAATAGAGGAACCACACAAGGTAGTGTAAGCGGACCGTATCTTTTAATATATTTTTGAACGATTTGGAGATTTTTTTTTTGGTTGCCCTGTGCTTTTTAAATATGCCGATGATTCCACTATTCTTTCGCCTATCACTAGGAATAGTGACCCGTCTGCCGACTTAGTAGGACAGTTCTTAACATGGTGTAAAGACAATAGAATGGTCTGCAACCCTTGCAAATGTAAAGAGCTGGTTGTTAGAAAGAAAAATCATAATGTACTCTACTCTCCAATTAATAATATTCCCCAATGTAATAGCTTCGTTTTATTAGGAGTAACTTTACAGAGTGATGGAAAATTTGATGAGCATGTAAGAACTAAGCTTGTCAAAGCAAACAAGTGTTTACACGTCCTACGAACATTGAGAAAGGAACATTACTCTCAGGCAGAGATTGATCATCTTTTTATATCGATTGTTTTGGCTAATTTTAGCTATGCACTTTCAGTCTATGGGGCATCTGAGTCCGATCTTACGGTTGTACAAAAATTTTTAGACCGATGTCATGAACGCGGTTTTATCTCATTTCCAGTTTTTATCAAGAACCTTTTAAACAAACAAGACAGAAACATTTTGAAGAAACTAAAATCAACGGATTGCCACCCCCTGAAAGATATCATTCCTGTCCAAAAGACATATCTACACAATCTCAGGAAAAAAGGCTGCGCGCGCCCGAAAATTAATACACAGCGCTTTATGAACACATTTGTAAATAGGTTGATATTTAAGCTCCATTTATTGTGATGATATACTTTTTAATTCATAATATGTATGTAGATTTCTGTAGTTTTTTCAATTCATTGTAACATAAGATATGTAGTTTTATCTTATGATGGAATAAAGACAAAGAGAGAGAGAGATTACCAAGTTCTTCAGGGCTAGCCACGCTGTGTTAGCAGTTTAAACTTTTTGTGTTTTAGTGATGCATCTCTCATTAAGCAATTTCATTGCTGCAAGGTGTTTCAACCAAGCGATAGCTGGTTATCCTCTCTGTTTCAGCCATAATGAGAAATTATTTATATTGCTTTAATTGGTTGTGAGGTGCCTCAAGAGTTTTCCTCTGATAAAGCTTTAAGGCTTGATGGATAACACGAATAGAACCTTAAGCGTGGAAAGGTCTCATAATGCCATTCCCTTCAAGGATGGTTTCTTTCTTAAATCAGCTGTCACCTGGGTTCACTTCTTTTACAAAATTTAATTTACTTTTCTGACTCTTCATCCACAAATTTCTTTGATCCCGTCTATAATAATACGGCATGAAGAAAATTCATAATTTCCACACAAGCTGTTGTTTGTTTGTTCAACCTGAGGGTTACAAGTTTCTCTCTTTTCTTTTTTTTGGCCATGACTTGGCTGAAGGTTTGTCATTTTTGCTCAACAATTACTCTGTAGGTTTAAAGGTAACTCATTCTGTTGATTTGGAATTAGTCAGTTTTCTTTGGGGATCATGTTATAAAAAATGAAATTCTGCAGGAGTTTGGTGTAAGAGTTGTTCAATTAGCAGTCATTTCATGGAATGGCACCCTCTTTGGACTAATAGTAATAATAATAATAAACTGACTCTATAATCTATTTCTCTCATTGGTTGCTCATGGGCAAAGTCAAGAGGTACTTTTACATCAGTTGAACCAGAATCCAGGCTTGTTGACTTGTTGATCCCTTTCTCCAGAATTTAAAATGAATAATGAATAATCAAAACAGTAATAACAAAAATAAAACATAAAAATCAGAGGAACAATAACTAATGTAATTTGGGTCTGAATATTCAGCTTCCAGCTCTTATTAAAAGGCATATAACATTTTTCTGAGATTCTCTTGTTGGTTCACAAACATTTAGATGATCAAGTTGTTAGTTCAACCACTTGTTAGTCTTTCAATCACACAAGCGCAATCACAAGTTTAAAATTGTCTTTCTACTCTCGACTAAGCAAATTTCACCATCTGAGCAATTTATATGTTATTTTTTCACTTATGTGGCATCAGATGGAAAGTCAACTGACACATCACTGTATGATAATGCCCAACCCTCCAATTATGGGTTGTTTCCTTCACAATTTTGTCCATTTGTTGAACATGTAAAAGATATTTTGTTCCAAATCGAAAACTTACGCTTTTACTGTTCCTTAATCAAGGCCAAAATTATACAAAAATCCACAAAATGGGCCACCATACCAAACATAGTGATAATACTACCCATTAACCTATTTGCTCAATAATATTTGTCTGCATTAATGTTAATTTAACTTTAAGTTTTGCTCATTTGCGGTTTGCAAATACCATCCCAACCAAGGCTGCTGCTCCGCCCATAACCAGAGCTGTACCTCCCAGGATGCCAAGTCCAATCAAGCCATCTATGGAAATAGCATAACATTATAAAAAATTTAACAGAACCCTTTTTGGAATAATTATCCTGTTGGTCTTGGCAGGAGAGTGCATGTGGTAAATTCATGATTTTGTGACATGCATAATTTGAAAATGTGTTTGAGTAGCTAAAACCAAACATCTTACAAACTGAAGAGTTCTGCATATTACAGTACATACATAGGTCATTTGAGTTATTACACATATAGAAATTTCTAGCTTAAGAAGTCTCTAAGTTGAGCAATGGTGTAATTGAAATGGTATGTAAAAGTAGGGAAACACCAGGATATTGAGCTTGTTGTGCATCATTGACAAGCATATAGAATCAAAAGATAACTGAAGAACCAGATCAAATTACAAAAAATTGTTTCTAGACAGCTTGAATAGGACATCCATATGAGAACACAAAAATTTACATCTTGGAGCAGTACACTCAAAATCTGCAAAAGAATACTGGACAGACAATTACTCTATCTTCCAGTCACACCAAAAATGTTCAAACCTTTTTTCATTTGACCAGTGATTTTTTCATGCAACTCAAGCCCCTGTCGGTTTTCAGGTTCTATTTGTAGTAATCTGTTTGTGTATCTGAGGGCTGACTTGTATTCCTATTTGATGATACAAAACTGTAATTTAAAATCAACAGGCCCTACACATGTATCACTATCTTCTCCAAAACTTTGAAATGGAAGGAATGATAGAGAGCCATTATTAATTTTATAATTATAGTTTTGAGCGCTTCTTTAGGTCAGATAAGTTTGACTAGTAAATTTTTATAGTTTGCAATTTGTTGGAGATACATATTCCTGCTAGGACAGAAAGATGTAAGTTATACTGTGCAGGTGAAAATTTATTAAGCAGTGTTAAAGCTTGTTCTTGGTCTACATTTTGTGCGTGAAAACAAAAATTAAAACAAAATATTGTAGGGTTTGCCACTTTTAGCTGTGGTTCTATATATCAACCAGCAGAACAGCTGGGAATCAAAATAATAGTATGCATAACTTAACTTCATAACAACAAAAGGGTTGCTATGTAACTCACATTCAATTTGTAATATCCTTCTGCAATAAAATAAAGGTAATCTCTTTGATCAGTTCCACTATGACATAATCCTACAAACAATTGAAGAAAGAAAGAGAAAAAAATACAACTGATAAGACTCCAATTGCTCAAGGCATTTTATCTAAGGCTAAGGAAACACTTAAAAATGGGACTCAATTGCATCAATGTCAATGGACAAAACAAGAAATAACAATCACTTTAAATGATTTTTTTTTCAATCATCACAATCTGATAAAATTTAGGATCATGAACCTTTGGACCCTATAAAAATTTCCATTTGCAGATAGAAAACCTTAGCAAATCTTCTATTAAAACACCAGTATGATTGCGCTTAGTAGACTATTTTATGTGAGAACCTGGGTTCTTCATATGTCCTATCATGAGGCATTGTGCTGGTGTGACCAAGCCAATAGCATCCATTCATCTCCAGTAATTCTGGTAAAAATCAAGGAAAGAGAAATACCCCTGATCTTCAAATTACTATTTTGCCAAAAGTTTCCAAAGGAAAGTGCCCTTCAATTTTAATTCCTTTTCAAATCGAAAGAGTTCTATGACCCAGAGGCTTGTCCCTTCCTTGACAAGAAGTATTAAGAAATTATCTTGAGGACCATTGTAAAGGGATACTGTTTAACCAGAACACATACTTCACCTTGCAGGAGAAGAACTCCTTTTAAAATTTCACTCTTGTTGCTGCTTTTTATCAAGCACCAAGCATAACTGAACTGTGTATCAGAAGAAACCTGTCCTCTTTCAACTTCAGCATTATATTTGTCCTCAAAACGCTAAAAATTTTGGGAAAAACTATGATTTAAGAAAAGTACATACATTTCAACTATTGATTCACCATCATCACCAGTTAAATTTAAGCGAACATGACCTATTTAAACTTAATATGAACGAACATGGTTGGTGCAATCACAGTCACATACATAGTCAAGTACAAACTCCACAGAGAAAGTTTCTCATGCATTATTATATACTCATTGACAGAGTGGGAGGGCAGAATGGGAAAATATTTGGCTCAAGGTTATGATGTATGGACTGAGTGCAACAAGGTCCATGCCCCATGACTGAAAGCTAAACTTTTTTTTGTCTGGCGCAACCAAACTAGGTCAATAAGCATTTTATCATATGATCACTAAATGTTGCATAATTTGAAAATATTGTTTCAACCAAGATAGTATGTGATAGAAGGATCCTGGTGGGACAACCACAAAAAAGATTCTACAATAAAAAATTTCCTTCATCTTTTTCAGTCACACCAGTCAGAACCATAAAACTCACAATTCATCAGAAAACTCAACTTTTTTCACTCTTTTCTTTTTATTGTTAAAGGATATGGTAGACGTTTGTGCATGTCCTCACAAAAAAAAAAAGGTGCCATTTGAAGCATAACAACCATAGACTATATATCAACACATGTTTAGGTGGGTATCTTGGGAGTCTTTAGACCAAATTTCAAGGCAATCCATAAAGTTAACTTACACTTACAATTAATTTGTTTGCATAAAAACAAAGTAAGTTTTTTACTTTCAAATTTTTCCTAACAACTTGCAAAATGTTGACCACCAATAGAAACTTAAGATTGTCTAGCAGAGTCTCAGAAGAATCTCAGCAAGAACATATTTAGCAGGTAACTATCTATCAGTTACCTGCAATAGACCTTTAGTTCAACTCTGCTGAAGAGAAACTTTGATTTCAAATACTTTTTTTCAACTGAAAGGCCCCTTGAGAACAATGCGGCAAAACTACATGGTTGCTGATTGAGCACAAGCAGCAAAGATTGCTTAAACCATAAGCCTTTATCTGTTTCTGTGAGAATCTTTCGAATCTCTTTATTTCTTGTGCTTGACAGCCAGATTTCTTTTTTATCTTTCTCTAATCACCTTCTACTTTTATACGCTGACAGATAGCAAAGATCTTCATGTGCAATCAAAATTAGGAGATGTTAACATAATTGAAATTCATGGACCAGGATGTTTTACTGCAAGAAACCCTTCAAGAGTCATCTATTTTCACATGTTATAATTAGCTATTCACACTTTGGCAGCTTAAAGAATTTAGCTAAAAGATATATTTATGTAAATTAATTGTGTGTGCTTCAATATTTTACCTTAATTTTTCTTGGAAACTATAGTTAAATAGCAATGCTTAGTTTGACATGATAAAAAAAATCTCCAAAAATCTTCCCTTAAAGATCCACTATATAGTTTAGTTTTTGCAACAAAGCTATGTGAGTGCAGTGCTGGATGGCTTTTTACGGATTGGCTAATGTCATCCTGTCTGTTCAGCTCAATACACATCAGCTTTCACCATGGATTTCTATAGGACTGCATGAACAGGTAGCCATATGAAAAAGATGTTTACCAAAACCTCCAACCCTTGTGAACTTGAATTCTGAAAGTAAAATTAATTTCACCTGGATTTCCCTCATATATTCATCATTAATAATTTAACACTCCGTACTTCCAAACATTGACAACTCAAATTTTTTGCTGAAGCAGTTTTTTTGTTCCTTCAGGTCATTTTCAAAATTTTTTGCATTGATAAGTTCAAGAATACTTGCCAATCAATATGTGACATATAAAGATTACCAGGCTACAGCCAAAATCAACCAATGATTTGGTAGCAATCATATTCTCCTTTGTTTGTTTAATTGTTCATTTTTGCTGATGAAAATCCTTACTTCAAAAGTTTAATTTTCCCTTGAATTTGCTATTTTTATGTAAATTTAATAAAAGGTAAACTGTAGGAAGAGAGAGACAGTAGACATCATATTTTCCTTATTTCTAGATCTTTCATCATTGGATCAGCCTCAGAGTGTGTTGACAAGACAAACTGAGAGTTACAAATAAAGCAGCCGGGAATATTGGTAAAATAATCTTCAATGAATAATATTGAAAAGGTCAGTCAAGAAGATCAAATGTTGATGAAGAGGTACATAGCATCATTTAGCCACTACAGACCGTTTAAACAGTGCTTGAGTTTATAAAAAGAGTTTTTAAGCCACCAAGAGGGCAACTGAAAAACAGTACACTGCAGGACATTGCAATATATCAATATTTTACCTCACTTTTTATATTATTGAGACTAAATTAATGAAAATTCAATACGCTTAAATTAATAATTGAATTTTGAAAACTATCGATCTATATCTCGAAAATTGCATATTGTCATTCCACAAATTACAGATTGTCATTTCGTTTCGTTTCGTTTTGCAAATAACAGGAAGCCATCAATGTCGTACAAAAAAATTAAAGGACAAGTTTATTTGTTAACTGATAAACTTGAAATATTTGTTCTTGTACTGGCGTGGGGGAAAGCCACGAAGTAAAAATGAGTTCTGAACATGATTAATGAATTTGATGGAACGAGTGAACAAGCTTGCGATTCGAAAAGTGACATTTTGGTTCTACAGTATGCATTGCGTGCTTTTAAAAGGTCGTGTTTCACTTGCTGATCACAGAAAATAAGACAATTAAACAACACATTTATCCTACCTTTGCGTCTCCTTCAGAAAGAATTTCATCCATAATTCAAGCTGAAACTAGGCTGACTGAGTTTAAACAAAGGAAACAAAATTATTGTCTTCCTCAAATGGAACCTTCGTTGTCCGCCATCTTAAAGCAAGGTAACCTCGCTACGGTAGGGAGGGAGGGGAATAGCATTGGGTGTACTGTGCTGTGCTGCTTTGCTGTTATCTGTTGCTAGCTCTTCTGTGGTTGGTCCACTGAACTCGTCTTACTTGAAAAAAGCCTGCAAGCCATTAATTTTTCAATTAACAATTGATTAGTTAGCAGAGTGATGTTGATATATGTTACGCCAATGGTAAAACGGTAACACAAGAAAGCGTCATCTTCTCAGATTAATCCACATCGTAATATTGGATGTAGCTGGATTGTATTGTGGCTACAATGGATTTGTCTGAAAAGCAACACAGTAGCTTGCCTAGTCCAATGGCTGAGGCATCCTTCTTGTCTCGTCTCACTTACTGGTAATCATAATTTAATTATGAGATGTTAATAGACATGGTTGATTTTAGAATTAAGGTCCATGTACGTCTACGGCTAAGCGTTTGAGTACGTTTGTACACAGTCATTCATTTTCATATTTACTCACGTTGAGAATAAGTTTATTTTTACCTAAGAACTGTTAGTTAAATGCATTTCAATTGACACATTTCAACTTGAGTAGTTGAAAAGTAAATTAATTATTTAGTACTGTGTGGTCAAGTCCACTTGCTACACATTCATGAGCCTATGCAGTGAAGTAACAGTTCATGAGGTATATGGCCTCTGAATCAATATCAACATGACTGCTGACTGAATTCGGATTGGCTCAACCATTTTTGAGCATGTCTCAGGTGATAATATTTACGGCTCTAGACCGCCTTTGGTCTGTATGCAGAACTTCACAGGAACGCAGGGAAATGCAAATAAGGAAGACTGGAAGTTTAAGATGGTAATTTCCATAATCAACTTGGAAAGGGCTTAGAGGTGATTAGCCCCATGCCTTATGCCCATGGCCCATGGCCCACACCTGACCCCCAGCCCCCAACCCTTAATCACCAACCTTGTTGCCAAGCCCCAACCCCCATTCCACAACCTAATGTTGATCCCCAGCACCAACCTGTAATCATTAACCTCTTTCCTCTTGTTTCCTAAAAAGAAGTTCCTTCCTTGCTAAGTTCATTTGGAGTTCAGAGCAGCTACAGGACCAAAGCAAAACTGGTCCTAGTATGTTTAATCATTATAGTTTACATCTTTTACTTGTTAATAATGAGAGATAGGAGGATAGAAGAGAACAGTGTATACAATGGGAGAAAAACTGAAATTCTAAACTTCACTCTTCATCAATGCTATAAAAATGAATGTATTTATTTGTTTGCTTGTGTAGTTTGATCGTCTGGGTGAAGGAACCCAGGCTTATAACACTGGACTGACAATTACTCCTCACTTGATGCTGATGATGATTTCTGCTTAGGCTGTTGAAAGCTTGTCAGTAGTACTACCTGTAATAACATTTCTTCACAGGACTATCCTCATGAGGACTGTCAGACTGCATGATCAAATGCAATCCCTGGGTTCAAACCATTTACTTTACATTTTTTACTTGTATGTTGCAGTATAGGGGCTGGCTTTAGATAACAGTATAGTGTCCATCAAGGAGTAAATTTCTTTTGACAAATCTTGTTCTTTATTTTGCAAGGTGGCTTAATGGACTTTTTAGTAAAGGATATGATAGGCGCTTGGAGCCTCATGACTTGTATCAAGTACTCAAGGAAGACTCTGCAGAAACATTGGTGGCAGATTTAGAGAGGTTGGTAGGAAAAATAAACAATGATATGTGACCTTTAAAAAACAGTTAAGGTTAGAGAGGTGAAAAGCAGTTGTAGAAAAAGAAACATACAAGCGATTGATTCTGATAAATTATAATTAACTTATAAACTCTATGTTAATGTTAGAGCTTGTAGATTATATCTGGACATGCAACACTAATAAATAATGCATAACCCCCCTGACTGGGAGACAGTTTCACTCTACTCTCATGATAAGTTATGTTGAATCAGGTTATCAAAATGGCTGTTATAGGTGGTGCCTAATCACAGTACCTTCTTGGTTTCTTACACCAAGGCAATTGCACTTTTTGTTTACAGTGGCCAAATTATTCAAGGTTTTTACTGCCCACTTTTTATTTATCAGACTTGTGACTTATATCCATTTTTAGGAAATGTTGATGTTAGTGGCTTTTTTCTTTTTTTTTGTGTGGTCTCTATGATATTACTCATTTTATTAATTTTTATAGTGAGTGGTCCAAAGAACTTGCAGCTGCAGCATTTTCATCCAGAAAACCAAGTTTGGGTAAAGCTGTAGCAAAGTTTGCTCTTATAGAGCTGGTATATGTTGGGATCTTTGGCTTCCTTAATGTAAGTTTCTTGACCTGTCACATCCAAAAACAACTTGGAAAATTAATTAAGTAATTAACTTTTTTAACATTTATGTCCTTACAATTGTTCAATGACAATAAAAATGGATGATTATATGCATGTATGGCCATTTGTATTGTATAACAGTACAAAGTAAGAGTGTATCACTTTCCTTCAGTACACTACCATAATATTACTAAACATATTGGCTTTCCTCAATATTGATAATTGTCACAGTACTCTACATGAATTTTAGATAGACAATATACCAATTACAGGTGGAGAGAAAGTTTGGTTGTGACAGTTGAACCTTGATTATACAGACCTGGTTTAACTGAACCTGCCTCTCTGGTCCTTTTTTTTTATTAATAATTGGCCATATTCAAGATTTGACATAACTTTTTTCCATCAAACAGAGCACTTGTAATGAAGCAACATTGAATGAAGTAATGTTGATGCTATCTTATTAATGGAGCTTCAAAGAATGATAGATTTAGTGATGTGCTTAGGTGTAGAAACTTGAAACAAACTGGTTTACATCATTATTTTAGGTTATAAACTTGTTAGTTAACTTTAATAATTTTTTGCAAATGTTGACTATGATGCACAGAAATTTAAATGGTACATAGTCAGTTTTACTGTTGGCTCATTAATATCTTTGATTATCTGGACTATTTAGCGAAGTCCCTATGAGTGTGGATAATCAAGGTTCAACTGTAGGTTGAGAAAGCAGATTTTGGTATGCAAGTTTACTCATGCAATTGGAGAAAATAATTTTTTAAAATGTAGTCAGTCATTAAAAATTATATATCTTTCACTGTTTGCAGCAGATTTGATTTAAAAGAATGATTAAGTTGTAAGTTTCTCTCTTTTTTTTTTCTTTCATACAGGAAAGCATCAGGACTGTTCAGCCTATCTTCCTGTTTTATCTTGTGTCATATTTCAGTCCCAACCCAAGTGTAACAAAGTTGGAAGCTTATTTTTATGCTGTGGCTGTTACAGTAGCCTCCACACTGTCTGTTATTCTTCATCAACTGTACTTTTTTAATGGTCACAGAGCTGGAATGCATTTAAGAATAGCAACAACTGGATGTGTTTATAGAAAGGCAATTGCTTCACTATGCAAACATTACATAATTTATTGAACCTAACTTAATAGTGTTCATATTACATAAAATGTAGCTTAAAGAAATCTTCAAAGAAGGTTGACTCTGACCACAAGCCTCCCAATTGTGGAATGTGGGTATTTATTCTTTCTTTCTTTGTTTTTTGGTTTTTTGGTTCATAATCCATGCAATCATAGCCATATTTAGCTGGGAAACTTGTTTACTTGATGATAGTTGAATCGTATCCCATTTTTTCTCCCTCATCAATTTGATTACTTGATCTATATAATACATCTAAACAAATGGGCACTTGATGTGAAAGGTAATGCAAAGGTGAAATGAAGACTTTGGAAATTTTGACAGCAGCTATTTTGCTTTCCTGTTGAAAATTGTCCCTTTAATCAATTCTGTCAACACCTTTTTGATGAGAAAAGAAAAGGTACTATATATATATATATATACACACATATATATTTATATATAGTATTTTATGCCAACCTTTCATGCTACCTATAATAAAAAAAAATGATATTGTAAATGCAAGTGGTCACTTTCTTGATCTGCGCAACTGAATTTTACTTGTGTGCATTTTAGTCTTTGAGACTGGGTCAAGGAGTCACAACTGGTCATGTAGTCAATCTTGTGTCCACTGACACACAGAGCTTTGATCGGGTAAGATGTAATTTGGTTAAGGTTAATTTCTGCAGGACTGTCATATTTTTGATCATTTTATTTATTTATAATATTGATAATGAAAATTTTTTTTAAGTTGTTATTTATTCATTAGTTCATCGTTTATTAATATCTGTTTTCCTGTGTTTTGATTCAGTTTGTTACTTATTTGCACTTTATCTGGATTACTCCTGTTCAAATGGTTGCCACAATGTACTTGCTGTGGATTCAGTTAGGAGTTTCTTGCTTTGTACCTCTGGCACTTATGCTCCTCTTAATAATTTATCAGTCACATCTTGGTAGAGTGTTTGCTATGTTGAGGTGAGACAGAACCATCTAGAGAGCTAAGTGTCAATTGTCAAGTTTTCATTGAACTCTAATTTTTTTTTTTAAATTAATGTAAAAGTACCTTTAATGTGTTTATTCTTTGACTTGTGATTCCAGTGGAGGGTTGCTGTTCGATACTTGCCAACCTAGTAGAGTGCAAACTATTTTTGGATGTAGACTGATCATTAACTTAGTCAGAATTAATATCATGATCTCACCCAGATATTCTAATAACTCAAATGGCTTACTGTAATTTGTGAAACAAAATGAAAGGAAATGAAAATCTGTAATTTGTGAAATGGAAATCTAGAAGGATAAATCGGTCAGTTCACCACAAGTGTGCATTGTAAATGCAAACCAGTGAAAGTGTGAAATGAAAATCTCTTTGGTGTACATAGTGAAATCGTCACTTTGTTCATGAATGAATCAATGCGTCAGCTATGTGAAAGAAGAATTGTGCCACTAAGCCAGAAATTCAGAAAACTACCTGGTGCTGTGGCTGTGCTGTTTATTTTAAAAGGTGTAATCAATGTACATAGCTAATCAAGAATTCAAATGCGTGACATGATACTTTCCTGACTGGAATACACTTGGAAAATGTTGCAGCCAAAGGTGTATGCAGCATGTTTGTGAGTGAAATATCATGCATGGTGGGAAAATGAAACTGACCCAAGCTCTTTGATATTCTGGATTGATTTACGCACCAGTTGTAATTTTTAACCCAGACATCGGTGACAAAGATTGGTGTGACTTTTGAACAAGTAGAAACCTAAGCTAACTTTACCTTGAGTGAACTCGGGTAAATTTTTCCTCACAAATACACCATCAAAGCAAGCATCCTCCTTATGCAAAATACAGATTTATATTATGCAAATTACAGATTTTTATTTCTCAAGTTACACATTTACAGGTGTTCATTTTGCAAATTTCAGATTTTCATTTCATGAATTACAGATTTTCATTTTGCAAATTACAGATTTTCATTTTGTTTCACAAATTACAGTAAGCCTCTTAAATATGAATAAATATACTAATGTTTTCGTGGGAGATCTTCAAAGTAGCTCTAGAGAGCTATTCAAATTATTAAAATCACTGCAAAATGTGTTAAATGAACCAAAGAAAAAGATTAAGATAAGGTAGCTTAACTGGAAGACAAGGTGTGAAAAATATTTGGTGAATGAAAAATTTTTTTGAGATTTTAAGACTGATGAGCTACTGCATCAAGTTGCAGAAGCTAGTTAGTATAGATTGAAGGAGTACAAATGGCCCATGCAATGGCTCTGACCTCAACCAAGAAGTATTTTGAACCTAATGAAAGGGCATATTCTGAAATTTCACCTTTTTTTCTGTATATCTAAGGATTGTTTATATAAACTACCATTTTCAGTTAAAACACTGGTTAATAAATGCATATCAAATGCAGTTGTAAACCATGTGCATAATGATACTTGACCAAAACAGCAAATACAAAAAAATTAGTGGAAGATAAATGTAAACTAATTGACATTTTGCATTGACATGCAAGTTACATTTGTTCTGTCTGTGTTGCCAAGAATATTTCAAATGGTACAAGTAGCTGTGTACTTAATATTCAGTACTTATACCAAATTAAATTATCATTATTATTTAAACTGTTTCCCTCTAGACTTAAGACAGCAAGGCTAAGTGATGAAAGATGCAATAGAATGAATGAAATATTATCTGGAGTAAGGGTTGTAAAGATTTCCACTTGGGAATTGTCATTCAGCAAAATAATCAATAACTTAAGAAGGTGAGTAAGGACTTTTCCAGTATCATCCCTGCATGAATAAATTCAAATGTTTTAGATTTAATTTTGTTCTGAAACTTAAATAAAAGTACACATTAATACTTATATATTAGGTGTGCCTTGTTGCTCATTACCTATGAGTGATAAATCTGAATAACCCTGAACACTTACTCTCTCTTCAGTAGCTTTGTCATGTACATTTGCCTAAATTATCAAGATCACAATATGTGAGTGACTGACTTTTTTCCTTTCATATGATCTAGTTAGTGGTTACTTAATTGATATTGTGATTGATAAGCTGCTTGTCATTCCATTCTTGAAGTGTTAGCATTACGACTGTTATCATAAACGTTTAACTTAGTTATAATTGGGGTGCCTCATATGCTAAAACAAGTGCATTTTTTCCCTCCACTGAATTCCTTACAAGACATAATGTCGGAGTAATACATTTTCATGAATTCAATTATATTGTTGTTATTTAGTAATGCATCTTACTGTGTCAGACAAACACAATGGCATTGCAGTTTTTTTTCTTCCCATTATTTTTCACAGTCTAGAAATATCAAAGATTAGGAAAGCTATGTTTCTGCGAGCCCTCAACATGGCTGTGGATTTTGCCTCACAGAATATCATCAGCTGTGTAACTTTTGGTAGTTATGTGTTACTGGGAAATACATTGACTGCTGCCAAAGTTTTCAGCTCCATTGCATTTTTAAATGCTCTTCAGAGATCAGTGACCAGGCATTTCCCTCCAGCAGTTCAGAAGCTGAATGAGGCAAAAATAACAGTAAAGAGAATCCAGGTGAATATGTCTAGCTTGTTAAGTACAATTTATGGTACATTAGCTTTTTTGGCATTAAGGAAAATTGATTCATGGGTCAACCTGAGTTAATCAAGACATGAAGCATGCAGAAGGTTTGGAGGGCATGAAAGATGCAATACAGGTGCCAAAATTGTTTCTCTGGATGAACATTCAGCTGATGCATCAGAACAAATTGGTCTAAATAACTTTTTCATGCACCAGTCGATAATGGGCCACAACTAGGTAATGGGTCACAGACAACTTTTATATAATTTGTTTTAACAAAGTAGAACAAATTGCAATAATCAATCACTCCTGCTGACATCTAAGAATATGATTGTTTTTTCCATGTGGTATGGCAGTAAGGCTTAGCTTGTTACTTGTTGATGTGTGACCATACTCACTGTTTATATTGTTTTTGTTGTGTTTGCAAAATAGGTTTTATCATTACTAGATCACCATAATTTGTTTTCATCAAAAAAATGCTGTAGTTCATGCTGTTGTGTGATAACAATGACCCATGACCTATGACCTGTGACCCATGACCTGTGACCTGTTATCTGCATTTTAGACCTGCTGTCAGTCAATTACTCTCAGCACAATTGGAGACAGTTTGTGTAAAGTTAGGGTATTCTTTGGAATCTCTAGGTTCTGGAATATGCATGTACTTCTTCCACTTAAAATATCTGTGAAGTTACTTGCCTTTTGATAATTTCCAGGCTGTCCCATGCCCACAAGTCATTCCAAGTGACACATTATATAAAAAGAGTTTAACCCTGTCAAGTTTGATTTGTTATGTTTGATGTTTTCTCTGAAGGAATTCTTGGAGCTGGATGAATTAAATTTTGAAAAAATACTGCAAAAGTCAAATAGGTCAGGAAAATCTGGTGTGGCTGTGCACAATGTGACATGCAACTGGAGTCAGGTTAGAGTTTTGAATTGATATTTTGTAAAATATGTTTGTTTTCACTTCCATCAAGTGATGTATATTTACTTGACTTCATCCTAGGACAGGATTAATAGAGCCACTCTACAGGACATCAGCTTTAAAGTAGGAATGGTAATACTATCTGATTATCTGTCATTTCTGTTTATTTAGTTTCAGCACTGAACCAGTTTTGCCAGGTAACATCTTTTGATGTAAATAATTGGTTTTCAGATGAACAAATGGATTCCATGTTGCCAGGCATGGATTTTCATTAATGAACCCCAGGTGATGTTAACATGCAGTGAGAACAAAAAAGTAACACATGAGATGCAGGCGAGTGTGTCACTAATATTCTTATCATATTTCAGCTCCCTCTGTGATTTATTACAGAGGCATGGCAACATGGAATCTATTTGTTTTATTTGATGAAAAGGCAATAGTTAATGACAGGTGATCTTCACATTGAAGATTATTATGTTTTCATGTAAAAGCTCACTTGGTATTTCATTGGACAGGTGTTTGTATAATAAAGGTTCTTACTTATGATCTATTGCAGGACAAATGTACATGAAGTTATTATCAACTGTTGCCTCTTTATCATATAAAATAAATAGATTCCATGTTGCCATGTGTCTGTACTAGGTCACAGAGGGAGGCAAAATGTGATAAAAATATTAGTGACACACTCACTTGGATCTCATGTGACACTGTAATTAAACTTCTCACCAAATGTTAAACATGTCAACATGTTATCTTCACATGTGAAAAGATCACTGTTGCTAAGATTAAATATAGTGACACTTTGTTCTACTTTAAAATGAAATATTAAAGTGAATTGATTTAGTATTTCCTTGGTGTTTATTTAATAAAAAGAATATTACATGGCAGCTTGGAGATACAATATTTCTCATCTGATGTTGAAACATATTTCTCTTCTTCTCTTTGCTCACCTGTGAAATATTCTTTAACACTCAAGGAGAAGTTTCTCTAAGCAGCCATGTAATATCCTCTATATATCAATCCCTGCATAATTCAGCTTGTATTAAATTATAATGAATGTTATATTTTTTATGGAAATAGGGAGACCTTTGCATGGTTGTTGGACCAGTTGGTTCTGGAAAGGTATTATGGCTAACTTCTGGTGTACAATTAGCAGCACATAAAACAGGTCATAGTTGTAATGGCATGTCTTTATAATTTCCACGCTGTCCCATGCCCACAAGTCATTCCGAGTGACACATGATATAAATAGTGTCATACTTAGTAGAGTTTAGTTATTATAAAAGTACTGATCCTACCACTGCTTGAAACATAACAAACACAGCCCATTTTCAAATATTTTAGTGGAGATTAACCCTTTCATTACCAATATTCATTAATAATTCTTCTTACTGTCTGCCATACAATTCTTATGATGTTAATTAAGAGAATTTGGTATTAGATCAACTATGTGTGATAATCCCCTAATTGATGTTTCTTTTTATTCTCATCACATGTCTGCTTGATGTTGTGTTGATATGGTTATATGGTTAGCAGAAATTTTGTCTTGGTCACTCATGGGAGTTAACCCTTTAACCCCCAAGATCTCATTGGTGATTCTCCTTACTGTCTGCCAAATGATTTTCATTATGTTAGTTTGGAGAATTTAGTATTGAATCAATAAGTAGTCCCACATTGATATTTTTCTTTATTCTTATCACTTGTTTGCATGGTATTTTATTGATATAGTAAGGAGAAATCCTGTCTTGGTCACTTGTGGGAATTAAAGGGTTAAAGGTTTAAGTTAAACAAATCAATTTTCATTTGGATGCTTTTATCTGGTCTAGTCAATATTTATGCCACCAACAGTTTTGACCCTTCTCTGGGAAATAACAAATCTTGTGTATCAGTATAAAATATCAGTATAAAATGTTTTAAAATTTCTTTGTTGGGAGCTATGTTACATGAATGATGTGTACTGCACAGTAAATTAATCAAGTTGTTGATGTATTACTTCATAGTCTTCTTTGTTAATGATGCTGCTGGGTGAGTTATGCATTACTAAAGGAAACCTACAGATCAAAGGCAGAATTGGTTATGTCCCACAGCAAGCCTGGATTTTCTCTGGATCAGTGAGACAGAATATTGTATTTGGACAGACATTTGAGGCAGACAGATATGATAATGTTATCAAAGCATGTTCCTTAAAACAGGTAAAACTGTTGCCTTGATCTCTTTTGATTTCTTTGAACCTATGTTGCTGTGTTCTAGTTTATAATTAGTTGTTGTATAATTGTATAAACATTTATTTTTCAAGCAATATACTCAGTTTTTGTTGAATTTCTACAAGATCTTTTTGCATTTACAACTCCACTGACTCATTTCTATAACTTACATGCAGCTGGCTCTTTTATTAAAATATATTACGAATACACTTGATCTGTATTTGTATGTTTCAAGTTGCCATAAAGGGCGTGGCTCTAGTAATAATCATTCCACCACATTTTATCCAAAGAGATATGAGGCCATTCACATCCTCTGGAAGAGAACCTTCACCCTTAGACTACATTATGCTATGATGAAGTTTCTGCTGCACCCTCCTAAATACTTTTTTTTCAATGCAGCTTTTCTCTTGGTTTACTTTATATAAATTTGTCATCTGATCTATCGTAACTAGCACTGAAGAAAGTAGACATTTTTTCTGTAGACTAAAATGTGTCCTGAATAAGTCACATAATGCCAATCAAGAACTTATTGTTGATGTCAACGTCTCTGTGAAGGATATGGAGTTACTTCCAGAGGGAGACTTGACTCTTATTGGTGAAAAAGGTGTGACGCTCAGTGGTGGACAAAAGGCACGAGTTTGTCTGGCAAGGTTGGTTTAATTACAGACTGTGGTAGTTTTTATGTAAATCGAGTTTTTTAACTAGCTACTAACTAACTACGGTGCAGAAGAGTAAGAGATAATTATTTAGAGGACAGGCCAAATGAACTAAGAGTGAGCTAAATGGCCCATAGTACTCACAAGATGCAGTGGAACAAACACTGAAGCGCTTTAAAACTAGGTCAGATTTTTAGTCGACTGAGACTATTTCTTTCCATACAAATCCTTATATTTCGAGCATTGCATAACGTAAACATAATCACATGTTTACGGTGACCCATAGTTCGAGTTTGGGTTACCTGTGGTAACGTGGCCGCCCACCTAAAACCACAGTGCGTAGTTCATAATCGGCTGCTGTCCTGGTTTTCGCGAATTTTTCTTCTTTGTCACGACTTTCTTGAGTCAAGATTGCCCTCTGGTACAGCTCGTAATTGGCCATCAAGCAAAAACGGAATTTATGTGGAAATGTTCGTAGTTTGTCATTTTCTTATTTTAGGTGTTATTTTCATTTATTACAGGGCTGTATATTTTAAAGCAGATATCTATCTTCTAGATGACCCTCTTAGTGCTGTAGATGTCCGTGTAGGAAGGAAACTTTTTGATGAGTAAGTCAGACATAACATCCATGTTGGCAAAGGTTTTCTCGGTTTTTCTATCGCTACCAGAAACACTCTTTGTTGAGATTTTTCAACGAGATCACTTGGAGCCGGGATTTTATTCATTGAGCTGTACAGCGGAATGTATATCGAAAGAGAACCGAAAATTGGGAACTTTTTCAACACTTAGAGTATGATTACTTTGTACAGGTGCATCGATGGACTTCTGAGACAGTATCCAAGAGTCCTTGTCACTCATCAACTTCAATATCTTCGCAATGCGACAGAAATTTTATATCTTGAAAAAGTATGTAACTGATAGTAAGGCAATGTTTAGAAATTTGTCTATGAAGGCAAGTCTGTGTCAAACCATAAAAAAACTGATTAAAACTTAATTTTCGAACTACATAATACTTTAAACCAAGAATTAAAGCTACTGAAAAAAAATTAATAAACACTCTGGCCAAGTTTTCATTCTTTGCGGTTTTTAACTGAAGAGTTATTCGCTAAAATGTGTAACATAAATTTATAAGGCCCACTAAAGGACATATGGAATAGAATAAGAAATATGGTCAGTTTTGAGCTCCGTCACGAAATAGAGAAAGATGTTTTTCGTCTTGTCACGAGCGTGGGACTGGGAAAAAAATTGTGATTCCCCATAAGGTATCGAACCTTCGGATTCCGCGCTCCGATACTCTACCAGTGAGCCACAGAGACTCTATGGTGACTAAGGCCCATTACGAGCCAGTTCAGCAGGATTGTTAATAGTGTCATGTCTGAGGTTTGATTCGTCACGAGGAGCCAGAATTTTTCTTTGTCCCACGCTCGTGACACGACGAAAAACATTTTTCTCTAATTCTTTACTTACTTCAAAACTTACCTTCCGTCTCACTCTATCAACAAAACATAACAATCGCCCATCAATCGCCCGAAATAAATTTTCTGAGGCAAAAAGAAATGAAAACAGCTGTCTTTAGTGTTAGTTAGCATGGTTTGATGCATTATTTAGGAATACCTCGGGACATTACTAAGGATGGGATAACTCTCATGCATTAAGGTAAAATTTATATTTTGACGGACATGAACTGATTGTGTGGATCCTCTGAATGGTTTTGGATTGCAGGGGAAAATTCATAGTCGAGGAAGTTACACGGACCTTGCCAATGCTGGTATAGATCTGGTTTCCCTGCTGAGGGTCCGCAATGATGATAACGATGACGATGACGATAACGATGACAAAGATAGTGCCATTGACGAGGATTCAGAGCCAGTACAACCTTATCCAGTCCATGATGTTATTTTTAGAAGAGGGAGTGGGGCGAAAGGTGTGAATGCTTTCAACCGATGGAGTACTGCATCGTCAATTGATATAGAGGGAGACTTCGAGGCCATGGCTAACAAGGTATGCTCACTCAGAACAAAATTTTGGCTAGGTTGAAAAAGAAGGGGTACTACCTAATTGCAAATCACTTGGCTCTTCATGACATCGAAAATGTGTTTTAAAAAAAGCATTGCTTATAAGAATCCTTTTTTTTATTGAAGTCCGACTTTTGAGTAACTTGTTTCTAATAATACGTGTCGAACTTGGACCAATATCAAAGACTAAGAGGATAAATCGCTTTATCTTTATCAAAATATAATGATTTTCTCTTAAGGCTAAAGAGAAGCCGCTGGTTGACACTGAAGAACGACCAAGAGGAAGTATTGCATGGAGTTTGTACGTGAGATATTTCAGAGCAGGAGGAAATTATCTGTTGTTACTTCTGCTTCTGGTACTTTGTGTAGCTGCTCAGGTAACACTGCTATGTATGCTGAAATCTAACGAAGTGAGGTACGATTCGTAGAAAATTAAAAAAATCGGTTGAGCGTTCAGCGCGAAGGAGTCTTAAAATCAAGTGGTACAAACGAAAATTTTGTTACATCATGGAAAAATGTGGGGGTTGCAAAAACCTCTCTTTACTCGAAGTAAACAAAACCCAAGAGGAGATTTTTATTGTACCCTCGAAAATTGCGGCCAGAATGGGAAGAAAACTTTCTACTATAGAATAATTAATATATAAGACTCACGGGACACTTCTTCTAAAGTTTATTAGCTCTATATCTGTTTTTAAGCGCAGTCTAGCCTTGTCTGCCACGAGTCTCCTAGATCTCAGAGGTAGAGCATCCGAACTGCTAATCGGAAGGTCGTTGGTTCGAGTCCTATTGGAAGTACATTTACCTAGTTAGGCGGCTAAGCCTGTCATGAGTCTCCTATGACTCAGCGGTAGGGCATCTGAAATACTAAACGGAAGGTCGTCGGTTCGAGTCCTAGAGGAAGCACTCTGATTTTTTATTTTTTCTGAGTATGCTTATGTGATTCACTGCATGAATACATCATCTTTTACTTAAATCACCAGGCTTAACGTTTATCATCTTCATTAACATCATCATTGCGCAAGAGCATCAAATTCGACATTTTTATTCTCGCAGTATACATGTAAAAAGGGTGTCACGGGTAGCTTGCCACGAGTCTCTTGAAGCTCAGTGGTAGAGCATCCGGGGTATTACTCGAAAGGTCTTTGGTTCGATGCCTATTGGGAGCACTCGGATTTTCTTTTTTTTCCGAGTATGGCTGTGTCTTTCACTGAATGCATCCTCTACCAATCTTAGCGGTGTTTTGATTAAGCTTATTAGATATTGTGATTCTGGATATCATATTGTAGTCATAGTAATTAATGGTTAATTACTGAAAACTATTTTCTTTGAAAAGTCCTCTTCGAGGTATAAGCCTTTATACGGGCCTAAGTGGCCCATGGGGCCGGTGCTTAACTCCGGTTTTCTTAGCATGAAGCGGCTAGGAGTATTGCTACTCCCCCCTGGATGGAATGCACATTTGTTGGTAGCCATTTGTACACCTGGGTGAAGAGAAGCACTGTGAGAGTAAAGTGTGTTGCCTAAGAACACAACACAATGACCCCAGCCAGGGCTCGAACCCGGACCACCCGATCCGGAGTCGAGCGCACAAGAGAGCGTGGCCATCAACAGAAAGACAGTTACGAAAAACTGTAATTGGAGCACCATGTAATTTCACTTGTATTACGTAAAAATAAGGCACGCCATTTCGTAATCAGAATCAAAAATTTTTCCACTGATTCGACCGAGATCTTGCCTTTAATGCCCTAGTTAAATGATAGATTTCCGTTAATGAGAAATATTTAGTCATTCCTCTCTCTGTGTAGTCCCTAACAGTGTTTGCACGGAGTATTGTTTACCGTTCATTTTTTAACATTAAGTTTTGTATCACTCCTCAGGGTGTGTTCACCTTAAGTGACTGGTGGCTATCACAGTGGTAAGATGTCTTGGGTATTATCAATCATTTAGAACAGTTAACCCGGCAAACTTTACTCTTTGTGGAGAAAATTCAACCCATAATGCCGTCACTGGCTGATAATTTTCAAATGAATAAAGGTGGTTAATTTCTATCAACTTTGGCCACTGTAAAGAGTTTAAAAGCTGACGTTTCGAGCGTTAGCCCTTCGTCAATCGCTCTGACGAAGGTCTAACGCTTGAAACGTCAGCCAATAATTTTCAAGTCAGCGGAGGGTGCAACTTTCAAATTTTAAAAATCCTTGGTTATCTTTACTGTAACCTAATTCGGAATCATCTTATTTAATGTTCTTCGAAAAAATCGTAAGCGTTTTTTATTTAGTCAGTGTAGCAAGTAATTGTAGTATACTTTTTTAGGTCGAATTCCCAAGGTCAAGAAATGTTCGCTTTCAAATTTGTTCAAGCGGCTATGCATGATCCCACGAGTGGAGAAGCGAACGTACACAAGACTTACATGATCATCTATGGAGGTCTGGTGACAACAACTCTCCTTCTGTCGTTCCTCCGAGTTCTACTGTTCTTTCATGTAGCTGTAACGTCGTCTGTCAAGCTTCACAATGATATGTTTGATGCTGTTATTCGAGCACCGCTTTACTTCTTTGACACAAATCCAGCAGGTATGGTGAACATGGTGAACATTTCAAGCCAAACTTTGGATCTGATCTCTGTGTTTGAAGCCAGACAAATTGGCGAAATCGTTCTCCGTTAGTTTCCTCCTCTTCCATTTGGTGGTTGACGAAATTGTGGCAAAACTAGTTCTAAATACTGACTCGAAGTAATGAACTGAGTAGATTCGCAATGAGGCTGCGATGGTAAGGAGCTTTACACAATGAGACAGCACATGACTATGACTGGTTGACTAGGCAAAACCTGTCCAAGAGATCAGATGAACAAATAGGTTCGAAGTTACCGTGTGTCTGTTCAGTAATAAAAGAAAATGACGTCAAAAGGTGGTTAAACAGTGGCACACGAGACGCAGCAGTGTATCATCAATGTTCTTACCGCATTTTGCCGTGTTATGATGTATACCTGTACAGACGGACGACAAAATGGAATTCAATTGTTTTAAATAGTTAGGGAGGAAAATGATGCGGAGGCTAATTGACCGGGAGGCTTACCGAGACTCGCCATTTGCAAGTGAACATGGCTGTGTCGTTGCGCGTTATTCTTCAGTTTTTTTGGTGCGCGTTGGGGACTCGGTCTTTCACCTGTATGCATAGAAAGGCTTGCATGCGCGTGGATGGGTATTGTGTCTGGTAATTGAGGCACGCTGGACGCTGCTAGGCTTTGGTTAACTTTGTCGTTCAAGGTAAGGTTTAACTGTTACTGAGGAAATGGTTTTCTTTTTGTTTTCAGGTCGGATTCTGAACCGGTTCTCCAGTGACACTGCACACATGGATACCCTTATTCCGGAGACATTTTTTGACTTTCTTCAGGTGTTTTGAGTTTTATTGCTTTTTCAGTTACTGCCATCCACCCATCGAGGATAAATGTAATTTAAATTCGCAGCCGAAATGTAGTTGTAACTATTATATTACGTATCCATTAACTTTGGAACAATCAAACCTGCTGTACTGATTCTCAATTACTGAACACAATACCCACCCACGTGCAAGCAAGCCTCATTATGCTTTAATTACTCGAGTTAATCTGAATGTCAGTATCAAACATATCTTACTCGCTGATTTTGTTCTGCATTTAGCTTGGTCTGTTGGTTGGAGCGGTGGTGATCATGAATGTGATAACAATGCCCTTCATCTTGGTGGGAGTGGTCCCTCTTATACTTGTATTTTGTTGTCTGAGAAACTATTACCTGAAGACCACCAGAGAAATAAAACGCCTTGAAGGCACAGGTAACCCAGTAAACGTTCCTTTTGTAAGTTTTTTTCATAGACTGCGGCTGTCGTGTTTTTTTGCTATGACACGAATGCATATTGTGTCTGGTATTGTCTGTGAGTGAATATTGTGCCTCATTGTTTTTTTTTTTTTTTTTTTTTTTAAGGTGATTTGATATTATCAACGAGGTTGATAACGTAATTAAGAGTTTTAAAGCTGACGTTTCGAGCGTTAGCCCTTCGTCAGAGCTCTCCCACCGACGCAACACCACAGTTTCTTTAAAACTTACCGCCTTCATTCTTTTTTTTTTTTAAGCCCGAAGCCCAGTGTTATCTCACTTGGTTACAACATTAGACGGCCTTACGCCCATCCGAAGTCACAGTTTGCAAGACGTTATGATTCACGGGTTCAATATTTGTCAGGATCGTCACACCCAAACATGGTTTCTTTTTATTGCCACTTCGAGATGGTTGGCGTATCGTTTGGATTTCCTGTGTATGATATTTGTGTTTATGGCCTCATTTACACCACTTTTCATCGCTGAAAAAGGAGGTAAATTATACTATACAAATGTTTCTGAATGTTTAGTTTCAATGTTTGCGGGGTCTGGTACAAACTCATTCAAATTATCCCATTTATTATGGAGAACGAGGCAACGTGTGATGTTGTACCTTACGGAAGTTTATACGGATTAATTTGCTTTTGCTGGATATGGGATGTTATACCATAAACAAAAGTAACAGAACATTTCTGTTGTATTTGTTAGTTAGCTCAGTTGTTCTCTGCAGTTGTAGTTTTTTTGTATCTTTTGTTGTTGTAGTTGATTTTGTTGTCGTTTTTACGTTTTAAACGTCCCTGGACAGTTTATATGATTGTATCATAAAAAGGGGCCTCTCAAGCCGGGCAAAATGTGACTGCACTTTCACTGTGCGAGGACCACTAATTCACCCTCCGTTCAAACAACGATTACCCGTCCGATACACAATAATCGTTTATGCAACGCACATAGAGAGTCTCATTGTACCATTGCCTTTTTTTTCTTCCTAGCGGAAATAGACGCAGGCTTGGTAGGGCTGTGCTTGACTTATGCTGTTTTGTTAACTGGCCAGTTTCAGTGGTGTGTCAGGCAAAGTGCAGAGGTCGAAAATCAGGCAAGTTAATAGTTAGACTGAAAATGTAAAAGTACAACAGGGCGCTCTTGCCTCTTAAGGTTTAAAAGGAGAAAATAACAGTCACCTCACTATTAATTCATGAAGCCTTAAACTTTCCCTCTTATTTTTGAGGAGCACGTGGTGGAGGCATAACGTTTTTCCTCTATTTTGATAACATTTAGATGACGTCAGTGGAGAGGATAATGGAGTTGTGTCGTCTAGAATCTGAGGGGAACTGGCACGGCAAAGTATCTGTCCCTGCTTCCTGGCCGCAGCTTGGTCTCATAACTGCTGAGAGTGTGTCATTCAAGTATCATCCTACTCTCCCACGAGTTTTGAAGAATGTGAACTTTTGTATTAGAGCACAGGAAAAGGTATGTAAAAAGAGGATTCTCTAGAATACTTGGAGTGGGGTCGTGCTAACTCGGGAAAAGTCCTCAATTGCTTCTACAGAGTGCTACTCGACGCTCCACGCAATTCTAGACTTAATACCCATCAACCAACAAAAATGCTCTCGGTGTCGAAGTTAAATAACTTGTATAAATCAGTGTGCCTGCGCCGCAGACAAACTGCACTGATCACGATTGGCTGCACTGCAGGCTATGAATAAAGTAATTTAAAAAGGCAAATTCTTTACTGTATATTTAAGAGCGGAAATGATTTGTTTACATTTGTATGATAAGCTTAAATATCAATGTCATACTCGACTGCGCCTCGTGTACCATTTTTTCGTTCGTAGTTCATTTTGAAGTTATCTGTGTTCTACCACTGAAGAAATCCACGGAAACATGGAATATATTTGTTAATTAGTTACATTTTGTAACATTTGATTGGACAGGTGGGTATTGTTGGCCGAACTGGTGCTGGTAAATCTTCACTGTTAGCAGCTCTTTTGAGGCTCGCTGATTCAAGTGGAACGATAAGGATCGACGGCATTGACATTGCAGATCTCGGTCTCCACGAGTTGAGGTCTAAATTGTCAGTTATTCCACAGGTATGTGGTGAATTATTATGAGCCTAGAACACCCCTGATATTTATTTATCGCGGTGATCTTATTGATGCCTGAAAACAGACGATTATGGTCATGTTAACTTGTGGAATTTAGGCGGATGATATATTGATTTTTCTGTCGGATAAACGTAGAAAAGTGTGTTAATCGTGGGATACATCATCCTCAAAGACATTTTTTGAACAGTCAACTGCCTGAAAAGAAGAAAGCTTTTCGCCTTCTACTTCAGCCGTACACTAGCTGTGAAATTAGATGGAGATATCTTTTCAGAGGAGAAGGATGAACTGTGTCGTGGAACTTGTAGCTGACGAAATTACAAATTACAAATCGTAATCATATGTCGACGGAAAGACCCTAAATCTTTGTTTCCAAGTAGGCGGACATTATTTCTAGGCTGCGACAACTTAACATCTTCCATCAGGTTTGTCGCCACTTACGTGTATAAGCGCAAATATTGCACGAGCCTATCAGCATGGCAACAGCCTTGGTTGCGATTTATTATATTTATATATTTATATTTTTTACCGGTTTGTTATACCTTTTCTATCTGCGCTTTCTACGACGACATTTTATCCACTGGGTAACGATATGTTGGTTGGCCATTTTATCAATAGATAAGTTCATTCTTTGTTCGAAGAACTGAGGCATGGTTGTCATTACGTTTGTTGAAAGTTTAGGCGTCGTTGTAGGTAGTTTATACGTTGGTTTTTTTGTTCGAGTGTTGATAATGATGTTCATAAAACATGTGATATCAAAAGAAGCAACTGGAAGGTGCATCGCGAATAAATTAGTGGAGGAGAATTTCAACCATAATACGGTGTTATAGTTTGAATTCTCCTCCGCTAATTTATTTTTACACTTTTTTCTGATCATTTATATAATATCTTCAGGACCCTGTGCTTTTCAGTGGAACACTCAGGAAAAATTTGGACCCATTTGATGAGTACAGTGAGATGGACTTATGGCGTGCACTGCATGAGGTGAGACGCTGAACGGTACATCATAACCGGCAACAATCGCCACCTTTTGCTCTTATTCCAAGTTATATCTGTTTTAAACTTGTATAAACAAAAATATTTTAGAAGTGCTACAGTAGGTGGTGCAAGTTCAGAATCACTTGTGATGCGCCTGGGGATCGCTCGTTGTGATGAACATAGACGACACATCGTGCATGTTTTTCTCCTTAATTGGTCTTAACTTTATTGACAAACTCCTTTGAACTTAGAAGCACGTAAGTCCTAAGAACTCTGCTGTCAGCCAGTTCTGTCGGCTGCTGCTGCTTGACACACCTTCTGTCTGTCTTCCGTCTCTGACACCCATGTTTATATCGTCTAACTGACTGACTTTGACTTCTCCACGCTGACTGCCTTGTGTGCCTCAACACTCTGAAAACTGTGGCTTTCAGGTGTTCGAATCAATCAACATCCTCCTTTCTCTTCCCCCTTTTTGTGCTGTTATTTTAATAAATTATTCGTGGAAGTTTTCCTTTTTCTCTTCATTACCTTTCATCTCTTCCTTTTCTTGTTCATGTGTCAGCTTATTGGTGTATATATGAAATCAGCATCGTTCCACAACAATTCTAATACCTTCCCATATCACCTTTTTGTGGCACTTTTCTCATCAATATTTTCCCCAATTTCGGTAGTCTTTTTATTTTTCTACACAACGATTTCCTAGGCTTTGTGGCCTTTTTGTGTAACAGAACTTGATTGTTATTTTCCGCGTTATATAATTACAGGTTCAACTAAGTGATATGATATGCAGCTTGACTAATGGCTTGGACAGTTTGTTAACTGAGTCAGGATCTAACCTAAGTGTTGGCCAGCGTCAGTTGATATGTCTTGCACGTGCTATTCTCAAAGGTAACAAGATCCTTATCATGGATGAAGCCACTGCTAACGTTGATCACAGGTACGCTTCTTGTCCTGCACTTGACGCCACACTTAATCGACAAACTTTATTTAGAAAGGCGAGAGTATTTTATGTCTAGAAATACTTTTGAGATCGTAGTTGCTGCACTGAATGCCTTTTCGCCGAATGTCGTCCCGGTGCCACTCTTTCAAATTTGGCAGAATTATATCACTCATTTTGGACTGATAATTGCCCCAAAAATTCTGATTATTAACTAACTGTTTGGCTGCGGTAATCTGCTACAGTCATGAAAGGAGTTACTTATGAAAAAGAATGGTCTGACCATCTCAGTCAATGTCTATAACAATATCTCGGAGAATGGTAATCATGGAAACTGCATTCAATTAATTTGTCGTAAAGCTATAGAAGGTTTGTTTCTTTTAGCGATCGTCAAGTTAACTTTCATTGACCCTAACTCTTTCTCTAAGTTAAGAGTTGTTGGGCTTCCTTAGGAAGTTTTTAGGTAAGATATTCTATCTGCCCCTTTTTCCTTACAGTGTAAACAAGAAATATACTCAGAGTCCTCCTTTCTTTTCTTCATTAAGATTTCTTTGAAGGTTTCGTTATTTTAAGGCTTTCTAATTGCGTGGCAGGGATATGAACAATTTATTTTTTGACTGTGAATATATGAAAATCATATATATGAACTGCGGATTACGAAATATGAATGAAAGCGATCTTAAAAGTAATGAACACTACCTAAGCAAAAAGCAGTGTTACTACTGTAATCAAAGTCATTTATTCATCACTTCACGGGTTTATTAGGAACCGAAATAATGATCAGCTCCCATTTGGCTTGTTAGCTCAGCTGTTAGAGCACTGCACCGGTATCGCAGAGGTCTAGAGTTTCTGAATTTTTTCAGCCTTTATTTTCACTCCTGCTTAAGTAGTGTTCATTATTGCGAAGATCGCTTTCATTCAATTTATTTTCTATAACTTAAATCGCGTTTGATTTATTTAGGACTGACTCCTTGATTCAAGAAACGATCAAGAGAAGGTTCAGTAATTGTACTGTTCTTACAATCGCCCACCGACTAAAAACTATCATGGACTGTGATCGAGTTATGGTAAACTGATAATCTGCGTGATTACTATAATTACGGGCTTATATCGAATATTGTTAATTATGTTTAAATTATCTTTGAAAAACCACAATTTTTAATTGGTTACCTAGTTTCTTACCTATTATGTCAGAAACCTGCAATGAGAAAGTTCGACGCGAGGTTCTTCTTTGCGCATTTTTATGCGTTAACATATAAAATTTAAAATCCGACTAAACTTCTATCAACATAAAAACCCTCTTTTTATTCCTACTAGTTTAAGGAAGAGTGTTATACAAAGAACTTTTCTTTAAAAATGGTTCTTCGGATTGCCATAGTTCTTATTGTCAATACCTAATGTACTTTGCACTCCTTTTATTATAACACAAATCATCACGTTTAGTAGTTAAAAGTAGAACAAAAACAGCAAATGACAAATTTGTCAGGCCAGGGTTATATTGACATGAATGGCTGTTCTGTCTTATATTTACATATAATTTTGTATGATTAAATCGCACCATGAATATTTAGTAATTGCCAATCTGATGGGCCATTTTTTTTTCAATTGTGTGGGTAGGGAGAGGGAGGAAGGGAACATAGTCAAGCTGGAGGCCTTAGGATTAGATGAGGATAATTTAAAGGGAGCTTATATCAGAGACGAGAGTAGTCATGAAAACGAAACGATTATGACGTTTACTTCATTTTTTATGGTTAATAAGGTCCTGGACAGTGGGCGGCTAAAGGAATTTGACGAGCCTCACTTGCTTCTGCAAAACAGATGGGGTCATTTTTATCGCCTTGTGCAGCAGACAGGATCCCTCACATCTGCTCATTTAGCGCAGGCTGCCAGACAAGCCTTTCTACGCCGGCATCAGCCACAGGCTTCCTATGCAGTTCCAGATTCCTCGAGAAGTTATCTGTCTTCATACATTCCCATAACTGGCTTTACTGATTTACAACTTGAATCTTGTGTTTAAATTTATTTATTATTATGTTAAAAACTTAATTTAGAACATGTGCAATGTTGAAGATTCAATACTTTTGGGAAGTAAACTATTTATTAATGTCCTCGATTTGTCCAGGAAATCGTGGGAACGCAATTACCCATCGTTACGTATGAAAGTATTCACAATTACTTCTGCCTTAGACGAATGTAATTTGAAAACCTATCAAAACATTTAGTGGCCATAAATAACAAAATGCAGGCGCTTTTAATACGATTTCTTTGTGTATCAATATTCTCAATAGAATTATTTTGTCGTGTTAGCTTGTGCGTCCTCGGTTTAGTATGGAAAACTGATATTGCTCTCCATTACTTTCTTGGTATTCCTCATTGAGTAATCTTGAACGCGAAGGATGTTAAGTATATTATTAATTCCATTCGTGCGCGCTGGATATGAGATGGAAGGTGCTGTAAGTGGCCATAACTATCTCGGTCCACCAACTGTGGACAGAATAATTGTTTTGTGAAAAAAACCAAACAGAATATGGTAAAATGCGCTTCAAAACTTTGCAAACAAATAGTACAACAGCTGTGATAAAATGGCCTGTACAAGAATAAAATCTCATTGAAATGAAAACATACCTTGAATATGAGTTGCGAGAAGATAGCGGATATACCTATGATACAAGCGCTGTCACTGTTGTATATTTTCACTCCTTTTGACAACAATCTCGATTGAAGAGTTCGCGTATTGGAATCAAAGAGTGCATTTTAAGTTTGCTGGGCAGAAACTGGATATCTCTATGAAGTATATTTCTCAGAAGAATATGTATTGTGTACATTACGATGGTTAATTAATGTTTCGAGATTTTTTCCGTTAACAACGTGGATTACTTAGGATATTCGTAGAGTTTGTTTATGGATGGGTTTTATAAAGTGTTATTGAAATTTGGAGAGTATATGTTTGTTTGTTTTGATGTGATATTTATAATATTATATCGCGGTAGTCAAGGGAGGAAGTCTTACAAGTCTTACAACCTCAATTACCGAGAATGAACAGACAACTCTCCCACGTTCCCTTATGAGCCATATTTGTTCAGAATGGGTCAGGGACTCTGGAGCTTAGTTATGACGTCACAAGTGGCTGGTGTCCTTAAGACAGAGAAATATGGAACTTAATGTAAATTGCAAGTTGTTAGAGTAACAGTGAAACATCTGATTTACCTAAGTAGGTCATTACACGTTTTAAACGACATACTACCCGAAAAGTACTTGTTTTTGAGGCGGAACTCCGAGAGAAAAATTTCGAAAATCCATCGCCGAATAACTAATACATGATGTAAATATGACAAACATGTAGTGGGGGATGGTTCGACGAAGGGCATGGAGCACTTCATATGGACAGAAATTGCGTTACAGCAGAAAAATTGTTTCCTTATTAGAGTCAAAAGTGCTATATTTTCGATGTAAGCGTTCGCTTGACAGAGGTGTCCGTTACATGTAGATTCGTTGTAACACTTACTATCAGTCCTCGATGTAGAATTCAACAGCGGCTGAGAGTTGATACGCTTATGAGGAAATACTGAATATACACCCTGGGGTACACTATCCCGCTAGGGAAATAGCGGGAAATACGTAAACTAAATATGACAATGTCCTTTTTCTTGAAAAGCGAAATTATCATGTTAACAAAAGATCTTTTCCTTTCTCGTGTTGATGAAATCAAACAGCGATCCGAACATTATTGAGACTTTTTCTTAAATATTTATTCACAGCCTAAATGGAGGCGTTCGCTTAGAAAGTGTGAATGTTTCACCAAACAAAAGGGAAATTTACATTTATGTCATTAACACCGGGGTTCAGAGAGAAATTTCCATTAAGCCGAAGTAGCAACAACACGTAACAACAACACGTGTAGAGACGAAATGTCAATGTGATTAGTGGCGAGAGGCCGGTTCATTCATTGATTCGTGACTTAAGCTGATTAAATCGCGATGTTTAATTACGCTAAGCACCCATGATTACTCGAGCGTTAACGAAGTATTCATTCGAAATGATTAAACCAGTTTTAAATACTGATAGATGCTTTAATGATTGTACATCAAGCTGTAATGGAAAGGATAATACTTCAGTTTTAAACATTTTCAATCGAAGCAGCACCTCAAACACTCGAGTAAACAAATTCGAGCATTTTTTACTGCATGTAATTACAGTATTTTGTTTTATTCAGGTAAAAACCATTTCGCTGTCATTATTATGGGCTCAGAATTATTTTGCATTCGGAAATGTTTTACGGACTTCATATGAAATTGACTCAAAAGGCACAAGAAAAAAATTGAAAAGGCTGTTTAAAAAAGGAAAAGAAAATGTATTTTCAGTCGTGTTCATGGTGTGTGCTTTGAGAAATTTGACTTGGCGTTGAGTTTTGTTGTTTCATTTGGTTTTCCAACTTGTTAGCTGGCACCTGCTAGTATAGATGACCACCTGACGCACCCTGGAGTGTGCTATTGTTTGAACTTCAACAAGCAAACTTTAGCGACATTCCAAATTCAAATGAAAACAACGCTGTGATGAAACTGTATTTATTTTATTTTTCCAATAATTCCATTTGGTTCAGCTCGTCTCGCGCATGACAAAAAGTAACGTTGTGTACAATACTGAGAATGTTTCATATCATGGGGTGTTCTAAGACTGACTTTCAACGGTAGTCGCCTTCAGCAGTAATTTTGGATTGTTTCGCGTGTAGCCTTAGTAAGCGATGTTTTTAATTTGGTTGTTTTTCTATTCGATTTGGTTCTTGGGAACGGAAGGTAAGTTAAAGTCCAAGGCAGTGTTCGCCGCGAAATGATAAAGCGGCACCACTCTTGTGTACAGATATGACTGTTGACGAGGATTGATTCATTCACTCAGACGTTGATTAACACCATCTTTGATAAGCACATAAGCATTTTTTCCCTAGTTTTTACTACAATAACAAACGAAAACTATTTTTCGTTGCAAACAACAAATAGTAAAAACAAAATATGAATAGCGAACGTGATGTGACAATCTCAAATAATTCATTGTACTAATGTCACTTTCTAAAGGGAAAATGGGTGGAATATTTCGAATAAAAATTTGTTGTACGAAAAGAGAAAGAGTAATTATTACCTTGAGCATCGATTTACATTTTGAGGGAAAATCGATCAAAATTCAGAAATGTTCGAAATGATAAAACAAGAACTTTTAATCTCACTTTGTAAGCGTCAAAATAACTTCAAATGTTCAACAGGACGAGTTAAAACTCAAACTGAAATGCAAATGAAGGTACAAAACACATGAATTCGTTTACACTAGTGTAACACACGCAAAATCTACAATGGCAGGTAACATTTGTTTTGTTTCTTCTATTTTTTTTAACAAATTTAAAAGGACGCGACTCCAGACGAAAACGATAGAAAATCTTATCAAATTTAGAGGATGTTACATTATGCCCTCATAGGTGATTTAACCTCTCCTTCTGTGAAACTTTTTAAACGAACACAACCTCTGAGAAAAACGATAAATTATTCATCGAAAAAACATGCCAAAATGCAAATTAGCGTCCGTTCATTTCTCACTCCGTCAAGATGAATGTTTACTATTCCAATTTACATTTCAAGACTTAAAGTAACTTTGTGATGTGGTAGAGAATATTTCGCTTTTACAACCTTCAACTTATTTTCCAATATACATTCAAAGAACGAGTTACTTTGTTTTTCAGTATGCGAAAACAAGTACTTTTTGTAGGTTTGTCTCCTTAAGTATTAAGTACGTATGTTTAAAACCTTCTGGTTATGTAACTTTTGTGGGTCTCTTTCAGCGATATTGGAACAAGATTTTAGTTTTTCAAATTAGTCACAACGCGTTCTGATAGGGGGAGCCAATTTTGCAGACGGCTGCCGGACTTCCCTAAGTGGAAAAGAAACGTTTTACGAAGTATTAGGTTTTCTTAATTTCGGCCTTGATATTCTTGTAGTAGGGCGCATTAGAGGAAGGTAATTTGCAGGACCACTTTGATTGTAGTTGAAGCCGTTGAAGCCAAAATTATTTTGTTTTCCACCGGACCAAATATCTTTCCTCTGTAAATTGTTATTCTATTCTTGTATAATAGCTTGTGGCTAGGTCCTGTAAGGCTCTGCCGGGATACGCTGGGGAATGAGGTGCCAGGTTTTCGCTTCATCTGTTTGATCATTCTTTAGCCAGGTTCCGTTCCATAAGGGGTGAATTCCGAAACATCATCCTCGGCGAAAACTTCGTGATAGCTTCCCAGCGGAAATTTTCATTTAAAAAGGGAACTAAGATCGTTTAAATCTGCTTAACGAGGCCAGAGATTCTCTCTCGAAAACACAACAAAATTCGACATTCAATACGAGCCAGCCCTGGTAACGAGCTTTTAAGGAGAGGCGGCCCCATAATGAACCTTGACAAACAGACCAGTATAACAGTCTTAAGCAATTGCACAGGGGCGGACAGTTTATGTGACTTATCTCGTTTATGCAGGACGTCACTCCAGGTTTATCAGCGTCCCTTCCAATCCAACTTTTTCGCATAGTGGAAACAATGTGACATTGATATGGCGCTATCACTTAAGTCAAGCTGACAGGGCTAATTTCCACCGACTACTGTTTGGTCAGTGGAGCGATGGCGATATTTCAACACCCTTGATGAGCTTGTCAAAGAATGGAAGTTTGGTTTCGCGCTCCAAACGTATTGAATGGATTGGAAACAAAACTACAGCCGCATTTCGACTTTATCGTGTGACTGCTCAAGATGGCGGAGAGTACGGTTGTATGTTAGAGTTCTCAGGGGCATTTACTGTGCGTCATACAGTACAGCTTGCAATAGTTGGTGTGTAAATGACTAGTCTCTCACAGTTGTCGTATTGTATTGGGAACTCTCTCTTATTTTTTTCTTAACTAATTATTTACGGCATATTTTGCGATAATGTACCCTTATGGTACAGCGCTGGAGATAACTCCTCAAGACAATTTTTATTTTTCAGGTAATCTAATTGGGCCACTTAATAAATTATTCAGTATTTTTATAAAGTGTTCATCGACATTAAATGACTGTTTCGGATATTTTTTTTTGTGCTATTATCATTTTGTAGCTCCACCGCAAATCAAAGAGAAAGGCAGCAACATAGCGAAAGTGGAGGCTTCAGTAGGTACCTCTGTCGTACTACCGTGTCACGTGACTGGCAATCCTCAGCCGTGGATTTTATGGCAACGAGATGGACAAACATTGCAGAACGGCACAATATTGAGTGACTTAATAATACCAGGTGTTCTTGCAAATATGACGGGATTGTACACCTGTATCGCTGGCAACCAAGCTGGAATTGATAAATATCAAGTGTTGTTGCTCGTGACGTCATGCGGGCATTCTGGTGATATTACACATCTCGCCCAAGGTAAATTCACACCCAGGAGACTGTGCTTTAACATTTGTCGTACATTCACATTTTAAACAGATTTAGCATTACTATGACATTATGCAGTTACAATGCAACTGTATTTGATGTTATTGCTCGTAATGTTGCAATAATGTAAATAATCTACTGCTTCTTATCTCGCAGTTAATGCTATTAATTATCAAAATAGTGTGCTTAAGTTTATACTTCTTCCAGATTCACTGCACCAAGACCACAATCATGGTATGGACACCCCAGCCAGCTTCACCCCAACAATAGTAGTTTGTGTGATTTTATTCTCCATCTTTGGCGCCTATTTCTTTTTCCGATCTGCTGGAGAAAGAACCAAGAAGCTCAGGTACGAAAATCTGTACTGTTGGAATGCATAAACGGTCCTCTCATTTTGTGCTAAAGAACCTTCAGTTTATTTTTGAGTTGTCACTTAATAGTTTATAAGGAGTTGGAGGATTTTAACAAAGAGCCATTAAAACAGGCAACACCTGCGATAAAGGTAACATCCAAGGGCTGGTGGAGGTATCCGGCCTCAAAGCTTACGATTGCTAGTCGGATATCTCACCTTGGATGAGGTGAAAAGAGCTGATCGATAACAAAGAATTTTAGCTAAATTGACGTACACAACTTGAAAGAGATGATTAATTCTCAGTTTTAAGCTCTACATTACTTACCGCCAGAAGGTGACATCAAGCACAAAAAGTTGAACATAACCATACTAAACGTAAATATTTCCGTTCATTACAGGAAATACGATAGAATGCCACAGGATGAACAGGCAAGAAGCCTTATGGGTGAATGGTCGAACTTCGCCGACAATGGTGAAAAAATTTGAACACTTAACCTGCATAAATGACATATTACCCAAAATCAGCCAGAAGTTTTGCTTTCTCGCCTGTAATTTATTCGTCAGAACTCATTAAAATTTATTTGGAGCCTCAACGATGAAAAACCCTACGCATTCAATTCAATGACTTTATCGATCTTGAGAGTGGCAATTATTAGAAGATTGCTTTTGAGAAGACTGTGGTGGACTGAAGTTGGTGTCAGCAGTACAGGAATGCATGTTAACGCGTGATTCGAACTAAAGTGTGTGCAGGACTGTTCATTTCCAAAGGAGTTAACGTCTAAAATGCGAGGAAGTAGACATTCTGGGTCAGCAGTATCCCAGCATTTCTAAGGCTATACTACTCAAAACACCTACGTCCTTCCTCCTTAGGGAGAATAATTTAAATCGATTGCGAGGAAAAGACGCACTTCTCGTCAATTCTGTTGAAGACCTACCTCGCGGAGAGGATGAAGTACCAACAACAATTACACCCAAATGAAAAGACAGGCGAGGAATCACTAAATATAACACTAATGGTGAGCAGGCATCGACTCTAATAAGGGTATTGAGGAATCTGTTAAATCTACCTCAAGATCTTAACAGTGGACACGAAAAACTAATCGGAATAATCACAATCAGTGAACAAAAACAGTTAGTTTTATTTAATGATCTTTTAGGGAACAGTAAGTTTCAAGTCTAACTAGTAACTGCTACAATAGGTTCTACTGTAATAATCATAATAATCACCACTTTAAAAACGTCCTTGCTGGCGAGATACTAGACGAACGAGACATAGGCTTTAAAAGACACATAGCAAGTAGTTAATGCCCTATTTAAAGCGATCTTCTAAATTTCACAAAGCTTGCAATAAACTAATGAATTTTTTTCTTTAAATACTAAATTCTCATAAATATACTGCCATAATTTCAGAAAAACCCACCACTAAATGCTCGGCAGTGTCAGCCACAAAGTAGTGGCCCATTCCTTCTTTACTTTTTCATTTCATTCCCATTCAGGAATTGGTATGAAATCGCGGTAGCACTTAAAGATTCTAATGTCAGAGTTGTCCAAGCTTTTTCCTCAGCCAGTTCAAATTATATTATCAGTCGAATTCTGCTCAATACTACTTGTAAACAGACAAACATTTACACCGTGATTCTCTTATGAATAAGCCAACGACAAGATATTGTTATGGCTTTATACAAGAGGTAAATAATTATCCATATTTATATAGCCTGAGCCAAGCATGCTCACCTAAAATCTGTGACTGTACTTTTTTCAACATGTTCACCGGATAAAAAAATTATTAAATCACTACTGATGTGTTATTTTTTGACAGCTCTTAGTGTTGCAGGTTTCTTCTGTTTATTCATTGTAGTCAGCATAAGAGAGATGTATGAAGTCAGCAAATCGTCCATTTTGTAACCCTGCAGAAACAAAATAGCTTTCGCGTCATTTACATATTATGCAGTGAACTGAATACTTCGCACTCTGTTGTTGGTCTTTGTCTTATTAAGCATAACATGCAGTCTTGTTGGCGAGATTGTCCCGAAGACATGCGAGGGCTTCGAGCAAACTTAACCACGAGTTTTCACTCCACTTTTTGCTCATCGAATGAAACATAAATTCTATTTTGCAGGTTGTCTTTACTGTTGTTCATCACTGTAGACATCAAATTGTGATTATAGCATCGGTGACACAGTCGGCTGGGGCTCGTGTGCCAGTTTCTTGTTCTATAACCCACACTTTGAAGTCATTTGTGAGTGAACAACTGAGGGTTACGTTTGCATTGCAGCATACTTTAGGCGGCTAATTGTGTTCAACAGCGGAATCCATCTTACCAATGATGTTTCACATAGAAGCCTGCTTCCTTTTACCAGACTACCAATCGTCATATGAAAATACGTGTTGCCACTGCTCCAGTTTGAAATTTTGGTGAACGGATAGGTGGCGAGGATATCCTACGAAACAAATATCACACTAAATTAGACGACAAAGCTGCTGTTGAACGGGGCAAACAAAATTTCTCTTTTCACCATTCTGATATTTCAACAGTGCATGCCAACGCTATTTATGAGAAAGAATGAAATCCTATCCTTATTGCGAAAATAATGGTTGCGTTCGACAAGGGAGAATGCCAATGTAAACTTGCGGGAGACTCGAGCGGACAAAGAGACACTTGGGAACAGCAAGGAATCAATCTTAAGACAATATGATCATTCCACCTTCGAAGCGAAGATGAACGATATCATCCACAAGCCACATGCATACGCTATGGCAAAGGAAAGAGAGCCAATCGTTGGTGATGGCCTTGTTTTTCTGCACCAACTGGACGAAAAAACTTTCATGAACGATCTCATTTCATAATGATTTCATCACATTGAATTTTCAAAATAAATGCTGAATAAGCATAAATAATTTGGGAAAATTATCAATAACAATGAAATACACTTAACTAATCCTCATTTCGAGGAATAAAATTAGTACGAACATGAAGTTCCTTATACTTTCTTGGCATACCTTAGTTCGTGGATTAATGAGATTCACACCATTTTTGTTTATAGCAATCAACAAATGATCTGGGAAGTTTGGCTCCGTAGTTTGCTGGAGGACAAAAAAAGGTTTAATTTTTTAACCGTCTACTTTCTTTCTGTAGAACACAAAACATGAGCTATAACTTTGATTTTTACCTTGTCATCCCTGCACCGAGCATTACATGGAAGTACAACTACTGAGCTGCCATTGAATTTTACAGTTCAGCACATCTTTACTCTTGCTGTAATTCACTTTCATTTCAGCTGGAACAGCTTTGTTCTCATACAGTACTCAACAACTGGTGTATTGTGTCTTGCGACCTTAACAACGAGCTATGGAATAAACTTTTCTCGGTATACTTGCATGATTTAAAATTCAATCACCTTCACTTCAAAGAAAGCTGATCCGAATGTTGGCCATCTGTAAATGATCTTCAAGAACGATATTTTAGCATCATTCTTTGACTTGCCAGCATGTTTATTGAATGATGCAACTATGGCCTGGAACAAATTTAATGAAAGACAACGTTATAATCAAAGTCACAAATCAAATAGTAAACAGATAGTGTTACTTAAAAAAGAGCCACATTAAAAACTCAACAGGAACGAAAACTACGAACCCTCTTCCAGTCATCCGGGGACTGTTCAGCGCACAGGTCAGACGGAATCAACTCACGTAACATTTTCCTGTGTATCGAAAAACATTATTACTCTATAATTACTATTATTATTATTATTATTATTATTATTATTATTATTATGGCAGTGCAATCTTTGCGAAGGCATTGTAAAGAAATAACAAGTTGGGAGACAAATCAAAAGAGCAAATATAATACTTGTAAAAACTAACCTATTTTAGTGATATCTGTATAACATTCATCAAACAGATAACTACAAAGGAAAAATAGATTTGTCTCTTACGGTATGCTGGGGAATTCTCGTTTGTCCTCGCCAAATCGAACTCTGTAGATAAGCGCTGCAAGTTGGCTTCCCTCTTCTTTTGTACATTTATGATAACCTCGTAAGTACTTTGGTAACTCCTGGTAACACAAGTTTCAATTTTCATGAATTAGTTACAGTGATACAAACAGAATGTTGAAAAATACAAACACTTAAAGTATGTCTTCGTTACAAGTATGTAATAGCAGGTACAATCTGTTATTTTAACTTGATTCATGATGTGCAGTTACGACGTAGACAGGCAATTGATTCCATATTGAAATAAACATCGTAAAATACTCTTATTAAACGAGTTTAGTCTGGCGGACACTTGACTGCGATTACACGCACACACTGTTGAATTAGAGGACATGAAAGAGAGTAACTACTGTACCTGATGATAATGAAAGATCGTGTCAGCGGCAACGTCCTTTCCAACCACAGTTGTCGACCATAATTTTTTCATGAAGAATACTTGATAAGTTAAATTCGGCAGTTGACCTGGAGATGAAAAAATTCCCTTTGACTTCTTCAAATGACAGAAATAGTGGGGGAAAATAAATCAATTGATCTGTTACTTAAATTGAATGAATTTTATCCAAGCATTACAAGGCATTTTCTACTATAGGCTCATAAAACTGTTTCATTCTATTACATGATAATATGTACACCTAAATCAAATATTTCCTACTGAAGTACTTATGTGTGCAATATGCTGACTGGAAATAACTTTCAGAATTGTTGACATTGATTTAAGGATGCCCTCTGCTATCTGTTTAAATAACCACACTTGGAATAAAATAATTTGGCAATAAGGCTTTTCAATAACATTATGGTAAAGAAGTAAGCATCAAGCTCATTATTTATGAAGTCAAAATAATAAAATTGAGACTATCTAAAGAATTGTGGAGCATCACACATCCCTTGCAAAGTAAGGTTTTAAAACTAGTAAGTTCTGAGGAGAGTCAACTTACCATCACGGGTAGGTCTGGCTTTCTTGAGCCACTCTGTTAAATGTCTCACGAAATCGAAGAAGAAGTCTCCCTCAGGAACACTGATCACTGTAAACAGACAATAGAGTTGTAAGCACGAAAATACCTTGAATGGTCGCCATGAAGTGGAAGAAAGAAGGCGACTTAATACAGCAATGTCATCTTCATACGTTGGAGGGTGGGTTCTTCCCACACCGAGTAGTGATCAACATTTTCCATATGTTGCTATCACATTCATTTCTTTTCCATGAAAATTTATTTTTCGTTCCAAGACATAAAATGGAATGTGTCATCAGCCATCTTATCGCCATAATACCTTTATCAGTGATCTTAACAAACAAACTGAATCCTTCAGAAGACTTCAGTCCCAGGCGCTGCGCAACAACAGCACAAAATTCTTTGGCGCGTGTGCTGGAATCAACTTCAAAGGCCTGCAGTGAAATAACAATACATCAATGATCACAAAGCCAAATCGTAAATTAAGCCAAAGAAAACTGACTCAGTTCTACCGATGGCTCAGTTGCACAATAAATAGAAAAGACGTCTGTTTCTCAATACTTAAGACATAAAATTGTTTTACAAAAAATCTCAGATAGGGCTTTTAAAATAACGATAGTTAGGCGAATGATCAAGAAAAACAATTGAAAACATCTGTCCAAAAGAAACTCGCGTTAAACTGATATGAAGAAAGGAAAGGTGGCCATGAATTTTGACTTAGTCGATATCCACCTCACATGGTACTGATACCAAGATGCTGCGAATCCCAGCAGGCTGTTAAATTGAGAGAGGTCTGTTACCTAAAAATTAAGCAACGTTTACAAATCGAGGTGATTTTTCATACTCGCGAACAATACGATAGACAAAGATATTTGAACCTGATCACTGTCATCGGGAAAATACACTTTATGGAATATCTGAGTGGTCTTGTGCTAAGGGAAAAACAAAAACAGAAGTTATGAGGATGCAAATGAGCTGTGTTTTAACTAAATGATACATCCTTTAGTTCATCCTTTTCATAATTGTTACATTTTACAGCGACGATTTCAGCAGTATATGGCCAGGTTGCCTTGAACACCCATAGATTTCTCTTCCTAAGATTTGATGTTTGCTTGGTGTCCTTTAAGCACCATAAATACATGTACAAAAATTTGTACAAATATAATACATAACAAAACATAACATATAATACACATACAAACATAATACATATAATGACATAATGCATGTAGTGTACAAACGTCTCGGACATGTTCAGAGTGTCACACCTGTATGGCCTCCACCTCCACTATGTGTGGAGGATATTTGCGCTGCCCGACTCTGATAGTCTTCTGTAGTCTGGAAAGGCAGTCATGAGCTAATGGCTGTTTACTGGAACACGACCGGAACACTTGGTTCACTTCCCTCATCAGCAAGGAACTGAAAAGCGCGAAAAAATACAGCTTGGATACAATTTTAAACCGTTGCACTGTACAATGGACTGGTTTCATACACAATGGCTTTACCCACCTGCAGGCAAAGATTCCCGTACAAAGCCACAACAATTCCCATCCTTTCTCCTCACTTGAGCTGTAAAAGGTAACTATACATTTACCATACTTCTCTTTCCATATTAACATTTCAACCAACCAACGATTTCACGTAAATGCAACGAAAGCAATTGATTCCTTGGTGTAAAGGAATGCATTTTACTCTCCTCTACATAAATGGATGGATAAAAATATAACTCCACTAGACGATCCCTTTTTTTCATAGGGATTTCCATTCGCTTTCTAAGTAACATTTATTTACGTTAAATAGATATTGATAAATAGATAAATAGATAGCAAGGCGTCTACCAGACAAATTTTACTGATGTACTAAGAGTTTGTGTAGATCACTCCAGCCCTGTCGAAACATTCCTCCAACAAGATCTTAGATGGGAACATATAGAAACATCTGTTCCGATATACTTACGGAAGTCTGTTTTCTGTTATCTGCTTTATCAACTGGCAGTAAACTTCGTCTCTCAGAGGTTCCTTATGAAAAGAACCGGTCAAAGGTCAGAAACATGATCGGGTTTCCATAGCAATGGAAATGAATCAACTACACTTAATACATTACAATCTGAAACGTTGCTTACATGAAGCAGAGCTGGTTCAAAAATGGCGTCTGTGAGATCTGTTGTTTGACGAACCCGCTTGGATGGGTAATCACCCATGTACTTCATGATGGGTCAGATAAGTCAAGGAACCGTTATTTAAAATCTCAATCAGTCTATTTCATAATAGTTGGTGGGAAAAAGCGAGAAAACTACAATTGACACAGGTTAAATCAGTGACCTCTGTTTGAATTTCTTGTTTACATTACTGGTTAAAAATAAAAGCACGGATGTAAGGTTTTCAAATCATTCAAAGAATCCTGTGAGGTCAAAAGTAACGAAGATATAAAAGTACTCTCCAAGTTGTAACAAATATTATAGCAAGGATATCCAGGAAAGTTTGCGTGGCCTTCTGGGCGAGTTCTTCCTGGCCTGCTAGTCTTTTCAGCAGTGGCTGCTTGATGGGGTCCTGTAAACAACAAATGATCTCTGCTGTGTTTTTCGTTTCACAGAATCCTTCAACATTTCATTTACATGGTAAAAAGTTATGTGTTATATCTATGCCAACTATTTCGTGCATGTTCGACAGCTGACTCGTGACTCTTTTGTTGATATTACCTGAAAAACGACACACTATGTAAAATGGTTGCTCGAGGAGTCGAGATTTTCTGTTAAACATCGATGACGACTTTCCAATTATAAATCTGAACATAAATCAATCTTTAAGTACAAAACAAACGCGCCCAACAGCAAAGCATAAGGAAAAGACAATCAAAAGTAAATCATTGCCAAGTATAAAATGTTATTACACGTATATCAGTAGTAACAGCTGTTCAAAAATCAAGCTGTATTGATTACAACCTTTACCTTGGTAAAAGCCCAAGGTATATTCTTGTCTCTCCTTTTGACCTGCGATTGAAGAGCTTTACTCAGAGTTCTCTTGGCTGGCGGTAGAAAGTGTTCGATGGAATATTCATACAAAGTGTGTGGCTTCTCAAAAGATTCAACCTCCTCTTGGTAGATGGCTGTCTGAGTTGTGGCGATGATTTTCTCAGAACTTTCCAAAGACTGATCATTGAATAAGCTCTGTTAAAACAGTGAAAAGAGCCAACAATAAAATCTACTTTGTATTTATTTAAAATGCAATCCACGGGTAGAACCTTTGATGACCAGTGAACCATCTAACACCGAAAATAGTAACAATAACGATGTCAAATATTTGAAGTGAACTTACGTTGGGTTTATAATGCAAAATAAACTTCCTATGCGAACATGGAAATCCAGCAAGAATTGCTACATTCACTTTTTTGGACTTCATTAGAGAGGTACTTGAGAAATGTTCCTTAGATTCTTTTAAATAACTTTCGCTTTTCAAGATTTTGCAAAACAAATGCGTAATGTGTAATGACTTCATGTCAGCAGAACAGCATTGCTGGAATGGGATAATAATGATACATTCAAAGACAAAACTGTGCATATACAATGATAACCACACCCATGAGACAGAAGACATCACTGGCACATTTACACTTGTCGCCAATCGCCAATCTAGTTAAGCTTCTGCTGTGTGTTATCAATTATAAATAAAAATCGTCGAATAAATCACCGGCAGGTAATAACGTAAGTATCAGTGTGGTTTTAACAGGATTGGTAGATATGGTTCGTCATTTTAATGTCTTCTTAGCTAAGCCTCAATCAAACAGCACGAGGCACAACAAGCATGTTAAGCAAAGATCAATTCGCAGCAACACATTTGATTAGCAATGAACTCAATTTCAGCTGTGAATATATAAAAGTCAACGAACTCAATTTCCTCGGAATAAACAGGCTCCGATGTGCGACATGGGAGAAAACACACCAAGTAAGGCAACATCTTTTGAAAAGTCGAAATTTACACTACAAAAAAGGCCTCGTAAGAAATATGCTTTTTTGAATTGCTTTTCTTTTAACAATAGGAACTCATGGAAACAAAAAATAAACAGTATGAGTATTAAATAAAATTATCATGAGGGAGATTGTTTCCGGCACTAGTTTGATTTATTTGAGCAAGTTCTTCAGTTATGCTGATCGGATATTTCAGATAGGAGATCGAGGAAAACAATGTGATGTGAATCTTCCAGGATATGGGAAAAGGCATTTTTCAACAATTTGGAATCACAAGCAAGAGTTGTTGTCATAATTCTACTATTGCTCTTGAAGGCCTCTGGTTGTTCATAATTTATATGAAAAAAAATTCGGCCAACACATTTCAGTGCCATGCCATTTCTGATTTCTTATAGTCTTAATCTTTACAATCTTCTTCCTTTTGGCTTCAACGCAAACACTTGATAAACAGGCGACCTCCACGAAGATGCAAAGGTTAATTGCCGGACTCAATGCGCTTTCACTTGGGTGACATTCATCCAACGCTCATTGCAGCGATGAACGATAGATGATTAAACCAACCGAGATTCAGTTGCCACATTCACCAAAAAGCATCCAGCATTTTTCACCAGTTGCAGTGACAGTAAAATGCGCAAAACACTTCGTTGAATAGGAAACTGCAGGCAAATGCTTGGAGCGTTTTCATAAGTTTTAGTGTTGAGGGAAGGGTGAAAGGAAGATACTGTGACTCATTACACCATTTGGGAAGCCAAATGTAATACAAACATGAACATCTCACTTTCTACCTAACTGAGTTTCACACCAGAATGGGAAAAAACAAAATTATACAGTTTCCTGAAATAGACTTTTAAAAGGCTAAAAAGAGACAGCCATTTCAAAAAGAGATTGCTTGAAGTATGCTATATTACTCGTCTGTGAGACAACTTACCATTGTATCTGCTGATGGTTTAGTAATGGTAGGCAGCACATACACACATTCAGCAGGAAAGTCTCCCTTTCTACCAGTCCTTTCACAGATGCCATAACACCAACCGGAGTTCAGGACTGTTTCTCCTGTGTCACTCTCAAGAGTTATTAAATCACCTTTCTTGAAACTAAGGAACGATGAGCTTTCAGCTGAAAAATGACAAAATATGAAAAAGAAAAAATAAATAGTAGAGTAACGAGGAGGAAAAAAACCCGCTTCTCTAAAACAACCATTTGAATGGATTCTACCTGATTCAACATTTATTTTTTTTTAGTTCGTGGCTATTGAAAAACAACTTAAAGAACTGATTTGAATTCACCTCAAATTCCGTAGAAACTAAGGGCAAATTTACCAAAAAAAGGCGGTCATTTTTTCGAGTATTTAAAACAACAATTAACAAAAGTACATCATCAAAAGTATCTTATTATAGTTAAATCGTTATCATGAACGTACAACAGTGAAGATATTAATAAAACCAACTAGTTCCTACCTGGACTCTGATAGTCAACCATTGCCACCACATACTTGGACCTTTTCCGTAATCCCTCGAGGAAAAAGTGAACAAGTTCTTGGATGTCATCAGAATTTGCTGAAGTAAACGTGTACTCGTCCCCTTTGACGGTGGTTAGAGTGAAACTAGCGCTCTCTGACTTCATGGTCCTACCACACACAATTACATGTAACTCAAATCAGAATAGGCGTTGCTAGGTACCTTTCAGCCGGACCAATGGAGCGACTCGTTAATTTATCCCCTATTACGAAATTAAGAGGTCTCCTTTGATTTTGCCATGTTGAATAAAAGAAATACAACGACAACAACATGGAAAGAAAGAGAGAGACAAATAGTCTCACTTCAGAATGAGATGAGTTCGTCACATCATTAATACAATAAAAACAAAGTCTTTTTGTGATTTTACTATTGATATTGCTGCCGTAGTTGTAACCCCACCTTATAGCATCTCCCACATCTTAATTTCCTTTCACAGGAAATGTTATGTAACCATTACCGTTCGTTCGTATTAATTTCTAGAGGTGAAAGAAATCACAATGTATGATTGCTATAAAAGTTTAAAAATTTCACCTTTTTTCTAAGTCCCCTTAATCATGCAGGTATCAGGTCACACGTGTGACACACACGTGTGAAACACACGTGTGAAACACACGTGTGACACACACGTGTGATCCCAGGAAACGGAGCACTAGTCACATACTTGTGTGAAAGAAAGTATCCTTAAGATCTGAATCACTCCGCCTAAACATTGTGACGGTGGTAATATAAAGAATCTGAAGCATTGTCCCCTTAGTTAGATGAAATTTATCCCAGGGGGCATAAATTATTCACCTCGGGCTTGTTACAGTAGTTATCTCAGGAAACTGCAAGTCTAAAAGTACATGCTCTTGGTCATCAACGACATAAACGCCGGTCCAATTCACTGCCACTATTACGTCGTTCTTTGGCAGACTAGGGCCTGAGAACTGGTATGCTTCGTAGAATCTGGAGAACAGCAGTGGCCATTTATATCGGGCATAGTTTACCACATCCTCTTTCACTTTCTGTGGATTAATCTTCTCTGTTGTGTAATAACCCTGTTAAAACAAAGACAAACCAACAGAACATTGTAAATAGAAAGCCTTTCAGCATTACCTACTAATGAAATATTGTCACTGATCTCTGTATCATTGTCTGATTTCGTTTTATTGGGGGAATTAATTTCCAAGAAATAGACTTATTTCTTATTCTTTTCATTTCTACCAGTTACCACATTAATGAGAATGGGATCTTTCCTTTGATAGCGAGTAGTTCCAGGATAAGCGCTCAGCATTTTCTAATGTTCTACTCTAACCGCGCAGATAAACACTACATTTGTTGAATATTTTCCATCTTTCAAATGACCTAGGTAAGAGTACACTCCAAAATCATCGGTTGAATTGGGCGCAAAATAAAAACTTATTTTCCCTAGCGGCAGAGGCTTAGAAACTGGACTGACAGACTTGTAAATCGCAAGTTAATACACATACCTTTTTGTGGCAGTTTATTACCAGCTGGGCCCATTTCTCCAGCACTACCTTACCCCCTTGAAGCTGACTATCAGGGAGGTAGGAGGGTAGTAAGTTGATGAGTCTGTCAGCTAACATTTCCTTACCATATTCCACATAGTATTGTTTAGCAGCCACGTCTGCCAGGTCTTCATCCTGACAGAAGAAAAAACGTATAAACAATGAAATAATTCCTTACGTGAAAAGATAAACTCGCACCGCGTAAGTTGCACACTGGTCAAACTGGTCAACCAGCAGGTTTGTCAAATTCTTGTCACAAGAGGCAGGACTGGCCATAGGTGCCATAATAAGTAGAGTAAAAAAAGCAAACTAATTGAAAAGAACATGTAAAATGTAAAAATGGTTACTTTTATTTGGATTTGTAATGAATCAGACGCGTTGGAAGGAAACGAGGGGGTGAAGTAATATATCTTTAAATGGTTCTATAAGTGACAAATGATTACAGTAACGTTACCTTATCACAACGATACTCTCCAAACTTCACACCCCTCACCACCTGCTGGTAAATAAGGTTTGTGCCTATTTGATCGACTGTAGGATCGTGCCATGGAGAGAAGATTTCTTTCCTGAAGAATAAACGCCATGGTGCATTCATCTCCTTGGCTCCTTTTTCTTTGGCGTACTGTTCACACTGAGAAATGGCGTCCATTACGTGATCGCTTCCACTTCCCAAACTGGACACCTGTGCAAATGAACGCCGGTTAATCAACTGCCACAGTTCTGATGGTGACTGAAGCAAGCGGTTATTATGAAACAAAATTTTACGGCGTACCTTGTCGAAGAGAGCGATATAAAGAGAGAAGCCAAACTGATCAGTGAGTGATATCTTGTCAGCCAGTTGTGTGCAAAGTTCTTTAGCTGTTGTAGCAGAATCTGCCAGTAAGGTTTTTGTGGTTCCATCCATAAATGTTATCGGTAACATTAAAGGCTTCTTAGATTTAGTTGCCTGATCAAAATCAATTCAAACGATAAACAGACTAAATATTAACAGAAAACTTGCGTCCATAAACTATGTCCAATAAATTAAACTTTACAATCAAGAGATCGAGTCAGACTTCAACGGTACTCAAATCAGATGAAAGTAAGTAAGAGAGAAATGTCACCTGTAACTCCAGCCAGCTGGGGGGTTGGTGCCTACATCCGTTCTGCTGTGTCCTCCTCAATCTCTCCTCACAGTATGGCGCGTACCCAGGGGGACCATCTCCGATAAAACACTTCAGATATTTGACGAACTGATAGCACCGCCACGAACATCGCCACCACCGAAATATCCCCCAAACAAAAAAGAAACACAAATCAATGCAACACTACTTCGAATAAGGCCTACTAATCCATTACCCTTGGCGAAACCGTCATTTCGAGTGCTCAGAGACAGGAGAAATTAAGTAATAAAAAGGATCTATTGACCAGCCCCGAAAGTTGAAGTATTTCGCACTGAAAAAAAACTTTTTAGGAAGTAAATCATTGCTAAGTGCTACAGAGTTCTGCAATCAAACCTCTCTGTTCTTTTCTCCAAATAGTTTCCGTTACGCTTAGAGCGTAAGAACATGTTGGATTGTGTATATGGCCTTTTTTCCCTTGCAGAAAGAAACAATAAAACACACAGAATAACATGAGACATTTGAGAGCTGACCTTTTCTGAAGGTGCAAAACAACCCAAGCAGAGTGACATAAGAATCCATCCGCGCGCATGACTGGATTTGGAAGGATTTTGAGTCAACTGTTTACAAATCTGACAGTAAATTTCATCTCTGAGGTCTGGTCGTAATATGCCATGCCCGATGATAAAGTGAAGTTTCTCTAAATTAGATGTTGGTCGATCCTGAGCTGACAAAGGACCGTAACCTTCCGTTAGTGTACCACTTTCCTCAGCTTCTTTCAACTTCGCTGTAACATCCTGTAAGGCGATACAATTGTAAACGATTCAAAGAGTTACTCAGCTCTGATAATGAATCACGGGTATTGTATCATTTTCCCATGGTTTTCGGGGAAGATCAGGGGTAGCATAGTACTGATAGCTCGTCACCAACAGACAAGACAAAAATACTGAGAGGAGCCTTATTGAGTTGCTTGTCACTTCTTTACGATTTCCAACACTTTTCCAGAAAATAAATTTTAAGACAAGACATTTAAAGTAGTAAAGAATCAAATACTCCCCTGCAAACTAGAACTGATACAACAAACAATCTTCAACAGAGGGCTTCGGTTGTATCTGCTTTCTAACACAGCTTCTGTCTCGGCATATTGCAAAAACGTAACCTAAGTTAAAATCGTTTGTTCCGAACATACATGTGCACACTTCCTCAAAGGGTACAGGTCAGCAATATCCAAGGTGATTGTGACAGTTAACACTCACATTACCCACCTTTGTAATTTTCGACTTCCTTTTCAACGTTAATGAAACAATTTTCTTCCTAAGTGTCTCCCTTTTCTCTCTACTCAGTGAATTACTGGATCCCTGAAAGATCGACCAAAAAAAAAAAAACAGTTAGAATGAAAATCATACGATTTAAATTCAATTAAGAAAAGAGAAGCAGACCCACCCCAAAATCTTGCACTCCGTCGATTCCTTTGTTCTTGTACTTTCTTCCGAGTGTATCGTATATCTTGCTCATCACGGAGCTGTCCTGTTTAAACGAAATAAAACAACACATGAGTGGAAAAAAAGCGTGATTAGAATGTCTTTTAGGCTACGAAACACAATACACTATACGGTCAGGCTATTGCCTGATAATGCTAGCTTACATTTTACTAAGAAAACTGGAATTCTTTGACGGTCGGAAAAAATCCCCAAAAAACTTGTCGAGACTTTCTACACATTGTTCGAACCCATCAATACGTATAGTTCACTGAACAATTCGATGAGATATAGTACCTATACAAAGGTCCTTATGTAATTTTACCTTAACGTCTGGCTGTGAAGTGATGTACTTGGGCTCTGGTAAGTCACCCATGAATCTTAAAATCGTAATCCATACCGCTAATGCCGCCTGTCAAGACATTACTTCATTAACAAAAAATTAACTTAAGTTCGCAACGAACTAAAGATAAATAAATGTGCAAGGAACTAAAAAAGACGCCAAGAAAATATTCTAATGCTCGGCATGATTTGAAATTGCGAGAACAGCGAGCGTGAGAACAAGTATCAAGACGAGGCTGAGAAAAACGTAGAGATCTCTCAGTGGCTCTCTAACAGCTCAAAAAAGAACGATTTGTCATTCCCACTTATGAGTGTGGGCACAACTACCCGAATAGAATTTTTTTCCACAAAAAAATAGAGTAAACGGTATTAGAGATTGACCATTATTGAGGGCTGTACATCTGCAGGTCACGTGTTGAACTTTCGGCCAATGAAAAATATATAAAATACAGTGAATGATGATGTTAACAGGAATATTGGGTGTCGGGTCAGTATGTGTGGCTCCATATTTTCCATATAAGAAGGTTTTACATATGCATTGTTATCATGTTATGATTGAAAAGTTTAGTCAAAAACAAAGTTTAATCCTAAGGTGTCAGACGTGGCTAGAATTACCATACTGTCGGCTTCACTGGTAAGCGGTAAGAGGGACTGTTTTAGTGGTCTTCTGATATATAAAGGAGTTGCTCCGCCTTGAAAGTAGGTGGCAGCAAATTTAGAAAACTTGAATTGTGAGACATCTTCTTCTGGCTGTAAAAGCAAAGCGAACTTTTGTCAACATAATAGTAACACAATGCAGTAAGAGCCTGGATGATGATGGTAGTGAGCGCCAGTGGAAGAAATTCTTCAAACAGCTGTTTTCTTTAATCGTGTGCTCACCTCAGGTAATGATTGCACAGCAGACATTTCTTCGGTGGCAAATTCAACCTCTTGGGCTGGTTCTAAATCCTGAAAGGAAAAATTTACGATGGACCACTGAAAATGAAAATCATGACGATAAAAAGAATCAAAGCGAAGGAAACTTTGAGTTAACATACTGTTATTATTCTCTCTTTTTTTATTTCAGCATAAAAACATTGTTCCGATAAAAAAATTCTCTCAACGCAAAACAATGCTAGACGACTAATAAATGTTGATCCCATTTACGTCTTTTGGCTACACTGTTAGCCGTGGGTAACTGTCTTCCGTAAGAGACAATAGAACAGTTTGAAGACAATTGGATACCAGCATAGATAAAGATTGAAACAATAATTTCTGTTGGTTACGTAAGAACGCTGTATCACCTTGAAGGCGGTGGGAGCTGAGTTAGGCATTGGTGTCTTCTCTTCTGGCAAGAAGCCGAACATTTCATCAACCTTAGAAGGAAACAAACAAAAACAACAAAACTTAGAACCTACACCAAGCAATGCTTTTTACTATTCCTGTCTCATTACAGAGGCATTGCGTGTTCAGACGAAATAAACACAGCTCGAATTAAGTCACGAATTAAGTATGAAATAAAATGATTGCGCTTTGTTGTCCTCAACTCCATGGTTCATGCAGCAGTAGCGTAATGACGGTACCTTTCCTTTGAAATTTAAAATTTCTTTTAATAAGAACAGCTCTTCTTCATCTTGACCACAAAGTTCTGAGTCTGAACTGCTCTCCGCTGTCCTGTCCACTTCAAAGCCACTTCCATTAACATTGTCTTGATCACAGACAAAATCTTGAAATTCAACAATTCTTCTCTCTACCGTCTCATAAAAGAATCCTTCGAATCCGTCGACATCCATATATTCTGGTGATTCAGTTTGCTTCACAGAGCTCCACTGTTTGCTCGAGAAATTCATCTTCGCACTTTTCAGTGAGTAATAGTTTACGTTCGAACCTTGAACATTCTCTATTCTAAATACACGAGTACGTACGCTTTACAGTATTAAATTTCACAACGTAACACGTAAATCAAGAATTTCCGCTGAAAAAGAGGTCATTATATTCCGTGACCCTATCTGTGATGATATTCAAGTGCAATTTCTCTTTGTCGCGTGACTGTCGTAGCACTCAAATGATCATCGCATCAATCAAATGATCACCACAGCGAATGTTTGCCTTCTAATGCTGCAAATAAAAAGCTTCACAAGAACGAGTTCATGTCCGTGCGTGGGCGTCACGAGCCTGTTAACCGCCTAGATGACTGCAGCAGATTTTTTTGAGCAGTCGAAGTTAAAGGTGATCATTATTTGAACCCGGCGGAAAACGGAAATACTCTGTTTCTCAGAGAAATAAGCTCATCTAACTAGTAATCTTCAAACTTGCAATCCAAAATAAAAGAAAGAAACCTACATACAGAGAAGATCTCGCAAACAAGAAAAGTGCTTTGCAGCCCAGAATTAGTTTCATTTCCTGTCTCCATAGTTCGCCTTGCAATAGGACATCTAAGAGTCAATTTTCATGATAGATTTTCACGAACATGTATAGCATCTCTTTCATGAAGTTTGAGTTTGACCAGCATTCAATTAACCCAGACACTAAACAGTCTTCTTACCATTTTCGAGTCATCTACATCTTCTTCTCTCCGTTTCTTCGCCATTGCTTCTGCAACTTCTATTTCGTGCTTCTTTTTCTCAGCTTCCCGTTTTTTGCGTTCGTGTTCTTCTTTCTCCTCTTGCTCAATCTTGGCCATCCGTTCCTAACGTAGCATTACGACAAATAAAAGGGGAAAAAAATTAAACCTGAAATATGCTGTTTACTCTCTTGGACACACGTATTCCCCACGGGTCAAATGTTTGAGTAATTTAATAACACAGTTCTACATGAGAAATCGAGCCTGAGACCTTCGGATTCCGCGCTCCGATGCTCCAACCACTGAGCCACAGAGACTCTTGGGTGAGCGAGGTCTATTACAAAGTTCATATGATCCTGCTGATCCTGGCAGTATGCAGGACGCGTGTCCTATGAACTACGCAATAGACCTCGCTTATCGTAGAGTCTCTGTGGCTCAGTGGTAGAGCATAGGAGCGCGGAATCCGAAGGTCGGAGTTCGATCCTTGTGGAACTCAGAATTTTTTCTTTGTCCCACGCTCGTGACAAGACGAAAAAAAAAATTGCTCTATTTAGCATAGATGTGAGAAAAAGTCAGAGTGATGTTATCTTTCGCCCAGAAATTCAATTTTGCTCATAAAACAACAACATCAACGAAGAAGCTGCACCTGATGAAGTCTCTGTGCTTCTTTCTCTGCCGCATCAGCCGCCATGGCTTTCTTTAGGCGTTCTTCCTCCTGCTTCCTTAACCTCTCCGCATCTTCGCGTTTCTTTTTCTGTTCAAATACAAAAGTTAACAAATAACAATAAAAAACAATTTACTTAACGTCTACGGTTTATTCCAACTGAGATTTCTTGATTGTCACTGCTTTTTTTTTCTTTCAAATTTAGCCAAACACAAATAGTTGCGAGGAGCTCTCATTCAATCTATTTACAGTCAACTCTATGCGGCAGAAGCATACACTTTTATGAGAAAGACAGACCGCGGTGCTAATATGAACCCTTCAACTTGGTCTGCCCCGCTCGAATTTCTCTGCCATTTTTTGAACAAGTTTACCCTGTTTAGAGAAAAAGAGTTTTCTTAGATGATCAGAAAGAGTCAAAGTGATGGCTCAATAAAGGACTGACTGCCTATGACTACGAGTCTGACGTATGTATGCTTAAGTTCTGACCTCCACTCTCAATTCCTGAGTTCGCCTTTTAGCCAGCACCATTCGTATCCCAGCTTGTATCTTGACGATACTCCTAAGACGATTTTTGTACTCTTGTCGAGTGAGGAATCCTCTACAAAATGCTTGAAACACTTTCATTCTCTCACGCAATGTTCTATACTTTGTGGCTAAAACACGAGCTCTGTACGTAGCCTGAAGTCTAGCCAGACCACTTCGGATCTAAAAAGAAAGTACAGCATTTAGTTTAAAAGGTAAAGCCTGACCATCACTGCCGAAAGCCTCATGGCATGAGGCAGTATTATTTACCTTCCTTTTTGATGAGGAGTTACCTCCCAACATTTTGTCCAGTTTCCATGACAGTTTAGCGAGATCCAACTATAACCCTGGGTCGAGAGAGACACTGTGAAAAATCATTGCCTCGGCCAAGGACACGACACAGTAACTTCAGGCAGGGTTCGAACCCGGACTATTGGTTTTTTGAGTCGCACTAAGCATTACACTACTTTAATAGTCAATTCTAAGGCTGGAGAACATACCCACCAACACTACTCCACACACAACTTTGGCATGGTGTTACTAACAATAATAATAACTGACCATGGCGTATCTTTGTCTTTCTTGGAAGCCTCTCCATGTCTTCTGAATAAGAATTGAGCCAGTTTTCATCTTGGTATACCGTTGACGGATCAAAAACCCACGTACAACTCTCTGAATCAAAATGGCGCGCTTGGTAAGAAGTTTATCCCGCTCATCTTCCAGCTGAACGTCTTGCATGTCCTATCAATCAGAGATTTTTCATTCATTGTCATGTGTTGAAACGAAAGAGAGCCTCCATTAACGCAAAAAATACCGTTGTTGATAAAACTAAATCATTTCTTAAACGCAGGACATAGTCATGGAATATTAAGCCAATTTATTGCATGTCTTAAAACTGGACGAAGTATTGGAGTCTTCTACTTACGCATACACATGAAGCTCCTGGTTTTTTTTCTTATGTGATCTTTACACTATTTTGTTCTTTCAATTAACAAGTACAGTCTACTCTCGCCCTACGGACACCTCGCTATTACGGACACCACGTGAGAACATCAGCGGCTCACGTTGAACAACGACTCCTTAAAAACGCTGGGCTCTAATTTAAAGCTTGTTCCTCAGAAACGCAACTTTCACGCACTTTTCTCAGACATTTTAATGAAGTGTGTGATCAGTGAACAGCTAAACTGTAACTGCAAGTAACTTACCTTTAGAAAAATCTTAGTTTTTCCAACCTGCCAGTCAGTATTTCCAAGAAGCCGCTTGGCGATTGTGACAGCAGCGTTTTTGAGACCCTGAAAATCCAATGCGTCCCTAGTCAGGCCTTCACTCAGCATGTGGTAACGGTCAATGAACTCCTTAAACGTGTGCCGAATGGGATAACCAGCTTTCCGTATTCTAGGGTATAGAAGAAATAAATATGTAAAATATGAGATAAACAAAAATAAAAAAGGAAAAGCTTAATTTCACACCCAGACAAGAATGCTCTTAGGTGAGAGGAGCTTTCCCCATACACCAATTTGACCCACAAAACTACATGTACATGAAGCCTTTCTTTGGCAAATTCTGTTCCCAACTACTTTGATGACCGTTCAATAAATCAATAAGATTGTTGGGATTTTAAGGGGAAACTAGCTTGAGCAAACTCGCTGAGTGGAAGGTACCAAGAGTCTTGGATCCCAAAAACATCATTCTTAATTCAAACTACATATTAACAAGATGACAAAAAGTGGTTGTTTGCTTGAACATCAAGTGAAAACTGTGGAATCTCCAACATCTTACCTTATGGTCTCCATCATACCAGAATAGCGTAACTGCCGGCAACAAAGACCCCGATCAAATCTCTGAAAGAAGAAAAGTAAACCGTGAGAGGATTTATCCAACAGCAACGTTCTTCTCAAACACTGGCGGACAGCGTTTTCATCAGCTATACTCTTCTTTGAAACGTTGGTTACTTTGATTAGACAAAGGAGTAAAATACCTGTCTTGATCTGAAATAAATCCTAACCTTTGACAGCCAAGTTTTTTTTCGTATGGCTGACCACTTAAAAAAATATATAGAAAAGCTGTTACACGGTCAACCTGTAGGTCACGTGACGCATGAGTGCTCACCATTGGTTTCTTGTGGTCATTTGGTTTGATGCAGCGCACAAAGAAAGGATGACAAGATGATAAGGTTCTCATCAGTAGATCAAGAGACTTCTTGAACTGAGCTCCAAGAGTTGGCGAACGTTTCCTCGTATCTTCACCCTAAAAAAGTTTGGGTTTATGATTACACTGGCGAAGTCTACACAAGAAACACACAGCGAATCAATGAACCACAACTAAGATAGTTATCTAGCAAAAGTAAACTGATGAAACAATAACAAAGAGTACAAACCATGGCTCTCTCTTTAGAAAAGAGTCCAAGTAAGAATGGAAACTTGCTTTCTCCCACCAAATCAACAAGATCAGCACTGAAAGTGTCGCGATTCTTGTCCAGAAAACCTGACATTGAAAATAAAGTTTTAGGCAATTCACCAACAAACATTAACAAGGCCTTAAACTCTTGTAATGATCATTTTTCGTTTGTTTGAATACACTACCTGATTGCCTCCCAAAGACACTCTAAGTGATCCGTCTGAATCTATTGATACTGGCTTCTTAGCAGTGATAAGGTTCTTACCTTTTGAGCTGTAGTAAACAGTTCCCGCAAAATGACGAATACCAAACAAGGAAGAAGTTGAATTGACCGGGGGAAGAAACAGTTTGGATCGCTTGTGATGAGTATTTATTTTCTGTAACATCGTGGCATCTGAACCCTGAGAAATAAAGGAGAAAGCTCCACAGGTTACTTCGTACAGACAACGAAAGTTATAAATGCAAGTTGTCATATAATCCGTCATCTCATCTTTATCCATTTTGAAATCTGGCAATGAGAAATCCAGTGAAATGCCAATGCTCATAAGATCGATTCGATAGACATGGATTAAATTCTGCAAGATTCCACAAGCTACCTTTGGAAATCTACTCTCTTCATCCACCAGAGCAATGATGTTCATGGGTTTTTGTGCCAGTAAATCAAGAACGCTCTGATTATCGACAAACGAAATATGTTGCCATTTTATGTCCTCTTTGTTGTATTCTTCCTGAAAATAATAAAAACTGAGATGTAATCATTTAGCCTGGTTACTGATTCACCTACAGAGACCATCATATGAAAATGACTACTAAATTCAGTCACCTGGAGTCTACGAACCGAAGAAACGAAACACTCGACGGCCATGAGTTTAAAATAATAAAATAGCATCTTTTGACTTTTAGTTCAGTCATACTTCCCGTGAGGTATGACTGGACAAACTGTGCGGTATTATTGGCATGGGAAAAGTTAACATAAAAACAGAATAATACGTGTTAAAGGTACATGTATATAAATCGCCAATGATGGTGTTTGAGATCACATTGACCTACTCATCAGCCAAATGCAGAGGGACAGATCCAAGAATGAGCTTAACACTGATCACGAGTCATCATTCTTTATGGGTAAAGTAACCTAACGAGCTTATCTTGACAAGTAAAAGACTCCCTCGAAATAAACTTGCATCCAAACGTTCATTAAAAAACCCAATACGTTGGGTTTTTATAAAAAAAAATCTCAAGTTCAACAGTGGATTTGATGTTGAATTTATTCGATCTGTCAAACTTATAACTCACGTTCATTTGAGCAAGATTCAGATCACGGTGAATAAGCAAATTGTGAACCGTTGACTAGAAAAGAGTATGAGGCAAATGTTTGTTCGCTCAAAATAAATTTTTTTCTCAGGCCTGACCGCAATTACATTTGTTTCTTATATTATCCCACGTTGTCTTCTTGCGAGGAATTTCACTTCCAATTCATCTTTTCCTAGCTGACTTGTTCCACGAAATGTTTCTTAATATTTCACTTGCCTGTTCCAGTTTAAAAATGTGTTGAACAAAGAACTGTTGAAGATTTTCATTGGCATAATTGATGCACAGCTGTTCAAAGCTAAAGGAAAAAAAAAACAGACATAAAGATAATTATAACAAGTATTTAAGGAAACTGAAGGAAGAAAAGTATTACAGAGAGGGGAGAAAGGAAGGGAGGAAGGTAGAAAAAGTGGGAAAGATGGGGAAAAAAGAGAGTTGGTAAAGAAGGAACAAGAGAATGAAAGGAGTGTGGGGGGGGAAGGAGGGAGAAACAAGGAGAGGGGTAAGAAAGGGATGGTTGGAGGAAGAGAAAGAGGATAGTGGAAAGAGGAAAGGGAGGGAATGGAAGGGGAAAGTGCAGAGCAGAGGGGGAATATATGAAAGGAAATGGAAAGGGCCAGGTAGAAGTGTTAAGAAAGGTGGAGTTGAGAGAAGGGGAAGATAAGTCAGAAAGGAGGGAGGGAGGAAGGTTTAAAGAAGGAAAAAGAGGGTGAAATAAGGGGCAGAGAGAGGGTAAGCAAAAGAGAATGGTATAGAGGGGTAAAGAGAATATCACGTACAAGAACTTCTACTACAGCAGCCTTTATGTGCTCAGGCTAAATGCAAACTTGACTTACCTATTAGAATTAAAGTTTTCAAATCCAAATATATCAAGAACTCCAATAGATGATCGGAATGCTGATCGGTCAAGCTATCAGAGGAATAGATACAGAATATCATTATTTCCTTCCAGTAGTATTAACTAGTCACTGGGTGCTGATGTTTCTTATGTCTAAAAATTCAGATTACACTTCAAGTAATTGCAATTAATTACATGCCATAAACATCAAAAGAGCAAAATGTCACCAACTTAGCTTCCATTAACTTTGGTAACTCACCTTGTCTGTGAAAATGGCTGCATTTATTTTGTTAACAATCCACACAAAGATTCGTCCATAAATTCCCTTGACAAAGGCATCTCTAATATCTACAGCTTTTACAGCACTGACTGGAGAAAAGATCATTTCACCTCTTGCAAATGTTGATCGGCTGGTAAATGCTTCAATAAGATTCTCATATGACACCTGAGATAGATAACCAGTAACCACTATTAGTGAATTCCTAGAATACTACGCATACTCTTGTTAGTCAATAAGTGCATTTAGACAAGAATATGCAGATACATGCAAAATTTAATTTTTCCAAAATACAACAGATGACTTTTCCCATGTTTACTAAGCTAGTATGTACTATAATTAAAAATTCAAGGGGTTGGAAGAATTCTAGAAAGTTATGCAAACCCTTGAGCAGCATGTCTTAGAGTTGAACACTTCTATAGAAATGAATATATACCCTGTAGGTATACTCAACTCTTTCTCAGTGCCTGTAAAATAACTCTTCCTTCAAACCCAAGGTATACTATTATCTCTTTCCTACACCTACTCTTCAAACTCAACAATGGCCCTGTACTCATTGTACACAATCAACTTTATCCCAACATTGTAAACACCCAAACCTATTCCTGTTATAATCTGACTCAGCCATCTCTATCAACACAACAAGAGTGCACCCTTGAATCTATCTCCATACCCATTCTACACATGCAACACTGTCCTATACTCTTTCCTCACACCTCTAGAAGACCTGCAACAACTTTTCCCAGCTCATGATCAGTGATGTCACATGCATCAACGGTACTTCGAATGGTGGCTATTGGGTGTAAAAAAGAAACAAAAAGAAAGAAAAAGAAACACATATGGCAATTGTTTCTTAATTTTAATTAGTGCATCAAACAAAAACATTTTATTGACTTTTGTGTGTGTTTAAGATGACCAACTTGTTACTTTTGAGCCTATTAACTCTGGAGAGCAGAGAGTCAGTGCACACAAGCCTCTCATTCAGTAGCAACCTAACAAATATAACTAACAATAAATGTCACATTACTTTTAAATGTGGAAGTACCTTCAAATTCTAGGTTTCCAATGTGAAGAATGGCAGCCAGCAATTTGAAAATGTTCCAGCTATCATCTTGACTGAACATTAATACCTAGACATCATTGCAAAAACAGAAAAATTAACTTTCTTTTGGCTGAAGATGATTTCAAGTTTAAATTTCTAGGTACTATGCATGTACCTTGAGGTAGAAGTTATGCTTACCTTCATTGCCCCTTTGATTATAGCAAATTCTTCTGAATCATCCATTCCTTCACAAGAGATACAGTTGCCTTGTGTTAAATAGTAGTAGTCTGAAGCATCTGTCAGGTTCAGTAACTCTCTCTCATTAGGTGACATTCCAGAAAGCATGCGATAGAAAATGTGATAATTTCTCTCATCAGGCATCTGAAATGCAAAAATGATATTAATGGCTGGTGTACACTGTATCCTTAACATTACTGTAACTTGAAAAATCTAAAGTTTTATGAACATAATGATGTAATGTCCTATCTGTACTTGAGACTAGGAGGTCCTACATGTAAGTTTGTATAAATTATTTCCTTGCCTTCATGAGCTCACTTCTAGAGCTATACACACCAGCCACCAGAGATTAAGAAATGTATTGTGTTAATTTATAAATTTATTTTTATCTTTTCATTATAAGACATTAGTAATCATTCTATTTTATATTTTTCAAACAGTCAGCAAAAAATAAATCTGAGGTTGCAAAAGTGTGAAAACACTTCAAAGACAAGGGGCTTGTAAACAAGGCAGACTTTGAACTCATTATGATAAATGTAATATCCACTGTAGATACTATTTTTTATTTACAAGGTATTGTATATTGATTAGATGCTCTTGATCAATCAGATTTTTTATATAGTAATTCTAATATATCAAATGGGTATGTCAACAACAAGGAAAAGTAAGAATACAATTAGTGACTCAAAAATGTATTTGAAGTAACATTTGATTCTGGTACAAGCAGTCTAGTGTACAGAATGCATTCTAGAAGAACAATCAATGTTTAATCATAAATTATGTGAAAATAATTAAAGAGTTATAACTGATTTTTAAATCATAGACATATTTAGAGCATACTTACATCATGACAGTTAAAAGTGTTTTGTACAAAATGTAAATCCACAGACACTTTAATTCCATTTTTTTTTTCCATCTACAATTTTATATACTTACTTGGCTGACAAGTCTCGATTTCTCCAAAAGGTATTGGTCAATCTTGGCTCCTTCAATTTGTCCAGTCTTGTTGAAATGGACATCAATATATTTACCAAACCTGCTAGAATTATCATTCCGTACTGTCTTGGCATTACCAAAAGCTAAATTAAACAAAGACCATCATAATAAACAGAATGTAGAGCAATATTTTCATTGGTAGTCAACAAATTAACCATTTTAAGGAATACTAGATGGTGTATGTGAATGAGTGTGTAACTGTATCCTGTCTCTTAATAGCATGAAAAAAAACCCCTCCCCCCACCCCAACCTGGCACTTTCTAACCTTGACCTCAAGCTTTGCTGTTGAAAAACTGTTTGCTTCTTGGGACAGACAATGTCCATGAACATATCCCATTCATATTGTCACACCAAATGGAGGGTATTGCTTATGCAGTATATACAGTATGCACCTTCTAAAACTGGATTGGCCTCCAAAATTTGTTGTTCAATCCACGAGTGTTGCCCACTGACAGCAGCAAGAAACTGAAGAATGAGTTTAGTTGACTCTGTCTTGCCAGCTCCACTCTCACCGCTACAAAACAATCAGCTCAAAGCTTTAACATACAGAGGAAATTTTAAATCAAATAGCTCTTTTAGATTACATTTAGGCTAATAATTATCATACAAACTATAATGACTAGTATACATGTATAAATATTATTCACTGATAACAATTAATCATTTATTAAGGAATTTGCCTAAGTTTACAAATAATTATATCTTATCTGTATCCTGCTAATTTGTGACTGCAAGCAGTTAGGATATTTCATGATTTAACATAATCTAATTAATATTTATAGTCACAACTGTCTTCTATATGTAACTGTTGTGTAGTTTGTTTTTGTTGATGTTATTGTTTCATTTTTACAGTACCTAATAATGACACACTGATCATGAGCTTCTCTCTTCATATGAGAATATGCATTGTCTGCCACAGCAAAGATGTGAGGAGGAAGATCACCTAACTTCCTATTCTTGTACTTCTTAACATGATCAGCATCATATATAGAGTAAAGCTGATATGGATTAACAGCAACTAAAATGGATCCAGTGAAGGTCTGAAAAGTAACAACATGCAGGTCATAGGTCATTACACCTTGAAAAATTGAAGTTGTAACATCAGTACAGTAACATGACTGTTCATGGAAAGATAGTATCCTATCAAATGGCAATTGTGTTATTGGTAGAAATATTTTAACAGAATAAATTTAATTAAAGCAGGACATATAGTACAATATGTGTGCTGTACTGCTCAAAAGTATGTCAACAGTCCCTCAAAACTTAATCCTCAATCCTTAATCCTCAATCCTTAATCCTCAATCCTTAATTCTTGATCCTTGATTCTTGTTCCTCAATTCTCACTCCTCATTTCTTAAACCTGGATTCCTGATCTTTGACTCCTCAATTCTCAAAAAGTTTGAGGATGGAGGCTTGAGTTGAGTTTTGAGACATTTGAGTCTGGGTTCTGCACATTTATTTAAATGACCAGGTGGTAACTTAATCAAGAAGATCTGTCAACTAAAATTGATGACGCTCTTGAAATACCCTTAAATGTCACAACAAAAATTCCTTTTAACAGACATTGTATTCCTGTGATCAATATGAATCGAAGCAAAGTTGACTTACATAAATCTGGTGATTGTAGTATCTAATGAAAAGGTTGTGAAGGATTCCTGCCTCATTAAGATCTCCAAGTTGTATCTATAGTTCATAAGTGGAGTAAGGAAAACTCAGCTGCATAATTAATTGACTGATTTGACAGCTACAACTGTACATGTGCAACCTTACACATGCTTTAACTGTTACAATGAAAGTATTCAAACTAAGGTGACACCCAGAAATATTTTGTTCTGTCAAATCCAGCCCTCAGAAGTAGAAAAAGAGCCCTTCCCTTACACAGCTATGCAGAGGTTTTTTGAAAGGGTTTATTTACATGGGAGTTGACAAGCACAAAAAATGTTTCAAAATAAGTTAGTGGAGGGTTTATCAAAATTTGTGTCTCAGTTTCTGAGTTTCAAATGAACTTCAGACTCATGTAATAAACTGGATTCATATCATAATTTGGAACACAACCAAAGTCAAAGATTAGAACACTTACAGATTATCTCATTATTGATGGAGGACCACATCTTATATGTATATTGTCTTTTGAACTAGTTAAATGAAAAAATTGTACATACCATGTCATCAACTCCATTTACACTTGTTGGATGCATAATTCTAAGTTTGTTAGCCAATGAAGATTGGATCCAATGCTCCTAAAGCAGATACAAATAATATTACTGGTCAATTTGATTGGTGTGTATGGCATCTGTGAGGAATCCTGGAAAATGTGTAAAATAACATGAGATATTCTTAAGTTTAGTTATTTTGCTACAACATAGCCTGTTAAACAGTGGAACAAACAGCAAGAAATAAGATTTCTTAAATGTTATAAAACCAGTTAATCACATTTACATGACATTTGACAAGAAACTGAGTAGATCTTGATTTGAGTGTCTCTTCACAGAAAGAGATATAAGCAATGGAGTACAATTTTTAATATCACTTGACAACTGAACAGGTCCATGGGGACAATTGCCAGGGTTAAATACCTTTCCTTCATCGTCAACAACTTGAATCTGCCCCGAGTCAGCCAATTTGACCAATGCTCCAATGGGCACATCAAACTCTCCTCCACCAGTATTGTCCAGCCAGACATGTTCACCCTGTAGACATGAAAGAGAGCATGCCTCAACTCATCTCTCTGGTAAAAAAGGCAACCTATCAGTGAATAAATCCACCTGGAGACTGCTGCAAAGGACAGTCATGATATATTGTACCAATATGTTTCCAGATCTACACCATAATGTAGCAGTACTGGTATCTGGTTAAAATACAAGTTATGAACATTATTGCTGAAAATCATTATCAACATGGTATGAAGATCAAATTTTTCAGCCCTCTACATAAATTAAAAGTTTTTGTACTGAGCTCCCATCCAGTTTCGACAGGTCCACAACCAAAAAAAAGGAATGTTCTTATCAATGCTAACATTCCCTAATTAGGACAAGAAGCTTGCTTAAAGATGCTTCCATAGATATGAATACATATACATAAAATTTTTCTCCCTTAGTTTCTATGGTCATCAGGATTATGTTTACATGTAGGAAGCTAAGTTTAAAATTAATTCAAATCAGGCATGAAACAGGAATGTTGTACATATTGGCACAACACTCATATTTTGAAATTGGTTTTATTATGATCTACAGAACATTTATACTACAAATTGAACACAAACTCCCCATTCCCATCCATTTCTTTACTATATGGGTGTCTGAATTCCAAATATTTAAAAATAGTAGGAAGGTACCTCCTCTTTTTGGAAATATTTTTATTTCCCATATAAAAATTTGTGCTTTCCAAGAAAGACATAATAATATCCTGGTCCGCAATTATATGTTACTAGGAATACAATTAATTTCCAAGTCTCCCTGTCTCCCTGCAAATCATCAATGATAATTGAGGTGATGACAATATGTGTCTTTACATCAATAATATTGACCAACAACAACATTCACTGTCACCTGAGTTTTGAGGGAAATAAAAATGAAAAGCAACTCGCTGATAAAGCATGAGGTGAGAATGTAACAGTGATCAAACTTCCATACGTCACAACTACTAATCAAAAATTGTTTATTTAGGATTCCATTTTGCTGGGAATCGACAACGCCTACACAATTCAGAATGATTACAAAGCATATTATATCATTCGCACGATCTTCTCATGCAAACCAATTAATCGACCGGGAGGTTAAGCCAAGACAATGCGACTTCATATTACTGAGTGCATTAAATTAGTGGTGTTATCATGCACTAGTAACAGGGAGATTATTCGAGCACTACGAGGTTACTGATACCAAGATAATAAAAAAAATTCCTTTTGAATTCAGGCAGCATGTTATAAAATATAGAAAACGAGGAGTACGCGAAAAGGATGCGATAAAATATTAATCTAGCTGAGATGTCGAGGTTGTTTTATTTATGGTTCCTCCTTATATTGTACAGCTTCAGACCCAAAATAAATATTCATAACTAACTCACTGTGTTCAGCTTAATGCAAGGATGGTTTCAGACACACTTTATCACAAATGAATGTTTTCATCAAGTTGTTAAAAACATATCTCGAGTCTTGTTTTAAAAAAGTTTCTCCAAATAGGTGTTAAATCGTTCGATTTTGTTCGTCTCAGTACACTCCAGCCTATATCAAACAGATATTTTTCTTCGTTGGAGCAATAAATTGTCCGCAGCTATGAAGAATTACTACCGAAAGTTTAGTTCGTTCATATGACGTCGTCGATGTTATTAAAAAAATACAAATTTCCCTCTCCTTTTCACCTAGAGCTTTAGTGTCAACGAGATGTAAGGTTGACATTTTTGTAACGAGTGAACGCAATGATGATTAGGAACGTTGCGCGCACTTCCGATTTCATATTTTTCGAAAGAAATAAGAATAAAAAAATCGTACATCTCTTTTTGCATTATTCTTTCCTACCTTGGAGACGATCACCATTGTAAGCTTTTAAGATACAACCAACAAGGCTTGATGAGATAGCAAGATGCAATCAATCTGCAAACATATATTAACTGTCAGAAGCATCGATCGAAATAAATATGGCTGGTCTTAACATACAGGAAAGTAATACAACTACTGTTTTAAACTTTAGTAAACACATCTATTTACAGATTGTTCGAGATTGTTGGTGTTTGATAAAAGCGGAGCCCAAAAGAACTTTAATTCAATATTAGGACACTTACCGGCATTAGAGACACGTCGCTTGGGAAGCAACCATGTATTCCATTAAGAATGTACATACATGAAAAATCAAAGAATTATTTCAATAATCAATCTCTTCCTTCTAATCCAGAGGTTTGACAGTAGTATTCTATAAGCGAAAATAATTGTGTTTGTATTCAAGCAAAGTTATTGTTTGGATCAGACCTGCAGTGCCCCAGCCGGGCTGTGTTGTAATCACATGCAAACGAGGCTAATAAATATTTTCCTTCCGTTAGGATATAAGTGCAAGGCGGGAAATTATGTTCCAATCTAACAGCCAGTATCCCGGAAGCTCTTCCCTGGGCCCCCTCATCTTGGGGGAAAAAGAAATAGGACACCCTTAACCGGCAAGACTGGGGGAATGATTGTAATGTTAGAGGAATCAAAAGAACTGACTAGTCTGGCTTTTAGAGCCTTCGTTATCATTGTCCAGCAGAACACACTCTCGACAAAAATGGTGAGTGTATCTGCCATGTAGAAGTAAATCATGAGACCAGTTAGTCGCTACTCTCGCATTAACTGCTCAAATAAGAATTTAGGAACAATTATAGAAGGAAGATTTATAAAAAAGGGAAGCACAAGGTTACCTGCCCATACACCATGGCGCGAGCGAGTTTGTAAAAGGTGCAAGGCTTTCTTTACTGCGCTGTGAGAAATGAGATAGAGGAAGAGATAGAAAAAGCGACGGGCATATCATGAAATGCTCTACGACGTAGTTAAGTCCGGCCGGACGCGAAAGTCGCAATCCATCAAAGATTTGGTTTTTCAAAACAACAAAACCATTTTTAGCCACCTTAACTGACATAGGATAGCTGGATAGCTGGATAGCTGGATAGGAAAGCTTTCGAATGCGACGCTGATCCGAAAGCGACGAAACCGGACATATAGAAAAGCATTTTTCCCTGTGTAGAAGTGAAGAGGTTACCTCTTTGACAACGACAGAAAACAACTTCTTATCGTAATACAGCAATACAAACGAATTAATGTAATTGCCTTTATTGTTTTGTCTCACATTTCAAAGCAGGGTGGGACGAATTGTGATTCAAACGGTATCTAAATGATACGAGGACCCGTGTAGAGATATCAATAGATATGGAATGGTATCTCACTTTTTTAAAAAAAATACATCTCTTTTTCTCGGTGAAAAATCTAACAGGAAATATGCTGCATTACAATAATTACTGGTTGCAATCCTAAAGGATTTTGTCGTATCCACCTGTTTCAATGCGGAGTTAGTTTTTTCCCTATTGTAAATTTTACAAGTGCTTTCAAAAGTACTTCAAACAATTTGATTTAGGTATAGAAACTCCCAAATAAACTTAGCTGTCATATTTACTCTTATTTAATAGCCTATCATTCGCAGGTTTGATAAAACGTTCTAATTATCTCCAGTTCCTTGCTTCAGAGATTTCAACCTAAGAAACCCGCCCCTTATGAAATCCTCTTGTAGCAACAACGTGAGTCAGCGTCCTCGACGTGGTAGATAATTTCTCCAGTACGCCCAGGTAGGACAATTGCACACCTTCGGTAAGGTCTTCCTACATTGTGCCAGCCATTGATAAAATCAAGATGCTTAGTTTACTATCACAAAAGTCTAGCTCCTAAAATTTCGTTTTCCAATAATATGGCGATGCGTTCGCTAAGAATCTATCTTATTGCGTAGCGATAATATTGTTACATTTCCTTGCTAATTGTCCTGTATCCGATTACATCCTGGCAGCAAACAATGGAGTATAGCACTGCATGATGCAGATCAGTAACTGGTAACCATAGACGGAATGACGTGACGATCGGCTGTGATATGATCCAGTCAGATAATTAGTCATCTCCGCCAGCGGAACTTGGAGTTTTAAAATATAGCAAGAAATGATTGATGAGGTTATTCATTGTATCAGCTTGCACACTCCTGAAAGAGAAGGTCTGGGAACGAATTGTGTTCAGGACCAAAAGGGGATCCAGATACATTCCTTTCCTGAATACAAAACAAAAAGTTAACGTGAGTCATCCAATAGTTTATTATTGAGAAAGCAACATTTTCATGTACATGTAACCTTTTCCAGCTGTTTGGCATACGTTAGTCAGACAGTCATTCAGACAGTTAGTCAGTCAGTAAGTCTATTAGACAGTTGTTTCTTCGGTCAGTCAGACAGCTGGTCAAACAGTCAACTGTCCAACTTTTCACACCCCAACGCCGACAAATCGAGATCCTAAGCATTTTGGCGATAATTCGAAACCAATTGAAGTCTCAACCCTGCTAAACGACAAACTAGCCAGCTACTGGAACAACCTTACATAAAAGTTGTCCTGTAATTAAAACCTAGTTCAACAGAATAATCCAAAATGCCAAAGTTTCGAATTTTGGTTTGCTTAAATTTAACTTTTTCTAGCAAAAATTAATGCAAGGTGTTTTCATATCAAGGATCTCATTTAAAAGGACTTTTCCTTTTCTAAATAGTAATAGCGGAGGGTTTGAGCTCTCATGTTAAAGCATAAGACTTCTGTACGTAATAAGTGCTGAATCTCAATGTGTGTAACAAAGAGATCCCTTCTGAATCCACTAAGCATTCTACAGACCTTACACTGGTCGCTTTCTTGATTTGAGAGTATCCCATACTAAGTAAGGGAGGACTGTCAGGAGTTTCAGATGACAAAACTTGAAATCTTTTTGAATTGAAGGCGATTTTGACGGCGACTTTTGGAAGTTTTGGCCCCGATGACACAAATCCATCGAAAATTCTTGAGAAATCTCTGAACCAATTGCTGGCTGCATAACGTACGATGTCTTGTTGCACAACCTCTACATTAGATCTCTCTTGAACGCGGGAACTCTTCACAACGATAAAAATAAAGAGAAATTTTTATTTTGAATTTTTATGTTTATCACAATATCCACCATTACATCTAAAATTACTTTCCCTTTCCCTACAACATTCTTCGTTTTATGAACTTTAAACGATAATGTTATCTTTTATTATATCCATTTTGAAATCATTGGCAATCCTTGCAATCTTATCAGTGTGATTTACAAACGAATCGGATCTAATTTTAATTGCTCTAAATCGCATCCTTTTCCCAGCCAATAAGAAAGCAGCACTAAATCGAAACAACCAATCAGATTTCAAGGCCCATTTATAGTAACCGTAAAATAGCCACAATAATCTTTGAAACCTTTTCCCCTGAAAACCTTTCTTCTTCTTTTTCTTCTTCTTCATCCGTTTCCATTAAATTTACAATCCTCGTCTTCAAAGTAATGCTCACGATTGAACTCCAAATCAATCTACAAGAACACACATGTATTGTGAACAGGAAACTTACCGCATAAAAAGCTGACTTGACGTTACTGACAAGTTCGTCCTCTGAACTGTTAGCAAGTACAAATGGCGGAAAAGAAGCTTGGATAACCTCACGGAGTAAGTTTTCTTGTAATTCGGGACCATTCTCTATATAGTACCGTTTAGCCACAATTTTAATCATTTCCTGTTGCTGCAATTAAGAATGAAATAAGATCGGCCCTACAATTCACCAGCTATCTCAAAACGGTTTGTCGTTCGTACGAGTTGTGCTGCCGTAGGGGCATTGTGGCGGATGTCCTCTCTGGAGAAAAATATATTTGACGTGAACCTGCGCCGCATACGAGCGGAATAGTAGGGTTGACGACCGGCGATGGGTAACCTCCTCCTCGTAATAAATAGAACAAAAAAACCGTTTCGAAAACATCTGGGAAAGCCTCAGCCAAAAAAGAAAAGGAGGGATTCGGATTATGTTCATATCAGCAATGAGTACTCGGACATCCTTTTCCCGTTTGGTTCTTACCTCACAGATGTACTCCTCAGCACGGATCCCTCCGACAATCTGATGGTAGATCAGATTAGTGGCCACTTTGTCAATGCTGATATTTTCCGTGGGTGCAAATAAATCTTTTCGAAAGAATAAGTGCCAAGCACCAGACTCATTTAGAGTCTTAGAGCATGCATACTGCTCAGCTAAGGAGACGGCATCTAAAACACTCTCATTTCCACAGCCCCAGTTAGCAACCTGCGACAAAAAATAACAATCAACGGTGATGAACTACGTTTACACTTTCGATCAGGTCCCAATAGCATTTGATCGTAGACCTCGTCAATCTGTCTACAGCCGTTTTGTTTTGTTTTGTTCTGTTTCTTTTGGTTTTTTGAGCGACGAAGCGTGATTCCCGCTTGCGACACTGAGTGTCAGGCGTGATGGTGACTACTGAGCGGGCAGAAGAACAAATGATGTCCGTGGACATTCTTGGAAAAAAGACGCCTTTCAGGATTCTACCCACGTCATAACCTTACCTTAAACCTTGCCTTAAACACAAATGACTTGATCAATTTAATTTACAGTGTTTAAGATGTCTCGTTTTTACCAAAAACTTCTTAGCACTGGTCTAATCTACGATACCCGGCGAACCTAAAACTGTGAAGAAATGTGAAGGCCACAGTTAAGAAGCCTCGTTACGGCGTCTAACCTGATTCAATGCTTCAATGAAAACGGAAAATCCAAAGATGTCCTTCAGCCCCAGTTCCTCTTTGATAAGCTGGCACAGTTCAGCGCAAGTTGTGGCAGGATCCACTTCAAATACCTTCCTTGTTCCATCCATGAATATTACTGGCAGAGTAAGGGATGACTGCGATTTGACGGCCTGTGAATTAGATACCGACATTCCGTAAACTTCCACATCTTAGGAACTAATCCATTAGTTTCGGTGTGTCACCATAGCCCACAGGTTGGAATGTATTTAGGCTGCAGGAGGTTATAAAATCTCGGCAGATATGAAAGTGGTGAAACTTTCATTTAGCGGACACTCCCAAGAGGTTAAACATACTAAACCGACCATTACCCTTCTGCTAACTTGTAAATGACATTTTAATAAACTGAACAAATCTGTTAATCGTTTAAGATATCCTTAAATACGAAAAATTCAAAGGTAATTTTCTTGGAGTGTTCATTTGATAGGGGTGTCCACAAAATATTGCGATACATTACGAGCCATGCAGTAAAACAATAAAAACGGAAAGGAATTCACCGTCTTGATCACTCACCTCCAATTCAACAATTGTAGAAGGCTGTGTTCTTGAACCTATTTCAAGAGTTCTCTGAAGAATCGAGTAGCAATATTCTCCAAATTTACCGGGGCCTTGTTTTAGAAAGTTTCTGAGGTAATTCAGCAGCTAACAACGAAAAAATGATTAATTTAGTTTGCAGCAAGCGGAGGAAAATACAGAAAAAGCGATTACAGTGTCAAGACAGCACCTCATCCGAAGGCGGGAAAACGCCAACACAAAGGGCCAATAGAATCCATCCTCGGGTATAGCTTGTTGGAGAACCATTGTTTACTAGTTGGCGGCAAATTTGGCAGTAGATTTCATCCCTGTAATTAGATTAAAATGATAAGGATGACAAGCAGCAAAAAGCGAAAACAGATTTTCGTCTTTCTTGCTTTCCTTTCTTTCTGGGGATAAACCGAAAGTCTACACAAAAAAAAAAAAAAAAATTAAAGTAAAATAGTTTCCTTTTAGTTTTTCAGCTCTGAATGTTGTCGTGACCATCGATTGAGCTGGAATTTTCTTAAAAATAAACAAAAAGACTGTCTACGTAAAACGCCTTCCAAAAAGTCTGTCTACGTATTCCAAAGCTGGTGATAAACTGTATTTTCTCAACGTTTGTTGTGGGACGATTCATCATGATTAAAGGTGGAATGTCGTGAGATGTAAAAGACATCTGTTGGGTCTAAAAAATATGTATCAACATGATCTTAAGAATAAATCCAGATCGAAAAACTTAAAAAATCGGACAAGGCAATGAGTAGCTATTGGGAAACATAACAGGTCGCACTCAGCCACTACAAGTTTTTTGAATGAATACGTAGCTTGCAATTCTTTAGAAACTATTGCAACCAATCCTTTATTGACCAAGCTTGTTCGATGGTAGTTAAGCACATTTATTGTAACAAGTTCTCCAGCCATCGCTAGCTTTTTCGAAGTTTGTCGACTTAAAAAAAGGTAACAATCAATGATTTCTGTGGGTGTCGGGAACAATCCCCTTCACACCCGTTGAAAACAATCCATTGCCATTCTGTCAATCATATTGGTACATTGAGTGGGAAGCAGAGGGTTTCAACAAAACAAATTAAGATAATGGGGAGTATAGAGTCCTTTCCCTGGTGAAGTATAACCAAGAGATTATAAACTGTTTATATTCTCTTGGCATAACTGAGTGCTTGCTCCTTTTCACCTTCTCAGAGACAACCTTCCTCTTGAACGTGGTTCCTGATGCATAGGCTTTGTCAATTGGCTGTGGCGTCTCTTTTACTTCTGAAACCTTTAAAAAAACATGAAGTATTTCTTTTCTGCATATTATTTTACTGCTACTTTATAAGGGAGTATTGTGATACGGTACGAAAGAAATAAAATGTGCATTACAGCAACAAGCAAGCTTTAATTCGCGACAAATAAATACCATAATGTCTTCTTCGTCGAATTTTGGTTCTCCCATATCCCTCATGAATCGCAATATGGCGACAGAAATTGCACAGGACGCCTTTAAAGTAAACAGGAAATAATAGTATGTCATCAAATAAATCATGGATAAACGAAAAGATTATGTGAAAATATCCAGTTTTATCACTTATATATGTGACCTTAATTTTCATTTGATTGATTTAGTTTTAATATCCTGACTGCAGCAAAATCTTCCGAAATGTGTTGACCAGCTGTGGAATTTCATACTACCATTTCTTACATTCGAGCCGAAGTCATTTAATTAATTCCAGAAAATTCTGATAACTGCACGCAACTCAACCAGTTTACTCCTCGGGCTAGAAACGTATCTCACGGTCACAACTGTGATATCTACTGGGTGCCATTTTAAAATGGAATCGCTATCGTTATTTTAACACATTTATATTCTGCCTAATGATCGATTAGATCAAAATGGTACAAGTGATTGATATGCATTACAAGTAGAAATTGTTACCTTCCTGTCATCGATATTGTTGCAGTGTAAAAGAGATGACGTAAGAGGTACTCTTGAGAACTGGCATATTTCTCCATTTTGAAAATTGCTTTTGGCAAAACTTAGAAAATCACAGCTTGACAAATCATCAGGTTCCAGCATTTTCTGTTTACCATAACAAATAAAAGAAAACAAAGACTGCGTTGTAAAACTGACGTCATTGGAATGGACTGATACAATTTACAAAATCAATCAATTGGAGCGAGCAAGCTAGCTGTAAATGTTATCATAAGTCTTAGGAAAGGCCTGAGCACAAGACTAATGGACACTGATTATTTCTGACCTGTCTGTGAGGTTCCATCCTGTTTGGTCCTGTTGTTGAAGTGTGGAAAAAGATACGTGTCTCACATTTTAACCAACACCTGAAAAAATTAGTTAATAAACGAACCAAAAAACTAATTTAAAAATCTTCGACATCTGATTCGTCAATTCCTATAAAAGTTTATAGAAAAAAAAAAGTGTTTGCGAATCTTTTTAAACTAAACCTTGCTTGTTATGCTTCATTTGCTATAAACAAAATGGCTGCTCTTTAATCGCTGCTCCTGTATTGGAACTGTTTGGCCATTTAACCAAACGACATAGAGCTTTTGTTTCATTTAAGGCGAAGGTCGTTATTTGAGATGACTCAAAGGCGACTAAGCTGTGTTAAAACAATCAGAGAATACATCTGCGTGTAATAAACAACGAGTTAAAATTCTTCAGGAATTCTCTATGCTATAATTTTGTATGCAATAATTTTACAAATAATTCTTTAATTCCGCTATATTACCGTGTGACTAAGTTATCTTACCTGGATAAACGACTTTACTTCCTTTTCTACTCTTTGGTCGAAGTTGATACTTCTGTAAAGTTCAACTTCACATCAGCGACATGAGCATGTTATTGTGACAATCGGGGTTTGAGGTGTGAGCCTGTTCAGAATCACAAAGAATAAAATGCTTTAGCGGTCACGCAGAACAGAACATTCCGGAATAAATTTGGAGCCGTCACACGCTAATTAAAGAACAATTCACTCTTAAAAGTAATAACAAAGCCCATTTCTACTGCACTTACTTGATTCTTGAGACAGACATTTCTGAGACGGCACTGTATACCAGGAATGCCACAGCAATTCCAGACCCTCCCGGGCCAATGTGTGAGAATAAGACAGTAATTCATTTCCAGCGCTGACTCCGAAGGCGGCCACCCCAGGATGTGGCTCACCCACCCCCCAAATATTAAAAAATGCAAATATTCATTGCATTCCATTCACAAATAACAAACTGACCAAGAGAAACACTCCAATAATAATTGGGTGAACAGACGTTAGCAAAAAAGCATGTTTCTTTCTATTTTGATTTAATTCTCAACCAATTTGATCATATTCGCCTTCTAACTATAACCCTTTTGTGACCCTTTTGTGTATTGGTCCAAACACCAGCTTTTAAAACTGGTCCGCTATTTTTGTAACTGATTCCGCATTGAATACAAAATGTACATTATTCACTCTGCTCAGTACTTAATGATCAAAGATAGCTATTCGCGAATTATTCCTGCTGCCTTTTAAAGAAATTTCCATAGATCAAAATATCAGTGACATAATTCCCGAAAAAATGGCTGGCTAACATTGTTCAAAATATCATTGGCGTCATTTGCGAAAAATGAACGGCTAATGACGTATGAAGGAAAGAAAACAGCAGAGAGATAAAAGGAAAGAAATAAAAAGCTTGGAAGAAAAAACTAAATAAAGAAAAGAAATAAAGAAAGGAAAGAAGGAAGGACGAAAGATGTGTAGAAAGAGGGAAAGGAGAATATAAGAAATCTAGAGGTCTTAACCGCTTTGTCAGTAGGAAACAGAGAAGTTAGAATTGACTTTTTAATATCTTTCTCCATTTTTTATTAACTCTCCTTTCATATCAGACAAGGAATTTTCTCTCCTGTTACTTAAACGTAGAATTCCGTCAACGAACCCTGAATACCAGGCGCTCTTCGATTAGTTGAAAATCTCACAGGTCAACTCAACTCCCGTCTTAAAAATTCACATTTTTTCACTGATTGTATATTTTGGAATCAAATTTGTCACAAGATCAACAAGCTGTTTTATTGGGCGCGAGTGGAGGCTTATCTACACAACGGTAGGTCATATGTTGTCTTCATGTTTAGAATAACCTGTAGAAACAATTTTTAATTAACGATTTGGAGGGCCTTTGGGGGAGGAATTCATTAATAGCTAAGTTTCTAAGCTTACAGGCGACAGTGCAAACTACATGTGTCAAGATACAAAATAACACACAGGTATGTTTACAACTCAATCTTTAGCCAACCAATAATGAACTCAGCCATGTAATTAATTTGGTGCAAAGTGTCAAATTTGATTTTGATAATTGTATCCGTAATTTGTCGATCCATTTGCTCTGTGGTTCATCTGTAGTTCATGATTTAAAGTTGATTTGGTTTATATCGATGGCAGTTCAGCTGACGCATTTGTATTTTGTGTGGGTTTTTCTAGTAGGCTTGCAGTCGTCATCAACACAGAAATCAGGTGAGAAGACTGTGATTTTTGCCATCAACCTAAGGATTCAAACTCTTTCTCTTTTTGCTGAGTCTGATCATAGTACTCGTCAGTATTGTACGTCACTGCCAAAATTTTCCATTTCTTGAGCAACTGTTTATATTCCCCTTAATTTGACCTCAGTAGGTGGTAATAATGAATACAAACGGCGCAAAGGAACCTAGTAAGAGCTGATAACCGTAATTCCATATAAAATTACATGTTTTGTTGGCTTAACAAGCTGGTGTCCACCCCTCTAATCAAACAGAGGACTAACTAATGTTTAGTTCGAAAAGTAAAAAGCTGCACCATTTAAAAGTGGTTTCTTGGAATTAGTGATTTTTTGGAATTACTTTAACAAAATATGCTATTGTGAAAAATCGTTCTGAGTCGTATGTAATGTCCACCTGTAAAACCTGCCAACAAATCAAACAAGTTCAAGAATACTTTACGTTTTGCAAGTTGTTTTTCATTTCAAACGTAGCATTTATTTGACGAAAATTTCATGGTCCACTAAGGCTAATGACATGAAGATAACAATGAAAACAGCATTAAAATTTGTTGGTCATGTTTTGTGGTCAGCTTTAAGAGTACCATCAATAATTTATAAGACGAGGATTTCTAGGTATCAATTCAGTTGTTAGGTGCCAAATTAAACATATTTCCTGTGTAATCCTCCGGATAAGTGTGTCTAATTTTAGAAACTTTTATACTTTGATTATCAAACCTAACAACTCTTTCGTCCTATCCCTGTCGCCACTTTCTTGTTACTTAGTCGCTCTCCATGTACAGGTGTCATTGTTTTGTTCGGTCATCGTTCAAATCTTACGGCCGTTGTTGTTGTCGTCATTATTTACTGGTTTCACGAATTCTGCTATTTTTGTTTATCCGTTTTAAGACTAATGTTGACTGAAGCGCGCCTTTAATTGACATGTCGAGTTCCCAAAGTTTCCGTCTCTTCTCAATTTTACCCCTCCCATTTTAATTTCATCTGAGTAGAGAGACGTTTTTTGGACAAAAAATTCGAATAGGTGTAAGGTTTAGTGGTGAATTTCTTCTCGCGGAGAGAAATGTTCGTGATGGGGACGAACTTGAAGCAGGCGGCAGCGCAATTGGGCGAACTGACATCCGTAAACCGATGATAACAAATGGAGTTTAAAAAGAAGTAGTGGAATGATAAGCAATTTATCAAAAGGTTTGGAGCACAGAATCACTGACAAATTCATTTCGTGAAAAGACTCGTAACTAAACACTAAAATTAAGGTAATTATAATCATCCCTTCTACGGATGTAACCAACAGATATTTGTTGTTTTGACTGTTCAGCTTGGTTCATGTCTTGAAGTGTGTAGAAAAGGGAAAATATAGGGTAGGAGGGAACCATGGTTTTCGTTAAAGGAGGTTTACATAATCATTAGCAGAGAAGACTTTTGAAACAAAGAAAAAGAAAAACTTTGATCGGATTTTTAGGTGACAACGATAGATATTACTTCTAGTAGAAGTATTTGATAATTGGTAAAATGTCACACCTAAAGTGCGTCCTAAAATTTGGACTAACATACAGGTAAGCGATGAGATAAAATTCCTCCCCCTAAAAACCTTTCAAGGAAAAGCTGAAATCTATTCTTATTGAAAAGTTTTTTCCTCAGACATTTTTCTAATTTTCTTTTGCTGTTATTCCTCTCGCTTTTATTTTTTTTCTTCCGCTTTTTGTGTTTTGGGTAGGTGTGTTTGAACGGCTGGTACCTGACCCTAACATAGTATCAATCAATTAAATACCTAAGAGCGGCTGTCCTATCTTTCTAACCTTTAATGGTTATTAAAGACAGCTTGTACTCTCTGTGTAGTTTATAATTGCTGCAATCTACTTGTAACTCTTGAGGACAAAAAAACTCATCGTTGTTCTTGTTTAAATTACTTTTTCAATCCTCTAATAGGAAATTTATTACTCTTACTGGTTTTTCCGTATGTGAGAACTTAATCGTTGAAGTGGCTCGCTTAATGCGACTCCTGACAAATTTCTATTTCGTTCGTAGGAAAATTATGCAACTCACCGCTGGATATCATAATAGCTTTGGATGCGTCTGGTAGTGTGCTTAAAGAAAACTGGGATAAAAGCGTAGATTTTGCCTCGCAGCTCGGCAAGAAGTTACTTTCCTTGAATGCAAAAAGTCGCATAGGAGTCATTGACTTCAGTGAGATTGCTAATGAGGTTATTGAACCATCCAGCGACCAAAAGCTTTGGGAATGGAAGTTAAATAACCTGAAAAACAATTATCAAAACGGAATCACGAGAACAGAGTTAGCCCTGAAGAAGGCGGCTGAAATATTTCAGCGAATCGACCGAACTTTCGCGAAAAAACTGCTATTGATATTGACTGATGGTCAAACGACACCACTAAACTACAAGCAAGGAAAAGAACTAATTCAGGAGCCTATGGCCAGCCTGAGAACCATAGGGGTACATGTGATTGCTGTAGGTGTTGGCATGTTGGTTGACAGTGAGGAGTTGAACATTATGGCCTCTGAACCGACAAATGAAAACGTAATTTATTTCCAGGATTATGTTGAGGTCCTAAATATGGTGGATTCAATAACTCGGGTCGTTTGCTTAGCAGAAGGTACAAACCAAGCGCTATACTTTGTCCTAAAATAAATTAGACATATAGAAATTTGAAAGAAAAATTCATCTTTTCAATTCTTGTTTTTTTTTCTTGATAGATACTTATATTGATTATAACTTGTAGCACAAAAGTAAAAAAGGGTAGCACATTATACAAATGAACTTTATGGTATTGATAACTGAATGATAATGATGATGTCTAATGATGAAAAGAAGCTCTAATGCTAATAATTATCCCTATTTTATGATAAATCTTCGAGAACCCCTAACTGCATATCTGCCATTCAACATGTTTGTTTCAGAGCCCCAGTCCGCCGAGTCTCCAGTGCCGTATGTTGCTGCCGTCGAACCTGTCAGCTCAAGTAAGTATGCACATGCTTCTTTTAGATATAGAATTTAAACCAATGAAAGTAACAGTATCATAAAACTACGGCAAAGCTCGACGATTTTTTTCAGAAAGTGAAGTCTTGAACTTACGTCATTTGTGTCACCCTCTGGATTATCTTACCATTTGATCTTGCTCATGTTGTTGTCTACGGTTTTCTTTGGAATCATAAGCCTCTCGCTTTCCTCTCCTGTTTGTACCCCGTGTTAACTATCATCTCTCAGTATAGATTGTACTCCTTATTTACCTATAATTCACTCCTATTGGCGTATATATGTCTGTCATACTTTTTTTCGATTAGGCTGCGATTAAGCATCAACTCACTTTTCACACTTTCTCAGTAAACGACATATCCATACCAAATTTACTCCAAAATCAATGAAGACGACGAGATCCCATCCCCTGCCACCCTTCGAGCGCCATATTAACATGAATTAAAATTCTTCGCGCGATAAATAATCGTTGTTTTCGTACTTGTTGTAATCTGTGAATCTTTTTCCTCCAAGTATGCATGTTTCATTCACTAAATAAATTTTCCTAAATTCATCTCCTAGTTAATGGTGTTAATATTTTAACAAGAATATTCTGGGAATTTTTGGTTATGAAATTGGTTTTTCTTTTTCCTCTGATGTAACAGCATGTCCTGCTAAGTACACTAAAGTAGGCTGTTTTAAGGATGACATGAAACTCCCACGCCCTCTTCCAAAGTTGCTTTTCACCGACCGCGACTCAGCGACTAAGAAGTTTAGTGGTAAATCAGTCGACTGGCAGGACTGGAATTCTTACATTAACGACCTCGTCTGCCGTTGTGCAAAGGAAGCAAAAGTTCGCAATTATGCATATTTCAGTATTCAGTTCTACGGTAAGTGACATAATCATCCACAGAATTGACACCAAGGTCTGACGCCAAATACAAAAAAAGATGAGTCCTTGTAGGCCATGAAACAAGCGAAATTTCGGGTAAAGTTTGGCGGTCTTGATAAAAACCCCTTGCTCGACATATGTTCCAAAATTGTATTAGTTTTTTAGTGCAAGCCTGTCATTTGAAAACCTTTTCTTCGTGCTAAACTGGTTAATTCTTGTTCCAAAGTTTATTATTTCAAGAATCATTAGAACTCAAACACGACATATTATTTCAATTTAAGGTTAAGTAACTTATTTTCTCTACAGGCGAGTGTTGGTCTGGTCCACAGGCGCAAGAGACGTACAACAGGGCTGGTGCCAAAAATACATGCATTACGAGTAATTTTGAGAAGTGCGATGTTTCTGATTCAAAGATATGCGTTGGAGAAAAGGAAACCAACTTCGTGTACGAAGTACAAAGAGCAGGTAACGTAAAACAGGACATCTCGGTAAGAGCTAGGAGTATATAATTTTAACAGTTAAAATAACATCATGTTAACATGATGTTGAAAGCAAGAATCTCATTGCCGGTGATAGATTCACACCAAGAGATTATTATATTCTTGGTTCCCACCAAATCTACTTCAGTGAAGAAAAATGGAGGGTAACCAAAATTAGGCAAGGTAACACGCTCCTGGAGGATCACCCTGAGCCTGCATAACAATTTGGTCACAGAACTGCTAATTCAAGTTCGGTCTTCTGCAACGGTAAGGATGTGTTGGCTAACAGTCTATCATGTTTTTGTCATAGTCACATATGTATACATGTATGTCTGTCTGTCTGTTTCTGTAGTATGTATATATGAATGTACGTATGTATCTATGTATGTATGTAGTGTCCATTTTTAAACGATGTCTTACCTCAGTGGGAGGCTATTTGCCTTACGCACTTTCTCTTTTTCTTGTTGGAAGAGGCTGAGCCAATTATATGCATACATGTATGTCTGTCTGTCTGTAGTATGCATATATGAATGTACGTCTGTATCTATGTATGTATGTAGTGTCCATTTTTAGACGATGTCTTACCTCAGTGGGAGGTTATTTGCCTTACGCACTTTTCTCTTTTTCTTGTTTGAAGAGGCTGAGCCAACATGTGGAGTAGAATATCACAAACTCGGATGTTTCAAAGACAACAAAAAGGGCCCTCGGCTTTTAAATAAACTCATATTAACTGATCGCGATTCCAAGTCTCCTGTTTACAGTAATATTAAGATAGACTGGGGGAATTGGAACGCGTACTTGCCAAAGTTAGCATGCAGATGTGCGGAGAAGGCTGCAGACAACAAGTTCACCCATTTTGGCTTACAGTTTTACGGTGAGGAGGTTTAGTTTTGAACAATATTATAGACAAATGTTATTTTAACGAAAACTTTGATAGGTGGAGAGGTTGGACCCAGTTTGGCTTGTTAGCTCAGTTGGTAGAGCACTGCACCGGTATCGCAGAGGTCATGGGTTCAAATCCCGTACAGGCCTGAAGTTTTTCAGACTTTATTTTCACTATTGCTCAAGTAGTGTTCATTACTGCGAAGATCGCCTTCATATTCACGTCTTTGTCCGCAGTTCAAATCCATGATTTTCATATATTCACAATCAAGTATTATTTAAGTAGCAAGAACTCAGTTGACTAAGGTTATTGATCACCATAAGTTTTTGGATTTTACCTCCATAAATAATGTGAGCTTCCAATGGTAAACGACTTCAGGGAAACTCTAGTTCCTTAAGCATATACCTATAGAATGACACATTCTATATGATAACACTCATGCATGTGAACTTGTTTTACTTCTCCTGCGAGTGCTCTTGTATATTGCTCAACTGCTCTCGCAATTGAGTTAAATTGCTGTCATTGCCTATGAAACCTGTATAGCAGAACTTGTTCACCTCGAAGTTTGATGGAGATTGAAATATCCAAGCATTGCTTGAACGTTCATATCAACTTTTCTCTGGGCATATCCTTCTGAATAGGAGAATGTTGGTCAGGCCCAGAGGCCGCTGAAACATATAACCAACTTGGTCCTGCTTCAGCAGACAGCTGTTTGACCAGCGACTATCAGCCATGCCCTGAGGATCCAAAATCTACAGACATAGAGTGTGTAGGAAAACTCTTCGTAAACTATGTTTACACCATTATAAAGAGTGAAGGTAATATCGTTACGTGCAGTATAGCAGGCGTTGCTTTTACAGAAATTACTAAGCAGATATGCTTCTCGTTTTACCATTTGAACGGAGAAACTCACAATTCCTTTCCACAGAATAAGGTAGGTGAGTTCTCAAAGGAGGATAAGAGGAGGATAGGTGATAAGGTAGCCAGTTCTCAAAGGAGGATATATCAAAATCTCAATGGAATATTACACGTTCGTTGATAATGAATTCTTGCCCTAAGTTTGTAAGGCTTTCAGCATTGCATTCTTGAACAGAAAGTCCGCAGTCAGTCAAGTTAATGAATCTTTGTCGTTTTCGTTAATATATTAACTTAAGGTTTAAACAAGTTACCAATTAGAGTGGATAAATGAATAAATGAGCCCTGTAGAGAATAGGTATCGACGTGGATCGTGCTTCAGATGCAAAAAAAAAAATGTTGGCACTTTTCCAAGGAATAAACTGAGTTCTATTTAAGATGTCGAAGGACTGTGATTACCAGGTAGCATGCAGACAAACGAGTGAACCACAACAAATGGACGATGGAATTTATCCTTACTCTTGATCTGAATAAGATAAAAGGCCCATGCTATGGTCTCAGCTGGTTGCTTCTCATAACTCAGCAAGTACGAGCTCGAAAATCAGTCGAGCTGTCGTTACCTAATTTCAGTCTATTGATAACTACTTTAATTTAGTATAATTTACAGGGTTTTATTAAAACCATCCATTAACCACTTTGTGACCTCTTAGGAATATGTCATACCATTGTGGTTTTTGGGCTTTTTCAGATGCACGTTGTTCAGTTCCTTTTAAACCTGTTGGCTGCTTTAAGGATAATCAGAAGAAGAATGCTCGACCACTCGGTGAACTGCTTCTTACATATCGCGACCGAAAAAGTTCCAAAAATAACGGAACTGAAATTAATTGGGGAGAATGGGACGTTTACTTGTATGAGTTGGTGTGTCTCTGTGCCGAGAAGGCAAAGGAAAAGAAATACTCCCACTTTGGGTTGCAGCATTACGGTAGGTGAACACGTGCGACAGAACACACTTGCATAATAAAATCACTGATACGGGTTTTTTTTCAAGCCCTAATTTTGCTTGACAAGACATTGTAACGTAGAGGAAGGTAGCTGAAAAATTACCGTCCAATTTGTAAACATTGTAGCTAGTGACTCTGGATAGCTTCGTATAGTTAATTCATATAGTCAGAATTCAGATATCATCTTAAAACTTCATATAAATGTTTGTTTCCTTAAACCTAAACACCAAAACTTTTAAGATCGCATCGTTTATTCATCTAAAACATGTATATTTCCATCAGTTAAAGAACAAAATTCCACGTGACGTTCTATTCTCGCTGGATCCCCTGAATCCTAAAACCGACAAAAAATTAATCCTATTACACTCTATTTCCCACAAAATATATTCTCTGCTAGGACCCAAAGTACCGGCTACTGTTTGATTCAAAGCAATTTTTATTGTTCCTAAGGTGAGTGCTGGTCGGGGCCTGAAGCAGGCGAAACATTCAGCAAGGATGGACCTTCAGAGGCAGATAAATGCATTGGTCGAGGATTTAAAACATGTAACGCCTTGGTTGATGACATCTGTGTGGGAAGGGAAAAGACTAACTTTGTCTTCTCTCTTTACTAGTACGAAGAAAATTAAAAAATACAGCAATCAACAGGCTAATTTAAAGTGTCAAGTGGTTTATGTTGGATATGGCTGGAACCAGAGAATACAAACAACTTAATTGCTCTTACTTTTCGGAAATTCAAAACGGTCCGATTTATCTGGCAAATTAAAACCTTACGAGGCAGTCCGATTCTTGCATCCACCAGCTTTCTTTTGTCATAGGCAATTAGAGGTCAGATAAATTGCGTGTGAATTGACTGATGATATTAAAATCTTTACCGAGTGTGAATTGCCTTAGGATCGTCGGATCAATATCAGTATCTGGGCAACTGCCCACCTACCCCTCCCCTAACCCAACATTAACCTTAAGTTGTTGTCAATTGACTGTTGTTGAGTTAGGGGAGGGGTAGGTGGTTGACTCAAATAACAAATAACCATAGTTTCTGATGCTTAAAGATTAATAAACCCTAGCATAGTCAAATCAACAGCAGCGTGATATTTCCTCATTTTACGATATGAATAAAGGACCTCTTTAGGAAATAATGTAGTAGTCATTTTTTATCTGGGCACCGCCATTTGGATCGTGTGGCGTTTCATAGTTTCCACTATTGACTATAAGTTCCTTTTAGGAATGCTACAAACAAAGGACTCGAACATCAGCCTACAATGATCAAAAAAATGCTCACTGAAAGCCTCTTTTTGAAGCTCTTGAAATGCTTTATTTCTATTAAGACTGAACAAATCAACCTTGAAAAAAAAAACATATCGCAAAAAGCCTTGAAACATAAAATCTATAACATTCTCCTTACTTCATTCATCTTGATGAAAAGGAATCGTTCGAAAAAGTAACCGTTTAAGGCCGCCTTATTCCGCTATTGTTCTCAAGAACTCTCATTTCGTCACCTTGACCAAACCGAACGAAACCAAATTCAAACTACACGCGCTCGGTGGCCGCCGAAGCGAGTTTCCTAAAGAGACTACTGAGCCCACAAGCCAAAATATATAGCCGGATTACCCATTTTGGAAGTGGAAAGGCATGCTGGCTTTTTCGGGGTATGCAGTTTCTTTATCTTAATAGACTTCGGACATTTCTTTGCATGACCGAGCTATAATGCCGTCTTAATCTGACGTAAGTCTTGGATCTGTCAGACAATCTTACCTTATCGAAGTCGAACGGGTCACGCCCCGTGAAGAAAAAAGTTTCCATTACCTTAATACAAGTCAAAATGGTTGTTTTCAACGCCATAGTGACAAAACTGTTATCCACGTCGGGATTACTCTCTGAAGAACATGATTCTAAACAGGGTGCTTTTTGTTATGTCTAGTAAAATATTGTATCTTTCTGTCTCTTTTGGATTTGATCGAGACTCGCTGTTACCGAGAGAAAATGATAAAACACTATTTTCTATTGCTATTACTTAATATTTCGCCTCACCCTCATACACTCACTACGGCGAGTCTATCAAACGATTTAATGATTGGTCGGGAGTTTTCCTTACGGACCGTTTCCACGGAAACGGTCATAAACCGTGTATTTTTGTTTTCTAAAGCCGGCAAATTCAAATTAATCAAGTTTGGTCGAGTGCCATATGATAAACTACTTAGTCACCTCGCTTGCTCTACTGGGTCTTATTAGGGATGATTGGCCCTCCGTCGTTTTTGCACGGACCCCGCTGCACTCGGTCCCGACTGCCACGACCTTGGGCCAACATTCCCCACTGCGGCCCTTGCGCTTGCTCAGTAAGAAGTAAATTTGGTACAAAAAGATGTATAAAGAAAGGTTGATTAAACTGTAACAGACAGGTTAGCCGGTCACGAGTACCCTCCTCCGGTAGTTTTGTTCGGTTGTATCAGCAGTCTAGTTGTATGTTGTTATGTAACCGAATTTGTACTTTCCGACTGCCGACAATCTACCCGGTATAAATGGCGCTAAATAATCTTTAGCCGGACTAAATTTTTTGTTCATTAAACAGAACGGAAAATTTCAGGCAGCGTTCGTTGGACGCACTATGGTAGGTTATGTGCCTATGGGCAAAAATATGTTTACGTAATATTTGAGAAATTCACTGGTCCATGACAAACTGACAGTTGGAAAACATCAGTTCAATTTATGAAATCTCCTGAATGGCAATATTGAAGTATATCTAATATGAATGCATCATTTTTTCTGGCCTTTTTATTTACATATCTATCAATATCAGGAAAGTCTGACGCTGATTTCGGTAAAGGTATGTTTTGATAATTAACGAAAGAGAAGGTTTGTGCTTTCTCACTTTACATGTACTGGACACCCCCTCCCTGAAATGAATAACAGAAAATGAATAACAGAATGTCTCTGGCTACACTGACACAATAACAATTTCTCTTCTATTAATAATTTGGGGAAAATGTTTCCATAAGCTTGGTTTCTTCATCTCTATTTATCGTGATTAATGTTCATTCCACTTCAAGCTAACATTGTTGATTTCGATGGACTTATATATAGATTCATTTCTATTGTCCCTCTGGAAAATATTGTTTTGAAATCATGCAAAGTAAGAGTTAAAAGAGTAACTATTGAAGTTCATAAATGGGGAATAACTATAATTTATCATCTCGCTCACTCTGTTTTAGATTGCGTGTGGAAGATAATTTGATATTCTTGTCAGCAGAAAAGCGTTAACTATTCATAAATCTGATAAAATCTGTCACCATTTTTGAACAAGCGTAGGAGTTGTAAAGAGAAAGAAGAATGAGACGTAATCAAAGAGAGATCTGTAGTAAATTGACAAATCCTTCAAGTTAGTAGGTTCCACAGTTTTTGCAACCCTTTGTCGTTGTCAGACAGCCTTGATACTTGTTTATCCGCAGCTCGGTAACTTTAGATTGCAGGTGTTAAGATTGTTGGTTGTCCCTTAATATGCCAAACCGCAGGGCATAAAGATTTAGCTTAATCAAGGAGAAGTCATCATTTAAGGCCGTGAAACGTATGGGTTTATATGCAAATACTAGTTACGGTGAACTTTACATGTTTAAAAAAATGGTCTCGAATAACAAAGATAATTCTTCGACTTTTTTCCTTGATGTAGACTCTCGTCAATAAAACTATTCCACCCCGCTGATTGTGGCCATGACAAATTGCTTTTATGTGACTGGTTCCTCGTAACCTTTTGGTGCAGGTTGACCGACTTTTGCGAGCCGAAAGAGTTTGATTTAACCCTTCTGATTACACAATTATAGACCATATAGATTACACTCGGGAGGACGAGTTGTCTCGCCTTAACTGGTAAAGTAACCCTGTCAGGCGGGACAACTTATTCTTATCCAAGCACCTCAGCACACCTTCCTGACCCGAGGCTCAGGCAATGAGTATTTCTTTTTGGGTAAAAAGTAGCGCCAGGAAAATATTAACAACCATTGATAACACTTCGGTCAGACGTGGAAGCAAAAACTTAATACTGATTGTTAATCCTTTCCTTCGGTCTGCCATTTTGTACAAAATGTAACCTGCCAATCTGTCACTATCGTGACAGATTGGCAGGTTTCATTTTCACCCCACAGCTGGTGAGGGGACAGCTGTTATAACTCACAACCCTATATCAAAGCTCCGTTAAGTTGTCTCGAGGAGGAGCCTGGTTGCCTCGTGCACCTGAGACCATACAGATAGGGTTTAGCCGTCTTCCGCATCCTAAACTATAAACTAAGTTATGTTGTAACAAGCTTCCTGCATGTTGTTAGGATCAGCAATGTTAAATGCGTCGTTCAGAAAATGAGATAAGAAAGATGGTTGAGTTTGAGCTCGTTCATGAAATGAACTTTCCTTTCCATTTCATGAGCGCACTCAAAATTTACCGTCTTTCATATCACGCATGTTTAATTCTCAACGTTAGTAGAGGCAATGATTCAATCAATGTGAGAAGGGAAGTGAGGATGGAAAATCACTAATATTTATGAATTTTCACCATTACCGAAGCACTAAATCTAATGAGACTTTTCATTTATTTTTTAAAGAAAACCCAGCAAATTCTTCCTCTCTACCCATGTCTGTTTCGTGGTCGGAACCTATGTGGAACCAATTTAATGCATACCAAAAGACTGGTACCGGAATACCTGCTCCACCAACGACTCACAGCACTCCTCAAACTTTACCAGCACCGCAACTCAGAGGACAAGGAAGACCAGTAGCTGAACCAGTATCACTGCCTCGACGATATTCTGTGTGCCCTATGCCTACATGCAGCTTTCCATCTATTTGCGTTAAAGTAGCAGTTTATGCGACTTGTGTTCCTCCTCCTAATCCATCAGCATCCACCAACAATTCATGTTCCACACCTGGCCCATGCCTAACAACAGTTACCAAGACAGCGACTGACACAAAAACTTTAGTATCAACCAGCACTCAAACAGAGACAAGTACAGCGATTGCTACCATAACTAACACGAAGACAACAACAAATACAGCACTGACCACACAGACTCACACACAGACAGATGTTGTCACCGCAACTTCAACCTTGACCACTACAAATACACAAGTAGCCACCAGCACCCATCACACCACAGAAACAAGCACAGCTGTAACAACAAGTCACCTGCCAGTAACCAGCACGAAGACTCTGACAGCTACAAGTACAAGGATAGTAAACACTACTGACACTCATACTCTAACTACTACAGATGTGATAAGAACAACAGCAACAAGTACAAACATTGTGACGAGAACTGCAAACAAAACTAACACACACACCTTGACAACAACTAAAACAGACACAGTGACTAGCACAGGAATTACAACAAGCACTTTACTTACCACAGCCACTGCAACAAACACAGTTAATACCACTCATCTTGCGACAGAAACGTTAACTGAAACTCTTACCACAGTAGCAACCCAAACTTCAACTTCAACGTATAATGCAACAAATGTTATTACTGCTACAACAACATCTACAGCCACAGCCACCAGTACTGCTGTTTTGACGGCAACAAGCACTGCTAAGACAACGGAAACACTGACGGCAACCAGTACAGCAGTTTTGACCCACACTTTGACCAATACTCACAACCAAACTTTAACACAAACTAAAACACTTACGGCAACCTCCACGAGTGTGGTGACCACTTGTAGCGCTAGTTGCTTAACTGTGGGTAAGTGTACGTTTTTCCGAGACGGAGTGGTGGAGAGGTTAATACAGATTGGCCATGGTTTGATATTTTCTCTTAAGAAAAGAATGGCGAGGACACCTACGGATTTCGCTGTAGAGCTTTTAATTTTTGCTCAGATAATTTTAGCTGTATGTAATACAATTTACTCTTTCTGGGTATTTTTGGTCCTTACCATTTTTCCCCTCGAAGAGCTCGCGTCATATCGGCCACAAGCTCCAGCCATGTAATATGAATACAACAGTCAAACGTCTGCGCATGCGAACGTTGTCACTACTAGGTGGCGTGCTTTCAGGCTGCCAGTACCAAATTTATCTCACACGAGTTACAAAAACCACACAAGCTAGAAAGTCACGGTTTTAGAACTGCAAGAACTTTATTGATGTAGTCCAAAACGGTAAGGTGAATCAGCAGGATTGAATGAGCTTTGTGTTCAAAAAGTTACAGCAGTTTTGACACAAACGAGTTTCCTTTTCCCTAATTTATTTTCCTTTTAACAAATTTCTATAAAAGTCTTTTTGGCTCACAAGGCGAAACAGCAGTTATTTAATAGTACTGTTTTTTTCCTACTGTTTTCCTTTGCAATAATTCGCCGGAAACTGGTGCGTTTCCGGCTGTAAGGATCCCCTTGCGCATGCTCGACGTTGGGCCGCTGTGTTTATAATGCGTCACGATAGGATCAGAATTTGACACTGTAGAGATATTGCTTTCTGAGAACCTCACGTTGGAATTTTTTTTCTCCTGCCTTGAAGCCAAAGAGGCATTTTCTTTCCGGTTCGTACTTTTTTTTTATAAGTGGTACTTGAGCAAAAAACTTTTCCTTTTTTCATTTGCAGTACCTACTACCACTCCTTTGCCACCTACACCACCTACACCAAAACCACCAGGTAAGCTCAATGCTTAAGTACGAGGAAAAGGAATGTTAGTTAGTTGGCCAAATTTTTTTTGATTCTGAACGAATTGGTGGGAAACCTCAGACTTGGAAGGTTTATTCACGTTTATTCCTGTTTTATTTGTCTACAGTTTGCGAACAAGCGCTGGATATCGGTGTAATCATTGATGCTTCTGAGAGTGTCAAACTACCTAATTACAAGCTCTGTCTACAGTTTGTAGCTAACTTGACAGAACACTTTAAAGTGTCAAAGAAGGGAACTCATTTTGGAAGTATAGTTTACAGCAGTGATGCTGAACTGCAATTCAGCTTTAAAGACATTCAATATCACGACGCCGAAAGTCTAAAGAAAAAGATAAAGAGTTTTCCTTACTTGAGAGAGGGAACAAGAACCGATATAGCACTCGAACTTGCCAACACCCTTCTGTTTTCTGTGCAAGGAGGGGATCGGTTTGACAAGCCTGATGTCCTCATTGTTATCACAGATGGGTTAACGGATCCTGAAAGGAGTAAACCATACCCAGTGGTCTTAAAACCTCTTGAGGTAAGTATTGGTTCATTTAAAGCATTGTAGTACGACGTATCTGCTACGTGGAAGCACACTGAAGTGTGAGGGCTCAGTTCTTGATCGTAAGAGGAGGGGCCCCCATTTTGTATTCTTGAACCACTAAGGAAAAAAACTTGACTTCGAACGCAGAGTTGGCCGATAGGCACTGAGTAAAAGGGAGTTGTTACGTTACCTCTACCCTTTGTTATCAAATATAGTGCTGATTAATGATGTGGAACAAAGTACGAAAGAAAAAGGGGAATACTTCCGTTTATGATTGTATTAGCTGTAATTCAACAGTTGTGTATAATCTAAACAAGGGCAAGGTACCCATTACATGGTCATGCTGGTACTTCTCTTTCGAGCGTCCAAGTCTGTTGACATTGACATATCCATCACATAACGTTTAATTACCCTTTGTACAATTGATATGTTTCTTTCTACTTCTTGTTAACCACTGTCCCCATGCAGTTCATTTTTACCACACGCCTGGCCCTTTTTTTTTTAGTGGTGTAAATTCCCTTTCGCTTGCATAAGATCACAATGAAAAAAAATTTTGTAACTATTTGTCACCCAAATAGTGTGTTTACTTAGTGTTCTCCTCAGCAAGGGCAAATGTTTAATCTAGGCCAAATTTGTCAAAATGCTCATGCAAAATTTAAGAAATTCAGCTTATCAAAGCCAACTTGATCAATACGATATTTCTTGTCGCATCTGTGGAATAGGCACCTTTTACTAGTTCGTAGTGTGAGTAACGGACCGAGTTATTTACCCATTTGATGTCAGCGCTGAGCGCGAGCGGGAGGACAAAAAGAGATTCTGAGTTAAAACTGCCTCAGGTATTTGTTGGGACGTGCTGGTAAATCTGGCTACCGAAATTATCATGAAGTCGTATTTAAAACTAAGATAAAATAGTTACTCAAAGTTTCAACATACAAATTGAATGATAATCCAAATTGTTCGTATTCTTTTGGTATTTTCGTTCATCAAGGACAAATTGGAAGCCATGTATCTCCAGCCAGAACTCCATAAATTTGTTCTTTGGCATTTCTTGAAATTGCTGAAAAGTAAAGAATCACCTACCAGGGTTGGATACACTGCATGTTTCTTGATATGTAATAATATTCTCTCACTGAAGGGAAGAAAACCAGCATTGCGTCGCTTCATAGGATTGGGAGTTACAAAGATTACCCTCTCTATTTCAATGTTTTATTATTCAATCATAAAGTATCTTAAGGACATGTTCAATTTCTGATCATGTGACAGGATAAGAAGGTTGTGGTGATTGCAGTTGGAGTTGGAAAGGAAGTAAATAAACCCGAGTTGACGTCTATAGCTATGGGTGATGTTAATCACGTTTTTATGGTCGATCAATACACAGATCTGGTCAAAATCATAAATGCTCTTCTCGACAAATCGTGCTCTGGTAAGTTTTTTCGGTTAAAAAGAAAAGAACCCATAGATCTTTTAAGAATTTAAGATCACATAAGGTTAAAACAACCACACAATGTATGTTTAATTCTTCACGAAACTAGAATCTTGCCGAAATATTTATACCGGGTCGAAACAGCTCTAAAAGCTACTTTGGCTAGATTCCACACAATCTTGCATAACTCGAGAGAATCCCGTGGAATCAACGTTGGCATCTAATTTGTGGATATTTATTTCTTAAAAATCAGTGATGATAGAAAGAACTGGTAAACAGAGACATGCCTTGAAAAAAACTGAGAACTGTTGATCATATTCTTGCAGTCTTCGCCTGCTATATTATCAAAGATTTTTTTGGAAATTGTCATTGGGAAAGACCATATCATTTTCTTCCTCTTCTTTTCAAGTCTACTTCATGTTTAATGAGAGGGTGAAGTAATTTTTATTTGACCCACAGCTGCGACACAACCGAAAATGGTACCGTCAAAGGCTGTTGCACTTGTCAAGAATCAAGAACACTATGATGGTAGGCATGCCGACTGTAGTAAAGGTCTTGTTTCACACTAATTCTAAATAACCGGGTTCGCATGCTTTTGTTCAAAGCAAAGCAATCATCTAGGAGAAAAACCAAAAGGAACCATAATCTTGTTAGTGTTTGATTTTGCATGTCTCACATCAATGTTTAACTCTTGCTCTGAATAGCCGGTTTTTTCCTCTGTCAGCTGAAGAAGTTCAGAATTGAACGAGATATGTTGGTTAGCTATCCACCGATCAGTTAAGAATGTACTTTCCGTCTCTTTCCATTTTTAGGTGAGTGTCCTGTGCAATTCATCAAAAAAGGCTGTTTCAACGCAATAAAAAGTCAAAAGCCTTTGCCGAGATTGATGTTCACAGACCTCGACGCCAGAGACTCTAAATTCAGTGGTGTTCCAATAGACTGGGGAAGCTGGAACAGTTATCTGCAGAACGTGGTTTGCCGATGTGCTCAGGTTTCAAAAGCAGAAGGATTCTATTACTTCGGGGTTAGAAATTTTGGTAGGTTTAAGTCCAAAAAGACTCTTTTTAGTATCCTCGGCCTTTGTTTTCATCAAGGAAATCTCTATTCGAGTAACTGCCCTGAACAAGACTCTAGGAAAGAACATTATTATAGACGGGAATGAATTATCAGGGCAGGAAAAATATCGAAGAAACAAAGAACGTTGAGCAGCCGCGAATGAAGAGTAAAAAGGACGAACGATCGTAATATGGAACGGCGCACAGATGTGATATGAAACGAACAAAGGGTGAACGAACAGTGACAGATTTGTTGCAATGTAATATGGGACGGCGCACAGATGTGATATGAAACGAACAAAGGGTGAACAAACAGTGAGAGATTTGTTGCAATGCTAGATACTGGACTGAGAAAAATTGCTCGAGGGCGACCAAAATACTGTCCATATATGAATGATCTTACAGTCCTTACAGTTAATCCTTTGCACCTTGGAATACAGCCATGAAAAAGTGTTTTAATAGCAGTGGCTGGCTATTAGACCTACCTGTATCCTTTTTGTTTAATTTCCTCAACAAAGTCGCTGCGTATACAGCTTTTCCGTGGTAATTAGAGGACTCAGTTCTTTTAGTTTCAAAAAGCCCGGCCTGTCGAAAATAAACTTTAACTCTACAACACTTTATTCAATTTGAAATTTCCTTTTATGTGACTGGCTTCATGTTGAGTCCTTATCAAGGTATTGTATGTTTAGCCTTTCTATTTTGTAACGTAAAGTACGTTTCCCAACCTTAGTCTACCAATGGAAAGTCACTTTTAAAGCTAAACTGGCCAACCGTGAATTCTTAGAATTAATCCTCAACTTAATTTCTACAAATTTTTCATTCTGACTGAAAGTTTACGAGAGAATTCTTTTGATACCCAGGTGAATGTTGGTCTGGAGAAAATTTAGACATAACGCATAGTAAAGACGATTCGTCTGAATTCTGCATCTCGAAGGAATTCGCTGAGTGTGATACGAACGACAGGAATGTTTGCGGCGGAAACGCGACTACCACATATATTTACAGGATGCCTAAAGAAAGTGAGGCCAAGCAAGGTAAATGTGCAACACATCGCATTTTTACGACAAACATTAAAGATATTCTGTTTCTTGAACTGAGTTACCCCTGAGATCTAAGCAAAGTAAACAATATGTAATGCTTGATTCTGAGCCAATTGGAAATTGGAGTGGTAAACAAGAGCTGAACAACGATGTGAGACAAAGGTAAAATGGGTGATTTTAGACGCCATCGGGTAGATTTGATTGCGAAGGAGTTGGGCAGCTATTGATACGAACACACTCGACAATGTTTTCTACTAATACCGGCAGTTTAGCCTTTCAACTTAGTTTTCGGGTCACATTCACTAAAACTTGAATTTCCTGAGAAAAGTCTCGGAAATGGCTAATTAGGGTGTATGCCAATTTATTTGATGGCCTGAAGCATTAATTTGGGGACATTTCACCCCAATAGTAGACTAAAAACAAAAGCCTGAATGCAATAGGTTGCTCCAATTGTGCACAGATAAATTTCTTTTAGATTCGAGCAGATCCTAAGGTATTCCATAGATCCTTTCCACATTTTTTATAAAATTTCGAAAAGCGAATTCTAAAGAATTAAATCTCATGTTCTCAGGGAAACGTTGCTTCACAAAGTTCAAGAATGTCGGCTGTTTTGCTGACATGCAGACCTCTTCCAGGCCTATACCAGAGCTTATTTTTACTGACTTGGATGAGAGCTCAGCCAAATACAGCGGCCATAAAGCGCAACTAGGAGAACTCGACACTTACTTGAGTGACCTACTTTGTCGGTGTGCTGAACTTACTCAGGAGCTTGGGTACGAATACTTTGGATTGCAAAATCACGGTGAGACAAACAACATTAATGTGCACTCAGTTGCAAGCTTAAGTGTTTATTCAAAATATTTTATAATCAATCAAATGAAACATATAACCGGTGGCTTTTTGACGTATTTATTGTATTGTTTAAATACTTTTTAGGCGAGTGTTACTCGGGACCAAGTGTTCAGCATACCTACAGCAAGGATGGTTCATCAAAAAAATGCATCACAAGAAATTTCAAACAATGCCCAGCAGGAAAAAAGTACGAAAATCGAGACAGCCAGGACTACTGCGTGGGCGCGCAAGGCGCTAATTATGTTTATCGTGTCTAGGTCAGATATCTCGGACTACCTAACTGGCAACTTTGAAGAAGACACAGTTAAGTTATTTCAGTCGACTGATCCAGAATTTGACGAAGATTACGATCCTCTTGTTGTTCGTTAAGGCGCAAAATTGAATTTCTTGATCTCATGGATTTACTATGGTTACTTCTTTTAAATCAGAAACCCTTCATCTTATTCTAAAAAACGAACAGCTGCTCGTTTCAGTTATGATGAAGAGAGTTACTTCTGTAAATTATTATCCGACCTGACTAGAATAATATAAGGTGAAGTAATGCTACGATGAGTATTATCCATCAGTACATATCTAAGGTTGTTTTATGAATTTCAACAGGAAATCATGCACGCTCATTGTCATGAAAAACATAGGTCAGTGTTGCTGCCTGTGCGGCTGGAGTAACTGCATACTCGAGATCGAAGGTGTTCAGTTCAGTTACCAAGTGAATTAGCCGTAAATAGTAAGGCGAGAAGGGCGCTCGGCGTTTGGCGGCTGATTATCAAACTGTCGCCTTCTTTGACGAAAGAGAAATGCCTCAAGTAAGTCGTCTGAAATTAATGAAATTATTTATTCGCCTCCTACCTTCATCGCACACTTGAGCTAATGCTTCAATCCAATAATTTTTGCTTCTTACATTTCTGTGTTTGTATGTCGAAATTAGTGATCTTCGTCAAGCTTTTGTTGAGGATTTAATAAATCTTCTGATTCTCACCTATATGACCTAGTCCAGCTGAGAACATAGTGAAAATGATAATCTAAAATCAAGTATTATCAACTGAGTTGATAACGTATATTGGCCATGGTAAAGAGTTTGAAGGCTGACGTGTCGAGCGTTAACCCTTTGCCATTCGCTCTGACAGAGGGCTAACGCTCGACACGTCAGCTTCGGAACTCTTTAAGGTGACCAGTTTACGTTATCAACTCAGTTGACAATACAAAATAACCCTGTTATACTCTCACACCGACAAAGCACCAAAGTTTCTTTAGAGACTTACCTCCTTTATTCATTTACTATCATTGCGCTTCATTAGCTTTGACGATCTCGATACGGTTATTAATCACCGTCATGAGCATACCCAGCTTTTTGCAAAGGCTAATACTAACGGTAGAACAGAGAAAACGAACGTTAGTGAAAGCCTTTCGACGGAAACCAGTATCAAAAGGTATGAGTTAAAGATCTTTGTAATACATTCAAAAAGTTTTCATACAAAATCTAGCTGGTACCATGACTCCCACACTCATGAAAGCGTTGAAAAGACCAATGCAAACACCTGCTTTCTGGTAGTATATGGTACGACTCATTGACCATGGCAATATCAAACTTGCATCATTTCAAAACATTATTTTTGACTGACTGAAAATAAACCCATAACAGAGCTCATGCTTTAATTCTTATGTTGCACTCGTCCTCTGGTTGAAGCCGAGTTTCAAAGTCTAAACCATTTTTAATGCTTGCTCAGCACTGAAGCAAACAGCTCAGTTTTTCATAACGTTCTGAGACGTTTTAGCAACTGAGAAAATTTCACGCTCTTTTAATATCAAGATAGTATGAAAAAAAAAAAAAAACAAAACGCCTCCACATAATACTGGCGTAAAAGGTTGTGGTATTCAGTTCTCTTTTATTACCTCCCATGGACAGACGATGTTGACGTAATATGACAGTTATTTATCAATAGTCTTTCGACATGAACAAACAGTTTTCCAATTTAAACTCTTTTGTGTACATTCACGTTTTCATTAGACATCACTTTCAAAACGCACCATGAATTTTCACTTTTATCTGCTCTCGATAATCGTATTTACGTCGATATCAAGAAAAAGTGACGGACTCTTCATGGAAGGTGAGTTTAAAGCATTTTAGGCAGACGGATACTTAGCACCAGGTAGGCAAAGTTGGTTACCTGTATTAATGTACATGGTTGGTTTGATTTCAAAATTACTCGCACGTCAAAGACTTTTCTACTTTGCAGCAATCTTGCGAGTTTTCTTTTTCCGTGTTGTATTTTATAGGTTTGATTTGTTTTCGAAGGTACCTTGACTTGAAAGACTCGTAAGCAATAAAATTTTTGGTAACAGTATCGTAATAACATGTACCTCGCGAATGCATTCAAGAAATTTTTAGAGAATCCATAGGTCGTGTTTATGATTATGATTGTTATTGTTTGGTATGTTTGTTATTGTAGTGGTTTTACCATATAGCAATGACATTATTATTACCGTATTCTTGAGGGCAAGCCCTTAAAGTTCTATAAGCAAAGCCCTTGACTTATAACGGTTGTAAAAAAACAAAATGTCAGGTAAAAATCAAAATTTAATTGTATAACTTGGCAAAAAAACGATAACCGGTTTTATCTTTGAGAATATCATAAATTTATCTCCTTGATATTCATCTCACCGAAGCTAGTATTCATTGTAATCAGATGATTTGGTTTTATCAACTGAATTGATAATGTAAACTGGCCACCTCAGAGAGTTTCTAAATCTGACGTTACGAGGGTTAGCCCTTTGTCAGAGCGAAGGAACGTCATCATTCGCTCACCTCAAACGAAGGGAAAACGCTCGAAAATTCAGCTTTAGAAAGTCTTGACGGTGGCCAATTCAAATCAAATAATATAGTTATATTCTGCCCCCCCCCCCGACACAGCACCACAGTTTCTTGAGAAACTTATCCACATTATTAATCATAATCACCGCCAACATTAAAGCACTCGCTGAAAATTGAGAAAAATAAACATCCTGCTACTTGCACGTTGATTTCTTTAGGATTCCGTCAATATAACAAGCAAGACACCCGTTTTCGATCTTCAATGAAAATTGTCATCAGTGAGAACTGGGGCGTTATCAGGACAACTTGAAAATAGCCCTTGCATAAGTTTGGCTCGCGAGATCCAAACTATCATTAGGACTAATTCAAAGAAAAAGAAAAATTTTTGCATTGACCCTTCAAGACATCTTGATCTGAAAAACGGATGCGATGTATGATTGAAAATGGTCTGATTTAAAGCCTATCTAAATTTATGTCGATAGAAAGTATTCTGTTTAGATACTGAAAGGATAAGGTATTTGTATTTCATTATTAATGAAAAATAAACCTACTTACAAACCATAGAATGAAAACAAACCCTATCACCGTAACTGCTGCGGCGCGTGCAGTATTTTAGTTTCTCGTTCACCCTACAATAGAAGTGCGCATTTGTTCCTGTTGATGGTTTTCATCCCAAAATGTAAGTCTTTTAATGACAGAGCTATAAGCAAATGCTTGGGGTCTTGGGAATCTTACGTAATAAATCCTCTCTCTCGTCGCAGAGCCTCGGACTGAAATAGAATATCAGCCAATAGGGGAAGTCGAACGGAAAGAGATTAACGAGTCATCTACATCAGAAGTATCCAACAACCCACTTCCAGCTGAGCCCGAGCATGCTCAAGTTGTCAGTACAGAGCATGAGACAAATGTAGATCCATCTAAGACTTCCATGCCTGCATCAACCTCTATTCAGCTTCCTGAGGTACCACCAGTGAGTGGTAGGCCCCCGGGTAGCGAAAAGGAACCACTTCCCCCTCCTTCCGTTGAGCCAGGTGAGCCGTTTTTCAACGATTAAAATCAAGAGAATATAAAGAGGGTTGCTTCCAGGCTCCACCCAAGTTTTTGATAAAATATATGTACACATGTAGTCTCACGAACAAAAGTCTGTTTTTTAAAGGTTTATTTCAATCTGATACGCGAAGGCAAAATAGTGGGGTATTGTGTAGAGATACGTTTTCCTGATGAAAACAACTTTTGGAGGGATTATTGAACAAGATTTCGCAATGAGACACCTTAAATTATAGAAGACTGATGACACTACCTTCCACTTCCGTCTAAAACCAAAATTATCTCAAACGGAGACGACGTCTCTCAACCAACACTCTATTTACCACCGATCATTTTCCCTTGATGAAACGCCTTAAATGACTCGTAAATGTAGATTATGAATAAGAGCAGATCTCAACATTCCAGGCGTCAAAGCTCGCCAGTTTTCCAACACCCCATGTCAAAGCACATGATGTAATTTGAGTCTGCATATGTCACTGCTCATATGATTCATTAAATAAGTTTCACTACTCCTAGTTAAAAATCACGATGAATTTCATCTATAACAGGGTGTTTTGATATTATCAACTCAGTTACTAATACTAAATTACCCTGTTGTACTCTTCCACCGACGCAGCTCCACAGTTTCTTAAGAAACTTGCCTCCTTTATTTTTTTATTTCATATATACTTTTTCTAGCACTTTAATGTGCGAAACTGCTAACACTCAGCAGCTGAAAGCTAGATAAAGACGTTTTACCCATCAAGTAATCTAACAACCAATTTTTTGGTCGGCTTCTTACATTCTCACTTATATGATATATCGGTGACACAAAAACAAAAAAAACCTACTGATTATTATTAGCTACTGGTCATACATGAAGAAACAGAAGTAACTGTCATGAATTGTAGCTGACAAAAATAATATGAACCTAAGACTAAGAGAAATATTCCCATAGAACCACCTGTGGTACAACAACCGCAACTTCCAGTCCCTTTGACGACAGCATCGACATCGACCTCTGGTAAGACCCCTATAGTGCTCCATTTGTTTGCAATCGTTGAGAGCATTTACACTGATAGAATGAGTCTACCTCACAACCCATTACAGACGAGTACATTGGGTCTTAATTTGTTAGTGAGCACTACGATCGTCAAAGCATATTGAATGTTGCCTTATTTGTGTCGTTAGATGATATGAAAATTGTAACGTTGCTACAATGTACTAGACAAGATAACAAGAGACATTAAATTAATTGTACATTATTCAAATCATCATCTTAGACTCTTGCTCTTACCTTTTGCTTACCTCTTCTTCATTGCAGCTGAGTGCCATAAAGTGATGGACTTGGGAATCCTTATGGACTCCTCTCATTACATCTCTTCGTCGCTTTGGGAAGAAGAGAAGTCAATTGTTGTGACTCTTATGGATAAACTTGACATAACTCTTCTTGGAACACATATGAGTGTAATGACACTCAGTTCAGAGGTGGAATTTCCGATCCCATTCAATGGATACAGGGACAAGGTTGATCTAAAGAGGAAAATAGCAGAGTTGCCTTATAATTACCACTCTGGATTGTCTCGGGTAGATCTTGGATTGAGTGCAGTCAAGGAGCGAATGTTTGATCCTCGGGTTGGAGTTAGGGCCAAAGTGCCAAGGGCTCTTTTGATGTTTACCAACGGACTAACAGACGGTGCGAAAACACTCATTATTACATTAATTTATTTGAAGTTTAAGAAAGATTGTGTCTTTGCTTGGTTCAATTCTTTTTTGTTGTCGTGGTCAGACAAAAGTAAATAACATGATGGATCAGGTTCAAATACATGCATAAATAACTGGATGTTCAGTTGAGGGGATCACTCATTCAGAGGGAAATTATCTTGCCTTCATAATTATTTTATTTCAACCCTTTGACATATATTCCCTACCTCCCCCAGCAGATTTGGGAGTGGAATCACTGATCATTCACTATACTTTTGAACACTCTAATTGGAAACTGACCCTGGATACTTTCAAATCATTCCTTTATCCATTTATTTATTTACTATCTATTCAGTTATAGAGTCATTCACCGTTTTCAAGTTCCTTCAGTTTGCACAGAATTTTCTTTGAAGAATTACATTCGGCGATGAAGTACTGGCATAACATCTACTCATATCCACGCTTGTACAGCATAATTGGTGTTAATCAAAGAGGAAAAAATCATATTTTTATTTTTTCCCACAAAAATATGGGGACACTAACGGGGACCTTTCCCTGCACAAATTTCTGTCCATTATATCCACCAAACCCGAGAATTAATCAAAGGGGGTCTTGAGGTTCCTTTAAACTGTTGTAATTGAAAAGAATAAAAATATGATACATGTAACAACTTAATTACGGCTGAGTTAAAACAGGTACTTTAGGGTAAAATGGCTAGTATCGTCATGAGACACCTTGTGCAACAAAAACGGTCCAAAAGAATTACATCACTAACTACATTTAGAAATGTAATATCGCTAACCTATGCGTATACGTATCTCTCCTTGAAAAATATTTTTAGAAAAACGATCCCTCGACAGACATGACATGTTAAAGAAATCTTTAAGAAACCCATCCTTAAATCATATCGAAAAGAGTAATACCCGTAAGACATATTAATAAAGCCTTCGCCACAAAGCTTAATGCTTTGCCTAAAAATTTTTCTTTGAGTTTGAAACCAAAGTTAGTATTCTTTATAATCCCAGTAACATAACTTTGTCGGGGACAAAACTCTAACATAACTCCATGGGAACTTGTAACTTACTATTGGAAAAACTCTGACCTCATTTCAGGATCACAAAGTGCAAAGATTCTTCAAGCTGTCGATGATCTCAAAGTTGCTCAAATAAAAGTCATATACGTTAAATTGGGAAATGTAACAAATCAAGATTTCTTAACGACTGCAAGAAAGGATTCTTTGGTGTTCAGCGAGAATGACATTGATGGGCTTTCAGGGGCGTTACTGGATACATGTGTTGAAATCTGCAGCAGTGGTATGTAAGGAGATTGTTTGGTTGCTTTATGCTATTTTTCTTTTAGCCCAGAAAGTATGAACGAAACTGCCTGACTGACATAAAGCAGGGTTTGTGTTGAGATGAAAAAAATTGTTCATTGTCCATTACACTCACTGATTTCCCTCGGTTTCAAGGTTAAACGAATATGAATTTTCAAAACTTGTAGGCTAAAAAAAAGTTATGTTTAAACGAAACAGAGCAGAATCGAAAAAGGTAGATTTTCCGCCCTTGGAGGTTAATTATGCTTCTGCATGCGAGATAAGCCAAAATTCACCTATTTGCAAATTAATATTTCAAGGTTAAGACGTCACTTCTCAATCTCAATCTAGCTTTGTGAATACAACTGGGCTGCAACATAGTCTGCTGATGCGCCAAACGTGTATTAAACTTCCCTTAACCGTTCTCCACGGGTGAAAGATGGACAAAATCGAGAGTATTAAATGGCTCTTCCTATAGAATTTCCTCGACAACTTTTTAATTATGATATAGTGAAATGCTGGCGTTTTAACTTTTCTAAGATGCTCTTTAGCTGCGCAAATAAAACAATTCTCAAATTCGATAAATTAAAATAAATTGTAACCTTTTTTTCTGACATATTTTTTAAATGTTTGGTGATATTTTCTTCAAGAAAAGAGTACAAAACCAGTTACATTAGCAGCATCAGTACCATCCCTTGCACCTACACCTTCTCCTTGGCCTGCCACTCAACCTGCACCAGCTCCCTATCCTGCACCCATACAGCAACCTCCTGTCCAATGTCCAATTCCAGGGTGCAGCTTTCCATTGGTTTGTGTCCAAGCTTCGATTTATGCGACTTGTGTTCCTCCTCCTAATCCATCAGCATCCACCAACAATTCATGTTCCACACCTGGCCCATGCCTAACAACAGTTACCAAGACAGCGACTGACACAAAAACTTTAGTATCAACCAGCACTCAAACAGAGACAAGTACAGCGATTGCTACCATAACTAACACGAAGACAACAACAAATACAGCACTGACCACACAGACTCACACACAGACAGATGTTGTCACCGCAACTTCAACCTTGACCACTACAAATACACAAGTAGCCACCAGCACCCATCACACCACAGAAACAAGCACAGCTGTAACAACAAGTCACCTGCCAGTAACCAGCACGAAGACTCTGACAGCGACAAGTACAAGGATAGTAAACACTACTGACACTCATAATCTAACTACTACAGATGTGATAAGAACAACAGCGAAAAGTACAAACATTGTGACGAGAACTGCAAACAAAACTAACACACACACCTTGACAACAACTAAAACAGACACAGTGACTAGCACAGGAATTACAACAAGCACTTTACTTACCACAGCCACTGCAACAAACACAGTTAATACCACTCATCTTGCGACAGAAACGTTAACTGAAACTCTTACCACAGTAGCAATACAAACTTCAACTTCAACGTATAATGCAACAAATGTTATTACTGCTACAACAACATCTACAGCCACAGCCACCAGTACTGCTTTTTTGACGGCAACAAGCACTGCCAAGACTACGGAAACACTGACGGCAACTAGTACAGCAATTTTGACCCAAACTTTGACCAATACTCACAATCAAACTTTAACACAAACTAAAACACTTACGGCAACCTCCACCAGAGTAGTAACCACTTGTAGCGCTAACTGCACCAAAATGGGTAAGTCAGTATTACATTTAACTAAGACATTTTTGATGAAAGAATGCTTATTTCACACATTTAAAGAGGGACGCCAAGGATTGACACGAAATTTGCCCCTCGACCGACCAAAATTCCAAAGTCATTTTAGCACGGGTCTGCTATGAAATAAAGGCTTGTTAAGATTGGCTGGAGAATTGAAGCGCCTAACCTTGTCACCTTGTGTTTTAATAAGTTGTCTTAACACTCCTTTGCATTTTATTGCGGCGTATGATTTGCTCCACAGTACCCGTGACCACTCCACCTCGGACTCCCTCTCCCGCCCCACCGGTGACATTAGGTACGTATGAATTACTTCCTTCAGGCAGTATCCAAACATTTTCATCAAAAGAAAAACAGGAAAAAATGAGCGATAACCAACTGATAACCGATAATCTTCATCTTTTTATTCTCATCAGCGATAACGCAATAAGCATTTGAATATGATTTCAACAAAAATATAATTACAATCGGTGGCCTCCGTTTTCGATTCCATCTCCTTGAATGCAAAGATGTATTTTAGTTATGAAGCAGCACAGTAGTAGAAGGAGTGGTAACGTCAAAAGGGGCATTTCTACCTAATGTGTATCATATATATGCCATTCTTGTTCCACAGTAACAGTGTCCACACCGACACAGCCTCCTCCTCCAACATCAGAAGTCAAACCCGGTAAGTCATGAGTCACAATTCTATTACTCTACAACTAACACCAAGCAAGATGGCTACAGTGAAAGCCTTTTAAAGTACAACTTCTGCCTAGATCATGAATAGTAACTGTCTCGAATTACTTACAACCGCAAACAACATCTCAACAACAGTTTGTGCTTGCTGTGGGTTTTTTTGTGCGAGTATAATGTGCTTGGCTTTCCAATCATCTTTCCAATCGACTGACTTATTTGGAATCTAATTTCGTTATCTGCGACATAATGAAAATGAAAACTCTTATTTCATTTTTTTCCAGAACCAACACCTAGTCGCTCAGCCACACCTACAGTGTCCTCCTCAGTGGCACCAAACCCAGCAACTCCGGGTACTGGTTTAACTTTTGACTTGTCTGTAGGGGCTAAAAGTTTAATTAGACATTTGAAAATCTACTCAGTTTTGCAATAATGTCTCTTCTTTTGAGGAGCATGATTTAAAAAATATTAAGCCTATGTTTTCCTTCGTGTTTGTATCCTGCAGATGACCACTGATCCATTAATTTTATGGTTTCCTGAAGCTGAAATTTTTGCCCAGTTGCCTTTTATTCTAGTTATCATGGCTCTCAATGCTTTTGATTATCTAAAAAAACCTGTCCTTGTTCTTCTCTTTGCAGGCTGCACAGTTAATTACACCAAGTTAGGTTGTTTCAAAGATGACAGAAAGAAACCCCGCCCATTACCAGAGCTACTTTCCACTGATCGCGACTCACGTAGCAAGGTCTTCAGCGGAAAGACCATAGACTGGAACAATTGGGACACATATATGATTGGTTTGGTTTGCCGATGCGCTGAGGCAGCCAAAGCAAAGAAGTACAACTATTTCAGCCTTCAACACTTTGGTAACTAACCAATTATTAAATTATAGGAAGTGAAGTGTGAATACAGTTAAAACCCACATATAAGAACCTAGTTATTTTAATTTGGCCCCCATAGGTTCTTATAGAAGAAGTGTTTACTATGAAATTAGGCTACCTAGGTATGAAATATACGAGGTTTCTTACTGTCCATCTCAATTCTATCCAGGCGAGTGTTGGTCTGGACCGGAAGCTGGAGAGACATATAACCGGGCTGGAAGTTCTGATCAGTGTGTCACCAAAGGTTACAAAGAATGCGATCCCAACGACAAAGAAGAGTGTGTCGGAGATAAGAACGTCAATTTTGTTTATGGAATCGATGTTACAGGTACTCGAGTAAAGTTTCATTAGCCAGTGTAAGGTATTGACACGAAGCCGTTATACTTACAGTATTGACTAGTATAAATTATTTCTTATCCTTTATGACGAAGTTTCTCGAGAATTAAACACTTTTATCCTTAGAACTTTCAAATTTGTAAAGAACAATGGTTCTTACGTTCGAGCTTAAAAGTATCATGATAAAACGCGAGCTTTTTTCATATTGCAATGTTGATTTCAACATTTGATTTAATAATCGTTAATGAACAAATGAACCAAATACTCTGTGCGTTACTCAATAATAACTCAACCCGTCGGCAATGTTGCATTTCACAGGAAATTTACCCTTCAGCCACCCAAAATTAAAGGTTTGTTTATATTGGCTGCACAATTATCGCGTCTAACCTTGTTTCTAAGGAAGTTCGTGTTTTCAACCTGTTTCATTGGCACATCTTCAAAGTGGTACAGGTGAACTCAGACTCCCTCTCCTAACCCAGGTGTAACATCACGTGTGACATCTCGTGTGACATCTCGTGTGACATCTCGTGTGACATCTCGTGTAACATCACGTGTGACATTAGGTGTGACATCTCGTGTGACATCACGTGTGACATCACGTGTGACATCACATGTACTGAACATCACGTGTGACATCTCGTGTGACATTAGGTGTATTGAGTCTCTTCCTTTCAGCAGCATCCAACATTTTCATTAAAAGATAAACGGGAGAAACTGATGCGATAACTAACTGATAACTGATAATCTCCACTGTTTTTTTCATCAGCAATAATGTAAAAGCATTTGAAATAGGAATTCAACGATAATTATAATTTATCAATTATCTGTGTTCGATTCCAACTTCTTGAGCAGTGTTCTCTAGTTATGAAGCCCTACAATACCAGCAGGAGTGGTGAAAGTTAAAAGAACATTTTCGTTTGATGTACATCAAAATTATGTTACTTCTTGTTCTACAGGAACAGTGACCACTCCCACAAAGCCTCCTACGCCGACACCACCAGCGGAACCCTGTAAGTCAGGATCACTATTGATATCCTCTCTCTCTCTCTAACTTCATTGTTCCGTAAAAACAAGTGAGGTAACCTCAGTGAAAACTGTATATTGTAGAAATGTTGAACCCGCATCATGAATAGTGACTGCATCAAATGACTGATGACTAGACAACACTATGTCAAATGCTACCAGCTTAATCAAAACCAAAAAACCTACCTGAGAGGCAGCTTTCATTTTGAAATGTGATCCTTTTCCAATAAAGCAGCTTGGTTTATGTTGTCGCTGGCTCAGCTTAAAATAGCCATTTACTTGGTTTTCTCTCCATCAGCATGTGATCAAGCCTTGGATATCGGTGTCGTCATTGATTCGTCAGATAGCATAACATTGGAGGATTACAACCTTTGTTTGACGTTTGTCGCCGATTTAGCCAAGCGTTTTAAAGTATCTGAACAGGAGACTCATTTCGGTGCTATAGTATTCAGTACAACACCTCAGCTTCAATTCAGTTTCGCAGACAAAGAATTTTACAAACTTAAACGCCTGAGAAAGAAGATAAGGAGCTTTCCTTATTTAGCAGAAGGAACTAGAACAGACTTGGCCCTTACGCTTGCTGACCTGGAGCTGTTTTCCGAGCAGGGAGGGGACCGGCTCGATAAGCCTGATGTTTTGATTGTTATTACTGATGGAAGAACCCACCCTGTGTTAAGCAAACCGTACCCAGAGGTTTTACAACCACTTCAGGTAAATAATCCAGTCTTCTGCAACACCTTTTAGGGAGTTTTCCTATGATTTTAACGCCATTAGTGTAACGAAAACGTGTGCCATCGTATGTTCCGTGATGTGTCAGTCAGAAGAATACATAAGGAAATTTTAGCTTCAAGAATGTTTCCTTTTACCCGATAGGCTAAGAATGTTAGAGTCATAGCTGTTGGTGTCGGAAAGGATGCGGATAGTAAAGAGTTAACAGCCATAGCCATGAATGATAAGAATCACGTGCTGAAGGTCGATCAGTACAAGGATCTAGTTAAAATTCTTGACATTATTTTAAAAGAATCGTGCCACAAAGGTAAGTTTGGCCCAAACCGATCATGTTGCGTTATGGTGTTTGATATTCTCTCTTTGGGATGAAGGAGATTCACGGGTATCGTGAAGAATGTTAGCAGGAGTGACGAGGAGAAAGCCTACCTTGTGATATATTAGTGAGTCCAAATCTCGCACTCGACATATTTGGTACCAAGCTCTATGGATTTCGCATATTCCATGTTTGCACCTTTTTCCTACCACAGAAAAAAAGCACTTTCTTAATTCCATTTTTTTCCATCTTGGATGTGCTTTAAACTTGGCTTAAATGAGAATTGATATAATTTGAGGATTTTTGTTATTACCCACAGCCACACCTCCTACCGCCATTACAACACCTCCTCCGTCCCCTGCGATGGCTGCTAACCTTCGTAAGTTGTATTAGACGGATAACCATCTGCTTTGTAAGCAAACTTATGCATTACTTATGATCTAGTATTAGTCAAATATAATACAATTGACCAAAAAAGTTCCGTGTTTCCTTTTCTTCCAGGTAAATGTAACATCGAGTACCAAAAGCTTGGCTGCTTCGTCGATAAGCAGCCTAAGACTAGCACACTTGCTCTACCTGAAAAGATGTTGAAGGAAGTCGTCAACTGGGATCAGTGGAATGTTTGGCTTCCAGATTTTGTGTGCAGATGCGCCAATTTAGTTTATGAGAACAACTATAATGTGTTTGGGATTCACCTTTTCGGTATGTTCACCCGTTTCCTCTTTAAAATCATTAAATCTGACCAAAATCTCTAGTAATCTAATGGCTTTAGACATTATCACGGCCACAGAAAAAAGTAATTGAAAAAAAAAAAGAAAAGCCATTTGACTCTCTTAAACCTGTGGTAACTTTCTAGGAGAGTGCTGGTCCGGTGTCAAGGCTGGTGATACTTATAATATGTATGGTACAGCAGAGGAATGTTTAGACACAAACCAACAGCAGTGTGGCGTTAAATCAGTCAGAGAGTGCTCAGGAGACCAGAATTCTAACTTCGTCTATCGCATCATCATCTCTCAAGGTTGGTTTTGGTAAAAATTCTGAATTGTTTCCAGTGGGCTTCGAGTGATTATTTTTTTTAGCACCGTCGTTTGTTATCGTTATAAGAAGAGATTCCTTCTCAGTGCTTCATGATTACCCGACGCAATTCTATTGTTCTATTGTCGTTTTGGCGGTTTACGGTATTTTACTCTTTGCAAGCCGGTCTAACATTGCCAACTTCCAAAAGTAGAAAGCAAAGACTAAGCTCATCCTTGTTTTCTCAACAGGGGCACAAGTAGAACCCTCTCCTGTTCCTGAAACAGCAAAAAAGAGACATGGATTGAAGGGTAAGATTTTTTGTCCCTTTTATTGATATCAACTCAAATGTGAAAAAAAGAATCTAAAAAATTTCGTTACGGGGTGTAAACCCATAATAAAGAGCTAAAAGGAGATGCAATATTTTTTTGTTACAGAGAACTGTCTGGTGGACTTCATCAAGAGAGGTTGTGTTAACGACTTGCAAAGTCGGAGGCCTTTGCCGCAATTGATGTTCACAGATCTTGACATCAACAACGCTAAGTTCAGCGGTTTCCCAGTGGACTGGGGAAGCTGGAATAGCTATATGGATGATGTTGTTTGTCGGTGTGCCGAGATTTCGCGATCAAAAGGTTTTGATTATTTTGGACTGGGAAATTTTGGTGAGTCTCTGTAATGTAACGACGTGTCCTTGTAGCTGGCCTGACTGAGGCAGAGTTAAGCGTGGACGAGTAATTGTATTAAGGTTCTATTTCTCATTTATTATGATTGTGAGTGGCACCATGTTAAATCATCAGTTATTGTCATTTCAAGTCATTACTTGTTCAGATCTTTACTGCCTCATTTGGAGTCAATTCAATTTTTCTTTGTCTTTTAAATTCTATTTACATTAATGTGACAGGTGAATGTTGGTCAGGGAAAGGTGCTCAAAAGACATATGACAAAGAAAACACTTCTCCATTCTGCATTACAAAAGAATTTGCTGAATGTAATGCAGAAGATGAACATGTTTGCAGTGGAAACAAAACTACTGCGTTTATCTACAGTGTGAAAGAGAATCACAACCCCAAGAAAGGTATTCATGGAAACATACACGAGATTGAGTGATGAGTCATTAGTCACATTCTGTTTACTAATTTTCTGCATCCTTAAGTACTGATGAAAGAAATTTTATTTTCACCTGCGGATGATATTCAAGAAATACTCCTCGAGGGTAGGCTACATTTAAAGAAAATTGCAGAAAGAAACCCGTAACAATTTATACTCGGACGGAATTTGACCGCAACTTGCTCTTGCCTCTTCCTCTGTATTAGGTATTACTTTGTGGCTCATGGCCTTAATATAAAAATTTTGAAATAGAGAATATCCTCCTCGATAACGTAACTAAATTTTTAGCCAATGTTTTCTTGTTAACCTTATCTCTAAAATCCGTCCTCAGCGTTTTGGAATTTTTTGTTTTTTAGAGAAGGATTGCTTCACCCAATTTCAAAATGTCGGGTGTTACGAAGACAAGCAAATCAGTCCTCGTCCAATACCAGAACTTATTTTTACCGATATGGATATTAATTCACCAAAATACAGCGGCAAAAAAGTGCAGCTGGGGGAATTGGACACCTATATTGACGACGTTCTCTGCCGGTGCGCTGAACGTTCCCAGAAGCTTGGTTACGAGTACTTTGGAGTGCAGAATCACGGTGAAAAATTTTATCTTGGTGTTAAATTTATAACGATGATTTTGGTGACGGTAAACGTCGGTCTTACACAGGTTGTTGATTATTCATCTCTCTTTCAGCGAATAATCTTTGCGAACCGATAGCATGTTTTAGCGTAATTTTGCAAAATCTCTTTTGAGCAATTATATTTTCTTCCCGTTAATTCTGATTTAAACAACAAAAGTAATTTCCTTGTAAACTGATTTGTCTCGGTTTTTGATATTTAAGAGGAATCAGAAAGTGGAAGGATTATTACGGAACGTTATATTTTTTGTAGGTGAGTGTTTCTCCGGAAACAATGTTGAGCAAAGCTACAGCAAGGATGGTTCATCAAAGCAATGTATCACAAGAGACTTCCAGCAGTGCCCAGAAATAAAACCTAGTAGTAAAGAGACTCAGCAAGACTGTATCGGAGTGCAAGGCTCTAACTATGTTTACCGCATCAGAAATTTGGCGAAAGAAAGCAAAATGGACGTTGAGAAGTTGCATCTAGGAAAGTGACATGACTTTCGATTACGTAGTAGCGGACTCCAAGAATATTGTGATATCTGCTAGAGTTCCAGTTCAATATTTATCGAATCGTTTGCCGCCGTTCAGAAGAACTCAAATCGATATTTCTGGTCATTTGTAGTCTGCGCAAATTTCCTATTAGCCTTCTGTATATTTCAATTAACTAAGAGTCAAAATACCTCACACCGAATGGCACGCTTAAATGAACTTATGTCGGATTTTGACAAATTTTTATCACGCGTCTTTCAACACGCTGTGAACTAGGTATAATGAGGACCATTTTCGACCCATAGTTCACGGAATTTACCTGAACTATCAATACAAAGTTTTTGTCGGCACGGAGTGTCTAGTGCTCGCAACGATCACTATGCACCACATCAAAATTCACTCAAGATTGATTTTCTACAACTCTAAAATCACCAGACAGGTGCGCAGCTGAGCAGAACTGGTAACATTGAATAACATCTTTTCCCCTATTTATTGGTCGGGGAAATTCCATTTAAATGTGAGATTCATAATCGTGATTTGTTACAAATGTTTTAAACCGGAAATTGCAGAATCAAGTTCTTGTGTACGTCATTCTGTTTAGAGTAATTCTTTTTTGGACCTTTACAGATTGAAAAATGAAAAACATTTTTCATTGTCTCCTTGGATAACCAGTCAGGGGGGACTCCCAGTTTCTAGGGGTAGAAGTACCATAGCTGCTATTACCGTCGGTCATGCGTGTGCCAGGGCTCAAAACTGCAACGCAAATATAGTCTCGTCGGACTTTAAAAGGGAACTATACTCCTTCAAGAGAGGATAGAGAGACTCTTTATAATGTAAAACGTAGAACTTCCGGGTGACCGCCGGAAAAAGGAGAAGAGTGTCTGCAAATGTCATTATCATAAACCATTCTGAATCGATCGAGATGATTGCCATGAAGGGTTCAGATGTACAAAAAATTACAATAAATTTACATAATTAATCAATTACTGAGAAACGACTCTTTCACTGACTCTGATGTAAATAATTGTATACTTACCGCACCAAATGACCAAACGAACCAAAAAGTTTGTGTTTTTGCCAGACACTAAACTGCACGATTTTCATGGGCAGTTTAATCGTTTAACCTCTCTGGGTTTTCCTTCAAATTGTGTTTGAATCGAGTTTTGAAAAAATGCTGCAAACATCAATTGTTTTTATTTCACCTCTATGGTGCTTTTTAGTAATTTGTAAAATTTGATTTGTCGCCTGTCTTACAATTGTCTTTTCTCAGACATAGAAATATCAGCCAATTTCTTTAAGTTCATAGGAACTTGACTTTTTTTTAAAAGAGCTGTCAGAAGCCCACTGATGGCTTGACCATTGCTTGACCATTGATCATTAACCCTTTAACTCTCAAGATCTCATTAGTAATTCTACTTACTGTCTGCCATACAGTTCTTGTGATATTAGTTTGGAGAATTTGGAATTGGATTAACTTATAATCCACTAACTGACATTTTTCTTTTATTCTCATCACTTGTCTGCTTGGTATTATATTGATATTGTAAGGAGAAATTCTGTCTTGGTCACTCATGGGAGTAAAAGGGTTAAGAGAAAATGAAACAATCCCTTTGATAGAAAAGAGTCACGGTGTATAAGTCACCCGCCTGACTTATGAGCATACTTAAATAGGCTCAATTACTGCTTCACTAAACCAATAATTCAACTAATAGAAAACTGCAAACAAGATTTTCCTACCTATCACTGTTCAAAGTCCTCTCGGCCCATCTAAAAACTGTTTGGAACAAATAGCATCAGCATGTCTAGACGCAAGTCCATGATGTAATCAACTAAAAGCAAAATCTCATGTTTCAATCATTACATTGGCTCTGATCGACCCAGCAAGCAGGTGAATCAAGGCATGTGGTTAAATCATGGAAATTTGTGTGGGTGGAACTGGTCAAATCCGGTTTACCAGCATTCTTGACGATTGGCAACAGTTGGCAATAAATGCGAGTGAATGAAAAGAATATTGCAAACAAAGACAAGCAGCGCGTAAGGATCATACCAAACAACATAATAAATTTGTCTTTTTTCTTAATTGGCCTCGTTATGAACGATAGAAACCGAATAGACATGCAAGAATTCTGACGTCATGAGATCAATTGGCGTTAAATGGAAAGACTCTCCCCTGGTGAGCTAATTAATGGTTATTTGTTACCTGCAGGAATCTTTACCAAAATCCTTAAGGGAACACAACTTTTCGATTCATAGCATGGAGAAAATTTTCTACTTTATCCATGTTGCTTGCCTTCTTTCATCTCTTCTGTGGAACGTCAAGGGCGCGTATTATTTAAAACCGACAGGTAAGTGTAGGAAAACATTCCCGGTCGAGGCAACAGGACTAAATAACCAGAAAGATGGCAACAAACATGAGTAAACATGACTGGTGACCTGTTAAAATGAGGATGAACCATTCTAGATTGTTGTTTTGTACCCTGCGTTTGATCGAAAGAATCTCTTTAGGGGAAATCGAAAGCAAGATTTACTGCACTGCGGATATTAATTTATCAGCATACATCACGTTCTTCACCTCGCGTGCACTGTTATCCCCATTTGCTTGTTTACCCGCTTCAGCCAATGAATACGTTGAAAAATCACGGTATTTACATCGAAGGGGAACACACTGATGAGCTTAATAGCTTATTGTTTACTTTTTTTTAGGGAACCTCCTTAAAATGATACATTTATTTATTCAAGATTCTTTTGAGCTGAGGCTTTAGTGGAAGAAATGAAAAAAATGACCTGTAATACCACTGGTAATTGTCTCGTCATTTTAAATAACAATATGTTATGGTTTACATCAAGAGATCTTTTGCTCGCACTCATTTTTATAACGTTCGCTTGTAGAGGCAACCAGACAAAGTTGAAATCTGTGAAACCTGGAAGTACAAACACATCGGACACATAACAAGATCAACATAATTCGGGGCCACTGTAGAATAAAATTAAAATCTTTAACAGTGTTAACCGTAGGTTTTCAAAGAAAGAGCTAAACGGAACTGTCTCTGGTGCATTCCTAGTCCGGCATTATAAATTCTTCATAAGTCAATTTTCCTTAACAAATGAGCTCAGATCTTTCGAGATGCAGATACCTTGGTATTTCCCTCGGTTTATAAACTGTCTGAGCGAATCTGATGAACACGATCATATTGCTTTTCCTTTCAGCGTCATAACGTGACAATTTCTTTGATTGAAGGTCGGTTTGAGATTACAGAGATACCCTTACCATCGTCAGTTATTGAACAAATAAACGGAACCAACGTGTCAGTCACACTCAACCCAGGCCAAATAAATGCCACTGGTGTTCGTATCGTTACAGTGACAAGAATTTCAAATACATCTCAAGTACCAAAACCAGGTAAATTTGTCATATGAGGCTACAAAGTGCCTCTAAGTATTTCTGTTTTGATTGCTTGTCGTAGAAAAAAAAACTCCTAACTCATGTACTAGTTTCGTTCAATTAAACGAACAGACTTAAATACTGTCATTAACAAGGACACTTCCAACTATAAAGTGTAAATCAACAATAAAGTTCTACTCTTCTGAAAACCTTGCAAATAGATAGATGAAAAATCCTCCCTTCCGTTGTTCAGTTCAAGAATGTTAACATAACGACATACTCATGCATACTGTATTTTTCAGCTGGATCACAGCAACCATGCCCAACTACACCCGTGTGTTCTTGTCCATGTCAAAAACCTCCAATGAGTGGTAAACCACCGAGTCTTCAACCCCTTTCCCCCAAAAATGATAGCATTATCACTTGGTGCACATCAGTGTGTATTTGCCTTTGTATCGGTGGTTCTCCTGTGCCCATCCAGCCTCCCACTGAATCTACAAGTAAAGCGAACGTGGCTACTCTTAACCTGGTGGTCACCAGTCCCTTGTCAAACCGGATAACTACAGCAGTACCTTCCAGCACTCCAACGATCATAAATAAGTCCAGATCAACCTCCATTACCTGCCCTGAAACTGCCGGTACCTGCATATGCCTGTCTGTTTCTGTTTTTACGATTCTTCCGTCAAATATGTTGTTCTTGAAATGTTTCCCTTTTGCTGAATCAGTTCCTGATCATTTTACTGACAGTTTTTTCTCCTTCGTTCTCAGTTTGTTCCACTTCCGAAACTCACCTAAGCTCGTCCAGAACAAGTAAGAACCTTTAGCTCGATATTTTTCATAGCTTCCCGTATGAAGGCAAACCTGTGTTTCCTTCATAGTCATTCACTGTTAAATAATAGACACATCACGTTAAAGTAAACAAGACTGCTTTGATTAGTTCAAATGTGTGACTCTAGTTATGTACTCGATTGTCTTAAATACTGATGACCATGAAGACCAATGTACTAGTTTGGCTTGACGAAAATATCTTCAAAACATCTGAAATGTTTGCAAGAAGTGATGAACAACGTATCTTGAAGGAGAAGCTAAATTTTAAATGATACGACAAATTAAAAACTGCAACTCCAGCATACGTTTTTGCTTATCGAGAAAAGGGATGAAATGTATAGTTCTGTGATAAATAAATTTAACCGGTAACCTCAGGGTTATGTACTCCAGCTCTTCGTGCAAGCTTTATCTCCAACTTTAACAGACGTTGATTTGCGAAAAAATCCTCTCTGACAGGTCAAAGTAGACTCAGTGTGACACTCAGTCCAACCCTCACACAACCGATGCTCCCTGTTCAGAAAGGTAAATCTTCCAATTAACAAAATATATGTAAGAGTAAATTTATATATTAACATCTACTGAGAATTTGTCATGGTTCATTCGCTACGACAAACAAGTTTTTCATTTGCAGGCTTGAATGCCACCTCGGCCCTCCTGAATGAAACTCTAGTGTATGGCTTCACATCCGACTGGGTTTTTTTTATAATCCATATTTGACATAATTATCATGCATTTCCGTGAAATTCTTTTTTCTATTGAGGTCACCTTTTGATTTTCATTGCACGGGGAACAAATCCTATCAATGGTCAATCCAGGTGATATCTCATGTTATATTTATATTCTCTAACATTTGGACTGTCCTTACAGGCTCCCAAGAAAACTAAAAGTCACCAATGTGCTCCTTAACAGGTGTGGTATGGTTCTACTGATTAACTGTAAGGCAGCAGCTTGGTCTTAAAGCGACCCATTGTGAGAGACGTCATTGGGTTGTTGCATAATGGGTAACATTCGACTTTTTTCTTTCAATTGCTAGCAGACATTTAGAACCCTCCAAACAGCCTCTCAGGTGTATTAGCGGTCTTGACTTAAGCTCCCGCATGGAAATTCTCGACTAAGGTCAAGGCAAAGCTCCGACCAAATTTTATCTAAATCTTGCATTTTGCGGACTTTGCGCTTATGTTCACTTATTTATTCATCTATCAATGTTTTTGCCGTCTGAAACATGTCGGCAGTAGCAAGCGTATCGCATGCTGTGGTGCATAGATCCCAACTTGAGAGCAAATAGAAACCACCATGATTCAAGGAATAAAACAAACGGTCAATGACTGGCTGAACACAGGTTTTAAGATTCAGTTGGTACTTGTAACATACACTAATCATTAACACTTTACTTCCAAATGTATAAATCTCTAAGGTCTTTTGTAGTTGATGAAACCAAGGTTATGGAGGCAGATGATAGAGACAAGATGCTTTTTTCAAGCTGTAAAATAATTTAGTTTTCCTATCGATTACCAATTCAAGGATAAATACTTAAAATGAGACACTATAATTGTAAAAAAGGTGCATCACACTGGCAGAAACATACTGTTAATTAATTTTCACTGGTATCCAAAGGCACCCAGTGCAAGTTTTTATTATTGTATGATATGCTAAGGTGTTAGAAATTAAACGTGCATTTGGGAAGGAAGTACATGTACGCTAAAGAAAGTGAATAAAAAAAAACAGAACTGAGAATCCTAACTTGTATTAAACAACGTAGCATACTTGTATATTTAAGTATCTATGGTAAGTCAAAACAGTGGACATACAGGTAATCGTTCAAGGAAGGTATCATGTGAGTGCATGTTCATTAAATTTCATTGCTCCACCTGAGAGGAATATATCTGCACTTTGGATGAGTTTTCAAGACTATACCGCCTGGCAGCAGATAATAGAGTTTACATTACATAAAGCTTCAAAAAAGTTGTTTGACCGAATTATGAATAAAACAGAGCTGAATGTAAAAAATTCTGTCAACAGAGAAAAATTTATTTCAACACTACCTTTAAGTACGGGCCATACTTTGAAATTCAAACATATCATAGATGCTGACATCTAAATCCTCGCGAATATCAGTGTGGCTCATATCTCGAAAACCAGTTTATTCTGTTTCGTTTCCCAGTACTTTAATCGATAAAATTTCAGTACTCTCGAAAGTGAACACCGGAAACAAAAAGTACTTTTTTGGACCAGGAGACGAAAAGCGGGTCCCAGCAGACAATCTTACTTGCATTCCTTAACATGATCAGAAACACTATTAACGTAGGACATTACCGGCATAAATGTAACGAAACACCTTAGTCTGCATGGGGATATGTTTGCACATAATATTTGTGCATTATTTTTGAGCATAATGTGATACTTTATTTCATTTACGTTTTGTCGAATTATTCAAATTTGTGTGAAGAAAATTATTTTGATAAGATAAAGTCATTTAAATAATTATTATTATAACTATTTTATCGATATCACTGAGCTATTTGTTATGTATTTGTAGATCTCTCTCGACTTGTTGAGTGAATATCAATAAAGTTACCGTTGTCCCTTACGAACTGTTTAAAACTCATCACAATAGGCTTGTTTCAACTTTTGACCGTTTTTTTCAGTTTGCGCGTACGCGCTTTTCAAGTTCGTTTATTCAGTCGCTGGTATCATCTAACGTTGATGGCTTAGACGTGAAATGATAGTCGATTTTCTGGTCGAGTTTTGTCGTATAAGTACCACAATAACTCAGCCAGCAATAACTTCAGTGAGAGATTTCGCCGCTAACCCTCGGTGGAGATCAAGTAACCACACGCTGACTGGAAATTTAAATGTCAAAATATCTCTTCTATCAGCCAAAAATTAATAATAGTATCAACGAGGAAAAAAAAAAAAAAAAAAAAAACGTGGTAAAAAAATCAAGGTTTCATTCTGGGCTATTCTAATTTCTTTCGATGTCCTTATTTGTGCCCGAGCACCAAATTGAAAAGCTGGATTTATTACAAAATTCCTCCTGTTCTTTAAATTCTCTTGCGATAGATACATGTATTTTGCTCATTTTACAAAGTAAGTAATGGTCGGGAAAGTTTAAGTGGCTCAAAAGTCGTGTAATTAACAAAACAAACGTCCATAATGATTGTTCGACAGGCCTTAGGAATTTCCATTACAAAGGTTAAAGATAAATTGTCCACCACTGAACGCCTGTCAACAGCAAACTGGCTAACCGAGTTATTCCTTTATGCTACTTGTAGCGAACTTTTCATTACTACTGATTTCGTAGCGAGTCGAAAATAAACCGATTGTAGAATAAATTTATTACTGTATCTATTCAAAAACTTCATTTTTGGCGAGGAGATAACCTACAATAGAGATTTCATACTTTTTTTTAAGTGATTTTTTTTCTAAACATGACATCATTTTTGAGGAATTAAACAAAGTTCCCACTTTGATAAATGCCAGATGCAGCCAGGGTTTCTGGACGCTGTAACCTCTAATTAGGATGTGTACTGAAATGTTATCTCTTTCATTAAAAGAGCAAATAAAGAAATCAGTGGCTCTTTGATCAGCTTCCGTGATACTAATATGAATCATTTGACTTCTGATCAAACATAGCTAATTAGAAAGATAAATAACAAGAACTAAGATCACTCAACATGTTTAGACTTAAATTCTTCTCGGATATCACAATTCTACATACTTCATTGATTGTCCGTTAATTTCACACCATTTGAAGTTAAATATTCACTCCTAGGAACAGTAAAAGGACTTAAGTATTGCAGATAAAAACAAAATGTGGGCGAAAATCTGTTCAAGCGAGTAAGTTTAATTTGACAACTGTTGCGGGTGGTTCATCTGTAAAAAGTCACCATTCGTTGTTTGGAAATCACAAGCGAGGAAAAGGATTAAAGAACACTAAATTATGGATGAACTATGTCATTGTTTATGGACATGGATGAGTCAAGGAGTTAATACTTCGTGTTAAGCACTTCCCCGTTGTAGGAAAGGGAAATATGGCGATGGAGGGTGCCAGTATAACTTGGCTAGTTTTGATCGCATTAAGCCTCACCTCATGTCACTTTTCAAATGTGAATGGTAAGTTACTAAATAGCGATTAAATCAAAGTAAGAAGATTTTTTCAGACAATCAGTATAAAGTCAATTTTATCTTCCACTTTACCTGAACAATGAGTCGTTATTTAGGAAACGTTTGCTAAATAACCGCCCCACACTTGACATGTGTTAATCATTGTCTAAATTAAGTTGTAGTGTTTGCATAGGTTATGGGGCGTTGGTTTTTTATTAAGATTTGTGTAGTTCTATTAGTAACGCGAGGTTGTTTAATTACCCAATTTACTGTAGAGAGGAAATGCAAATTTTTTTTAGAGGTTTAGCTGTCGGGAAATTATTCCAACCATTTGCAATAATTGATAGCAATGTGCAGAAACGATCTATTTTATCAAGAAATAGAATTTTTTTATCAAAATATTGCAAAATCACATTTGAAATATGAAAAATTACTGTTTCCAAAAAATGAGACAGTTTTGTGAGTAAGGCACTCAACCAAAAATAAACGTTTAATGATAGTAGCATAGACCTCCTTTTACTGTTTTGTGGTGAAAAGCTGAAATATATAAATTACTTATATAATTTTATGCTGGGTTCATATGATTTTAAGACCAGGGCATTAACGCATTTTGATGAGATCTCTTTTTTTTCGCTAAGTCTGGATAGCGAAAAAAAAAATTATTGTTGTGTTATTATGAGTTCACAAGGAAATTGCCTGACCATGAAAAAACTTATCACGCTAAGAATGGCCTACCAGTAAGATATTCGTTTCCGCTTCGGTGACAATTATCCATCTGAAGTAAAGAATAGAGATCTCTGCAACTGAGGGAAACAGTCTTACTCGGGCAAACTGAACCAGCAGATACTGCCGTAAACATGCGCTATGAAAAGCGTTACTACTCACAGTTAGATAGGGAGACATAATCTCAGGCTTTATGGTGAATATAGGCTGTTGTATTCAATGTTTTGTTCAAACTATACGAGGTCCAAAATGAAAGATGCTTATTTTATAAATTTCAGAGCATTTACCTCGTTTTACCAACTTATGTAATGCAGAACAAAATCTTTCGACTTCTTTCAGTTACAGGGATAATTTTTAGCGAAATCTGGTTCAAAACCAGCCCCTCCATATTATGATGTTATTTCTGTGGCCGTTTCATCAAACCAAGCTCATATTTGAAACATGTAACGCTTTGGTAATTCAAACAATAACAAAAATTCACTTGTGCTGAGCTTTAAAAAACATTTTTACGCCACCTTAAGATTTCTAGTTCTGTACAAAGTTTTCAATGGCAAGTCATGTTAATTCACAATTACGTTTGTACTCACGCTATTTTATTGACACAGGCTTTGAGTTTCCTCGGATCTTTAAGCGATATGCTGCTGCTCAGGCCCCGGCACCTGCCCCTGCCCCTGCTCCTGCCCCAGCTCCAGCGCCAGCCCCTGCCGCAGCGGGAGCAGCAGGTATGACGTACACTTGCGGATATTTACCACACATACTCTAAAGAAATGTGTCGAAGCAGCATGAACAGATTTGGGGAACTGTAAACAAACATACATAACTGAGCCGCGTATTTCCCACATAAATACGAAAACTACTTGCTAATCTTTCCAAACAAACATGAAAAAATAAAAAAGGGCACCCTCTTACTTTCAAGCAGACTACAAACATCAGCATTAATTTGGGATACTTGAAATGAAATTTAAATTTAGTTTAATCGTATTATTATTCCTTTATTTCATATTAAGAGAAAAAATGTGAGAAGCCGCTGGACATTATATTCGTCCTTGATAGTTCTGAGAAGATTGGAAAAGAAAATTGGGAAAAAATAATTAATGCTTCCATCACCATCGCGTCCAAGTTCAGCTTGCAGCACACTCGATTTGGTGTGATTCAATACCAGTCATATCCAGAAACAGTCATCCAACTTGGAAATCCACCATTTACCGACGACAAGCAGTTGCAAGCCACCTTTGCCAAAATATTCTATAAGAGTGGTGGTAAGAGGACGGATCTTGCCCTTAACAGCACTTTGGATGTGTTCAAAGCGGCAAAGATACGTAGCGGTAGTAAGGTTGTGATTCTGATCACTGGGGGACCCTCTAGCGAGGTGTTTCTTGCTCCTGGAAAATCCATTTCTGGAGAGGATCTTCTGGGCATGCCAACGGCTCAGTTACACAAAGCGGAAGTTGCTGTGTATGCAGTTGGAGTTCAAGAAGGTCTTGCCGACGCTGATAAGAAAACCCTGACCAAACAGTTGGGAATTATTGCCAGCACACCAACTTCAGAACACGTTTTTGAATTAGCTGACTTTGCTACAGTGCTAAAGGATGCTCCGAAAATAGCCAACAAGTCCTGTATAGGTAAGTTTATCAGCAGTATTTCTATAATGCGTAGATAAGATGAGAGCAGAGATAAATTTTTAGCTCAGAGACGAGAGAGAGTAAGATGGTATTTTTGCCATGTCACGTGCGTGGGACAAATGTAAGATTACGATTCCCCATGCAGAATCGAACCTCAGACATTCGGATTCGAACGTAATAGCACTAGAGCGCGGAATCCGATTCTCCGGGTGGACTTAGGTTTCTTTGTACCACGCTCGAAACAAGGCAAACAAAATATATTTTTCTGATCAGTTTACTTTAGTGAAGTTTCCATCGTGTAAATTGGGTTTCCGTCGAGTAAATTGGTTTGCTGGAAGCCCCTTCTGTGCTGATTTTGTGCGTTACCAACCTCATTTTAAAAATATGTGGTCAGCTGTTTTACCATTCTTCTTGCTATGTTAGTAATCAGTGGGATAATTACATCTTACGTGATGTCAACTTGGTGTTCCCCGGATTGAAAATAAAGAGATGAGAATCCGGTTTTTCTTTTTAACCCTGCACCCTAAGTCTTAACATCAAAGTCTCTGAAAACTGTTGTTACGGTATAATATAACCGACAGAAAGAACACTATACTCCTATAATCTCATCTACCATACCAAACGACGTGAAATATTCATACTTAGAAGCGACTCTAATGGAGAATACAATAATTATCCTCAATAAACTTACTTATGCCCACTACAGTCTATATATTAGCTCACCATTGACACAAACTCACAGTTTTCTCCAAAGTTCCTTTAAATGAACAATCTTCCACAGTAGCTGTCTCTCGGTATAGTTTTTCAAACAGTCGGTCACTCTCGGCAACAACAACTAATTACTACTACACGACTGAGTCCTCATCTACATTTACAAAGTATTCCAGAACATACCAGAGGCTTACAACACAACTTTTGTGATAATATTTTATAACTCCGTGCCCAAATAAAATGATCTAGAAAGTTCCATGGTATGCATGTCAACAGGACTAAGCATTCTACAAATTTCTAGAAATTTATATTTAAAGTTATTATCCATGATCTGTGAAGTTGTTTTGCAAGTTTTTTTCTCTTATCTGAGTGTGACACTAACTCCCTATGGTCAGTATTATCTGTGTTAATAAAGTCACTCATTGTAATATACTGAATATTTCAACTCAATAGTTAATGGAGGATGGAGTGCGTGGTCTGCGTGGTCTGAGTGCAGGCATCCCTGTATGGTGAAGATGCGAACAAGAGAATGTAATAATCCGCTCCCTGAGACTGGGGGTCTCAACTGCACCGGCCCAAAAGTCGAACAGTATCCCTGCGCATCAGTAGCTGAATGTCAAAGTAAGCATAAGTGACAATGCCTTATCCAAATCTTATACTTAAAACAGCCTAGCTCTAGGGATGAATAGTCCTTTAAACAGAACTTTAAACTGAGACGACTTAAGGGCGCCGTCTTTCTATCTTTCATTTGATTTCATTAGTTCATTTGTACATTACATTTCATGCGATGAAAATAATGTATTAACAAAGCAAATAAAATGTTTGCAGCATTACCAACAGACTTCAAATTGCTCTCAGTGTACATCATTTTTGTTAGAAGAAATAATTCTTGGAAAAAAACAACTCATGAAATTTTACTCTTGTCGTCCACACCTATCATACGGTAGTTCTGCAATATGAAATATTCTCTCTTTGGAAGAATCTAAACTTTGCAAATGATTGCATTCGGTGATGTCTAGTTTTCACAGTAACTATGAAAATCAAGCACTTAATGACTGGGGCCTAAGGGAAACAGTGAGTTTTGTCCCCCCACACCCTCGATTTGTTCCCCTCGACCCCCGAGAGGGTCGAGGGGCAACAAAACTCATTGTTAAGCGCGGTGCCAGTCATTAAGCGTTCTGTTTTACCTACTAACTCAAGAACAATCGCTGCAAGACTATATTTCTTGAGTTAGGCTGGCACACTAATTTGTCTTGATTCAAGGTGTACGACCTGATCGCACGCAGGTTGAAAGTTCAAGTTGATATTTTCCTAATGCGTTTTGTTCAACCTTGGGAGTTAGCAAGTTTTGACCCATGGCATTGGGCATTTTCTCCTCCAATCGGAACCTATTTGAGTTGGGAGGTATAGCAAAACGGTTTAACAGCTACACAGACCTCTAACATAGTTTTCTTTCGTCCTTTTCCCCCTCGTCAACAAACAACAGGTACTCCACAGCCGGGTAAGTTTGCTTTAAACAATGATCTTTTTTCAACAGATCGTGTTGCATTTTGAACTCTCTTTATCTCAATTTTTTCCTAACCGAAATTCGAGTTGAAATTCTTAGGAATAATGAAAATTGAAAAAACTTAAAGTCTTTTGAAGGGCTCCACTTCTGAAGCAATTTTCATATTGGTTCAATCTACATGAGCTCTACCTGTGACTTTGTTTTCGAGTGCTAGCTCTTCAAGACAATATAACAACCTCAATGCTTAAACTACACAATTTAACATGTAGATGATGATATTTAATCCTGACTAATTTGTAACCAACGATGACGAGTTGCTCACTGCGTACTTGATCTTCCGAGAAATTTTACACCAAAGGAATCCTTGATTTTATGACACGTGTCTCCGAAGAGTGAAGAGGAAATTAAATTCTGGTTTAAAGGTGCCGTGCTATTTGAGGAATTCTCGAACTCTTAATTCTCAATTGAAAATAAAAAATAAAAGAACCGTCGAGGACTCATAATAACTAGACTTACCGAAAAAAAGTGCAGTCACCGTTACCATGGTAATTACGCCATTGAGCAAGAGCAGGAATTTCAAAATTTCCAAAACAAAAGGTAAAATGGCAATCAGAGGAAATTAAATACAAAAAGAAGAAGTGAATTTTCGAGCTTATTTCAGATTTAACCCTATCTTAATTGTTTATTTGCTAAAGATCGACAGGTAGCACATGTGCGAATGGATGTTAAAACCAAACTTGTTACATGACTAACCGCTAACAAACTAACAAACTGTTTTTTCCTTTCTCTTCCTCATGCTCTCTTCTGACGGTAAGTCAATTAAGGCTATCGTTAATTTATCTTTTAATGTTGCCCATAATACTAAGAGATTTTCTTTGATCAAAGGCCTGGAATAAAAAAAAGTGTTAGGAATTGAGTACCTAATCATCTTTTATTAGACTTAAATGGAAAATTTATCAAACTTACGTAAAAGGCAAACTGAATTGCATATTTGTGCTATTTGGCCGTTGGGTACTCTACCAGGGCCCTTTTTTGGTTGTGGCAGGAGGATGCGAGAAACCAATTAATTCTTCTTTGACATCGATATTTTGTAGCTGATGGACTGATTAGTTTTTGATATTTCGCAAGATTCCGTTAAAAAACATACATCAGAGACTAGCTGGATATAATATATGCAAAATTCAACATTTATTGTGCGATTTGGACGTAGGTATTTCTATCTGATGTCTCTCTCTTCGTTTGCCCGATGAGACATATTTCACTTTTCCAGTATTTCCCACCCGTGAATGTTATGGAAAAACTATACCAGGGCAGACACGGATTCCATTTAAAAGGATAGGCATAACCCTAAATGGTATTCCATAACTTACAACCCAGAGTACATATTCAAGACCAACTAATCAAAGTGTCCATAATAGCTCATAGAATGGTACGAAAAAGGGAAAGAAAGTGACAAATCTTGAGCATAATACTGCCATGTCTTTCACTCAAGCATTTATTGCTTCGGTAACATAAAGACAGGTTACAGGCTCATACGATCCACAAAGCGAGCTGTATAAGGCTTCCGACCTCGTGGAAGAGGGCTGTTAAAGCAAGAAAAATGCTCCCTCAATCACTTAAGTTGAAACGGGCCCCTATTTTAGGTACATTTTCCTAACCAGTAGTTGTTCAAGTTTGGCACGTTTTCCATTTGGACGGTTAAAAGGGTGTCTCCTGGCTCTTTACACTTACCACAAAGCTCTTGAAAGCATTAGAAGACAATTATCAAAGCTTGATAATGGTGTATTCAGACTTTACTGCTGTAGATCCCAATATATGGTGATTTATGAACCTTAGATGATAATTCTTAAAAGAAGCAAACTTTCCGTCATAATCAAGAGAAAGTTGCAAAAACATTGAAATTATTGAAATTGATCCTTTGTAAACTTCCCAAACTGATAAACCAGCATGAACGAAGATCGTCAGATCTGCTACTAATGAGAATTTTCATTCCCCTAGGACTAAACCCATTAACGACTCTTGCTCCTAAACAAAAACTTTTACAAACATCCGCACCAACGGAAAAACCACAACCTGCACCTCAACCTAAACCACAACCTGCCCCACAACCCAAACCACAACCTGCACCTCAACCTAAACCACAACCTGCCCCACAACCCAAACCACAAACTGTGCCCCAACCTAAACCACAACCCTCACCCAAACCCCAACCCCAACCACAACCACAACCACAACCTGGCCAACCTCAAGCTCCATCACAGCAGAGTGGAATTGTTGTACATGGATCCCCCGACCCAAAAAGTAAGATCTTTTGCGCTAATAATTCACAACGTTAATCTGGGAGGTTGATAAACTCAATACGAGTACTAATAACGCTCTTAAAGGCTTCTAAAGCTTGCTTACGCTCATGTAAAAATGATATATAAGCGTGTAGTTGAGAGATTTTTGGGTGAGAGATTTGTGTTACATGGAGCCAATTCTAGAGAATTCCCATATTATAGGTTAAGATTAGTTTTGTGACGGTGTAGTAGGTGTGTGGCTTTGGTTGGTCATTCTGATGCCCCACGAGAGAAAAATATAACAAACTGTGTCCAATTCAATTTCCAAGGAATCTAACCCGTATGTGGTAAATATCTTTTGTAAATATGGACATTACGTGTATTTCAAATTCTTTCTTTTACCGTATGTGATTTTTGAGCGCCTTCCGTCTTTTTAGATTGTGCGAACGGATATGAAGTTGTGCCCCTTTCGGATTATCAGCTAGATGCCTCGTCATCTTACGCCGAAGGAATCAATGAAGCAGATAAGACTCAGTCTAGGATTGATCACATGCCCGCCATGGGAAAAGTAAATAATACGAAAGGACGAGGTATTATCATTGGCTTGTACGCTGTCTAACAAAATACAACGAAACATCCAAAGAGTGAGGCAAAAGGACCTGAAATGATTCTGTGACGTAACTATCATCTTAAATCGGGTTCCTTTAAACTTTTATCGTCTTCTTTAAAACCGATGAGATGAGATCTTTTGGTTGATGAGATTAGATGATTAACACTGCTACGATTATCAGTTATATGATCGTGATCATTATTATAATTATTAACGACTATCCACCGACACATAGGTGAATAACTTTTATTAAATACCACACAGATACCAAAATATAAGTTTCTTTCTTTCAATACACCCCAAAATAGTCGAAAATTAAACTCTCGACGCCCAATTTCGTCTCATCGGCTGCTCGGAGGTGAGTATAACTTGCTACTTACTTCCGATCTGGCCAATCGGCGCGCGTGGAAAGGACTTTTCACCTGTGTCGTATATACTATTTATTATTATTATTATATGGTCGTCTTACTTTTTGCTTTCTTTATCCCCTTTTCTCTTACCAGGAGCCTGGTGTGTTGATCATGCCCAAGCCCTAGCTAAAGATAGGAACCAATATCTTCAGCTGAATCTTGGAGCACCAACCACCATTGGAATGATAGAAACGCAAGGCCAGTATTATTACCCAAATTTTGTTACCAAGTTCAGCCTCAATTGCAGTGTGGATGGCGTAAATTGGGTCAGCTACGGCAAGGTATGGTTGTTACTTGGAATTATTTTCTACTTTGAACATTAAAAAAAGGAAAAACAGGTAGGGTATCTGGCGGTGGTCTTTGATTAGAAACCGACGGGAACACAAAGTAAACAGTGGGATTATTTACTTGTTGCGAAGCATTCACGTAGCTTTCAGAAATTCCTACATTAAAATTTACATCTGTGGACCTACAAACTTGTGTAGTCTTGTCTAGGTCAGTCTGTCACAAATTATGAAATCAAATGAATTTTTTACCAACAGACCCTGGATGGTAACTACGACTCAAACTCTCGAGTTGATAATAATCTTAGCCCTGCCATAAGCGTAAGCTATCTTCGGATTATCCCTGTGGAGTCTTCAACAGATGATGTGTGCATGAGAGTAGCAGTCTTCAAATGTCGAGGTAAATTCATATCTTGGGGCTCCAATTGAACCCTTGCATAACATTCCGTGTCCGCCCATATTAGCTCTTGTCCTGAATAGGTGGCATTACCAAGATAATATTAGGTTAAAATACTTCATATGCAGCTTTAAATGGTGGTATAGTTCTCGTGGAAGGATATAATCTTACTGAATTTACCCCTATTGTGATGGGTGAAAATGGGAAAGAAGCATGGTGAATCTTTCTCTCGCCGCTCTAATGACCAATATTCTTTAAAAATATGACTCGAAAGGTAACGAGCAATATCTGTTGTTTGTTAAAGCATGGCCAGTTGTTTTGATAAGATAGTAATAGAAGTTATAGAAGCAGTGACGCAAACTTGAGAGTGGAGAGGTGCCCAAATCATCATCACGAGAGGGTTTTTAGGATAAAGAAGGATCCGTTACACAGAATATACCAAATTCAAGGGTTTCAGAAATTTAGAAAGTTTAAGGAAAGTGAGCCTAATCAGAAACAATACCTTGGTTTAAGGTTCGTGTCGGACGGACGAAAATAAAGAATATACATGATATGTAAAACTTGTGATGGTATTTCCATGGAACATAAGAAAAAAAATGTGTGAATGGTTATTGTTAATTTTTATAGCTGCAAATCTTGTTCCACCGGCAAAAGACCTCCCTGAGGATGGTAAATATAGATTACTTCACGGGGAGGGCATTCGTATGGCATTCCCGCACGAGTTGGTGATATATTAGAAATCGAACGGGTGAGGTTTCTGATACAAACCAACAAGTGCGAAAATTACGTTCGTATACCCTCCCCGTGATGTAATTTGTTTATTTCATACATCTTGACATTGTTTTATGTTTATTTAGTTTTAAATGACTAAGCTTTTAAGTTATTCCAATAAAATTGAAAGCACTTCTTTCACTTGCAGAAAGTAGCTCTAAATGCGTAAAAATTAGCTCAATTAGTTCTAAAGAATTTCAAACCAGGTTTATTCATGATAAAATCGATCACTTGAAGAATAGAAAAAAGCCAGTTAGTGTTAAAGTTTTCAATGGTAGTGGTGTGCTGTCGTCATCATCCAACGGTTCGAGATTTTGTTTGATTCGTTTGTAACTTCGTGCCGCAGAAACAGAACCATCTGTACAAATACCTGGTGACTTTTTCAGTGTTTGTAGTTATGTTGAATTGTCCACCATGGAATACGGCTTCACTGAAAGGCCCTGCCGCACGAAACATCGAGGTTTTTATGAAGGAAGCCTCCGCCTTGGTCGTCAGATTGTCGTCGCAGTAGTCGCACATAGAGCATTACTGCTTTCGTCGCCCGCGGAATTTTATGCTCAGTCTCACTGACGTATTCTTCTGTAGCGCTTTAGAAACAGATTTGTAGCTCCTCACACTTTGCACATTACGATGAAAGTTGCATGATGTGATTGGGGAGAATTTTGCGGTCATTAAGTTTTAGTATCCTTGTTTTCTTTGCGCTGTGGTTCATGATCAGTCGTTTCCCGTCGAGTCTAGCTTCGTTTGCCATCGTTTTCATTAATTAGTTCAGTTTGTCTACCCCTGTTGCACTTGTCTTACATCAACATTTACTAGAATCCTTTGAGTAGTTGATACTAAGATAGAGGGGTACCGCGGCAATCAACATGAGTTTGGTCTTTTCTCGCGATAAATTTTGTAAAGAAACACAGGGTTTCACTCATCTGGCCTATCTTGAGTAACGAAAGCTTAAGGCTTCGCTGATCTGATATTTCGAAGTTCCGTTCCAGTTCGTGTTTTGGTTTGTTGTTCAGAATATTCTATGTATTTACTTCCGTCCACAGCTCTGATATGTTGAACATCTTCCCAAGTCATTTTTAGGTGCTTGTCGCAACCTCCCAATCCGAATGAATGAAGTTCATAGACTACTTAAAAAAGCCTCAGCACTCGTGATTCAAAGCAGGTTTTCCGAAAACATGTTTAGGATGCTGACCTCCCCGTCTGTTTTTGCCTCTGCGGCGTTTGGCTTATTGCTTTTCTTTCTTTCCTTGTTCAGTTGTTTGCTTCGAGCCTCTAAAGCTTTTCGAGTTTGTACAAACTCAAGGTCCTCCATTACGATCATTGGATATTTGCAGGCTTTCAAGGGCCGGTTGAAGCTTGAAAAAAGGCCTCTGAGGCTTAAAGGCTTGAATTCATCTCCGTCTTTTCTCCTGAAAAATATCATAAATTCAACCAAGAAATCATTTAGCTGCTTGGGCCGAATCTCTTCCAGGTTTCTCTTCTGATTCTCTTCTTTCATAAACGCCATTAAAATGGCAATGTCCTGTAGTATTTTTTTTTAAACTAATTTACAGGCTTGTCTAACTCAATAAATCGTAAACTCGAGGTTTCGATCACCTCAAAAAGCTTATTTTAGGAAATAAAGTTCAACCGACCACGAAGCTAGCTTTCAAGTTTAACCGACGAAGAACAAAGAGGAGAAAGAGAAAAAACCCAGTACTTTTGACAGGTTCTTTGTGATTGGACGAATGTTTTTCGTTTCTCTGATTTGATGGCTATAAACAGCTGCAAACTGGGTTTTGAGACAACAGATTTCGTACTGAACACCTCAGCATGCATGGAACTTGAATACGTAACTATTTCGCTCTATCTAAAAAAGTAAACGTAGTTTCTTGTCTACTCAGATTTTTAGCGAAATTTTTCAGATCGTTAAAGTATGATTTATACACCGTATACGAGTTTGCTAAGGTGTATTTATACTTTCATTCTTGTAGCTTGGGCAGATAAATGGGCAAACGCCACACGCAAGTCGAAAATAGAAAAGGCACAGCGTAAAAATAGACATCACATGCCAGAACGTCTCGGAAAAGGTAAATGTCGCCCCTATGCTGTCATCTGCTCGCTTAGAGAAAAAAAAACAGGCAAACAAACAGACTAACAAGAATACGAGACCGCAATAGCTTGATCTCTTTCTGGCGCTAATTTCCGCACTCCGAAACACAGCACCCATTTAGTTTAAAGAGAGTTGAGGGATCTGAAACACGTCATTAGAAACAATCATGTGCACGTGATGTTCTCCGGTGCTGAATGTTTCACCCGATAACAGCCTTGTGTTTAATGCATTTTGCACTTTGATGGTGTTTCTTAATTCGTGTGTTCTTCATTTCAGGGCTCCATGAAAAGCATTAGGCCGAGCAAGTCAGCTTGCGACCATCAAGAATCTCTCCAGTTCAAAGCCAGCATTGGCAACAAAATAACTGAAATGCCTCTGATCTGAATGCCATAAACTTTAGCCAATCATTTCCTGTACTTAGCCCTTGTTTTTCTTGGTGGATCACGTGAATTTCAAGTTTGATGGCTGAGGGTCGTCCTTGGAACAAAATAATAATCTGACCGAATGATTGAAGAATACTGAGCCGAATTTGTTGCTGAAACAAAAATGTTTGAGGCAGCAAAGCTGGATTAGATAGCAAAGTTTTTTTTCATGGTGTTAGGTTCTATTATCTTCCTTTGCTGAAAGCGAGCATAGGTCTGCCGTCGGAGTGGATTAACTCTTGGCGTTTAATGCGGCGGTTTTTTTTTCCTTTTTCAGTTAAATTCGGTATTGGATTATGAAATTGTTATTAACTTATGTTTCGCCATCCTAAACCAAACTTTACTAAAAGTATATTTTTTATAGAAGCTGAGGTTGATAAAATTAAATCTGAAATAAAAACCTGTTTATTTTAAGCCTCAACCTACTGGTTTCATCATTTCGTGGTGGGTTTTGTTTTCTGTCACGACATCCTATTTTGAGTTTTCATTTTCTCTCAGTTGAATGCACAAAATTATTTTCTGTTCACTGGGCTTTTAAGTGTCTGTTACAGATTCTTTGCAGAAAAAAATCTTTTTATTTCCATTGAATTTTCATTAATCTCTTTTCCTGGATAATGAAACCAAATGATCTCATGCGCTCATTTTTTCTCTTGTCATATTCAAATTGCGAATTTCAAAAGTATTTTAGCTCTGTCCACCTGTTATTGTGTTATTTTTCTTGCACTTTCAATGTAATTACACGTGGCATAAATCGGAGTAACAGATAGTGAATAACACGACCACAGAAATTTGTCTCTTACCCTTTGGTTCAGTTTCAAGAGAGACTCCTACGCATCCAGCAGGTGCAGCTTAATCTCCAGCCATCTGAGTGAGACTCAAATATATCTTGAATGTTTTCGTTCTTTGACTTCCCGTTGAAGCTACACTGATAAGTAATGTTGATCAAGTAACGTGTTCTGATCAATCATCTTTCGGTATCAGAGTTGAATTTCCGAGACATGTATTATTTACCAGTAACTGACGGTGCAACGGATATGTCTCAGTTGAACCCTTTGGCTTATTCCTCTTTCCTAATTGTTTCATTTTAATCTTTTTAGCAAAATGAAGTATTAAACCTTCTTTGTGGGACTAAACCTCCTTTTTAACGAATCAAAATGCTCACAACGACAAAAAAATATTTTTTGAAAAAAGGGATATATCGGGACCGCCATTGGTGTACTGCTTCCATGCATCAACAAATTCAAAGATTTGAATTAGGAGCCCTAAAATGACCACAAATCATTGGCATTCTCCTCAGCTAATCAGTCAAAACAGGCTATCAGCGATTTTGGAAATAATGAGATCAATAAGGGTTTGAAAGTGAGGGAATTTAGAGCACATGGACAAGAGGAAAAGATTTATCGTGTTTGTTGTGAAACAAGTTGCCAGTAGCACTTTGAGATGTAGATATGATTGGCAAATGAAATTAATCAAACGTAGGGCGTGTGCATTGAGTGGGAAGAAAATATCCTTCAAAACTTGTGCCCTCTCGGGACCGCCACTGGTCTGCTGCTCTGCTTCTGAACTTCACATTTGAGACCACGTTAAACTTTTATACTTTGCAGATTGCAAAAAAGAGCAAAAAAATCAGGAAAAGAACGAGTACTAAGATTTTATAGAAATAGAAATGGGAAGTAATGAGTTTGTTACAGGCAAAGCGTAATTCTACAAAGATTTTTAATTAGGAACTGATCCAAATTGGCTTATTGTCAAACCCTAAAATTCCGTTTTCACTTATTGCTGAGAGTCTCGAGCTTTCTTCCTCGGCCTATAACAATATTGAATATTCCATTACGGTCTTCCAACAGTGCCTACCTAAGTCAGTCAGCCTGTGCTACCTTAACATGCAGGTCCTTTGTATTTTATCCTTTGAACCCTTTTGTAAAGGATAGTTGTTTTCCTCCTGATGCTGATCACTTTCGATGTCATGTCAGTATTTTTACATGATTTGCATTCTTCTCAGCTAGTCAGTTAAAACAGGCTATCAAAGATTTTGGAAATAACGAGATCAATAAGGGTTTGAAAGTAAGGGAGTTCAAAGTACATGGACAAGAGAAATATTTATCGTGTTTGTTGTGAAACATGTTACCAGTACCATTTTGAGATACAAATATGATTGGCATAATGTCATTGGCACAATTCGTTTTTGGGATTTGATCCAATTAAACTTTTGTCAAACCTTTAAATTTCGTTTTCAATAATTACTGAGAGCATCAAGCTTTCGCTGTTGGGCGATGACGATAGTGTTATTCGTGGCCGCCGCCCGATAGTTCCCAATTCGGCCATCATACAACACTTACCTTACTCAATCAATCCGAAGGCCCTTAACAAGCAGGCTGAAGATGGTGGTAATCCTCCTCATTTTAACAAGTTTCCTTTCGATGAGCTGTGAGTATATCTGCATCGTTAGAAATTATTATGTGACAATGTTTTATCGCTTTCTGGCACAAAGTCCTTCCCAAAGGTATGCAAAGTGTGCAAATAAATCAAGTGAGAACATTAGTTCTTTCAATAATTCCAATGATTCCAGGGTCTATGAACGCATTTGTTTGTTCTGTTTTGTTTTCTTGCGCTTTTTTTGTTTTTTTTTTCTTTTTGCTTCAATTCGCCGGTGTTGTTTATGGCTAGCCCACAGCCCGGGACTCTCTTAAGCTAGAAAATTTCTCAAAGCGATTGATTTTTCTCGTTCTTTCAAAAGAACTACTTTTTTTGATAGTGATTCATTTCAAGTAAGCTTGGATATTTTACATCATTCAACTCGCTAGTTTTGGTTTCAACCGTCGCAAGAGAGCAGAATATTGTGCCGCAAATGAGATAAAGTCTATTTGAACATTTACCCATAAAGCCTTTATGTCTCATCGATCTTGGTTGATACTGTGAAGCAGATAACGTTTTAGCAATCGAATGCATCGAATTGATTTTCTCTCAGCTCGTGGTTTCCTTTCTTTTCTTATGTTTGTTTGTTTCGTTTGGTTTTATTTTTTCGTTTTATATGCCTCTGTTTTAAACAACGTTTTTGACATCATAAGTTTGTGACATACTTGAATCAATGTTTTAGGTTGGAATGAGATATCTGGCTTACAAATGATCACTCAGCCGAATAAAAAAATCGTTTCCTTCATTGGATCTAATCAAACATTTGTCTGGAATTTCGTTCTCACTGAGGAAGAGAAAGCAAAGGACTTGAAAGTTACCTTTGGTCACTGGAGCAAAGAATACAGCATGGTTTTAGGCGACCACTTGGTAACATTTGTTCAATATTCGACAGCGAACGAAAGAGTGTATAAAGGAAATGCCTCAATTGCAAGGCGTTTAAATTGGGTGGGAGACATGGCACGTGGCTTCGTGGCTTTCCAACTGAGTAATGTTCAAGCAAACGATTCTTCAGATTATGGGATCAGGTTCCGCGTTGATGGTTTTCCTCCAGAGACGGAAGAAAGTGGATTTACACTCTCTACGCAGGTTTGAAATCATTTGTTTTTTTAAACATATATTTTCATTTCTAAAAGGATACTCCACGGTTCGTCATTCATGAAATAGTCAAATGCGTGTTAAATAGGCTCGACTAGAAAAACTTTTTCAGCTGAAAAAACATGAGCCATAAAAAATGACCTCCGTCCGATCTCCTTGGAGCCCCAGATGTTTTTCGTGCTATGACGTATGTGTCTTTGCCACCTTGCCTCTCGATGATGCTACCTAAATAGACAAAATTTTCCACCTCCTCGAGTGGTTTCCGTCCAGAGTTATTGGTTCTGGGATGCTGTAGTTGATTTTGAGGATCTTGGACTTTTCTTCTAGTATCTTAAAGCCAATATTGGTTGACGTGGCCCTTATTACTGTCGTCCGTTTTGAATCTGCTGCTGGCTGTGAGAAAGCAGCGCTTGGTCATGTAAAATTTCCAAGTCATCCAATCGTGTCCTCATTTTCCTCTGGATTCCATTTCTTTTCTGGGCCGTTGTGTTTTTCAATTCAGTCAATGGCAAGCAAATACAGGTACGGGAGAGAAAGCTATTCCCTATAGTTGGAGCAGTTGCTGAGGTCTCTTTTATAGTGTCTGCTGAAATCCATTCATTGTGCTGGTGTTTCCTCTATTCTACCACTTCCTCACATGTTGTTAGAAAAGATTAGTTTTGCTTTTTTTCCAATAGATCTCAAATTCTTCTTTCTCCATCAGCTCTTGTAGTACTTTGAATTTTTTAGTAAGCTCCGGTGAAAACTTGTCACTCGTTTACAAGTTCTTAAGCTGGTCAACTTCAAATTTCTTCCATCTGTTGGTCTCCTCCATCCAGCCTTTATTCAGTTTCAGTTTCAGTGTTGCAGTCAGAAGGTGGCGGTCTGTTGCTGCATCTGGTCCTCTCTTCACTCGGACGTACTAGAGAGACCTCCAAAACTTTCCAGCGATACAGATGTGGTCAATTTGATTCTCTTTCCTGCCATCTGGTGAAATCCAGATAGCAGTTTGTGGATCCTCTTGTGTGGAAAGATGCTATCGCCATTTCTGATCATGAGATTCAAAAGAGGACGATGTATTAAGCAAATTAGATCAATTTTAATATTTTATGTAATGCTAAGGCAACTTTTTTTTAGGTTTTGTTCTATCCGAACCTTTGTAATTTGCATAGTGAACAGTTACGTGCGAAGCTTAAGAGCGTTTTTAGAAGCAAAAGACAACCATGTGTAACTCTTGTAAGTAAACCTAAGAACGAAGTGTTTTGCCTTCACAGGATCCACCTCCATCACCAACCACGCCACCAGGTGGGAATTTTCTTGGTCTTTTATTCCTAATTAACATGACTACTTCAAAAATATCCATTCGAAGTTAAATCGGGATGCTGATGTGCTTATGAAAAATGTTTATAAATCTTAGAAAGAAAAGACCAATAAACAGACTGGCCTCAATATAACTCAACTCCATATACCAAATGTTGTTTAGCAAGGCTTTGTTTTCTGCACAGTGTTCACGGCTGCAAACATTGGTGATCCAGTAAGTCGGTTAACATGCAGATTAAGGTAGCGATCTTTTTTGTAAGAAGTTAATCTGCCAACAGTGTAAAATTGGTTCTTAGCGACAGAAATGGTGCACCCGAGCCTGAGATCATAACTCTTTTTTATCACTCAGAACCTGAAAATATAACCGTCAAGATTGAGGAGGGTAAAACACTCAACATCACCTGCCGTTTCATAAAGGAGCCGGAAAGTTCATCTGTCATATGGCTGAAAGATAATCGGCCCATCAAGAAAGCCTCAGGGAGCAGATTCCTCTTCATTCAAAGCATAAAAAGATCGCAATCAGGAGACTATAAGTGCGTCTCACTGTCCCCTCACAGAAATTACAGCTCACCTTTCACCGCTGTCGATGTTGTATGTAAGTATTTAAAAAATGTGCGTAACTTTTAGAGAGAATTGCGCTATCGATCGTAATTACAAATTTTTCTTTATGCACTTTTCAAACAATCAGATTTATGCAAAACTGACTAGGTCATGGAAGAAACACTTATACCTGAGAGTCTTGGCCTTGTGTAAAGTTATTTCCCAACCATTTTCTTTCTTCCAGATGCACCGAAAATACTCAAAACTAATAAACAAGTGTCCATAAAGTTAACGAGGGGAGACTCAATCACGCTCAAGTGTACTGCTGATGCAAATCCTCAGCCAGCGTTTACTTGGCACACGCAGGGTGCAGAGATCAAACAAGGCTCATACACCTCCAACTCAAGTTCCTTAGTAGTCACTCCCATAAATGACGGGGACTTTACAAGTTACGTCTGTATAGCAAACAATGAGATAGGATTTGACTCGGTGACGTTTATGGTGAACGAAAAGGGTAAGTAAATGGCAGTCTGTAAGGAAACTCTATCTTGGGCTGAAGCAATTATTAGGCGATGGAATCCAGGGCAGCTTATAGATCTACTGCATATAGACTAATTAAGTTCAGTTACACTCATCCACAATCATGAGCAACATTGGTTGCATGTGCATGTTAACATTGACTCCAGTTAATGGTGGTTATTGTTTTACTAATTCAAAGCATTATGAATTCCCTCGATAGTACAACACGAAAATCCCGAAACGGGTGCCTCGAAAAATAATAACGCAGGTCAGTTAATTAGAAAAGACTTCATCCTTTTTATCAAGAATACTTTTTAGGGTTCAGAGTTCTTAAGATAAACTTTTACTTTAGCCTATGATAAGTTCTACAGTCGGGCGTTTTATTGAAGTCAAACTAATAAAAGTTAACATTGAATACTTGGACCGCGCGAACAGCGCCCGCCTTTATGTGAATATTTTCGCAAACATTTTCCATGACAAGTTTCGTTTTATTCCAGACCAAAGTCAGAGTAAGCCTCGTCAGGAAATTATTAAAACTTATTTCCTAAGACTGTCTAGGAATGTTTAGGCGTGAAAAGAAAGCATCAGCGATTAAGAGAAGCAGAAACAGGGGAAGACAACAGGGCACTATTTTTTTCATTCGATACATTTCAGATTATAGCCATACTTGAACATTACATAACTCCGGTTAAAATATTTATATTATCAGTGTAAAAAAACACTTTGTGCTTTTCCTCCATGGGCCTTAATACAGATTAGATTATCCTGTAAAGTAAGAGCGTAAGAGAACATTTCTCTCTCAAACAGGGGACAAAGAGACACTTACCAAATACCTGTCTATAACAGCGGCCTTAGCCGTGATTACCATTTTCGCGTTTCTCATCCAACGACATGTGGCTAAAAGAACCAGAGGAAACAACAATCAACGAGGATGTGAGTAAATATCAGATTCACAGCTGGCTAAATGAATGTAGTTTGACATCACTGATACATGCTGTTTTATGTAGATACTGTTAGTTAGTAATGCTGTAAGTAACGTAAATTAATTTTATTATTTCAGGTGAAGAAGCCGATGAGAACCACATGTATGTATTTATTAACTCTATACTGAATTATACATTCTAAACTGTTTTTGCCTTTAAAATTTGATCAAAAAGTGACCTTGTTAACCACCAGAGAGTCCTCGCAAGCTAATGAACTTGTTCGACATGGAGCTTACAACTTATCGTTCTCCGGTGATCCTGAATGGGAAATACCGCGAGCAAGGTTGAATGTAGAGAAAATTATTGGGCGTGGTGCATTTGGCGTGGTGTCAAGAGGCTTGGCGCTGGATTTACCAGGAAAACCAGGATGGACTGTTGTAGCGGTGAAGAGTGTCCAAGGTTTATTTTAATCTTCCTTTTTATGTAAAAAAAAAAAAAAACTTTTTAATCTTAGATGCTTAAATTGTTTGTAGGTAACAAAGAACTTTAAACCAAGAACTCTGAGAAGTTGAGAATTATATGTTTTGTTTAGAATCATATAGCCTTGATCTAAATAGTATCGATATCATAAACATGAGATAATATGGGTCAACGTGAGTAAGTGAAAATTACGTTATGCTGACCATCAGATATGATCTAAGTGGAGCTGTAAAGAAGTCAGATGTTCTTAGTATTAATTTGATGTTAGACAGATTAGAGTGACGTTTTGTTCTGTCGGTGTTTATAAAGATGATGCTTCAGAAAAAGAGAAGTTAGACCTGTTGTCAGAGATGTCAGTCCTTAAGCACCTTGATCCTCATCCTCACGTCATTCGCCTGTACGGCTGTGTTACTACTGAAGGTGAGCTTAAGGCAGACACATCATTGCTGTCAAACGTACCTTTGTGTTACGAACCCGTCTGCTGTCAGTGTCACTTTCGAATGTGACTTCTGTTTGTACAAGTCGTATTGTTAAAAATGCCTCCATCTATATCGCTGTTAACGTCACTTTTAAAGATAAGATAGGTATTGATTAAGAGATGCATTGGTTGGGTGTTACGTCATCCTTACATACGTCAGTTAACTATGTATGCCGAAGCGAGGTAATGGCTTACTTTCAAATATCTTGAACTATGGTGTGTTAGTTCTTTGTGCAACAGTTATTGAAACCTTGTAGAAATCCGGTAGATCATCAACATGATCAGTTTACCTTACTTTGTAACGAACACAACAAGATTAAGTTGATAACCAGAATATATCAATTGAAGATTCCTCAGCTAAAGTAAAATTTATCTTATATTAGCACGGCCGCTCGTAGTGGTCGAGTATGCGCAGTATGGTGACTTGCTTGGGTACCTGAGGAAGAGCAGAGGAGTCCGAGATAACTACTACAGTGATCCTTCGGTAGAGCCCCGCACCAGCCTCACTTCCAAGCAGCTACTTAGGTTCGCATGGCAGATCAGTGATGGAATGGACTACTTGTCTAAGAGAAAGGTAATAAATTCACAGTTGATTTTTTATGGGACAGCTGGAGAGTATTCCGAAAATAAAGTCATAAAGTTACTTTGTAACGAACGATCACTGTAGAAATGTATAATTTTGTTTTTTGTCGTTAGATCATTCATCGCGACTTGGCCGCGAGAAATGTTTTGGTTGGTGACGAAGACGTTTGCAAAATCACGGATTTTGGAATGGCCAGAGATGTCTGGGAAGAAGACATATATGTGCGAACCCACGAGGTACTTCTTTATGACATATTTTACTCTACCAGTATCCAAGCAGTTGGATTAAAGAGTGCACTTTTCAAGCTAGTTTTTTTTTCCTGATCTTTGACTACAGGGCCGTCTTCCGATTAAGTGGACGGCAGCTGAGGCTCTGTTTGGAGATGGTGCATATACTACTCAGAGTGATGTGTGAGTTTGTTTTGTCTTTTCTACACTCTATTCATAAACAGTCGAGCAAATATCACCAGGACATATTGATAATTTTTCCGAAATAAACTCAGCGACAATATTTTGAGTTTGAACATAGGGAGATGCCCAGGGTCTAGGGAATCTAAGTTACGAGGAAATACGATAAAATGATCAACCCATTATGTTTTTGTGTAAATTTCGTTTGAACGAATTATTTTTCGTGAAATAGTTTTGGCAAATTTTTTTGAGGCCAATTTCAATTATTAAGTTAAATTTTCTCTTAGTTCCCATCAAAACCGCGTTTTCGTTATTTGATTTTCATGTATCGAAATTTACAAAAGAACGAAGTCACCAGCAAAATATATTTTAATTAGCTTCGTTCACGGTATGAACATCCAAGTATTCAAATGAGGCAAGAATACTGAATAATTCCGAGTTTTTGTCATTACTCAAACTCAGGTGGAGCTTTGGTGTGGTGATGTACGAGATCTTCACTGTAGGTATGTTGAAATGAAAAATATAGAACTTAATTTTAAAAGGTAAGCTCAAGCCACTGTTCCTTTGGCTGAATGTAGAGATACTGGCAGCTTAATGGTTAACTAGCATTTTCGCTACATACTTTCGGTTTCATTATAAGCCAAGTTATAAGCAACCAGCCCACAAAAAAAAGACAAGAGAAGAAAGAGAGAACAGAAACATATTAGAAGAAAAACAGGTCGTAAAGTCTCAGAGATTCTCTCAAACAAACTTTTTTTTTGACATCATGTATCCATATACAGCTCCTGTCCACAGCTTGCGACATTTGATTACTTTTGCCTATGTACAGACGAATTACACTTCTTCAGGTTCACAAATATGTCTTAAGTAATTTCTGGCTAATAAAGATAACGCAATTCTTACTTTCCCTTTGATAATTTCTCACAGGTGGGGACCCGTTCCCTGGGGTGTATATGAGAGATATCCCCGCGCTGTTGAGGAATGGGTTCAGGATGTCACGCCCAAAATTTGTCAGTGCAACGCTGTGAGTAGCTGTCATTGTAAAACAGGTGGTCAGAGTAGCTCAAACAGCAACGCCAGTGATGCTCAACTTTTCTGTCCCCCCCCTCCCCCTCCATTGCATTTCAGTTGAGAGCTGAGGCCGAGATTATTATTTTAGTTACAAACACCGAGCGGGACGCGACCGTTACATTTGTTTTGGCATTCCAAAGCTGTCATAACGGACAAAAAAGTTACAACGAACACCAGCTAAAAGGAAAATACCATTCTTTGCTTCTTAAACGCTTGTATTCAAAATATCTAATGTTCATTATCTTTTAAGAGACTACAATGATTTTTGTCTATGTTGGACAAAATAAACAGACCTTTTACTGTTTCGCATTGGTTTAAAAGTACGTATCAATGAAAGCAATTTTGAGAAAGTTTAGCAAGTGGCACCAATAGCCAAAAGAAATCTCGAGCAAATGAAAATAATTATCTGCTACACATCCGCACTTATCGATGATAGTCAGGCTGTTCTGTGTTGTGAGCAGTATGGGGGCTCTTCGCCTCAAGAGAAATTATAATAAGATGTATGCCTTTGTGGTAAAAATGTGTATTGTTGACACATTAATAAATAGATAGACAAGAAAGAAAAGTAGCAAATTTAAATTGTGTCACCGACCAACGTTTTTTTCAAACAGTTACGATATCATGATGGAATGCTGGAAGACCGAACCCTTACAAAGGCCAGACTTTGAGGGTTTACGGTCACTATTACATAGCATGATCCAGGACGAAGAACAGGTCAGAAATGAAATGTTTGTTTAAAGAGCTTAGGTTCGTCAATGTGTGAGATATCTCTTTAGGTCTTTATGTTTTAAGATAATTCATTTTCAGTTTTGTCAATGCCATTACGATTATTATCTGACAGCATTATGGCATGCTATCTAGTTAAAGTTTTGGTAAACGTGACTGTATTTGTTTTAAATTGTGTCTTTCTATTTTCTTACACTTAGGAGTATGTCAACTTGGAGGAGCTGTTTTATGAAAATGTGCTACCAACCAGTCTCTCAGGAGAGTGGTCAGTATAGCATTGAGCTAAATCTAACGAGAACAAGACAGATATAGTTACCAGGCAAATGTATCAACTTAAACCGACAAAGGAAAGATTGTAAGGGAATAAATAAAGAGATTTACCCGAGTAACTTTCGCAATCTCTCACCGAGTTTCAGATGTAGTTATAAGAAGTATACTGGGTGCTACAGCAGCATTTTTATTCTCAAATATATCTATGTTCATACTGAAAAGGAACGGTATGAAGAAAATGAATATGTTGTTAAATCAATAAAGACGAAGTTGTAAACTGTTGCCTCTTTATTTTTTCATAACTACAATTGAATTTAACCCTGTAATGCCACTGTATTTGAGGCAAATGTTTGGGGAAAATCTTGGTCATGGCCATCCATGCCAGTGGGTGGCGAATAAAGTTGCCTATTGGGTTCAGCCTGTACCAGGTGGCTGCTCGTACGCGATAAGGAGAAATCAGAAATTCACAGGTATCCTATAGTCACCCACATAGTTCAAAGAGGACCCTGAGATATATTGTTGATTAGCCCCTCGATACCCCTGATTTATCATGATACCCAAGAATACCCTTGTTTTTAACTTTACCTTTATAGCTTACTAGGTGAAATTTGCCAATTTCGTTATTTATCAATTGGCGCATCGTATAAATCATTGCAAAACATCTGGAAATAGACCTATTTCCGGCAATTTTCGAAGACTATGAGCCGGCCTCATAAATGAGTTGAGCTGGAAACGCCTATCGTAGACTTGTACACTTTGAAACCCAAGGAATTTGCTTTCAGAAATACTGCGAAACTTAAAACAACTCAAGATAAATCCACTGACGCTGGCAAATGAGCTTCTAAGCACTCTTGATATTATCTCAAACGATTCAGCTCGAGCCGCGTAATTTCACGTGGGTCGTTCCTCCAGAAGTGACTTTTAGAAAGTTTACTTTTACGCTTAATAGAAACTTTTGAGTTTCAAGAGCTAATACTTTTGAGACTCACGTTTTTTCTAAATGTTGTTTGTTTCTTTAGTTTCAAATGCTTTTCGAACGTTGTTTACTACGCTACTCGTGCTTTCATTAACATCATCGTTCACGTGGATTTTGAAATCGTGTGAGATGAATCTTGTTGCAAAGACTTTTAGGTGAAATGGCCAAAATATCGAAGATATTCACATTTATTAAAGTGGGTAGTGTACTAGGGACCCCTAAAACACCAGAAGGTGGTTCGAAATGTTGATCAAGCAAATATACGATTGAAAGAACCTCTCAGGTGTTATTGTGTGGTGGTGGTAAAAAAGGGAGGTGTGATCTGTTCCTCTGGTTGCCTTGCCTAAATCAAATAGCGCGTCTAAGCATTCGGAAGTTTGGGTTTCCTTTAACCCACTCCAATGACAAGCGCCTTCTTACCCCGACTATTCGAAAAAAAAAGAAAAAAAAAGGAAAAAGCTGCTCGTAATTAGAAGTGGTTGTGTGGAATTGTCCAAGCGTCGGAAACTGCGTTTAATCATTATCTCCAAAATTAACAGGCTTATGAGTAATTCAGACATTCACTGCGTTTTTGAAATCCAAGATTTTTTACCAGGCGGTTGACCTCAAGGGTCTGTTCTCAGAAAAGTAAAGTTACATTTAAAAAAAGATTTCTTGTAATGTGCTAAAAATTTTACGACGGACGTCGCTGTTCTGAATCTTGCTTAGAAACCTTGTTGCTTTCCATTCCTCAGAGATCATTCTGAACAATTAGGAGCTACCTACTCTTGAAAAACGTTACTCTTCTCTCTATAATGATATTTTGCGATAACTAAAACAACAGCTCTTTGTGAACTGGCTTTTGTGCTTCCCGCCATTTTAGTTGAATCATAGGATGTCACACATGCGCAGCAAGGTTGCTGGTTTGTTTGTTTGTTTTTTTTTTCCAAGTAGCGGCATCTATTGTCGAATTTTTAGTTCATTTCAAGGTAATTTTTGTGCGGTTTAGTTACCTATGTAAATATGAAAACGAGGTTGAAGTTATATTTTTATATATACTTTTGAATGACAGAAAAAAAAGTTATATGGTTTCCATGTGTATCTTATAGAAATTAGAAATGACCCAAACGGTTATCACTAATTTTATGTTGATGGATGAAATCACCACCCCTTACATCAGTAAAGCGTATTATATTGGAGTTTAGGAATTAACCAATCATTGATAAACACTTTCTGATCACATTAATCACTAAAGCTGCTGAAAGATGAAAATATTTTTCACTCGAAACGCATATATAAACCCAGAGTGAAAAAGAATACAAGATGTCCCTTGATGGACTTTCACGTATTTGTATCTACATCAGAATTTGAAAATTTTTCTTGGAAGTTGAAATCCTGATTTAGATTCAAGGAAGTGCGACTACTATTAAACTTTGTTTCAGTTGGCTGCTTGGTAAATGTAGTTGATAATGCTTTAACTTCAATATCCTTCACCGAGAATACCTCATCCTTGTCTCAAACAGGTAACTGTTGGGCCACCGCGTCTCAGGCTCACGACTGAGCCCCTCCTCTTCTATATTAATAATTTACTTCTACTGGTTGGATTCCAACGCTATATGATTTGGTCCCGAGAATCGTGTGAGAGATGGGGAGGGAGAGAATCTATTTTTTTCCCCCGGTCCATGATCTAATTCATTAAATTCAAGGTAGCCGTCAGCGTTTCATGAAAAGTCGTGCATATAGCTGAAATGCTAAGGACTGAAATTAACTGAATTTTCCACTTATTAATGAACAACGAGGTTATGGTTGTTCTTCATGTTGTTCATAACTGACATTAAATTCAGGTCAGAAAAATCCACCTTTCATCACTGAACAAAATCTTCCGGTTTCTGTGATTTGAATCATAGTACAGAGGCCTGATTTTTAGCAGCCTACCCTGGACAAACCAAAAAGCTTTCATGGATTTTAAGTCCAACTTCTGCGAAAAACTTCATAGACAAAAAAAAATTGTTAGGGAACTAGAAATGTGGACGGAAACAAGTTAAGATTAGACTTGTGATCGTTTTTCATCTTAATCAGTCCTTCGCAGGAAAAATATTCTTTAATGACGAAAGCTCGATTCAAATTGAGGAAAGCTATAACCTCAGTCTTGAGTAAAAAACTCAGATATCTGCTCGTCTTTAAATGTTGCCATGGTAAAGTCCCATTTCAAAGATACCACAACGACAAAACTAAATACTTTAGGTCATTTCACAAAGTTTACTTCAAGCATAGCCACCTTTGCAGCCGCTGTTTGGTCTCACCACTCCACGCGCTTTCTCCCTCGTTGCGTGATTTGATCAAACAAGGACTGTGAAGATTACTTAAAACACTATTTAACGGTAAAGAAAATTCACACAGCCTTGTAAAGTTGAACAAGTAGCCCTTCAACACAAAAACCAGAGGCGTATTTCAGGTAATGAGACTGAGAAGAGTAAGCAGATGGAAAATCGGACGAGAAAGGCAGCGAAACACGTGATCAAGAACTCAGAATCTCATACCGATGGTAATACTTTTATAGCAGTGCTCCAACCATCCTGATAAAAACAACAGGGAAAACAAAGCAGCAGGAAGAAAATTGCACCCAAACTTTCACTAAGAAACAGGCTGGATGTACCTGACGTATGCACAAAAATGGCCTTGACGAGATTGGGAAGTACTACGGGCACTTTATGTGTCTCAACCTTGTCTCTTCAGGAGGAAAGTAATTGAAGACCAGTGGATTTGTAGTTGCACAATGAACAATTTATAAATTCATTCATATTTTATTTGTGCTATGTCAAATGTAAAAATACAGTCATTTCTCGGCATTAAAATAAGCCAAGCCAACTATTCAGCAAATATAGCAAATTATCTAATTCTTAAATCACTCTAAACAAATGTGATCGATTTCACTTACAAAAGATAACAATTGCTTGAGTAGCCTATAGCGGAACCATATTTGAAAGTTACATAATTATAATCTATTGTAAAAATTGTCATGTAAACTCTATATAAACTCTTCTTAAATCACTCTCTAAAAATTTGATGGATTTCACTAACAAAAGACAAGAATTGCCTGAGTAGCCTATGGCGGAACCATATTTGAAAGTTACAAAATTATCATCTATTATAAAAATTGTCATTTAAACTCTATATAAAAAATACAAAATACAAAGACTATCATCGTCATAGTCAGTAACTAATCAACCTCTCACGATTGCACATGCTATATAGTCAAGCGTATTACAAAAACATTAATTTACAAAACATATATGTAAATTTTAAAATTCTTCCTAGCTTGATGAGAGGCGATGTATATATCTCACTACTGACAAAAATAAAGATCATGGCACAACGCGCACCTGCTCTAATAAGAACTAGGCGACTACACGAGTGACTCTTCAGTGGAAACGTCTCTTAATTTAATCTACATCAACTTACATTAACTTCTTTGCAAATCTACTAAATATATATGTAAATTTTAAAATTCTTATTAGCTAAATCAGAGGCGATGTATATATATCACTTCTGACAAAAATAAAGATTATTATGGCACAACGTGCACCTGCTTTAATGAGAACTAGGCGACTACACGAGCGACTCTTTAGTGGAAACGTCTCTTAAAATTTAATATGTTTAACCTATTGCTATTTTGACTTAGACGGTAAAGTTTACGGTGCGGCACAGACAGATTAAAGTTGAAGTCTTGGACGGTCTTTCCTCTCACACTAAACAGTCACTAACCTCAGGTCTCAAGCTCTGAATAAGTAAATAGAAACGGAAAATTTCAGTAGAAAAAATAATGTGGACTCTTAACTACAATTGATCAACTCTTCCACTTTATGTTCGAAGTCTAAAGGAAACGAAGACATTCGACAGCTATAGTCTGCTCAAATATATATTAAAACACGTGGCGTTTTTGTTTCGAAAACTTAAAATTGATAGCAATTAAACAATAACGACAATGCCGGTACTGAATAAGGCTGAGCCCAAACCTTCCCCTCAGAATTTAACAGCAGCATTGCCCAAACCATATTAAGTGAAAAGTGATAAATGATAAAGAAAAACTACTAAACAAAGACAGCAAAAGATAACAATATCTGTCAGCCAGATATTCTTTTAAGGTTTGTGTGACAGAGTGCGGACCGTCCAATATTGTACTTCAAAGTCAGCCAAGTGTAATAGAATGAGACTGACAAAGTTTACAAGGTTTTGTGGTTTTCGGAAAAACTCACATGCTCTGCATATTAGAATACGTTACGTCCCCTCCAGAAACGTTAGCATATGTAGGATCAGGCTGAGGGACACCAAACTGTGTTATGTCAGCGTATTCAGTTCCTTCGTACGCTGGAGGACGAACAACTGCAGCTGCACTAGCACCAGATGGTCCAGCGGCATGTCCAGCGTCATGTCTTCTAAACTCATCCAACTCAGCATAATCAAGCTCCCCGGGTCTCTGTCGAAAGGAAAAGATAGGCAGTCTGAGACTACATGTGGCGTCTGATATGGCGCAATTTTCTGTAGCATTGAACAGAAATAGAGGTTGTCACTATGCTCCGGTCGCACCTTGTACACCTTTCTGCAGAGAAAAGTTTATTTTGTTTATCAGGCGTCCGCGAGAGGCCTTTGTGAAAGAATGTTTGTCTTCTTTAGTGTCGCGGCAAGCACTAAAATCGTCATTTGGAAACAGATCGCTAATTTAAACAGTAACATTATCTATTTTCGAAGGTAAATTTGTTTCCAAAGATTCTATGATACGCTGATCACATTTCCTGGTTTTCTTCTACACGGAAAAGTTTCAGTTTGTTTATCGCGCGGGAGAGAAACCATGATGAAGTGTTTTTGAATGTAGCGTCACGGCAACTACTAAGAAAATCATATCTTGGGTGTTGTTAGGCACAAATTAACTTGTTTCAAACGCTTTCTTCTTTCTTTAGTGTATACTGCGCCTAATAATCCCTAGTGCGAATGTCGAACTACAAAAGAAACAATGAGTGACATTGTGTCAAATCGGGTGAAGTTCGGCTTCCATTGTTACTTACCCTCACTCACTCACTCACTCACTCACTAATCCTACAAAAAAGTGGTTTCACCTCAAACTATACAGGAAGCAGTGGCCACAAAAATGATTCGAATGATACTTTCCATTCACTACAGTTTACTGTACCCAAATTCGCAAATAGAAAGCCATGTCCAGTGTTGTGATATCCTACGATTTGCTTACTGACCTGATACCAAATGATATCATGGTCACTTAAGCTAAACAAATGTCACGGTGACATTAATTTAGACGAGGTATTAGAAGTTAAAGACAAAGCTTGCAGATTATGGTTAAGGTGAAGAACAACTTTTACTACAACGCCGCCGAACAACAACATTGGACGATCAAATACTGGTAAACCTAACTGTTATTTAGGTATCAAAAGTACAGCTATGCTTCTCTGCCTCACAGAACGATGGACACTAAGCAGACGGATACGTTCCGAGATAATTGGTGCCGTTTGTTTACTCACTCTATTCTTCTCGCGGGCCACACGATAAGACGCCCAACAATTCATTTCTGTATATACTGAAAATATCACTGGATTTTGGTGTCACTTTGGCAGTGTTCACACTTGGTGCCCGGGCACCGTGCCCGGGTTCTATTCTACGCCGGGCACCAATGTGAACACACCTTTTTTCCTGGTACCCACGCCAGAATTCGGGCACGGTGCCGGTGCCCGAGTACAAGGTCTCGACCTTGTACTCGGGCACTAAACTGGGCACTGAGTCCTTGTGTGAACACATTTTTCGTTGGTGCCCTGGCACTTTACCCACAAACCACTTGTTTTCGTACCCACAATTCCTTGTCCCACTCGAGATTTCAATAGTGAGCGTGTGCTCTGTTTATTGAATGTGAACATATCTTCAGACTGGGTACCGTGTGTCTGAACACAGCACCATTTTGTGCCGGTGCCCGGGTACTAGTGCCCGGGCACCAAGTGTGAACACTGCCTTTATGTACCGTAAATACCTTATTTGTACCTTTTTGGTCACTGGCATATAGGCATTCGCCCTAAGTAAGGGTATGTGCCGCTGAAGCCTTCTAGGAAGGTTACAATGTCGTCATACACGCTACTGGACGCAGCCAGCTAAATAAGTGCCTACTTTGGTCGATCAATGTATAAGAGTGAATTTAAACTTGTTTGGTCAACCCAAGTAATAATTTAACACGGTCCAGTTTCTAACAACGCTTCAGCATCTTAAATAACGAAAATCATGTTCCTCTCTACTAGCGATACAAAATCTCTCAGGTATTTAATATTGTAACGCTAACGCATTAGATTCTATTACTATTCGTGCCTATTACGGTCTTTTCGGATCGTCAAGAGTCTCAAGAGGTCTACGACAGGAAAACGTGTCGTTCTCCAATACCTATGTTCCTGGCCTATCTAATGACCTGTACATTAGTGCCTTCGGTTTGGTAGCGAAAGATTAAATAATATGCATTTGTCAAGATTAGCTCAAATACAGATGCCCTGATGGCAGTTCTCTGGTTTGAGCCCTCAGTGGCAGTACCCAGGTTATTCCTACCCACAGAGTTACATTCGTGGCTACCTTTTGGCTATTTCTCTGCTATAAACGACCAAAGTCTGACAAGCTCTACAACGGCATGCGCAGTTTTCCTTGTTGTTTAAAGTGCTCTAACCCCCAAAATGAATGTCGATCAAAGAAATTTCCTTGTTTGACTGATCATCACAATGAAATAATTATGACAACTAAACAAAACTTGACAATTCTAAAAGCAGTTAAAGCTCAATTTTGTAAGTTCACGACCGCACATCCTGGAACCTGGGTCGGGGAAGGTTGTTACGTTATCCTAGGAACCATGCTACAGGGCTGCAATGAAAAACTTAAAACAGCGTTGCCAAGACAAGAGAGTACTGTGTACATCTCAAGCGCGTGAAATAAATAACAGTATGACGCTCACCATTCTTCGCTTGCGAAATGTCAGCCGAACAGATTGTGGAACAATCGTGTCCGGTAGGGGAACAGGCTCTTAAAGTAGCCATTTTTTTTTGCTGAATGTATTGGTCATCTTCCTCTGATTTGACCAGTGGTATGTGTTCGAAGCCTTCAAAGCCGGAACATACTTTGGAAGGTAGCGCATAGAAATACCCGGTGTGAGTGTATTATTCTTGTACCTAACATCATTTGGCACTCCAGCCACGCAATACGTTCGTCCTCTCTTCTTGGTTTCTCCTTTCTCCTCCATAATTGCTGGCGTGTCTTCACAATTTTCTACGTCACGGCTACTTAACATCATCGTTTGGGCCGCGCGCTAAATGGAAATTCCTTTTGGCCGCCAAATCGTACTTTCAAATCTTAAAAATCTTAAATACAGCTCTTAACCAGAAAACGCCAAAAAAAAAAAAAAATTCGTGTCATAGGCACTTTAAATAATTAGTCACCACGAGATCGAAAAAAATTTGCTTTAGATCGCGCACTATGCCTCCAAATAGGGAGGCAAGAGAACAGCACAATAATTAGATTTTAATAACTGGAGTTTATATCACTTTTAAACCAAATGGAAAATAATTCATCATTTCTCTGCATAACCAAGGAAAATCAAAGTACGAGATGAGGGGTTAGGGTTAGGGTTAGGTTAAGAAAGACTACACGAAAAGCCTATCCTCCACTAAAATAAGTTCAGACAAGGAACTGCGCAACGTCAAAAAAAAACACGTGCTACCAAAAGTACAGCAACAATGACACAACACCTTTCTCGATGTCATCGTTACCTTGGGTCTCTTCTTTGTCTTTTTCGACTTGTCCACCTGGGCATATTCATCAGCTGGTGGTCGTCTATTCTTCTTCTTTTTCGTCATATCCACCTGTGCATAGTTAGCCTCAGCCTCAGCCTCAGGAGCCGAGGCTTGAAGACTCGCAGCAGCCTCCTGATATCCATCGTCAACTTCATAATGATTAGCACTACCCCTGCCATCAAATCAGAACAAATCTTCAAACATGTCTTTTGCATTATTCTGATGTTTCGTTCCTAGTAAAGTTATAGTAAAGTTATAAACTCCTCGTCGTCCGGGAAGAAAGAGAGAGAGAGAGAGAGAGAGAGAGAGAGAGAGAGAGAGAGAGAGAGAGAGAGAGAGAGAGAGAGAGAGAGAGAGAGAGAGGGAGGGGGGGGGGGGGAGGGGGAGTCAGGGGGGGAGGGGGGAGTCAGGGAGGGAGGGGGGGGGGGGGGGGGGGGGGGGGGGGAGGGGGGGGGGGGGGGGGGGGGGGGAGGGGGGGGGGGGGGGGGGGGGGGGTGGGGGGGGGGGGGGGGGGGGGGGGGGGGGAGGGGGGGGGGGGGGGGGGGGGGGGTCAGGGAGGGAGGGGAGGGGGAGGGGGGGCTCAGGAGGGAGGGGAGGGGGTCAGGGAGGGAGGGGGGGGGGGTCAGGAGGGAGGGAGGAGGGTTTTCACACCTTATTTTCACTACTGCAAAAATAGCGTTCATTACTGCGAAGATCGCGTTCATATTCATTTCTTAAACCGCAGTTCAAATGTATGATTTTCATATATTCACAGTCATGGTAGAGTAGTGTTAAAATCACATTATTATTCCAGTACTTACAGCCCATTCATTTGCATTTCATCTAGGATAAAATTAAACAATAAATAAATAAATAACCTTAAAAAAATGGATATATTAACAAATAACATTAAGGTTAAGTACCAAACTCATGATCGCATATATTTGGTAATAGAGGAAGACTGAAACAACAGAACTGGTAAGTTAAACAGAAAATTTCCACTATCCAAAAATACCCTCAATGATAGAGTGGATAAAAAACTCAGCTTAACGTGCACCTTGACATGTCTCTCAGACTCGCGGTACATTCTATTTGCGCAATGGTTTCTAAAAGCTTGGTCTGATAACCTATAGTCTAACAAGGATATATGTACCATTTTCTTATTGGTTAGATTTCTCAAGCGCTTTGTTATTGGAGATTTATCAAGGCAACTTGTTGCACACTGCTTAGAACACATTAATCTGTTATATAGGTGTTGAACTGTAGAGTTAAAACTGTTATAATTTTGCAGTTCGAAATTGAAATTGTTCTACCAAAACAAGGAAACTCGCTACGAGAACTTCTCGGTTTAAATGTGCTCTTTTAAACAAAAGAGAGAAAATTCCTTTGTATTGTAAAAACGATCTAAATTAATTTTTAGCATCTGAGAGTATTGCGTGATCTGTTGCGTAAACAAATGTCCAATCACAAAAAACGTACGAAAATTCCGCCCGAAAAGAAAGCGGTACACATATAGTCAACTCTCCACTAGTGGAAGCTCTCGTAAGCAGACAGCTCTACCTGCCAATACTTTTTTCAATTCCACTTCTTTTTTCCAAGTAAAACTTTGTATCTACACATCCGTAAGCAGACACTCTCTACACAGTCGCCGGCAATTTTAGAGGTGAAAATTGGATTTTCTTTTGTTTACGTTCTCTCGTAAGCGGACACCCGATGCATAATTCTGGACTCTTGGCAAAGAAATTTGTTTTTAACTTGCAAATCAACAAAAATCTGACCTTTGACAGAGTAACAATACAGTAGGGATTGGTTTAGTCAAATCTCTGTTTGTTCGCGGGAAAGCAAGCTGCCCGTTCATTTCATAATAGGCACCTTAAGCTACAGACGTTTTCGTTGACGACGGCGACGTGACAAACGATAAGGAACTGGGGATAGAACGGTTTCAGGTTGCGGTCACAACTGCGAGTTGCCATCCTTAAGCAAAGCGTGAGAAAAACGCGACGCCGCGCCAAGCCAGCTTCGCAAATTTGGTGGTAAATTCAAAATTCACAATAAAGCTCTCGATTTCTTCGCATTGTCCGGTCATGTCGAGCTTGAAGGAAACGCGATATTTACTTTTGTTTCCTTTTTCAAAAGAGTCACAAAGGCAAATGAATTTGCCATTCTTTACGACGTAACGACCTCTGACAGCTCTCTGAGATACTATGAATCCTGGATGTGTATACAAATTTTGCGCTATTTGACTCCTTGCCGAACTACGCTATTTGGAGCCAACCTTGAATTTAAAGGGTTCTCATAATAAGATTTCTCTGACCAACATGAGATCTTTTTGTTCTGTCCACTCCATCCATGAGTTAAACATACACTATATTTGAAAAATAACTCGACGAATTCAAGCCTTATACTATTAAAGCTTTTCTAATGATCGACACATCCCTTTTGAAATTATTATTACGAAAAATGACAAACTATTAAGCTTATAAAAGTCGTTCTGCCTTGGCCTATCAAAGACAGAAATTGTTTTACATGTTATATGTGTAATGTTAAAGCGATCAATTGTCATCAATTGTATACTCATTATTTTTGCCAGGTATTTTGATTCAAGTGTCGGGGAAAAAAAAACCTTGTGCGAAGAACGCAATCTTCTCGTGTGTACAAGAACTGCGTATTTGTCTCATTGTGAACATGAACTAAATAAAAAATTAATTTGAGTCGATTTAACATGCTTCTATGTTAAAAGAAAGGCCAGGAGGAAGGAAATACAAAAATGACTGAAGTGTTATTACAAGCTATAACAATCTACCGGTTATACAATGAGAAAATCGGAAAAGACAACTAATTATTCCGTTGAATGAAAGCAACCTCTTCGTTGGAAGCTAGTTTGGCTTGCGAAAACAATTTTAAAAAATGAGCCTAATAATGCTTGCAGAACATTATTTCAATTATAAAATCAATCATTACATGTTACCTTGCTTCCAGATTGAATTAGTCCGAAAGTAAGCTAAAAGCGATCAAAACAAAAGTTTAAGTACTCAAGTTCTCGTCGCGACGTGAAACCCCACTTTCTCGCGTTCTCGACTTCGGGACAACGGCGACAACGGCGACAACGGCAAGACGTGTTGTACATGCGCAGTGAGGACTGCAAAGAAATTTCACGTTTCCGGTTGCCGTCGTGAGACCGGCGACGTCTGTTGCTTAAGGTGCCTATTAACAAGAGTCTGACATAACATTTATAGTGTCACGTTATGGCCACGTTCGTCATGGTCTACTTTCCCTCTTGTTTCTCCCTTAAGCGGACATCAACTCCTATTCTTCTTTGCTGTCCACTCATGGGAGTCATTTTCGTAGGAGGACAGTTCTACTCGCAGACACTTTTCCTGATTCCCGAGGGTGTCCGCTTACGAGAGAGTTGAGTCCATTACGATTAACGACAAAAAGTAGCCTTTTTTTTTTAACTTGAACACCCAAATTCACATTCCTACAAAATTTCTGTTTATCTTTCACTTTCAGCCCGAAATTTGTGTTTTCGTTCGTGTGGCAAAGCTTATAGTATTGAAGTGAGACCTATTTTATGTTCGATTCGAAAAATCCGATTTCTCTGCAATTTCACTGGTCCACCATTGGAAAATTTTGCTTAGTTGTTTCAGTCTGTTTCAAATACAAACATAATTAAATTTAGAGAAAAAATTCTTAAAGAGAAGAACAAATTTTTTGCAGTGAAAAAAATTGTAAATTTCAAACGATATCGACTATAGTACGTCGCAGTGTACCTTTGCACATTGAATCACAGAAATACATGTACTCGTTTCCAATGAGTGAAAGTCTCCACTATCAAACAGGGTTAAAACGTCTTTTCCGTAAAATAGTGTGACTGACAAACAAGTCTTACAAGTGGTCTTCTAAGACTTCTATTTTATCCAATCCAGCCAGGTACTCAGAGAAAACTTTAAATATAAATGAACTGTTACAAATTGAAGAGATACTTTACCATTTCCGCGACTTGAAACCTTTCTTCGTTTCCATAGAATAATGATTACGATTACACCAATAATAAGCAGAACACCGGCCACAGCTGCTCCAGCATATATTGCAGTGTCCATTTCATTATCTGCAGAACTCTGGGGTTCCTTGGTGGGACTTTGTTCTACATAAAACAAAAAAATTAGAAAATTGAACTCTTTACAAGGTGTAAATAGCTTGACGCTGTAATTCTTTATTGGGTTTACTTTAGGTTGGAAAGTATTCGATTTTTTTATTACTGGTTACTTCATTGTAATTTCCAGGCTATAGTTATATAAAACAATAACCAAACATCCCAATAACTTCTTGCAAGAAACCTAACATACGATCTATGTCAACTTATTTCCTAAATCCCTTTGAAACATGGGAGCCATTTGCGAAATTGACCGAAGAAAAAATTGAATTAAGTTTAAAAAGAATATGTTCACAAATTAACTTGTTAATTGAAATGTAGTAACAAAAACCATTGCAAAACAAGTTCTCGTTCATCAGCCAATGGACCTCTAGTTAGCACACAAATACTAACTGCGACGGAAGTGAAGTTTTCTCATTGATTTAGGTTTTTGCAAACGAAGAATTCACCCGTAAAAACCTCGATGTTGATGACACGGAGAGTGCTTGAAAACTAAGTAAAGAAAAGGATAAACCGTTGAAAGGGGAGAGTAAGATTCATTTGAACATACTACCTTCTGCCTTGACTTGCTGGATGTTTGCTCTCTCTTGTTTCAGGCTTTCACCAAGCTCATTAGTTGCAGTAATGGCAAACTGATACACCTTTCCTCTCTCCAACGCTATTTTCAATTCTCTCACAGAAACATCTCTGATTTTCTTTATTTCTCTCCACTGTCCCACTTTCCCATCAGTCACTACTCTTTGGTACACTGTATACACGGTAATAACTCTTCCATTACTTTCTGGCTCCTTCCACTTTAGGGTAATTGTATCGTCTGTTGTTTCACCCGGAAGTTCGTCTATTTCGACCACATCTGGGGCTCCTAGATTGATGTCAAAGACACGAACAGCGTAAAATTGCTAATAATTATACAACTTCTTGTTACAAATCTGGTCACAATCATTATCAGTGATTAAATAATCTGTAAATTTGTCGAGGATTTTTTTGGGATATTTTGGAAACGAAAGTGTATGGCAAGCAAAATTAAGTTAAGTACTAAGATGAATTCAAAATATTTTAAAGGACAAAAAGTGATAATGAAAAGCCTAAAATGATGGTTGGTTATTGCCTAGAACAAATACCGCATTTCCAAGGTGAATTTAAACGATACACTGACTTCTACTGGCCTTTAATTGATATTTACACGATGCATAGATGAAGTCGCAATTCACCATTCGTTTGTGTCACGTAATTACAGAAAGGATCTCAGTTCGTGTGCAACTATTTTTCGCTTTTCAAAGTTTGACATCGCGCATGACTTAGCACAGGCACTCGTCAATGACATAGCGGAAAAATGAGTGCGCATGTAATACAAGAAGTACTACATGTGATAAACAATTGAAGGTTTTACGCTGTAAGTGTGCTGAAGTGCGTACAAAATAGCAATAAATTAAGTAGCAAATCCTGCTAGCTATGGGTCCTATGGAGGTTTGATTCTTTTTAAGTGCTTTGATTATAGCTGGTAGGTATTTAAGAAAGCGATATCCATCCACCTTAATTATAGCAAGAGGTTTAATTTCGTGATTTGGCTTTTTAAATACCTATTTCAAACTTTCTTCGTGCGTCGTAATTGATTTTTCCTATTCTATCAAGTTACAGCTTATAGCTTGACTTCTTCAACTCGTACTCTGTTTTTTGCGCTCGTGTTTTTCTTATCTTTAATAAAATATAGGGAGGATTCTTCAAGGCTGTCCACAAATTGTTTGAAGAGATTTCCTCAAAATATATGCATATTAAAAGCGATTTTCATGAAAGGCCCATTTCTTCAAACTTCAATTCTTTGGTCAAACGATGTGTGGAAATTGTCTCACTGTCTAAAGGGATAGTTGGTTATTGGGCGTTCAGAATATGGCCTGTAAGAGTTTAGGAAACTGTATCCAACTAATATAAAGGTCGCTATCTGGCGGCTGTTGTTGTTGCTGATTCATATAACAGATTATGAAACGTGAACATCAGAAAATTAAAAAAAAAAAAAAAACGACAAGGCAAACAATACTTGATAAAACGGGTGAAATTTACGGAACGTAACCACGTAGGTTGTCTATTGTTCTCACCTACGTTCATTATTTTTTCATTGTTTATTATTATGCTTCTTCAAACGTAGGTACCTCTAAAAAAATTATCACAAAGGGAAAGGAAACTGGCCACTAAGGGGGGGGGGGGAGGGGGGGGAACGCTGAAAATAAAAAATCTTATAATGCGGCAAGCAGATAACATTGTTAAAACTGGGTTACTCACAACAAATCTAAGTTGGCAAAAAAAATGATTGGTGTAAATTGTTTATTGACGATATCACTTTTGATTCCTCACCTTCAAACTTAGTCTTAATGTTCCATACAGTAGGATCTCCCTCGAATACAACATTTCTGGAAAACAGTTTCACTGTGTAGTTGGTATTTTTCTCCAAACCAGGAAACGAATAACTTGTCGTCCCAGGATCGGTGATATTAACCTTTTTTATCTCAGTTCCATCCTTTTGTAAGATCATTTGGAATCCTGTAATCGGACTTCCTCCATCATCTGGTGCAGTCCATTTTATTGTTATAGAAGTTGCTTGAATGACTGATTCTGATTTGATGGATGCTTTCCCTGGTTTCTCTACATAGTGCCATAAGAAAAGAGATTATTTTGAGTTTTTTGACAACACTAAGGATGAATGCAAGAACATGTCTTATGACAGTTTATCATTCAACTTTCATACACTGTTCGAATTCCGATTTTCTGATAAGATGATTTGTACCACGTGATACTGGGTTGCGACGAAACAACCTCCTTGACGTCATTATCGTGGTGTAATAGTCCGTGTACTCGTGCAGGTTCACTCGCTGAGTGCGTTAACATGTAATTAATAATAATAATATATAATATAAATGTAGCTACCGGATACATTCAGCCAAGAGACTAATAAAAAGTGAAAAAATTTATAGTCCATGGTTAAGGAAGTTTCTTATGGATACCCGCATGGGAAGATGTCATCAATCTGCCTGAAGTTCAATGCTCTTTGTGACGTGTTTAATGCCACCAAGGGCAAGGTGTCGACAGTTTACTGTAAACCTTTTTTTTTAAACAAATTTGGGTGCATTTCCCACTAAAGATCAGGATAACAATGTCCGGAATAATTCCACTATTACGCCGTTATACCTCATTGGATAACGAACGCGAAAAATATGTGAAGGTCAAACGCAGCTAAAGAGGGGAAAAATGCGAACGGAACGCTCAGATAAGGCCGCAGGATGTATGTCGAAATCTAGGCGGCCAAATTGTTAGATCAAAGTGCTCTGTGAGCAAACTCGTGAATTGACACTTGATTTTTTAGATTATGTTTAATGTTATCTGGTTTAGGGAATTTTGTGGTTGATTGTCATATCTAGAGTACGAGCAGTAGTTCAGTGTTCGCTAATGTAGCAAAGAAACAAAGTAACGTTGGGATAAGAAGGCATTACAATTGAAATGATCATGCTATTACATTTGACAAGGTGGATGATGCCATGTGTTTTAAACGTCTATCATTTTTTTTTTTCTGGTTCAAAAGAAAAGGTTGGAAGTAAATGTGGGTGAAAAGTGAAATTTACTGTCTTTCGTTATAAATATTAGAAAATCAAGGCAATACTGTCTTAATGAAAACATTAACGATTCCCTCTTTATCAAATGAGACAAACGGAAACGAGTTTTGAGTGATATAACTAATGCCCTGTTCACACCAATTTAAACAAGTTTCATTAAACGTAGTTTTTTTAAACATGGTTTTATAAAACATGTTTTGCTCAAGAACCGTTCACACTGCAGACTGGGTTAGGTAATGCGCAGCCTCGTTTTGATATTAATTGTTGCCAACAAAATTAAAGACGCAATCAAAATGGCGGTAAGTTTAAATCACAATATCCTGCTGTTGTTGGCGCAGTCACGGCTGAGGGAAAACCTCAGAATTACACAAAACCGACAGAGAAACGCAGAGAGACGGTTTAATCGTTATGTCCGTTGGAGACGTCTCGTTTCATCATTGTTTTTCCGTTTTTGCTTCGATTTCTTCTCCGACATCTTCCTGTTCGCCGTATTTGGCTAAAACCCCGGTCGCAGATATTTTGGGAAGAGACTTGCCAAGATTGGGAAGAAAAGGACTGGAATGAGAATTTCCGCATGTCTAAAGAAGCATTTAATCGCCTTTGCCGAGAACTTTCGCCACATATCTCTAAAAGGGACACCAATTACAGGAAAGCCATTACAGTGCGCCATCGAGTTGCCATAACATTATATTGGCTCGCGGACACGGCTCACTTTCGAACGATCGGAAATCTATTTGGTGTCGGAAAATCCACTGTTTGTGGTATTGTGCGACAGGTATGCGAGGTGATAGTGAACGTTCTTCTTCCCAATTATATAAACGTTCCCCAAAATCAACATGAAGTCCAAGAAAAAATTGAAGGTTTTAAAAGTCGCGCGGGCTTTCCCCAGGTGGTTGCAGCAGTCTATGGTTGCCATGTCCCAGTCATTGGACCTCGGCAAAGTCCAGATGATTATGTTAACAGGAAGGGATTCCACTCATTAATCCTTCAGGGGCTAGTAGATTGTAATTATCTATTTCTTGATATATGTGTTGGATGGCCGGGTAAAGTACACGACGCACGTGTCTTCAAGAACTCTCCATTGTTTGCCTTGTGTTGTTTTCTTTCGCTCGATATGTCGGTGATGATATCTGGTGTACAAGTTCCTCCCCTGATATTAGGTGACTCAGCTTATGCTCTCAGCAATTGGCTGATGAAACCATATATTGATCGTGGAAATCTGACCCCGGAGGAACGCAGTTTCAACATAAAACACAGCACGACTAGAGTAGTTGTTGAAAATGCCTTTGGTCGATTGAAGGGAAGGTTCAGAAGCATTGGGAAGAGACTGGACTTAAAAGTTGAAAATGCCTGCAATGTCATCGCAGCGTGTTGTGTTTTACATAATTATTGTGAGATGCAAAACGAGTCTTTTGATGACCAATGGCTCAATGATATTCACATTCATGCTGGAGTTTGTCCAGGTGATCCAAACCAAAGGCAGAACACAAATGCTGTTGCAATAAGAGATGCAATTAAAAGATTCTTAAAATAAATATTCATTGTCACATGCATCACTTGAACATGAGTGTTCAACATAAGGCAAATAATCCATCAAAGAGTTTGCACCTCTAGCTCAAAAAAGTCGTTTATATGAATACTTTCTCCCTTTAAGGTTTATTGTATACAGTGCAAATAGTTTCATAAATAATGGAAGAGTCAAGATCTTTTGAAGGACACTCCTCTAAGAGGGTCAAACAGTGTTCCATTTGTAATTACAGTTGTATAAATGAGATTTGAAAAGTAAATTGTCAATTGTGTAAATTAAAATTACTGATGACAAACTTTGATTGTCTGTGGTGTTCTTGGAAACCCCCATTTTTTTTTTTTTTGACATTTCAAAACCTGGACACCATCTCAGAACAATTAAAGATGCAGTCATTGCAAGTTTGCCATTTCACATGTGAAATAAACATATTAGCACTGAAATTATGCTAAAAAATTAGGGAGTAGTTTGAAACCCATGGTGTGACATATGCTAATTTAGCCATGCATACTACATGTTCACATAAAATACTAATTTGAGTGCAAGACTTGCATCTTCCTCTCTGAGTATTAGATGTAGGCATAAAGAAGGAGGGGGACAATCTCAGCTTTTCGATCAAAGTGTTCAGTTCGAATAGCAAGGAGATCTACTCACTCAGTGACATGGCCTCAGCTGGCATTAATGTCAGCAAAACTAATTTAATTCACTAACTTTTTGCTCTTGTTCCATTGCAAGTGACTGTGTAATTATACACCAGACTTTTTTGGTTAGTCCCTTACAAGAAAGAATAATTAAGCAAACAAACACACAGAGCTCTCTGTTGTAAATTTATCAAGGAGACTTAAAAGACATCATTCATTTGACCCTCTCTCTCTGAACAACTGATGGAACCTCAGAAACAAATTTCATCATTTTAAAGGTGGATCAAAACTTTATTTCAAATATTAAATCAATTTTTCCAAAAGATCCTAACCACTGTGCACAAAAATATTCATTTATTTCATTAATTTTCCGGAGCATTTTTTAAATACTCTGGGCCAGGTCGTTCAAAGGTGGCTTAACTTAACCCAGGGTTAGTGTGAAATTTGATTTCAAATATGAAAATCTAAAAAGAAATCCATTTTCTTTTTTTTTTGTCTACAATTTGATGATTAGATGGTCTAAAAGGAATAGGGAAAATTATCCCAAAAGAGACTCCTGAATAAAGAAATAAAGAAGCTGAATCAAAATTTAACCCTGGATTAGTGTTAATCGGCCTCTGAACAACTAGGCTCTGCCGGAAAATTAAAAATAACACTTAAAGGAAAAAAACGATTTTTATTTTCTCAAAGAAAAAAAAAGCATATTCAATTGAAGACAACTATAGAAGACAATTAGTTCAAGTAAAGAAAAGTTAATCAGAGCATGTCAACATCAATGATCTAAGCGTTAAGTTCAATATAGTTTTCTTTTTTTTCTTGCTCCTTCTCCAACGACTGGGAATCGGCCATTAGATTTCGTGAAACATCGTTCAACTTACAGCATAAATAAAGCCGAAAACTAAACCAACTGAAACTGTCGCAGGTACGATCGCAAATTAAATTGTTGAAGACACGTACTTTTTATTTTCGAAGTACCTGCGCCAATTTCAGCAGAAACTCCTGGTCTTCCTTCCTTCTTCTCTCCTCCCTTTCTTCTTCTCGTCTTTCACGAGCCTCCTCTGCAGCAAGAAAACTCCTATCAGCAGCTTGTTGATAGGAAACAAATGCCTCAACGCCTTGTCAATTTGTGTTAAGGCATCCGTCGTTGACACCTTCCGCTTCTTCGTAGCGGGTTTGAAAAATGGCTTGCCAGCATCTGTTGTTCTTTCTGTGAAGGAATACAAGAAATCTTTAAAGGCAGAAGTTAAAGTTTGAGCCAATACTTATCTCAATATTTTTGTTCAACTCCACTCATCTTGGAAGTAAAATTATCAAGAAATTTTGTTAGAGATTACAGACAACGTAGGCGCCGATATTGAAACATTTTCTTGGCCTATTGTCTGACCCTCCAATCAGCGAAAGTTTTCAAAGCTCACCTGTCAAACATTCACCCTTGTTTGGTTGAGGAAATTTGCCGGCTGTTTTGTTGCTGCTGCCGACGCTGGTGCCGCCGCTGAAGGAAGGCAACTCTTCGTTTGGTTCATCGTTCTTAATTTTTTCATTGTCTTCTTCTTCGTTGTCCGCCTCAATGATAACCTTCGGTTTGGTACATGGTTTTTTTGAGAGAAATTCATCGACTTCGTCGAAAAACGCCGGCTTCCTCTTTGGAGTCCCGTTTCCGGTCTTCTCACATTCGTCTTTGTAGGAGCGATACGCACTTACTAATGTGTGTACTCTTGTTTTGCAGGCATCTTCATCACGGTCTTCGTAGCCTGCCGCTCGAATAAAATCACTTATTTCTTGCCATATAGGCCTCTTTCTGGTACAAGATATTAACTTCATTTGTATATTTTCGTCCCCCCACTTCTGTAGTAACAATAACGTTTCCTGGTTTTCCCAAATCCTTCCGCGGGTTTTTTTGGCAACCGCCATCTTTAATGTGTTTAGTTAAACACGAAAGTTAAACAACCTCATTTAGGTAGTTTTATTAAACACGGTTTTAAACATGTTTGGCTACACGCGCCCGCGGTGTGAACAGGTAGTTTAATAAAACCAGTTTAGCAAAACAAGATTTAAACATGTTTAAGTTTTGGTGTGAACGGGGTATAAGCCAAGCCTGCCACCGTCATTTTGGATCTCCGCCTGGGTAGATTAAAGTCACGTGCTAGGCAACGTATAATCAATAACAAGATAGAATTTCATTTCAGGCCTATTTATCAATTTTGTGGTGTGTAACTTTCGCATTTTAGTAAGTTGTATGTATTTTGAATCTTCAAATTGTCTTGAAACTTAAAAAAAAAATTGTTCTTTAAAAATTCACTGAAAATTGGTAGCTAAAATTGTTTGTTTAGGTGTTATTTGATTTTCGTGTTAACTTGTTATTTCGTCAGTCGCCGGCATCTTCAGTTGCTTCACACAGGAAAAACACACGCGACGAAACGTAATGATCAATTTTGTCCTCAATCTCACGCCACAACAGAAAAAGCTTTTGAACATCTGTAAACTCCGAGCGCTTCGCAGTAAGTGATATTTTCAATGAATCTTCGGATTGTTTTCAAGTTCAAGGATTGTAAATTACAATTTTATAAAAAACGAAGGTTGTTCTGTTATTTCAGTGTGAATCCTTGCATGCCTAACTGAAACTAAAACGAAAAAAAAAACTCTTTTAAGATTATCATTGGCTTCTTTTTCACCCCACCACTATTCTTAGCAACAAAGGTCGCCATTTCGTCTGTTTATTGCTCGCCAAAAACTATCAAATGCACTCAAAAGCCTAAAATCTAAAAAAAGTTTACAGGAATCGACCAATCGGGCGAGCGAGCGAGCGAATGCCATTCCCCACATCGTATCTATAACTGGCTCTTGCGCCTGCGCGCAATTCACGAGTTAAAAATGAAAGGATAGTAGAATGATAAATCCCTCACTCGATGGTTTAACATAAGCTTATTTTTTTCCACACGCATATAAGCCTTGCAAAATATCCGCACGTATTAAATGTTAAATTATCGAATGAGATGTACAAAGTGAATAAGTTACTCTGTCGAGTGCTTTGTGAGAAAATTTGGCTTTTACTTCTACTGCACCTGAAACAGTGATAATGAGTAAACGCAAAATAAAATGCTGACCTTATATATAGTTTTCTTCGTATCACAATACACTGATCTTTTTTACTTACGTATCTGATTTATCTTTATTAATTTCTCATCAGATGGAGTAAGTCCATTGGCAGCAATGCACTTGTAATCACCGAAATCTTGATCACCCCTAAGTGGCACTTGTATTTTGTTTTCTCTGGCTGTGACATTGTTTATTCCTCTTCCTTCAGGTTTGTACCAAGAGAGTGTTGGTGCAGGAACACCATCAGAAAGACACTTCAAAGTCACTGTCTGGCCAATCCAAGACTTCTTAGATGACGTGGTGACATTTTGAATTGTGGGCGGGTCTAAGAATGAATACAAAAACAATAAGCAATTGAATAACTAATTGGTGATAATTCATATGAATCAGAACATTAATGAGCTTTATCATTCCACTACTGTGTCATTTTACCTAATAAAGTAATGAGAAAGGCAAAATATGCCACAGTATTACATTTTAGAGCAAGGCAAAAATAAGTCGCAATATAATGGCAGCGCTGAACGATCCAAACATTGGTTTTTTTTTTTCGTTTTTTAAATTTGACTTTTAAAGAAGCGAACTTTTAAGCACAAAAGAACACAAAGGACATTTGAATGCTTTAGTTCTGGTTGTTTCCATCTTTTGCGCATATCTTATGAAATGGATACGATGCACAGATAAGGCCGTAGGATGTAATTCGCACAATAAAAGTTAAAATACTAAAAACTGAAAATAATAGTGGAATAATAAATCTCTTATTCGATGGTTTAACACAACAGGAGAGGAAATCTTGCTAGTGGCTAGTATTTTGCCTCGCCTATTCAGGGCTTGGAAAAATTATTTCGCAACTAGAATAAGGTGTATTTTTTTTTTTTTGAGGGCACAGTAACGAATCCTGCAATCTGATGGGTTCTTGGCGCGGTAAGTATTTTCCACGGGCACGGTAACGCCCAAGTGAGTCGCAGAATCATCCAATTTTTGCTCTGACGAAGGGGTAACGTTCGAAACGTAAGCTTTTTAACTCTTTGCGGTGGCCAATTTACATTATCACCTGAGTTGATAATACAAAATTACCCTGTTATACTCTCCCACCGACGCAACATCAGTTTCATTAGAAACTTACCCCCTTTATAAAAATTATGTAAAAAGTGATGAAGTGAGCATACTCGAATGCCGATCTTCGGTGCACCATACGAGGAATTACACGAGGGCTTCATGTGGGCTGCTGGTAGACATCACGCCGCGCAAGCAAAGACTTTGCAACCCGCGTTTTGAGCGGAAAATCATACTGATTAAGTTGTGGTTACAAACACCACTAATTATCGGTATTTTTGCAATTCTAGTCAATGTACATGCAAGCAACAACACTTATAGTCTGAGCTATGTCTACCGGAAGAAATCACTTTAATTTAAGTTTGAGGTGAGAGGATTTGAGTGAAAATAGGCAGGAAAAGGAGAGAAGAAGTAATAAGCGCGAGCGGGTCGGAAAAACGTGAAAGAGAGCGAGAAACGACATGAACAAAATTGGGCGCTTACTACTTACTCTCTTAGGAGTAAGAAACCTAGAAATGGATAACTTGCTAAAATAGCTTCGTTACAACAAAGTAAGCGGTAAAACAACAAGTGATGCACTGTGACAGTAAGGTGAGGTAGTTTTATTCAGAGTTTGACGGTACTTTTACTTCCTCAGAGCGGTCATAAATATTCCCTACAAACTCTTATAATTTCGCTATAACTCTTATTTTGCAAGACATGGCATTTATGCCACTAATTTCCTATTTCCCAGCATAATTATTTCACAATGGAATTTACAAGTTGTGGAAAAAGGTTGGGTTGAAATCCTTTGCAAAGTTTTGGCAGCCTGTTGTAACGTTAGTGGAAAAATGGAAGACAAAACTGCATCCGATGTATAACTTGAATTGGCTAATTATAACTAATACCCATGTCTTTTAAAAAACTTCGATGTTAAAATGCGGTGGTAGTGAGATGATCAAATGAATACTTTTCTCGGATCAATAAATTTATTTTTGTGTTTCATGCGAAAATGTTGCCATAACTCCTCCTTCCAGGAAATTAGTTTTCTTGCGAACATGGGAGACTAAACTTTTCAACCTCTTCAGTGAGGCCAATAACAACATTAACCTAACCTTAAAACGGAAGAGGAAACTTGACAGATGTTTGGAATTAATTTCTGTACATTATAGAAGAAATCTATGCATTTTTTCTTAGTTTGTAAGTCTATCTTCATCATCAAGTTTGAAATATGATATTTTAGTTGAGCTTGTCCTTGTAAAACTCTTGCAAAGAAAGAAACAGATGAAGGTCAAATTTCGTATTTCAGTAGCTAGAGTTACCAGAATCATAGAGAGTTGCAGTTACAGCTGAGGTTACCCAATGAAGTTACAGAAAAATCTGAAAATGATGCCGCGTATTCCAGCCAGACCACAATAGTGAAACGCAAATAGGTAAAAGAGAAGAAATTAAGAGATCCTCGCAGCTAAGAACACTACTGAAACGAGAAGTTGTAAATAGGACCTGAAAAAAATTCAGGCCCGTACGGGATTTGAACCCATGACCTCTGCGATACCGGTGCAGCGCTCTACCAATTGAGCTAACAAGCCAACTGGGAGCTGGTCAACGAAAAGGTAAAAGAGAAGTTAAAAAATAACAGGTTTGACCTGCATTTCTTTCCAATTTTTAATGCTTTCTAGAGAAGGTTGACACATAGGAGAAAAATTAGCGGAGCGAACAGTCATACCAAGCGACACCAAGAGAAGATAATATATGGATTTAGCTTAGCCTAAAAGCGGAGCTCGCATTTTCTTTTCCCGCACGTCTCAAGGGCACAACGCCTTGCCCCGGCCAGGACTAGAACCCGGGTCGTCCGACTCGGAGCCCAGTGCACTGACCACTGGACTACTGAACAAAGCCGTGGCGTTGACGTGCCCGCGGTACAGTTGACCACGCATGTTAAAAGTAGCATCTTGTACGGTCATACGGTCGGACGGTCGTACGGTCGCACATCCAAATTTTTTCGGCTTGATGGGTTACTACTATTTTGTATAATTATGGGGCTACGCTCTGCGAGCTCAGCTATAACAGAAGCCCATACAATTCTGGAGCACTGTTTCACCGACTCACAGTTCTCAGGTGTATACCTTACAATTGAACGCTGATATCTTAACTCGAAGTCGTTTATGGTCGTTTCTTTCATTTTGGCTCGTTTTCGCAAACCAATATTTTAATTCATTTCAATAGAATATCATTTCAACTGATACAAACATCATACACTACATCTAAAGAAGAAAACATTCCCTATCCTAGAAAATCTGTTCAAAACAACAGGAATATCAACAAAGGTCTTCCTCTGCTTGAAATACCGCTGACTAGCACATATACTGGTCATTTTGTAAGTTGTGAAAACATCATCCCTCGATTCAGACCCCGTCAATTTTCCCCCATACCCCACCCCAGCTGGTCCCCTTCGATAACCTCTTTGACAACGACTGCAGAGGTCTTTTAATAAAGTGAAGGGCTAGAAAATAAATTTACTGAAGCTCTGCTTTTAGGCTTGGTTAAATCTATGTATTATGTGAATTCTCTCTTGTTCGTTGTGAATGGGTGAGTGAAGTTTTCAGCTCTGTTACAAATACGCTTTCAATAAGTCTTTCCAAGTCCGTTTAATGTGGACATTTGTACTGTAAATCGCAGAGCAGAAACCAAAGAAACTCACTGAGAAAAGGTCGTATTGACTCTTGTTGTATCTAGTAAAAGTGCATCAGTTGTATTTAGTTTTTGGGTGGAAGAAAGACCAGATTTACACACGCCAATTGCAGCAAACAAACGAGCAAACTCTCACAACTTCAAATCATACATTTGAATTTACTTGCACTTACTTTTGTTGCCATTTACTGACCGAACAGAGGTAAATCTTTGTACATGAGTTGTTGATGGAAATGAATAATACTTTACCAAAGATCATTGACTGTATTTGAAGAAAAAATTGTTGTGAGAGTTGATGAACTTTTTTTCGAAAGTGTACATGCACTTTTTTTTCAAGTGCTCTCTAATTGACAGGTGTCAGATAGTGACAGATACTTGTAAAAATAATGTTTCAAAGTTTGTTTGGAAGCCTCATAAATCACCTACATCATTATGCAAATAATTGTTAACCAACAATGTATCGTTTATGAATTTAAATGTAACCTGTGTGATGCAGGGTATGTGGGCTATACTCGTGGTCACTTACACGAGCGCGTAGAAGGGCACACAAGGAAATCATCTTCTATCTACAAACACTACCACCTCCAGCACAATAGTGAAATGCCTGAACGCTTGATCGAGCAATTCAACGTCATCGCGAAATGTAACGGCAAATTTGATTGCCTTGTTAATGAAATGTTGTATATTCGCATGCGTAAGCCAACACTGAACGTGCCAACGGATTCCATCCGCGCCAAGGTGTTTGTTTAAGCCGTTCATTCTAATTTATGCTATTCTTGTACCTTTCCTTATTTGCATGTTTTTAAACTAGTCTCTTGATAATGGAGTCACGATGACCCCGAAACGTCGAGAAATAATGCACAGACCGAGTTAAAAAAATCTCGCCATAGTTGGACGGTTGGTTATTTTGTACAATAATGAAACCTGTTTTAAACATGGATTGAATTTACACAAAAAATCATCCTTAGTTTTAATTGAGTTGTTCCGCTTTATGTGACCATTCATTACAGGTGGAAGACAACACAAACAGGCTGTTGTCACTCACTCAAAGGTGACCACGACCACTTATTAGAGGTGACCACTAAAAAGAGGTGAAAATCACAACAATTAAGGAGAAAAAAATTTGGAACTGACCACTAAATACAGGGTGACCACTTAATATGGTGCTGCTTAATATAAGTCTGGCTGTATCATTTATTCAACAGCTGTGGCAGCTTTTCATGACATATTGAAAAAAACTTACATTGCACAGTGACATAAGCTCTTACTGTCTTTTCCTGTCTCACTCCATTTCTTGCGATGCAAACATATTCTCCTGCATCGTTCCTGTTACTACTAGAGATGTTGAGCTGTTTGGTGTCTGACAACTCAATCCCAGATTTTTCCCATCTTATCTTAGGTTCAGGAAAACCAGAGGCATCACAGCTCAAAAACAGAGGAGCTGAAGTGTTAACTGTTATATTCTGTGGCACTTTTGTGAACTGGACAGGAGCTGGAAAAGAGGAGGGGAACAAAAGAGTTTTCACACCATAACATTAGAGTGCGATTTGGTTCAAAATCATCCACTTCATACACTATAGAGATGAGATTATAAAATGTAGCACAAACACTAAAAAAAATATTGAAAAAAAAAAAAGGAAGCAAACTTTGACTTTGTCAGCTAATCATAATTTGCACTAGTTTAAAAATATTCCAATGAAAAGCAAATATTCTAATGAAAAGCACAAGTTTACAGTTTTTAGTGGACACAGGATAATTGCTTCAGCCTGGTGAGCACCACAGGGTGCCATTCCTGCCAAATCATTGTTTTGTTTCTATTATGTGCTTGTGAACCATTATTAGGCTTGTTTTGTTATTATTAGGCACAAGTTCATCATAATAAGTTATTGGTTTTAATTATTAGGCACCTGCCATTTTGTTATTAGGCACAAGCCCATCATTATTAGGCACCTGTTCATCATTATTAGGTACCAGTTCATTATTATCAAGCACAACTTTAGCTATTAGGCATCCATTTACTATTAGGCACTGGCTAAATTTTCTGAGACAGGCATCCTTCGCCACCCCTTTTCCAAAGTACCTTGGGGAGGAGCATTGTGTGGAAAGCTGAGGGAGTCACTTCTTCAGGTGGACTTTTTTTTCCTTCCCCTAACCCACCTCACACTCTGCACTCATTCCCATTACTCCCAGGAAAAGCCTGTAAGGGGAGGGGGGGGGGGAGCAGGCACAACATGTCAACCTTGTTACTAGGGTCTCTATTCTTCCCTGGTTGGGGATGTAATAATTCAGAGTGTTGGAAGTTTCATTGATGCAATGTAAATAGGTAAAAAACGTTTTTTGGATTATATGTCCAAAGTACTTAAAAATGCTCAAAGACATTTCTACCCACCATTTATGTTAAGTCTCACAGTGGCTTCTGCTCCATCTCCAACAGCATTATGTGGGACACATTTGTACTCGCCATGGTGCTGAGATCGGTTGACGTTATTGAGAGTATACTCACTGTTGCTGTTATTACTGAGGAGGGAGCCATTGAAGTAGAACTTGTAAATTGACACTTGTGGCACAGCAGCCATAACTATGCACTTGAATGTAACTGTATCTCCTTTAATGATGGTATTTTGTGAAGCATTGGTAGTGAGCCTTGCACCTTCAGGTTTGTCTAAAAATGTAAATCAAAATCTTAGTCTCTGTTTATTTCATGACTCACACATTTCCCCTGGTTATTAATCATAATCCCTTGTAAAAGTCTAGAGGGGGTATGATAATGCAATGAGGAAGTATTAATCTTGTGTGTGGGTTAATCTTGTATTGATTGATGGAGTGTCCTGGGCAAGAAATATATTGCTTTTGGAAAGGAAAATTGCAGCAAGTCATCCACCAATCTTCTCGGTTGTCCCGTGCTCAACTCCTTAGCTGCACTTTGTCTGTAGGCAACTGGTCTGCCTCCTGCCATTTATGATTGGGAAGTTTATTAAAAACATCAAGAAAACAAGCTATAACCTTTCAACACAGGCTAAAAACAAAAAAAGAGAATCTGGAATGAACTGATTGGTACAAAATTAGCCAATCAGCTACCTTTTAACTTGTTAAGTTGGCTAATGATACCCAAGGAGTAAAAGCTGTCCAATCATCAATCTGTATTGTGACAGCTCATCAAAAAGAATCTCATGAGGTACACAGGTTAACTTCATGAGTTTGAAATGTACCAAGGCAGTCTGAATTTCTACTTCAGAAGTTTGTAGACAGTTAATCAGTACTATGGACCTTTAGCAGTTGGCAATGCTGAGGTAGATGTCAATTAAAAAAGGAATTTAGATTTTTAGTTGGAATTTCACACATGAATGGCTGAATGTGTTCACAGTTTCTTATGATGCCACACTAGTGTTACTTTAGATTCAGCATAATGTATGTGAGCCACGTTGGGTTCCAGATGGAAGCAGATTGTTTGCCGCTGGGGTTTTCATTCACAGACAGTGCAAATTTTGGTGATTTCACACTGTTGTTTGTCAGAGGACAGCTAAGAAATGTACAAAGTTTTAAAAGGCATGTGCCAAACTGTTATTCTGCCCATTACAGCTTTTGTTTTGCAATGTCCTCATTGTCATCACCGTTAAGTTTTGCATTAAAATCCCTCAAGTGCTTGCACTGTAAAACAAACTTAGTTGTAACTTACTGGCCATCAAATTTAAAAATACTTGTGTTTCACAAGCAGTTAGACTTTTTGTGCAGTTTCCTTTTGGGTGCAAAATTAAATTTGGTCAAAATGATCTTAAACAATGTATCTATTTGGAAGCTCAAGGTTACAATTTCAAAATTTCTACAAGTTCCCTATAAAATCCCTTGACGGAGAAGTTCAGAGCATTGAGATGGATTCATAAACCAAAGTTGGCTGACCACGTGTAAATTTTTCCTATCGCAGTAGATGAATCAGTCATCCCAAAATGAAAGATGTAAACACGAAGATTGAAACTACAGTCAATTTTTGTTAGCAGCCAATCAACAGCTACAGTCTTTAATTCAAAACATTAGGGTTACAATTATCAGAACTTACCACTCAATTAATAGTATGCCATTAGATCAAAACAGAGCTGACCTCCCTTGTTTGTAATTCCAGCTACCAAGATGACCTCCACAAATGGTGAGTATCAAGTTCCAGCCGTGTGAGTTGCAGCAAGATGTTAATACATGATCATCAGGAGAAAAATTACGAAACTCTTGGCGAGTAAATTTTAAATAGAGGCAATGTTTCTCCTACACAATATTTGAAATATAAATATATATAAAAAAAATGGCTGCTTATCAAAATACAAGTAATCCAAACTATTGTAACAGAATGTATAATTTTTAATTTACAAAACAAATTTTCAACATAATTTGAAAGCACTCTAGCAATAATACTAATTAAAGCAACTATTTGCCACAGGCTCAGTGAAGAAAGTTGGATGATCCCATTGGCTTTATCATATGGCTTACAAACTGAAGAAATGAAGAATTTATTTAAGCAGAAGTTGTCAATTTACATCCGGTGATATAAATTCATTGACTCAAACCCACAGTTTTCCACTTAGCTATTGAAGCTTCATATACCACACAGCTTTATATTTTCTTTCACAGCTAGGGTTTCTGGGAGCCAATTCCAAACATCAAGATCCACGATTCAGCAGTGCAAATAAGGTTGGAGTCAAATTCAGCAATAAGCTAATTACTGTTAATGCCGACAAGGACTTGTTTGTCAAGCTCCTCATCTTATGCAATCTGCCTGAAAGATGTGCTGAGCTTTGACCTGTCTTCAATCCCATATTCACTCACTAATGGAAGTCTTAGAAATGGTGTTAAGAGCACACTATGCTCTCTTCTATAGAAAGACATTCATGTAGTTCAGCAGCTTACAGTATTGACAAATCCACAGGTTGTTGTTATCAATGGCATGGCAGTTCTACAGTTGACAAAATCTTCTGGAGCAGATACCTTTAGTGAATTCTTACAAAAATATTTCAACATCTTCAGTTCCCTCCTCTTTTCTAGCAACTGTCTGCAAGTCCATGTGGTCTTTAACCAATACTGAGTAACTTCACGAAAGGAGGGCGTCAGCAAAGGGGAACATTCATTGGCCTCAAAATGCAAATCAGAGGTCTTGCCACTCCAGTACCAAGACAATGGGGAAAGTATCTTGCAAATCCAAAAAAAAAGGTATGGCTTTAATTATTTAGTTCAGCATGTTTTATTTCCACCATTGGTTTATAGTTTCATTACCAGAAATTTAGAGCTGTAGCAATCAACATTTGTTGCATTTGATGTATGTTTATTCTTGAACATGAATGCTATGTTTTGAACTCTAGGTAAACCAATGCAATTTCCTGTTGGTTGCTTTCTGCAGATTTGGCAAAAGTGAAACCTTTGTTTGCAGCTTTTACATGACTGCAAAAAGACAAGCATTGCAGATGAATTACATTATCACATGTTCTGCCAGAATAAGGAAAAAAAAACAAAATGCTTCCACCAACAACTGATTGTCTACTTCAACATCTGAAGCAATCAAACTACAAAGCATTCATGTGGAGTCATGCCCTTGAACCTATGCAGGATCTTAAATCAATGGAGGGTCATGGATGGATGAAGAACGGGGAGCTTCTTGTACCACAGCCAATCACAAAAGCACTAGCACCAGTAAACCTTCTCAGTGACTCAGAAGAAAGCTGTGAAGAGAGTATCTTTGAAGAGGAACTGTTAAATAGTTGACATATGAGGCATCCATACTTAAGAGGATAGCTTTCTGTCGATTAACAATGGAAAAGCTCAACAGATCAAAATAAGTTATGATATTGTGTTTTTTCGTTGCAATATGTATCGCTGTGAGGTAAGAGGTAGTGTAAATACAAGATTTGGAAGGATGACATAAGTATGATTTCACTATAAGGCAAGAGGGTAGATTTAGGCCCCTAATGGAGGTCACATGCATGGTAATGTGACATAATTTGTAGAAATTGAGGACACCTGGCTTCTTGCCATTAAGAGCTAATGATATAGTCAGAAGTTTTTTTTCACAAAAACATAAAAATGGCTACAAACAGTGGTAACCTGACTGCCCCTCTTTTTCATGTCAAATCGTAAATTGGGCGAAAATGATATTTATCTCATTGCTTTAAGCTTAATAAACAAACATTTGGCTGAAACTGTAGACTGGGCAACCCTTTCATAGATAATAGCAGAATACTAAGGGATATTTCATAAATTTATGCCATAGAAGATGTATAGATATTCTTATAACAGTTTTAGAAGGCTATTTTGACTCCTCCAGGGTCATATGGTAGGTCACATGACCTCAATTTACACATCCTGAGTATGATTGGGATATAATGTTGTTAAGATGTAACTATAACTGAAGGTTTCTGTCATAACAAGTGAATAGTTTTGGTATTACCAGTGGTTAAATGGCTGTGCCTTGTTTCCATGAGTTGAAAGGGTGACATACAAAAATGCCTGTTAACTCATAACTAATTCTCAATTCAACTCTACAAACTACCTCCCAAACCAGAAAGTCACGGAGATCAATTATCAAAGCACAGCATTTGTCTTTCCTTTCCCAGTCTTTAAATGGAAAAAAGTGAAGGTTGTAATCACTCAGTAGTAGAGTCCATCACTTTTGTATTATTTAGCACTCAAGTATTCAGTATAAGGTGGCAAGGCCTTCAAATTATGAATTATAAAATGGATTCTTGCCCTTAAATAGTATATCTTTTTTAATGCCACACATGCAAATATGTGCACAAATCTTAAGCATGTGGTTTTAGTTTTAGCCCATTTTTGCTTTTATCCACTTATCTCAGCTATCAGTAAAACACTGAAATGTGCAATTTCTCAGCTGACACTTGGAATTTTGGCTAGTTCTCAGATTTCCATCGAGCTTCAACCAGGGCCGTTTGCACTAGCCTTGTGCAATAGTCAAATGGAGTGAATTTTGGGTTGTCACAATGACTCAGAAATGGCCTTAGGCCATTTTCTGAGTTTAACACAATTCAACTGATGCAACAACTTGGTAAAACATTTTGATGTCCTCCTAAGCAAAATAATGTGAGTAATAATTCCACTGAAATTCAAGTGTCCCAACCAGTACTTAGGACCAATGCATACAAAGCCAAAAAAGATTTGATGTGGAATTCAGTTTTCTTGCACTTTTGGACAGATTTGTCAGTTTTGTGTAACTGACCCTAATAACAGGAGTCGCATTGTAAACTCAAATTAAATTCAGATATAGAAAATTAAGGTTAAAATATACTTACAGTGAACTACAATTGTTGTGTTAATGGAAGTGACTTCCATTGAGTTATTGGCTTGACATGTATATTGTCCTGCATCTGTTCTGTTTATATTATTGAACTCCAAAGATGCAGCTTCCTTCCCTGAACTTTTCCGTACTCCATTTCTAATCCATGCTACATATGGTGGTGGTTTCCCAGAAGCTTTACAGGTTATGGTGGCAATGGATCCTTCAATGAAATATTTTCCTCCTAAAGAGAGGTTTATAAGTAATGCCTCTGAAAGGTAAAAGAAATTATATTATTCCTCATATGGCATAGCAAATCTTACTCGGACTGAGTCTTAAAATTTACCCAGTTACAATAAAATAATCAAAAGTATCCAGCAATTGGTCTCCAACAACCAACCTAAGGAATTAAGGGATAATTCAGGTAGTCACTCATTAAACTAAGGACCCCAGCTTTAAAGCTACTCCCAATTTTCTTGTTTTGCTGCTGCACAAACAAATAGGAACAGAGCCAATCAAGCCACACCTCACTTAGAACTTAGCCTGAAAGAGGATCTATTAAAGCATCCCCAACCCAGAGAATTGAAATTTTGATGAAAGAGAAACCATGAATTCTTTGGGATAAAAAGAATACACCAGTGGCATGCTGAATGCTGCTTGCCATTACCTAAAGTTAAAAGGAGAACTTACTAAACTCCTTGTATTGATTGTTCTTTTATCAAACATTGCATAACTTGATTGCCCATCACGATTGTTTTGCAAAGGGAGTTTGCAGAATGGAGAGTTTTTGACTTTTCCTTTGCATTTTGAAGAATCATACCCAAAAATAAACTGTTCTTAAGCCCAAGCTAAGTCAAATGCAAAGAAATTAATTTATTTCCTGCATTAAGAATAGACTGTATGGAGACCACTGCTAACAACTTGTGCTGAAACATTTTGCTACTTCCCAAAAGAGAGATTATCACTCAGCAAATTAAAAACATCCTCAACCTGTCGCAGGCATTACATTTACAATGAGGCAGAGTCATTTCATCAGAGCTCTACAAACACACTTTACCCCCCTAAAGAGGAGAGTTATATTTCAATACAATTGTGAATAAGTGTTCCCAAAACTTATGGCAAGATAATTTAGGTTGGTCCTTAAAACTAAATTGAAATCAGCCATAGCTGATATGAGGCAAACAGGCAGATGAAATGTTTATACAACAAGGTCCAGTCTTAGTTTTGGTGAAAATGCAAAACAGGCAGTACTCAGAACATTGAGTGAGAAATACTTGAGAGCAAGAAGGTGGCTTAAATTCAGGCTATGTAGTTCCCTAGTAATAATTAGCACAAGATTTGAGCTTGTTTGACATTACCAAAGAAACCATCTTCTAGACCATCAAGAGGTGCTGATGTTTATTAAGAAACTACAGGAGATGATGGGAAAGGAATTGCACAGGTAGAAAGTGGAGAGGCAACACAAAAAATACAACGTGATTCACCTTTATACTGGAAGTAATATTCTTGTTGCAAACTAGAGGTTTGAGCAAGAAATGCAAAAAATAGCTCACTAGCCAGAATACCTGTGAGAGTATTGGAGAAAGGAGGAAATCTAATTTAAAGACAGAAGAAAAAATTTGATTTTCCTTAAGAATGGAGTGGCTTGTCTGAAAAGTTCTAACATCTAAAGGTGGATAATACTACTTGTGCATCTTAAAATATTTCCATGTTCCCACTTGATGATTTTAGGCCCTATTAAACTTTGTATAGTTTTTTAGAGGTTCCAATTAAGAGAGCTTCCAACTGAAGTTGTAACAAAGATATCCTCAGTAAGTGTATGTGAATTGATCAATGGTTGCTTAACAATACAAGAATAATGAGGAATAAATTAGTCATGGCGTGCAGACATATTTTTGCAGTCGTGCTTCTATTGACTATTTTCAGCGTTTTACTTGGCCAATTTACTTCAATTACACCTGAATTCGATCGCTCTACAGTTACACTCTTCATTGGGAAGGAAATATCTGCTCCACCTACGTTCAACTGTAAGTCAAAGCCTTCGAAATGCACACCTTGCGAATTGAATTTGAAGCTTCACGCGTTGTTGCGGTTCATCAAGCTTGGCCAATTTTGTCTGTGCATTCTTCTATCTGGCGATATTGCCGTCAATCCAGGGCCTAATAATCTTCAACCACCTGCAGGCTTCAGAGGTTTATCAGTCTGCCACTGGAACATCCAACGACTGACTGACACCAAATTGGAAGAACTATCGCTAATGCTCACCTCGAATAACAACAGTGCTGCTAAACTCGACGTCTTAATTCTCACTGAGACGTTCGGATCAAGTAAAATTCCAAACAGCTATTACATGATACCCGGCTACACATTACACAGAAAAGATCGAATCGGGAAGAAAGGTGGCGGCATATTTGCGTATGTAAATGAGAAAGTTATGGCTTTACGTCGAAGAGATTTGGAACTGGATGATCTTGAAACTCTCTGGCTTCAAATTTGTCCTCATAAATCAAAGAGACCGATTTTGATATCTGGTGTTTACCGTCCACCCTCAGCCAACAAAGATTATAATGAGAGCTTGGGTAAAAATATTGAAAATGCCCATCTCCAAAACAATGAATTGATTATTCTGGGAGACTTTAATTTGGATTATATTGATTTCAACTGTTATTCAAAACATTGTCTCAAAAAGGCACTGAACAGTCTTGGACTAACGCAGATGGTAAATGGGGTAACAAGACCTGCCTCTGATGCGTGCTTAGACCATATTTATTCTAGTCATCCTGCTAGAATTAGAGAAGTATCCATAGGTAAATCTGGACTTTCCGATCACCTTCCGGTCACCATCTTGAGGTGCTACAAAACCATGGATGCACAACGTAAACAACATTCCAAAATCAAATACAGAAATATCGACAAAATCAACAAAGAGTGCTTTCTGCGAGACCTCAGAGAAGCCCCTTGGGATATCTCCTTTGTTTTTCGAGATGCCGATGACATTGTTGAATCTTGGTACAAAATCTTTAATGACATTCTTGATAATCACGCACCTTTAAAGTCCAAGAGTGTGAAGAAAATCAATCAGCCAAAATGGTTCACTAATGATCTATACAACGAAATAAATAAACGCGATAATCTTCTAAAGAGGGCCAGGAGAACACAAAATAAGCAAGATTGGTCTGCTTTTAAACTGGTTAAAAACAAAGTGACGAGGAAACTAAGAAATGCGAAGGAACAGTACTTTAAAACTCAGTTCAGTAAAAATCAAAAATGTCCAAAGAAACTTTGGTCTTTAATTAAAGACCTATCTAAAGATACAAAGAATAACGACGACTCCGTCCCTATTGCTGACGAAAACAACAACTTGATAAAGGATGACCATTCAATCGCTGAACGCTTTAACCGCTTCTTCGTTGATGTATATAAACGTCTCATAAAAGTCGACACCTGTACTTCATTATGATGCTCTTCCTGGTCCACCAGACAAATCTAACAGTCAAATTGAAAATCTTATTCCGCAAATAACTCCTAGTGAGGTTAACGATTATCTTCTAAGTATACCTACACACAAAAAGCCACGGAATCGATGGGCTTGGTGCCAGAGTTCTAAGGATTGCAGCTCCTGAAATATCATGCTCCATAGCTAAAATTATAAATCACTGTATTGAAACTTGTACATTTCCCTCACAATGGAAAATAGCAAAGGTTAAACCTCTTTTCAAGAATCAAGGAAACAAGCAAGATATTCAAAACTATCGTCCTATTAGCATTTTGCCTATTCTTTCTAAAGTCTTTGAAAGACACATCTTCAATGCTGTGAACACCTACTTAACAGAAAATTCACTTTTATACCGCTTCCAATCAGGGTTCCGTAAAACCACTCCACGGATACTGCTTTGTTGTTTCTTCTGGACCAAGTCCTTCTTGACCTTGATAAGAACAACGTCAGCGGCTTAGTTTTTGTGGACTATAGCAAGGCATTCGACTTGATCAATCATGACATTCTCCTGATAAAGTTAAGATCATATAGATTTCCAGATAATGTTGTAAAGCTATTGCAGAGCTATCTACTCAATCGCAAACAGTGTGTTACTGTAAATAACTTCGACTTACCGTCACAACTTACGCTAACCAATGGAGTTCCTCAAGGTAGCATATTAGGACCTCTACTGTTTTTTTAATTTTCGTCAATGATCTTCCCGAAGCTGTTGGATCGGACTCAACTATTCATGCTTACGCGGATGACACCACATTTAAAGCCAGCGCTAATATCGATAATGCACCTTTGGAATTGGAACGACGTCTTCAAGAATACATGGATAAATTAAGTAAATGGTCTAGCGAAAATGGGATGGTCCTAAACGCCGTTAAAACCAATGCATTACTTATCACCGAAAGAGGCTACATTCATCATTAGCGGAAGGCAATCACCTGTCAATAACCCTTGATGGGGCGAAATAGAACAAGTAACTTCTTATAAATTGCTTGGTGTAACACTTTCGATCAAGATCTTACATTTAGCGACCACATTTCTAGTCTAAAGGCCAAGCTTTCTCAGCGTATTGGTTTATTGAAGAAGATAAAGAGGTACCTTCCAATAAAAGAAAGACTCTTATACTATAACGCCTTGATTAAACCCGTCCTTATGTATGGGAGCATGGTTTGGAATATCTCATGACGCTAAAGAACTCCACTGTCTCCTAAGGTTACAGAAAAGGGCTGCCCGAGTAATCCTTGGAGTTGACTCTTATTCTAGAAGTGTTATAAACTTTAGTAAACTAGGCTGGTTGCCTTTTTGATGAAATCAAACTAAATAAGTGTACAATGATTTTTAAGAGCCTTAAAAGGCGATGTTCCGATTACATCAGAGACTTGCTCAAGACGAACAGTTCTGTACACAATAGGTCTACTAGACATGGCAATTTAAATTTAGTGTGTCCCAAATACCTAAGAAATAACGATGGTGGCAAGGCATTCAGTGTTGACGCAGTTAAGTTATGGAACAGCCTTCCCCATAATATCAAAAAAATAAGCCTAGTATAAAACTATTCAAAACAGCTGTGAAAAAGTATTTTATAAGCTCATATAGAAACCTGGACAACTTTGAAACAATATTAAGCAATAGCACATTATCTAATTTTAATTTTTTATAAATTAATTTTATCTTTCTGAATATTTTTAATATATCCTGCTATTTCTATCATAGAATTTTGTAATTATTTGTATATTTATCTATTTATTAGTATTATTTTGTAATGCTGTATAATCTAGTTAGAGGGCCACAGGTTTGTCAGCTTTTCAGCTGTTACGTGTCCCCCTCTATAAATAAAGTCCTTATCTTATCTTATAATTTCAGTGGGTCCACACGTAGCTTGTTATCTAGGTAACAATGTTACAAAATCTTGCAAGGAGTTAGTATAAAAGAAACCAGAAACTATAATTATGGAATTCTATGTACTTTTGTTTAGATTTATAATAGTCTATACTCGAGACTTAGAGGTGCTAGCTCTGAAGCATCCCCAAAAATCTGTTGGGTTCAGGAGCCTCAAGAGAGTTACATAGCAGAACCAGTTTCATTATGTTAGTGTATGCTAACTTGATCCACTCCACAATCCAAAACATATAGCTTGCATACAAACATGCAGTTTTCAAGCAAAATGAGCTGATCCTACATGAAATTATAATTAAAGGATACACCAGCCTTTCAATCAGATATAATGATAGCTAGACACCCTCAGTGCTAGATATCACAGGCTGCATTAAGTTGGAAGACCATTATCATGTGTTAGGCCTTATAAAAAACAAACAGCGGCCTCCTCTAAGATTTTTAAAATTGAATGGAGCTATTGCTTTATTCCTGAGTCCATAATAGACATCTTAACTGACTAGAATCTTTCAGAGTTAACAGTGGCAACATCAAGCTGGGGGTCATCTCTATGGGTTGAAATATTCAAAGTGTTAAGCACTACAAGGCTTCAAGAATGCATCATATCCCAAAAGTAAGTGAAACTGAGTGGTTGTTTAACACCCAAAATATATAATTAACATTTAAGTTGGCCAGAAATACACATTTTTTTTCTATATTTAGAGTCACTTGAACTTGGAATCTGGGACAGGAAATGGCTATAGGATGAGGAAATAAAGAAACCTACTGAAGAAGCAAAAAATGAAAAAAAAAAACCTCCCTTCCCCTGATGTCATCAATGACATCAGCAGTAAAATAGTGGAAACCTTATGATGTATGCCAAATTTAAGCACTCTACCGAGCTAAATGATACCAACATAAAAACAACTACTGACCTATCTTAGTCATTTCCATAGTCACCAAAGTGTTTGAAAGGATTGTGTATGATCAGTTATATGAACCTCATAAATAATGAAGAAATCATCTCTAAACAACAATCTGGTTTCAGGTCTTTACACTCAACTGTTACTGCTCTTCTTAATTGAAGCCATTGACAGTTGGGCATTTAATATCAATCATGGCTACATCAATGCTGTGGTGTTTCTCGACTTAAAAGAGGGATTCAACACTACTGATCATGAGGTATTACTCACTAAAATGAATCAATGTGGTATTCAAGGAAAACTCTTGATTGGTTTAAATCATATTTGACGAATCACTGACAACAGTGCTCAGTTAACGATTGTCCCTCTGACTTCACCAATATTAAATGTGGTGTGCCACAGGGAACGATCCTTGGCCCTCTTTTACCTCTAATTTGTATTAACCATTTGCCTAACTGTCTATCATTCAGTGTACTTAGAATGTATGCTGATGACATCCACATCACTTATGCTGGCTCTGATTTACATTTGATCCAGTCTAGTCTATCTCACAACCTTGAAAAGCTAAGCAAATGGCTTGTGTCTAACAGACTTACCTTGAATGCTACAAAAACTGAATTTATGTTGATCTGCTCTAAGCAAAGATTAAGTACTCTACCTGATACACTCAAACTTTCCATAGATAATGTTCCCATTGAACAAGTTTCTTCTGTGAAATCCCTTGGAATATAAAAAGATGAAAATTTAATGTGGCATTCCCACATTGATAAACTGTGTAAAAGGATGGCTACTGCTATTGGAAACATAAAGCAAATTAAGCCATTTGTGCCCCAATCCACCCTACTCAATATCTAGAACTCACTCCTTCAATCTCACTTTGATTACTGTAGCCTAGTCTGGGGTAATTGTGGCAAAACATTATCTAACAAGCTACAAAAACTACAAAACCGTGCTGCACATGTAATAACTTCGTCAAACTATGATGTAGATGTTGATTCCTTGTCTCACAAACTCAGCTGAAAAGACTTGAAATCTCAATGTCAGATTCAGAACACCTTATTGGTTTGCAAGTCTTTCTACCATCTAGTTCCCAAACATCTCACGTCTAAATATTTATAAAGTGAAACAAATCAAACTATTCTATGTGGGGCTCAGTAAACAAACTTGCTGTCCAATTTCCAAGAACTAACTACGTGAAAAATAGTTTTAGTTATAGCGGCTCAACCCATTGGAATAGCTTACCCTGTAACATTAGAGAGTCTGGTTCATTAAACCAATTTAAACGCCTTCTCTATCATAATTTTTAGACACAGCATTCATAGAAATCAGGTTTTTAAGTGGCATATTGGTGTTAGTTCATATAATGTTAGGATTATGATCTTTAGTTCTTAGGATATTAGTCATTGTATTGGAATTTTTTGTACCTGATGAATTCTTCTTCTTTTGAACTGTGTATAAATAATGATTAAATAAATAAATAAATAAACATGGAAGATCCCATGTCATCTGGAAAAGGCATCTAATCACTTGATGATGAAATGTAGTCAGGATAAAAATGAAATTCTTTTGAAACCCAATGCCAAAAGGACCATGGTGAACACACTTAAAGTCAAACCCTGCAAAACTATTGACAGTGCATGGGACATCTTGGATATTGGGTTAGCAGACAGGAGAAGACACTTCTCCACAACAATACCTTGTTTCATAATAGCCTGCATTCTTTACATCACACCTTTTGTCCAAGGGTAATCTACATGTAAACAGACAACCAGCATTTTGGTAGAGATGAAAGGAGAGGGACTGCCCATCACATCTTCTAGAGGCCTTTGGGTTCTCTTTGATTGCAAATGGCTTTCCACAATAGCAAATCCAATATTGGCAAATTTTTCTTTTTCTATATGTTTTTAATTTTTGAAATAAAAAGTTAAACAATACCTTGCAGATATATCAAACCTTGCAAATGATTTACAACAGGGGGTGGATTTCATCACATGTCACAAAGCTTCACTTCATTCAGAAAGTTTGTTTTCCATTTCACAGCTGTAATTCTCATTTCTTTTAAGGAACAAGAAGTCACATTTATGACTTAAATAACCAATTCATTGAGATTCAAGTATTCTTAAGTATATTTACAGTACTTTCAATTTTAGGTTTCCATTAGGTCTGTATCTATCTCAATCAAGAGGGTAAAGAGGAAGCATCAAGTAACAACATCTGCTAAGAATAGCATTCCTAACTGGCCACATTGATCATCATTGAAATTATTTTCTGTTTACAAGCTCAGCTTCTTTTAAACAGCATAAAGAGCTTGGATTATAGACTCTGATGGTTTATTGCTTTCATAACTTTGAGGAAATTTTGCTCTATTGCTCAAATCTTCTAAGTCTTGCCTTGCACCTTGGTGTCAGAAAATTACTTGAGGAAGTCACCATTCTGTTGACTAAATTTATATCTGTAAACCTTGAAGATCATAATCCTCAGAAAGCAGCGAACAATGCAATGCCAACTTTCCTTCCCTTTGGCAAGTCCCTCTAAAAGGCTACAAAAGCCACATAATTTTTTTTGCACCAGCTGCCTGTAATAATTACAGGCAGCTGGTGCATATTGCACAATCAATTATTGATTGTGCAATATCAATCTAGCAAATTTGATCTGCAATTTGATCTAGCAAAATCGAACAAACAGTTGCATTGTTTCTAGTTTTGTCTGACCATTTTTAGTTGAAAACTTTGCTGAGAGAAAATTTCAGTACTCATATTAATAATAGATATCTATGCATCACAGAGCAACCCAGTAATTGGTGCAAGAAGCATAAAGCCATAACTCTTTGATTTCTTACTGATGAGAGACAGCAAATTAAATGGTAGAATTTCTTGTCTTCTTTTAGGAGTGTGGTGTCACATACCAAGTAAAAGTAGCACTAGTGTTCCCAAAAGTTGGGTTAGCTAGCCTATTTCAGCCCTGCATATAAAGGTTTACACAAATTTATGCTATTGTTTACTTTCACCAGATCTCAGAAACATGAGAGACATGAGTTGAGTACATTTGGTTTGTGTTTGATTATTAATGGTTATGTCTGCAATACATACCTGCCACAATAAGCTTAACTGAGCTTTCAACCTCCCCTGCAGGGTTTTGCCGCATTTCACATCTAAATTTGGTATTGTCTCTAGGGCTGATGTTCTTGATAATCAGGGTAGCTCTTCCTTCAATTTTAACTCTTCCTTTGTAAGATGGAGGAATACTAGGATGCTCTTGCGCGCCATGACTGTCGTTAAAAATCATTGCTTTAAATACACCATTTACCAGAACACTGTAGACAATGCCTCTAATTTTATTATTTGGATCAGCATAGTTCCACACCAGGTTGGCATCACTACCATTGTTGAAGTAGCTTGGATCAGAAGGTTCCTGGGTGAATTGCACATCCACACCCCCTAAAATAGACAACCATAAACATACAATTCTCAGCCCTTTAGTTACATACATAAGGATTATATTTAAGAAGAAGGGCTTAAATAGAGTCCACCATAAAGGCACTTTAAGTGTAAGAAGTAACAACAATAATTTTTGCTTCTTCACTGAATAAAACAAATTGATTCCATGTTGCTGAGGCTCTGTACAGTTATAAATCACAGAGGATTTCAAAATGCACCAAGAACATCAGTTACACATTCAACTGCACCTAACTTGCTCTGTGCATTTAGTTAGTAAAAAATAATACAATAGTAAAGAGTTCTGTTGGGCTGTTTGCTATTTTGCTCTGTTTTAATAACTGACTACTGGAACAAGCTAAGCTGATCTCATGTGCCACTTTTTTGTTCTTACCATATTCTGACATCACATGTGATCTATTACTGAACAGATGAACAGCAATATGGAATCTATTTGTTAAATAGACAATGGAAAATTATTGTGGATTTGTTTACATGCTTTGGTATTAATTTATTGCCAAGCTCACTAGTGGTTAACCACCAGCTATTCACCTCCACTTGCAGCATCGTGCAACAAGAAAATGGCTTCCTGCTTTGCTGTGTTAAGCTAGGAGAAATAATTTCAATAAACGAAGCAGCTGTCACAAAAAATACAAAACAGCAACCAAGTGTGCTTTGATAGCATTGAATGGTAAATTAACTACCCTTTCAACCCTTAATTTCTAACAAAAAAATCAGATTTTTCTTTCACTGCATTGTAAAGCATTATACAAGGGAAAAATGAAAATTCAACTTTTTTTGTACCTTTGTGTCATCAACATTCTGACGTTCAACTTATCGTGATCCAACCTATGCATCTTTTCAGGGTTTGCATCTTTTTTCAAGGCTAAGAAGACGACTCACACTAAGCAAGAAGAGTGCTCTTCACAGTTTCAATTTTGATTTTGAATTTTGAACGTATAGTAGTGTTACACTTGAAGCATAAAATCCTTTGCTCTTGATTTCTATCGCATCATAGTTATTCAGATTTCATTTATCATGTGATTAAAATCGCAACATCATATCGAAATCATTTCAAGATACAAAAATCATATCATCTCGAGATACAAAAACTGCCGAAAGTCACCCAAGAGTTCGGAAATCATTTTGACGAACATCACGTTCAGAAATAAAGGTCGGCGTTTCCGGCTCGTTTCTAAGCTTAAAATGGCTTATGGTAAAAAAAACTGTTAAGTTCTTTGTATGGGAAAATAAATTTCACTCTTACCTGACTCGTGAAACTTTACCAGCAGAAGAAAAAGTAAGTATAATTGATGATCACTGAAAGACATCTTCTCGTCAGACCTTTGCTGATGGTGGGATGAGGAAGGTTGTAATTATGAAACGACTCGAGCCCAGGGTCATTTTGCCTCCTTGTCAGCGGTATATTCATCAAATAATGACCTCTGGAAGCATAGATATATTCAATTTTTAAAGTGCCCATGGCACGAAAATTTTTTTTTTGCATTTTCTGGTTGATAGAGGTATTTAAAATTAGAAACAATCGACCTTAGCGCTTGGCGAGTTCTCCTTCTCCCCTTTTTTGTGCATTAAATGTACGATTATTTAGCGGCCAAAAGGTGTCCGCATAAAGCGCGCGGCCAAAACGATCATATTACGTAGCTGTGAAATTGTTGCAATAAATCTTTGCTTGTTCTGATGCGAATCAACATTGATAAGAAACGTCATGACATAGTGGGGACGACTGTGTTATTGTTAACCTCTACATGAAGGGTTTCGAAGAACAGGCGATAACTACATCATCCTACGAGCTTAGGATCTGGAAACGCTTCGTGGACGATACCTTTACCATCCTGGATCGCGAAAACGCGGATGACTATGGTATGGTATGGCGTACTTTTCCCTATCGAAAAATCAATTTTCATGTCGGAAATCGATTAACAGGGTCCGTTATTGTTTGCCTCTTTCAGACCTCCTCATTGTCTGCTATTTCCCGTGTCTGTATTTACCGATTGGATTTCGACTTATCGCCGTGCTTTATATTAATGCTAGAGTCCTTAAATTATTCGTTACAATCATCGAGTTCGTAATTGGTCTCATTGCCGGAGCCTGATAATTTTCTCAATTACCGACTCTGATAACTCAACATGATCTCGACACTGGAATAATGACAATCGTTACTTCTTAATTGGCCCTGAAATAGTAAATAGCATTATTTCATGGCATGTGTGAGACCTTCGGGCTCGAACTTCGGAACTTGTATACAGGGAAAGATAAAATGGCGACCTACGGCGGCGAAGGAAGTCTCAGTAGTTTAATATTTTAGCGTGAAAAGGCTCGTGAAAGTAAAAAAAAATCACCATCTGCAATGGCTCTACCACCTTTTGAACAACAAGAAAACATTGAAACGGTGGTAAAAAAGCAGCAAGTTTCGAAGTCTAAACGAAAGATGGGTAAGCTGAGTTTCAGTCAAATATCATGACATTTGAGATGTAATTTCGACCACAAATAAATAGTTTTACATGGTTATACACGCAGAGGATTCTGTTGTGTTCACGTGAAGGCCATTTAAGCCATTCCTGCCACTTGTAAGTTGTAGGAAATAAAAATATGCATACTTGTTTCGTATTGAAGCCCTGTGAAATCACAAATATGATTTATTTCTTCTTTGTTTTAGGTGGTCATTATCCATTATTTTTGGAAGTCGATGCTGATGAGAAAGAAAAAATGTTTACAGTTATTTCTTCTCTCGAACATTTTACTATTTAGGTACCAAATAATCTTGATACTGAAGATCATTACTGGGATACCTGTGGTAGCCCAGTCATAAAATGCCTTTGTTTTTTTGTCGTCTTTTTACTAGGATACCTGTGGTAGCCCAGTCATAAAATGCCTTTGTTTTTTTTTGTATTCTTTTTTTTTTTACTGGGATACCTGTGGTAGCCCAGTCATAAAATGCCTTTGTTTTTTTGTCGTCTTTTTTTTACTGGGATACCTGTGGTAGCCCAGTCATAAAATGCCTTTGTTTTTTTTTTTTTTTTTTTTTTTTTTTTTTACTGGGATACCTGTGGTAGCCCAGTCATAAAATGCCTTTGTTTTTTTTGTCGTCTTTTTTTTTACTGGGATACCTGTGGTAGCCCAGTCATAAAATGCCTTTGTTTTTTTGTCGTCTTTTTTTTACTGGGATACCTGTGGTAGCCCAGTCATAAAATGCCTTTGTTTTTTTGTCATCTTTTTTTTACTGGGATACCTGTGGTAGCCCAGTCATAAAATGCCTTTGTTTTTTTTTTTTTTTTTTTTTTTTTTCCTCCGCCACAAAATGGAACTAGACCCTGTGAGCAGGGTAACTGGGATTCCTGGATGGTACTGGATCCGTGGAATCAAGTGTAGTGATACTATGCGTGTCGGACTAGTATACTGAAACAGTGAGCTCAAGTCTGGCCAAGGGCATACACCTGTCTCAAAACATAGGCATGCTATGCATGCAAGAGTTATTTTTTCTAGGGTGGGTGGATTACTTGAAACATTGTAAGTGGTCTACATTCTTACAAAAGGAAAGAAGATTATTAACGCGGGAAAGAATGAAAATGTCGAATTACCTCACACACAGGTATTTTGTGGTAGATTATGTGTGTTGTGCGAATAAATGTAACCAGAAATAAACTGTATTTGTGCCACGGATACCTGTTAGTACAAAATGTAGACAGCAGACTGCAGACCGGATACAAAATATAGACTGCAGAGTGGGTAAAAAATGCAGACTGAGAATCTGAAGAGTTTTTACGTCTGTTATATAATAACATGTCATCTTACAGCTTACCGAGCGTCACGCAATCGCTTTTCCGCGATCAGCCTTCACGATTATTTGCACTATTGTGGAAAATTCCTGGCCCATTTCTTGATGAAAATCGATCGTAATATAATTTCGAGCCTTCAACATAGTCTTCTTACTTTGCGCGCGAGTTGGTTGGTGTGATGTCTGTACAGATTTTACCAATGTAATAAAAGTAGATGACGTGAATAATAGTGATGGTAAAGCAAGCTTAAAACGGCAACAATCGCCAGAAACTACAACGGATACACAGGGTATGAGTAAGTTTTATTGATTTTTCGAGAAAAATATTCATATTTCGAAATATTTATCGTTGTAAATCGACCATATTTCGTTCCCTATACTATTCCTTATAACGTGTTCAAATTTTCAACGGTTCCTAGAATAACTTACTCTAAGTCACACAACGCGTGACGCGTTCGTGAATTAATCGTTGGCTCTTTCTCGAAACGTGACCTTGGGTCGCCTGTGACAAGACAATTGCGTAAACAATACTTGACATAATAACATTATACACAAAAAACACGGGATTTTGGATCATGTATTTATTAAAAAAGAATATCCATACAACTACAATGAAAACAAACATAAAATTCACCTTTCTGATCATGAAATTAATACCATTCGCACTGTTATCGTAGCTACGTTCCCTGGCATCAAGTGAATCCAACATGGCGTCTTTCTTCACTAGCAGTTTGCATTCATTTGAATTTTGTTCTTCAGTCTCACGGTATTAGTGTTGTTCAATAGATTGCATAGAGGATATGCAGTTTGGTTTCAGATTTCAGATTTTTCTTTTTACAACGAGTTTACGTTTTCAACTAAGACATTGGCATACTTAGCATACAAGACATACAAGGCATTCAATGCTTTCATGGCTTTCAAGCGTTCGCGATTCTGTCCGATCCAAAATTACCGCTCAATAACATCTTTTTGTGTGGATTGGCCGCGAACAATACGACTTGTGTATGCGTCTGTAAGTATTTTGAGCGTTTGCCCCATAATGCTCCAGATGATCGTAATCCAATTACGTTGAAATACAAAACGACTGACAAAATAGTTTTATGGGCAAAAGTCTCGTGTTCGTCATGTGACCCGGCCCTGTCCGTGCATGACAACGTCAATCATCATCAAGATAGCACGCGTGATCTGCATGTGAACACCTCATTGGAT